CTTTGGGCTTGACGGTCGTGCTCAAGACCCTTCTTAATGCGATCAACCAGCGTTCCCTCGGGTATGCTAACGATTGGAGCAAGACACGCCTTCGGCTTAGGGCGTCGGCCACGTGGTTAGTCTTCCCGGCTATACTCAAGCTCGTATTTAAACTCGGCCAAGAAGTCCAACCAACGCGCTTGCTTGCTTGAAAGCTTAGGTTGGCTTTGATGGTAGCTCACCGCCCGATTGTCCGTCTTGATCTTGAACGGTGTGGCGCCTTCAAGTAATGCTCCCAAACTCTAAGGCGGTGAACTATAGCCAACATCTCCTTTTCGTGCGTCGGCCACCTTTTCTCGGTCTCATTCAGCTTGCGACTTTCAAAGGCGATCGGATGACCATCTTGCATGAGAACGCCCCAATGGCGAAGTCCGAAGCGTCCGTGCACACCTCGAACGGTTTCTCAAAATCGGGAGAGCTAGGATCGGCTCTCGAGTGACGGTGTCCTTTAAAGCCTCGAACATTGTTTGGTGTTTTGGTGTCCAACACCAAGCTTGCCCCTTTTCAAGAGATCCGTTAGTGGAGCGGCTATAGCGGAGTGCCCTTCAATAAACCGCCTATAGTAATTAACAAGCCCCAAGAACGATCTCAGCTCCGTTGGCTTCGTGGGTGCCTCCCACTCCACGATAGCTTTGATTTTGGCCGGATCCATGCGGATTTTGCCCCCACCAATGATGTGTCCCAAGAACGACACCTCCTCAAGGCCGAAGGAACACTTCTCCTTTTAACATAGAGCTGGTTTTCCCTAAGGACTTGAAAACGGCTCTAAGATGCTCCACATGCTCCTTCATCGTGTTACTATAGATAACGATGTCGTCCAAGTATACTACAACGAACTTATCAATGAAATCCGCTAGCACACGTTGCATCAAAGTGCAAAACGTGGTGGGCGTTAGTTAAACCGAACGGCATAACAAGAAACTCATAAGAGCCATACCTCGTCACCATGGCCGTTTCGGTTCATCACCGGTACTATGCGTACTTGGTAGTATCCCTTCCGCAAGTCTAGCTTGGAAAAGATCCGTGCCGTTGCGGCCGGTCGAACAAGTCCGCTATAAGTGGGATAGGGTACTTGTTCTTCACGGTTAGCTTGTTTAACGCCCGATAGTCGATGCACAAACGTAGCGTCCCATCTTTCTTGCGTTGGAACAAGGCCGGCGAACCCCACGGACTTTTAGACGGCCTTGCATGACCCGATTCAAGTAGCTCCTTGATTTGCACCTTGAGCTCCTCTAGCTCGCTAGGGGCATACGATAAGGCACCTTGGCTATCGGTTTCGCCCGTCCACCAACTCGATGGCATGATCAACCTCCCTCCTTGGTGGAAGACCTTTGGGCAAATCGTCGGGCATCACGTCCTTGAACTCAACAAGGACTCGCTCTATGGGAGGCGGGATTCGTTCCTCCTTTGCCGGCTCCTCTGTGCATGGTTCCTCCTCAAACACCATGGCGGCAAAGGTGTGTTCACCCGTTTTAGCCCCTTGTTCAGGTGGGAAGGGCTAATCTCATTTTCCGTCTAAACTTTACCACACAAGGCTTCGCCTTGGAGGATCACCATCGTGTCGTTGCTAGGCACGATGATCGGCTTTACCCGGTCTAAAACTCCATGCCAAACACAAGACCATAATCATCCATAGGTGCAATGGAGAAATTGGCCGTACACGACCGATTCTTGCCGATTTTAAGAGGCACATCCCCGGCTTCGCCTACAAGACCCGTCCATTCGCCGTTCACGCCCTTGAAACGGCCTTTGCTAGGTGTCCACTTGACGCCAAGCGAACCGGCTACCTCTTCCGTGAGATAACTCGTGTCGGCCCCGTGTCTAGCATGCCCCATCTAGACCCGTTTGCGAACGATGCCTCCATGTAAAGACGGCCTTGACGTGTCTCGGCCTTGGCATGCACGGCGTCTAGCCGTTTCATGCAAGCGACCCGTTCTCCTCTTCTTGGCACAAACCTTGTGCCAATGCTGCCAACTTCGAACGAGACGGGCAATCACGTGCCATGTGCGCTCCCCGCACAAGAAGCACCCTTGAAACTTCTTTGGCTTGTCCCCTTGGTCTCCTTGCTCGAAGACGGCTTTGTAGAGTCGGCTGCCGGTTTAGCGGGTGTGGAAGACTTCCTTTGTCTCCCCACCTTTGCCTTGGAACGGCTTCTTGCCTTTGTCCTTGGAGCTATCCTTCTTTTGGAACTCTCTGCGACTCGGCCACCTTTAACGCCCGATCGATGTCTGGACTTCTCTCCGTTGTAGCTCAAGTTTGGCCCAACGGTTGAGACCGTCCATGAAAGTAAAGAACGCCTCCTTGGGCGAGAGATCCGAATTTCAAGCATCAAGTCCGAAAATTCCTTAACGTATTCCGGTTTGTCCTTCCCTATGGTGCGGACGACGAAGCTTGGCCCGGCTTCGTCTTCCGCATCCACGGGTAGGAAATACTTTCTAAACTCTTCCTTAAAACCATCCCACGTGGTGAAGACCGGTCTCCATCCCCACGGGTTTCATCATACGTTTCCACCATGATAAGGCACTATCTTTAAGATAAAGAGAGGCTTGGAAGAGTCTTACCGAGTCGTCCATGATATTCATAGCCCCAAAGTACTGTTCCATGCTCAGAGAAAGTTCTCTACGTCCCTCAAGCGACGGCTGCCCTTATATTCGTCCGGCTTGGGCGCCTCAAGCCTTGGAACCGTCCCCACGGCTCGGTTGTCCCTTGCACGGCCACGGCGTCAAGCCGTGCCTTAAGACGCGCCGATTCTGCCCGAGAAGTCTCCAGCTCCCCCATAAGCCGGTTGACGTCGTCTTGGAGGGCGGCAACACGAGCAAGGCTTTCCTCCTTCGACTTGTTGCAACGTTCCACCATTTCGTTGAGCGTCCCTAGCATGTCGTCCTTCATTTGCTGCATGACCTCTTGCAATTCCCCTGCGAATCGCTCCATGCGAGCTTCGACGACCCCTGCTACCACCTCAGGGTGCTCGTCCCAACGGTCTTGGTGGTCGGCCACAAGAAGCTCTAGCTTGGCAAGCCGTTTCTCAAATTCCACCATCGGCTCCCTAACGACCGACTTCTCCTTGCGGCTTCCTTTGCGGGTGGTCCTCCCACCTCGCGGAAACGTGATCCCCTCAAGCTCCGACCTTGAACAACCTCCGAAGGGTTAGACATAGCTTATGCACGAAAGAAAACTAGCAAACTAAGCGTAGACGATGTAGCACACAAGTATCGAGCCGAGGCTCGATACCAACCTGTCACGGGCTTACTTTTTCAAAGTAACGGCCGTGCGGCACTAGCACAAAACAACTAACGATCAAGTGCTAGCTCACCTTAAGACCCCAAAGCGTGCAAAGCTAGGCAAGACCTTAAAGAACGGAGGCAAAGAAAAACTTAAGAAAAGTTGAAAGTGAAAGAATGATGAAGGCACAAGAGAGCTTAAGGAATGCTTGAGAACTCTACTCAAAGCTTGGATGGTTACAAATGAAGGGGGCATGGGGTATTTATAGGCAAACCCCAAGTCCTAAAGAATTCTAGAGAATTCTATGTACATAATAAAATAATGGGATTCTAGAGAATTCCTACAATAAAATATTCTAAGTTCAAAATATCTACAAGTCTCTAGAATCTTCCACATGGTTCTAGCAAACTCGGGTAGCTTCCATACGGTTCCACTCGTTTCTAGAGAGTTCCGGGCCTCTCTAGAAAATTCCAGAGTCTTCAAGATTTGACCGGAGAATTCCACAAGGCTCTGGACCGTTCCGTCCCATGTCCGTCTACGAAAATAGCCCGTTTCGCATCAAACCACCCGAATTCATGGTGAAGAAAAACTGTCCGTGACAGAGGAAATGTCCATACTGGACGCCTGACCGAGAAAAATACGTCTTCCCCGGACGCTTTTACATGGTTAGATGCAAACTTTGAACGCTCTATCGACCGTTAACGCGTCTTAAGTATCGTTGTTACGGTTGCGGAAGCGCCTAATTTGGGCTCTTCAGACGGATTTGTGGCATCCTCCCCCCTCCCCCTTTTTAATTGTTTGGTCATTAATTTAAACAATTTTAGTCAATTTCTTTTACTTGCAGTCGTCGGATTGAAGAAATTATTTTATTTCTTTATTTTTGAGTTTGGGAGGATTTTGAGAAGAGGAACAAAAGGGTTTTTATGTTTTAATTTTATGACACGGGTAAATTATTGCCCATATTTATATACTCCTTCCATTTCAAAATTATTGCTCAGTTTAAATTTTTATTTTTTAATTCAAATTGTACTAAAAGTCAAACTGAGGCAATAATGTTGAGACATAGTAAGTATGTTTATCACCATTCATATTTTTTTTTATCTCTTTCGCTTTACATATATGTAGGGTTTTATTTTTCTTCCAGCTAAGGTTTTTATGTTTTATAGTACTTCGATATCCCAAAAAAAAATTCCATATTGAGAGTGTGTGTAAAATAAAGTATTTAACATAGTTTATTTTTTTGTAGGTAATTGGCTTCAGTGGATTGTTTTTTTCTTTTTTTTTGTATTATATACTGTATAAGTTCTCGAAAATATATACTCCAGCAGTAGCAAGACATGCCACAAAAGTGATTACATTACGAATTCAAACTGATCTCCTTTATTAGACAGGTTGCGAGTAAAGATCTCCAAAGTCCAAGCATAAATTATTAGTCCTTTAAAGTTTTAACTTGGGTAGTTTAATGAAAATAATTGCAATCAGTGTTCATATAAAGTTCAACTGAAAATCTGACCTTGGGAATAAAATCCAACAGAAAAAGAAACAAAGTAAAAAGCCTTAAAATTGGGACTTACACATGCACAAGAAAAAAGTTTTCCAGATTAAAAAGGCAAAAACATCCAAAACTCTTCCTGTCCTGGCTTTCCTATCTTCATTCTTATCGCGTTCTTTCATCATTGACCCTAACCCACAATATCATCAGATCAGATCCCCCCCTTTTTTTTTTTTTTTTTTTTTTTCTATTCGGAATTCTGAAGTTTCATCGATAACCCTTTCAAAGAAAGCCGAAGCAATGATCCCCACCCACATTAAATGACGCCACGATTATATCTATATCTCTGTCTCCATAGCTGTCCATTTCAATAATTGTGTCGTAAAACATAATTATGCAAACGAATTAAAAAAAACTAATCTCGGAATCTTCTTTTGAACAGTGTGAAACTCTTTACATTCTGATAACATAAAGAGTCTTCAATCAGCCTCGGGCATGGTTATTCGTGGGTTTTGTTGACCATTCTGGGTTTGCCTCCGTCAAACTCGAATAATTTTCAGCCACTTATCTTTCACAGTGATTCTGCTCCGCCTGGGGCAGCCACGTGGACTATAGTGGGCGAGGTTGTCTTCTTCTGCGCGGATTTTGTTTTTTTTGCTATATAAGGGGCAGCTTCACAAATTGTTTTCTCTGGGTCAGGCGAAATAATGAAACCAGAGCATAAAGTTGCCGGAGCAAGCGTTCCTCTGTTGCCGGAGGTTCGGACAGAGGAGGTTGAAACATCAGATGGGGCGTCGATTTCTAGTGCTATTTTTAATGTTTCGACTAGCATGGTCGGAGCAGGGATCATGTCGATTCCGGCAACTTTTAAGGTTCTGGGTATCATTCCTAGTTTCGTTGTGATCCTGATTATTGCATTTTTCGTTGACGTCACGGTGGAATTCCTTTTAAAGTACACACGTCATACTGGAGTGTTGGATTCTTATGGTGCTCTCATGGCCGAGTCATTTGGAAAACCGGGAGCTGTTGCACTTCAAGTTTGCGTCTTGATCACCAACCTTGGTGCCATGATCATTTATTTGATCATCATCGGTGTGTTTCTTTTACTTTTCAGTTTTTGTTATGTTTTTAGTACTTAGTTCTGGCATATACAGCTATTTGTTTTGTGGGATTTTCATTGTTTCGTTTGTGAGCAACCTTTTGGATCCCCGAATCTTCCAAGTTGCTCTATGACGTTTGTAGGATCACATGTCTTCTGTTAATTATATTTCTTTTTGGTTTGCCGGATTGTCTTGTTGTTGAGTGATCCACTTAGACTATGTCATTTAGCTGGATAGCTATTTGCGAGTAGCAAAGGAGAAGGATGCCTGCAAAAACAAATTTTTCATTGATTGTTTATTGCATTGTTGAAAGTTGATATTTTATTCTCAGAGTAGTTATTTTCGTTAGCGTTTTATCAGTTTGACTACTTTTCGTATTTTACTCCACCTGCTTTGCTTACTTCCTTACTTTGTTGTAAAACATATTTTTTGGACTAATCTAGGAAGATGGTATTCTTTGTCTCTCATCGTATAAAGGTTCTAACTCATTGTTGTCATTAAGAATATGCATGTCATAATAGTATGGTAGTAAGCCATGTGGCTCAGTGACTGACCTCTTATGGAAAAACATATTTACAGGAGATGTACTATCAGGAAATCAGTCGGATGGGTCAGTTCACTTGGGTGTTCTTCAGGAATGGTTTGGAGTGCATTGGTGGAATTCGCGCTCATATGCACTCCTGTTTATTGTGCTCTTTATTATGCTCCCTTTGGTTGTCTTGCGGCGAATAGGTAAGTTGAAAGGATGATAATAGCTTCTTTAACTTCATATGTTTGTTTTATTTGCCACTGATGCTGATTTAGGCCACCACATATGTGCCCATAAGTTGGAATCTTTTAGATCATTCAGTTTGCTGTAAGTTTTAGTTCTTATATTACCAAACATATGCAAGAAGCTGAATTTGTGGCATGCTTTAAGTTAGAAAACTAAAACCCTTGGGTCTTTTTGGCAAAACTACCAATTCTAATTTTAATTCTATAAGGTTGAATAAAAATTCGATTGAACCTTTGATAAAATTGCTATGCTTAGTGTGTGACTCGTTGGTTTTTAGGGTTAGAATTCAATAAATCATCCACATAATAGCAACTTAATAACTCTAGAACTAATAACCAATTCATCACTTCATATTATCTCGATGTAAAGCTAAAGAATCAGTCAAGATGTTATAAATAAAAATTGGTCATATCTTTGTAGCAACTGAATCTTTTTGCCAAAAAAAGACTTCTTAAGTTGTAAAGCAAAATAGAGAAGGTTCCCTGCTGCTGGGATTATATAGCCTATACTGCACACCAAGTTGGCTTTGGACCGAGTCTGTGGGGATTTCTATGGGTGAAAACATCAGAACTGGTGATTTGTGGAAACTTTGAAAACATTGTCTTGATGAGACAACTAAGTCTTTTGCAGCTTATTTCTGTAGATTCTTTGCGGTATGCTTCTGCTGTTTCTATCCTGTTGGCCGTGCTTTTTGTGATACTATGCTCAGGGATGGCTATACGAGCAATGTTATTAGGTAAAACAGAGAAATCAAGACTTCTGCCGGACTTTGCCCATGGGATGTCCTTCTTTGAACTCTTCACCACTATTCCCGTCATTGCAACAGCCTTTGGATGCCATGTAAATGGTAAGAAACACTTTTAGAAGAAAAATATGTTTGTTGATTTGATTTTGCTAAGTTAGGCAGCTAATGCATCTCTGCTGTGCATAGATCTATAAGCTGTAGTATGTTTAGATGGGAGAGTTCATGTGGTTGCCACACTAATTTTATTGACTATAGCAAAATCTGTTGACATTTGTTATGGGGCCGATGAGTTAGCAATAGCATCGCTAGCCCTTTAAAACTAGTGCAAGTGTTACTTGTTGTGTGGAACTGCCTTCCATAAACACAATTAAAAAGGCTGAAATTTTTAGTCTTCCCCATCATCGGAAGCTGCAATTTATTACCGCCTTTCCCTATTTTTTTGGGGTTCATTTTTTATGCTTGTTGGAAAGAGTTCAGGGCAGAAGCTATCTGTTGTGTTACAACATATTGTCTCTTGCAGTTAAGATTGATCTGTTTATTCATCCTTTCCGTGTACAGTTCATCCAATCAGAGCGGAGCTGGGTAGACCTTCTCAGATGAGCTCGGCAGTCAGGATTTCGTTGGTGCTATGTGTCGCCATTTATTTTGCAGTTGGCTTTTTCGGATATCTGCTATTTGGAGACGCAATAATGGCGGATATGCTTGTCAACTTTGATACTGTGTCAGAGTCGTTCATGGGTGTAGTGCTAAATGATGTGGTTCGGCTAAGTTATGCAATTCATCTCATGTTGGTTTTCCCCGTGATGAATTTTTCCTTGAGGGCCAATGTAGATGAATTGTTCTTTTCGAAGAGGCCATTATTGGCAACAGACAACACCAGATTTTTATCCCTGACTTGCATAATACTTCTGTTGTCATACATGGCTGCGGTAGCAATCCCAAATATTTGGTACTTCTTTCAGTTTATGGGGACAACCACCGTTGTCTTCATCATGTTTATATTTCCCAGCTCAATTATCCTAAGGTATGAAGTTCTCTGATCTAGTCTACCATTCGAAGTGTACAGTACAGTGTAAATATATTGCTAACCTGGAACGATCCTTGCAGGGATGTTCATTGCATATCGACATTTCGAGATAAGATTTTGGCAGTACTTGTGATAATACTGGCGATAGGGACTAGTTTGATTGCCATTGCCTCCAATGTATACAATTACGTCGGAGGGAAGTGACAATTCTTGTATCCAAATCAAAGTGATGGTTGCTTCTAGCGCAGTGAAATGAGAAAAACGGTGAATCCGGAAGTTCTTACCCTCTTCCATTTGGGTTATACTTAGAAGAGTGGCAAACTGCCAAAATGACCCAAGACTCTCGTTTCTCTTCTACCGTTCTGAGCTTCCCTGTCAATTTCATCCTTTTGTTTTATTATATCGCAATAGAACGGAAAAATGAAAATCAGAATTGAGTGAATGTGGTTGGTGCCTCTTTACGTCTTTAAGAGTCTTTCTTACAATGCTGAAGTTTGAAAAGAACAGCCTAGAACCAGAAAGACAACGCAGTGATCCTGCAGTAACTTGGTATCAAAGCCTAATAATTATAACCCACCCTTTTTTTTGAGCTTTTGTTTTGAATTTTGCCGGACATCTGTCCATGCCGTAATGGTGTGTGCTGGTTCTGGGGCTTCTGGATGAGTCGATGTTGAAATTCTACTCATCACGATTATCCATTTCTTAGATACTTAGAACGGGGTAACGCCAAAGAGACATAGAGTTTAAATCGCAGACTTGAGGTGCAACCTTAACTCATGCAAGGATTCGTAACAACGGGAACAGACCATTAGGCTAGCTAGATGCTACCTTAGAAGTGTCGAAACAAATGGTTTTATGGATCACTTGTCTTAGTATGGTTAGACTCGAGACCATCAACGGGGTGTCCGCTAATTCAATTAAGATGCAAGTACAATCAAACACAAGTCAGATGTTGACAATTTGTGATTGAAGGCAAAATATGTATCTCCTCCGTCCTGAAATTATTGCGCAGTTTGAATCTTCATTTTTAGTAATATAAATTGAAATAAAAATAAAAATTCAAATTGAATAGTAATATTTTGGAATAGCGGGAGTACTCCTAAAACCTGTTGTGCTATGCCTAATTGTATCATCAATTTGGGAGAAGCCATGCGACCAAAAATCTCATACTGGTCGATGAGTTAGAAGTTGAGATATGTGCATATCTACCTCACTGAAGTGAACAGCTTCCGTTCGTCATCAAAATCTGCTCCGCTGTTCATGACAACTCGGCCAAACCCTCTTATTGCCCTCCGATTTGATGGCAGCATTAATTTACCTTTTCTCCGTCGAGACTCCTCGTCCATCCATACAATTTGTCCATCAACCAAAAAGGAAAAAAAGAAAGGAAAAGAAAAAGGACAGGATCCAAATCCAACAATAATAATGAAGCGCCAGAAAAGCAAATCAAGAAGAAGACTCCAATAATTTGATTTCAAGTTTTTTCAACAAAAAAAAAAAGAAGAAAAAGAAGAAGAGAGAAGGATGCTAACATCACCCACATTCACGACCCCATACATCAATACCAATTTAACACAACTCTGCTTCCACATTCATGTATTTATTCAATTATTACTCCATCACGTCACGTTTCATTACTCCATTCCAACTCAGCAATACTTATAAAAACCCCAACCAAAACTAAACTCCAGGAGTTTCACTTTCACCATTCAAAATCCCATCTTCTACCCTTGTTGAATCCATCCCCTGAAAGATAAAAAAATCTCTCCTTCAGCTGGCATTTCGGTCAAATCACACAATCTGGCCTGATAATAATAATTATAATAATTCAAGCTTAAGAACGAGCAGCCAAGTTCGACCAGAGAAATATATCTCACCACAAGAAAAGCAGCCGGCTTCCCAATCCGGCTTCTCCGGAATTATGGCTCCGGTGGTGAAGAATGACGCCGGAGCACGCCTTCCTCTGCTGGCGTCTGATCTGGACTCTCAGCAGCCGGAGAACAGTCCTTCCATTCCGGGGGCCGTGTTTAATGTTACAACCAGCATCATTGGCGCCGGGATTATGTCTATTCCGGCGACTCTCAAAGTATTAGGTGTCGTCCCTGCTTTTGTGATGATAGCTTTGGTTGCTCTATTGGTTGATGTTTCAGTTGAGTTCCTGTTAAGATTCACGTACAACGGGGAATCTCGAACTTACGCCGGCGTTATGAGAGAGTCTTTTGGCCCGGTTGGTGGCGTGGTGGTTCAGATTTCCATCATGATCACTAATCTCGGCTGCCTGATCATTTATTTAATTATCATCGGTAAGTCCTGCAAACCCAGAACTTCCAATGAGACAGAGTCCGGCATAGAATCATTTTTTTTTGTTTTGTTTTGGGATTCATGTGAAATAATGACCGGCCATGTTATTAGTGCTGATTACGATTAATTATCAGAGTTTAGATGTGGCCGGTTGTCGGGATTCCTTTTGACTTTAAAATTTATAAACCAGTATCTTGGACAACTGCATGTGATCGTGATTAAGTTAATCTAACATCATAATCTTATGTAACTGATAGATTATTCTACACGTTTTCGCTAGAAAGTGTGTGATTGGTTACAGTAACACAAGAATTGAGAATTGAATTGCTAGTTTACACCACTGGTACTCTGTTTATCAGGAGATGTTCTATCTGGAAAAGGGCCAGAGCATTTGGGAGTTCTTCAAGAATGGTTTGGAGTCCACTGGTGGAACACGCGTTCTGTTGCCCTCCTCTTCATTCTTGTCTTTGTTATGCTCCCGTTAGTCTTGTATCGCAGAGTCGGTATGTAAAATGTACCTTTTTTTTTCCCCCTGTTCTGTTCAGCTTTTCGACATGAAAATCGTATCATGTTTGATTGTGTAGATGTGTGACTAAAATCATTGGTTAAATTTGTATGGACTTGCAGATTCTTTGTGGCTTAGTTCATTAGTGTCAGTACTTCTAGCAGTTGCATTTGTTGCAATATGCTCTGTAATGGCAATATTAGCACTTGCACGCGGGGAAACTAGGAGCATTAGCATTGTACCAGAGCTCAAAGATGGAACTTCCTTCTTCAACCTCTTTACTGCCGTTCCAGTTATTGTTACCGCCTTCACTTTTCACTTTAATGGTACGAACTAACATGCTGACATTGCGCTTTGAAATCTGCTGATCAATCCATTTCAAGCTTATATTTCCATATTCTAACTTGTGGTGGTGATTGATGGATTTTGTAGTTCATCCTATTGGGGTTGAGCTTGGGAAACCTGCTGCTATGATCTCGGCAGTCAGAATCTCCTTAGTACTCTGCGGCGCCATCTACTTCACCATTGGAATTTTTGGTTATCTTCTGTTTGGAGATTCAGTCATGGATGATATCCTGGTGAATTTTGATAAAAGCACCGGTTCAGCGGTCAGTTCATTACTGAATGACATAGTTCGTCTGAGCTATGCGTTTCATCTGATGCTGGTTTTTCCACTTCTCAATTTCTCATTGAGAGCCAACATTGATGAGCTCTTGTTCCCTAAGAAAGCTTTACTTGCAACAGACACCAAGAGGTTTATTGCCCTGTCTTTAGTCTTGCTGGCTTTCTCCTACTTAGCAGCAATAGCCATCCCCAGCATCTGGTACTTCTTTCAGTTCATGGGGTCAACTTCTGCTGTCTGCCTTGCTTTCATTTTCCCAGGCATAATTGTTTTACGGTAATGAGAATCGACCCTGCACCCATTGAAGCAGAAGCAAATTTTCTATATCCTGTAAATGATGAATCAGTTTGTTTGGTCTGGTTTCTCGATTTATGGTTTGACACTACATTTACACGTTTTCATCATTTTGCAGAGATATTCATGGTATATCAACAAGAAGGGACAAAGTGATGGCAGCAATTATGGTGATTCTAGCTGTTATTACAAGCATCATCGCAATCTTCATAAATGTATACAAGTTAGTTGGAAACACATCATAGTCTTTTGTTTCAGTTTTGTTGTATATAGAAGTTGTACGATCTCTCTTTTTTTTGTATTTCGAGAGGCTTGCTGTTTGTATCTTTAGGATTATGGGTTCCACTGAGGTGGTTTGTTGTTCACGAAATCATGTAGTTGAGCAGTGCTAACTGCCAAAGATTTGTCTTTAGACATATATAATATACTGCAGTTTTCACCATAAGAAGATTCTGGAGTTAGAATCTGAAGAATAACACAGGATATCCTTCACAAGTAAGCCTAGTTGCTTAAATTAAAGGGAAAGCCAACTAACTCTAGGATGATTAAACAAGTTCACGTAATCATTCTTACCATTTCACACGTACAAGTTGTGGGCTCCTTTTAATGTGCTTGAGCAAGTCTTCAAGATAGGCAAGGAGATCTAACCAGAAGCATCAATACGTGTTGGCATCATGTAGATGATTCCACCGGCAACATTGCAACCGAGTGGTACTACAAAGGTACCAAAGCGGTGGAAGCAGAGGAAACTGAATTCGTTGCCCCTTTGTTTATAAGCAGGCACGATATATCATTGTGTCCCATCATTTTCGAAATGTACAAAGGAGTTGCGCCTTTCTTGCTCATGGCATTCACATTTGCCCCTCGAATTATCAGAACCTCAACTGTTTCAAGACAGCCACTTTCAACAGCCATATGTAAAGGGGTGTGCCCTTCAGCATCCTGGCACTCCAGGGCAGCCCCAAATTCGACGAGTTTCAGAACTGCATCTTTAAACCCTTTGATAGCAGCCATGTGAAGTGCTGTCAAACCATGCTGATCACAGAAGTCGACAAATGCGCCTCTCTGCAGCAACAACTCAAGAAGCTTCAACTCTCCACGCCGTGCTGCACGAAGTACTGCCTCACCTCGCCCGAGTAATTTGACTACCTCATCCTGCCGAAAAAATGAGGCAAATGCATCATTTGTCAGGGAACATCAGCGAATCATGCATTCAAGTTTCATGCACCATAAGCAAATCATACAAATATTACAACTTCCACACGCAAATTATCCAAATTATATCACATTTATCTTTCCCCATTCTAAAGACGCAAGAATCTAAGGCAAACAGGTTCATTGTATAGCAACAGATACAACCAATTCTTCTCTCATTTCGAATTGCATCTTTTGCATAGCATCATTTTAAATTACATTAGGACTTGGGAGGCAAACAACTTACATGTCCCTTATCTCGGGCAACATCAATAGCCGAACGGCCATGGTGTTTTTCAGCTATGTTGGGGTCGGCATTCATCTTAATTAGCAACTCCACCATCGGACGGTCCCCATTTGCAGCGGCCCTAAATAAAGCTGTCCGACCGTCTTTACTCCGCGCGTCCACATGGACGCCTGCACCGACCAAAATCTTAGCACACTCCAAATGTCCTTTACTCGCCGCCAAATGCAACGGCGTCTGTCCCTCCTTATCTCTACTATCCAAAGACCCGTATTCCCTCGTCCTCACTATTCTCTCAACCTCGTCCGTCCGATCAAACGCCACCGCCGCGTGTAATTCGGCCCAACCCTTTGCAGCCAGGCTTACGTCGTGAAATAAACCATCGTCAGTGCGTTTGCGGGCAACGTTCAATCCAGCCTCCACAAGCAAATCAACCATACTGCCATTATCTTGGTTAATCCTTTCAGACTTCCTCGCCGCTTCGTGCAGCGAGTCAGCATCCTGGACCGAGAGGTCCGAAACCAATGATTTTTGACGCTTGATTAGGCTTCTAACGGCGTGAATGTCGCCAAGGCCCACTGCATGGTGGAGCAGGAAGGGTCCCACAAATGCAACCTTGAGTTTAATGTCACGTGTGGGAATGTGGGGATTAGAATTGAACCAGGAGTTGATGAATTCTGGATGATGGGTTGGGTTGAGGTCGGATGCAATGGCGGTTTTGATGAGGAAACGGTCTGAAGGAGAGCGTGGATAAGTGGGAGGAAGTTCAGATTGTGGCTTCAGGATGACTTGGACGGTGGTGGTGGATAACGGCGGAATAAGGCCGGCGGGCGGGTTGACGAGGAATTTATGGGGAGACGAAGTTAAGAACTTGAAGGCTACTGGGTCAGAGGAAACCAGAGAGCTTACTGCTATATTGGCCCGGCATTTCCGACCCAGAAAGAATTCTATGGCAATTTCTTGATCGGATACCTTTGCCAGTTTCTCCATGATAACAAATATATCATGCCAATCTCTTCTTGATCTGTATTGGAAGGGTGGATGGTACAGAATATAGTCGTAAGAGTATTGCCAGCTCCCAGTTACAAAAGTTTAGATTTCATCATCAGTTCAAGCAGCACCAGCGGCGAAACGGATTGTAATTTCGAAATAAGAAGCAAAGATAAATGGTACTCCAGCAATTATGGTGAAAAATTTATTCCTCAACTTCAACATAAGATAACAAAAACTGATGAAGACAGTATGAATAAGGCCAAATCTGTCCAGGACCAGCTTTGCTGTCGCCTTGACATAAGCACATACTTAGCAATGTGCCTGCTGGATTCTAGGTCAATAATGGCCAAGAAGGCAGCCATGGAAAATGAAAGGGTAGTTATCAGTCCATAAGGAAACTTCCCCTCTAAAGAATGAAAAATGAGAAAGCGGATTCACGAGGCAAATCTTATAACAATTATACTACAAAGCTCTAATGTATAACAGTGGGGGCAGTATTACCCCCTGACCCTTAGCCCCAACGTCTTCCTTCACTGATAATGACATTAGAATCCGACTCATGCTTCGAATCCATGAAAAGAGCCATTTCTAGGTTTATCTTTGGTTGTGCAATTCAAGAAAGCAGTATAAAATGCAGAAGGCTCCAAACAACCATCGACTCCAATTCCTACTTAAATCTTGACAAATGAACGCCCTTATTACATATCTTGGTATCTTTGCAACAAACTTAACTTGAACTTTTCAACCTCCGCGTCATCAGAAGAATCAGGAAGGGACCGTATGACTGAAAGTGCTCCAGCTTTTAGCAATGACAAAGCAGCTTCATCTGTATTAGAGAAAGCAAATTGCCATTGTGAATTTGTGATACCAGGTCCATATAGAAGAAGGGATGGCCATTGATACTTAAAGAATAAGAACACATATCAAAGGAAAAACTTCTCTGCAATTTTTCCTCAATCAACATGTTCATGTGAAAATAGAACCCAATGAGATTGTTCTCAGGTTGAAAGTTGTAGAGCTATGACATTGTCGACCAGCTGATTCTGGAGACACATACTTACGAAGCAGCAGGTTTAATTTTAGTCAAGCAAAGCAAAAGACCGTCAAAACTAAATTTACTAGGTTCCAACAAAAATACGCATTTAGATTGTCTTTCAAGTAAAAAAAACATCAATTTGGTTAATTATGGAAAAGTCCACACCAGATTTTCAAAACGGTGTTCCACACGCTCAGATTAAAGAGTAACCAAACATATGCATCCAGACTGCCTAACCTGATTTTGAAATGGCATCAAGTGCCCTCAGAGCTTCTTTCCGTGTAGGGTCATCTTTAGCAGTTTCCAACATGTTAAGAAGCTCTTTAGCCCCACCGATCTCAACTATCTTCATCCTTTTATAATCTAAAAATGAAAATAAGACAATTATGAGTATTTCTGTCGCAAGTCACTAGGCTCAAGGAGCCAAAAACCAAAACAAAAAAACAGTTAATCGTTATTCCAAGCTAACAGGCACAAGAAGCATGCAGGCGTTATGAACATGTCGTCTAACAATTTATTGTCGTATTACCATCTACTGCAAAGCGAGCTAATCTCGAAGCACCCATTCTCTTGAACAGGGGATCCTTGACATGTAAAAGGGATACAGATTGCTGCATTAGATTTTCGCCTGCAGAAATTTTCAAAAATAGAGATTACCACCTTAAAGCTTAGGTAAGCAAAAGTGCAATCACCATGCATATGTACATTATACATATACATACCCATATATGGGAAGAACTGATAGGCCACGATTGTTGCTGTCCCAGCAAACAGTAGTTTCAAAAACCATCCTATTTTCCTTTCTGCTTCCTCCTCAAGTGCTTTTTCATCTACTACACTCCATCGAAAAGGAAGATAAGGGAGCGTAGAATAAGAAAAGAGTATGAGATCTTCAGATTAAACTCCATCAGAATGTCAAACACATTACGTCGTGTCGTCTCCTTACCACTAGTTAGTAATTATTGCACAATTAGTTTATAAGAATGAAGATAAAAAGTGACATTCAAGCAACGAGATTAGTTTATAGACAGCATTCCAAGCTCTACTTGTCAAATATATCAGCCTTCTTACAGGAAATTCTTAATCTCAACCGAAAACTACCAACAAACTCTCAGCAAGAAATTCGGCAATAATGAATGGCTACTAAGAAAGAAACCTCCGATTAGTAATACGCAATCCGCAGTCGCAAAGAATTACTCACTCTGTCCCAAAATTATTGTCCTGCTTGAGATATCACTTTCAGTACAATTTGAACTAGAAATGAAAACTACAATAATTATGGGACGGAAGGAGTATAAAAAGAAAAAGAAACAAAAACAAAAACAAATAAGAACAGGTTGCAATACAATAGGGTATTCCAAAGTAAACAGAGGCATTGCCCAGAGATAAGAAGAAGTACCTTTCCCCCGAGAAGATGAACAGAAATGGCGAGATTGCGTATTGATGGGATATCTTCTTCTTGTTGTAGACAAGTACTGTGCATTTCGTATGCGTAACAAACTCATGAGCTGGGTGGAACGAAAATAGCAAGAAGCGTAGAGCAGGAAGATTGAAGGAAAAAGGGGACTTACCGAAGCGAGTCTCGTTGCTAAAATTCGCATGATCGTTCTTGTTTTTGATGTCCTAAACAGACTCCCCAAGTCTCCAGTACCAAAATGCCTACTGAAAAGCTTATCTCGGTTGAAGCTATCTTTGCTCAGCGGATTGATCGTCCCGCCGGTTAACAGCAATCACCAGAAGGAAGAAGCAAATGTTGCATGTAAGGTGTTTGATAAAAAAATTTGCTAAAAGAGTACCCCCAATAAACCTTCCCCAATGTTTTACTTTTTCTGTTTTAGGTGACTAGAACCTTTCCCATTCCACATCACCGTAAAGCATACTGAATTATAACCTCCGAAACTGTTTTTTTTTATTTTTTTTTTTAAACATCAAAACATTACCTCGCGGTATATGTGTACATCATTCGCGGAAACATCGAACGGATATATGGATGGGTTGAGGACTAGGGGATTAGCTAGTAGCTAGCATTTCTAATTTTCAACTCCAAGATCAAAGAAAGACTCCTACTTGAAAAAAGCTAGTAAAAAATATGGGAAGAAGCTGGTTTAAGTAATTGAGAACGATGTGGTTTAAGTAATGACAAGTAACATCAGAAATATGACAAAATTGACCCAGAAGGAATTATATTAGTCTGTTCCTCGGGCGGTCATTAAAACATTACTACATTACAGCTTCACTTGTGATCCTTAAACAACTAAAACAAGCAGTATTGCACTAGTGAAAAGAAAAAACGGAAGGCACATTCGATATCTCTCCATAGCCTCTGCTGGTCCGTACACAACTCTTAATTTATATCATCAAATGCTTTTCCCAGCTGCTTAGTGTACAACTTCGATTCAAGTCGCCTGAAGCTGTCATTATTGGCCACCCCTATTTCCTGCACAGGACATCCACATTCGATTACATTAGCAAACAAAAGGTTTTATTTACACACAAAAAGCAATCGGCTCCCATAGCTCGACAAACCTGCCAGTCTTCTTAGATGGGATAACAAGTCCTCTTTTCTCAAGGCTCTTGAACCGATCTCGTGCAAGAGTAGCACACGCCTAATCATCAGACAGGTGGACAAACGCAAAAATAACAGTCAATTACTTGAGAGCACGTACGAATCCTCCTATTAAACAAAAACTATACAAAAGCCTGTTTACAAAGCAAAGCAGAGCCCATATCAGAACCTTGAGCTTTCGGAGGGAACCATTGATTTCTTCAGACAACAAAACTTGAACGGGTGCAGGCTCAAATCTGCAGAGAGAGAGAGTCAAACATACGTTAATCCTGAGCTATAGCTCAAATCACATTGACTTTTACATTACCATCGTGATAACATATACATAGGCTTGTCCCCAAGGTCTAAGTTAGGTTGGAAGAAGAAAGAACGTGTTTAATTCTTTACAAGTCTGAAAGTTTTCTTTCACAACCAAACCAAACCAAACCAGAAAAGTTTAAAAGAAGACAGACAAAAAAGGAAAAGTGAAAACAAAATTCTTTTCTAACAATAACATACTTGTACTTTCCCATGCGTGGTGGACGAGCTTTTAGCATTTCTTGTTTAGCAACAACACGACGAAGATGCTTCTTATCCTTCTCTGCATCTTCTTCCTCTATCTCTGCCAAAATATCTGGTATACTGCACCATGAAACAGCACCATTAACTCATGGCAACAATAAATTCCTAAGGGGTAATAGCTAAGCCCGTCTTACACAGGATAGAGAATAACATCAGAAACAATCGTTTCTCAGAAAAATATTAGCAAAACACATGAACCTGCCTGTCAATTTCAGAAGAGAGTTTCTTCACTTGTTTGGCTTCTTCTTCTGCTCTTAACCGTTCTTTGCGCCTCGCTCTCCGATTCAGTTCAACTCTTGTCACCCTTTTAGTTTTAATGACCCTACAATAGAATTTTAATGAGATAAAAGTTGGCTGAAAGCATAGATTGACGAAAAGTAGTTCAGTAAAAACATAATATCCCAGGAACAACTTAAACAGATTTCATACCACTTAAAACCATATTCCAGAACTGATGTTGAATGACAGCAACGAAGGACAAGAAGCTTTTATTTCATAACAATGACACAGAAAAACTTCAATTTTTTAAAGTTAAATTTTTCTCAAGTGGTCTTTCGGGTTACATGCTACTTTCCCTGGTTGGGAACTCATTAAACCAGAAAACACAAGGTACCATTTCGCAATTTTCTGTATTGAGATTCAAATGATAATATATTTTCAGAAAAGTTGATGAATTAGGAGGCATTATGACACGGTCCTTTGAAATCTAAAAATTCCGCAAGACAGATTGGCCAATATGCTTGAATGAGAAATTATGACACGGTCCTTTAAAATCTTCAAGGGAGCCAAATAAGTCAGACCTTTGATTAATGTCCTCATCACCATCCTTTGCTACACCCTCATCTTGATCTTCTTCATCGCTTCCAGCATCTGCCTCAAGGAAAAGCATCTGCATGTAGATTGTATGTTAGAAACCTACACAAGATAAATTTAAAATAGTGCTACACATGATTATCAGAACACTGTGAAGCAATAAGACAACTAGCATGCCAAAAATGATCATCAGAACAATGTGAAGCAATAAGACAACTAGAATACGGATAATACTCACGTCCTCTTCATCAACAGCTTCTCCAGGAACAGTTAGGGGAACTGGTGCAGGTCCTAGCTCATTTCGGTAAACTTTCTTCATTTCATCCGCAACAGCACGAGCTAATGAATCCTGGTTCAGAAAAAAGCTTGCATTAGATTCAGTTTTTGCAAAAACAAAATTAATGTTTATGCAATATAAACAGTCAGATATCAAAAGTAACCTGGTGATATTCAAAGTCTGGATTAAATGAGCATCCAGCGGGATCAACTTCGACTGCAGGTATAATGGAAGGCTTGGGCTTCTGCAATAGAAATTGCAATAAGTTACACTACTGCTGAAATCAATAACAAAGTACTGGTACGAATGGGAAGTAAGGTCATAAAATGAACTATAGTCAATGGACTATATAGTCTCAGTCCCAACAACACCATAAGTACCCAAGTTCTCACAAGAGTGAGTATAACAATACATGTAAAATGCATCTAAAGTGAGAGTACCTTTTTAATTTTGACATTGGTTTCACCTGTAAGATTGCATGAACATCAGTAAATCCGAGACATCAATCAATAACAAACATAGACTAAAACAAATATAGAAAATTTGCATATAGAAATCAAGACCTTTATCATCCCAAATGTCCACTAAGCCTCCATTGTCCTGTGAGAATTCAAACAACACGAGTTATGAGCATTTACCCATAATGTTGCCTTCAATCACAGAGACACACATGTAAAACAAATGCATACCTTTTGAGAATCCTGATCCTCAACTTTGGGAAATTTAACTTGTTTTTTTTGTTTCTTGGATTCTCTCTGTTTATTAGTGGGTATGGTTTGAACGAAGGGATTCCGTTTCAGCAAACTATCAGAATGAAGCGTTTTTTCCCGGTGCTTTTCAATCTTTCTCTTGACAGAAAGGTCTAAAACCACACGCCCAAACCAGCAATTAGCACAGCACACAGAGGCAAAAATAAATCGATAATAGCCTAAACAATTTGACACAGCTAACAATTCATTATTCACAGAAAACCTTAGCAACACGTGTAATAGCCAAAACAAATACTATCAAATTCACCCCAAATTAACAAGGAAAAAAAGTATAAACGCCTACCTCTGGACTTGTCGACGAAAAAAAGGGAGTCGCTGGGAACGTCGGCGAGTGAGCCGCCGGAGAGAGCGTCTTTAGTGGATTTCTCATAGAAATCGTCTATATCCTCTGTGCTTATGTTAGCCCTCCACTCCTTCTTACCTTTCCTCGAACTCTTTGATCTTTTCCCCATTTATCAACTTCTGTATTTAATCGCTTCTCTCTTTTCCAATTCTCCGTAAATCTTTTCTTGATGACCTTTTTTTCCTTCCAAGCTTTTCTCAGTTGACGATGAAGCTCCAATTCATCTGTAACTCTGTATAGGGTTGCAAAATGAGTAAAACTGGGCTCGCCGGTATAGCCTACGACTATTCGACCCGCTTAACGAAATTGAACATTCTGTTAGAGTCCATTTTACTTATGGTCCAACCCAATAAGAAACGATCTCATATTTGGGCCATTCTGGGCTAATCTATTATGTTGCTTCATTTAGGGGGCCACTTTTGCTTCAATTACGTTTTTCATGATTTTTTATTTTTATTTTTTTTATTCAGCATTTCAGGACAATTTTTTTGGTTCTTTTTTTTTTGTGTTAGAATTTTATCATAAAAATTAACAAAATAAATAAACAGAGGTAAATAAATAAATGATTTTTTGATTCGTCATATTGCACGTGAACGTACCATCACCACCTTCCAGCCTCACGTGAGCTATGATCCCATTAGTTAATTATTAATGATTTATTGTCCCCTCTAATACAAATTGCAAAGAAGATGAAAGATGTACTACAAGATTCTCCCAAGGGCCAAGAGAATCTTGCAATACGAGGAACAAGTACTACTTTTTTACTTTAAATAAATACTAAGGAAGGAACCAAGCACTTCTTCAGTCGAAAGAATAATTTAAATGGGGCATCAATTTTTTAAAGTTTTTTATTAAAAAAAAATGGCTGGAAAAAAAGAAAAGAGGGGAAGAGGAAGCAAAAAACAAACAAAGGGTTCACGGAGGGGTAGCAAAACTAACAACAAAAACAAATTGAGTAGCTCGTGATCTCCAGTCTTGGACAAACTATAAAAATTCCCTGAAAACAGCAAGACTGGGGATGCTTTGTTCTGGATGTCACGAGAAGCATTTTTATTCCTCAATTTTGAATTTGTGAATTACTAAATTTTTATATATGTAATCCGCGTATGATCCATGATCGCCATCTCCTGTGGGTAGCTCAGTTTTTGTTTGATTTTCTGGGATGTTTCCTCTGGATTATTATTTACTGCAAAAAATGCAATAATTAATGTATAGTACAGTTAATCATAATGCAAGCTGCCAAATTTCTGAACCTTACAAGATTATGTGAAGAAACGGTATACAGTTTGAACTCTTGCATGGACATATAGGGATTATTAAAATATTTGTTAGTAGGCTTTAATCTTCACTCAAAAGAGACTATTCGGTTCGAGTCTGAATTAGTTAGAGTGACGATCGTTCAAATAAAAAACAATATCCATAAATTGGGAGGGGAACGTGCTAAGAAGATTTTTGCAGTATAGATCGATGAATATGGTAGTTTCATCAGTTAAAATCAGAGTAAAAAATGTAAAACCCTATTGGAAGGTTGGGGCTAGGGCTGAAAGGGTTTTGCTTCTGTCAAAATGTACGTGCGTGGGAGTAGAATAGTAGTACTGCTTTCTGAAATGCAACTTGTTTTTAGCATTCAGGTCAGATCATGAACAAAATGTCCCATCCCACCGCGCTATTGGTACGCAGCTTGCTCCGTGAACGTCATTGGTCGTCTCTGGCTTTCTATACAAACCAACAATTTCCACCCAAATTAATTTCTCTTTTTTTTTTTCCTTTTCCATTTTTATATGAATACATACGCATTTTACACTCATTATTTACGTATGCATGCGTAATAAAGTGTTTTGAAAAATGTAAACACAATAAGGGCTGCGTGGACAGATTTGTTCAATTGTATTCCACCCCTCCCATATACGGCTAGCTATTCGGGTATACGCCATCATAAATAAAAGTAATGTATTTTTGGCCCCAAACAATTCCTAAAACGTGTTGCATGCATTTGCAGTTTTGCACTGGGTATATGATATCAATGGACTACGGAGGGGTATTTTAAATAAGTTTGCCGCTGCATGTTATCTGTACATGCATAAAAAAGAGGCTACAAAAAGCAAAAAGAAAAAGAAAGAAAATGGGGGGAAATTAATAAAAATAAAAAGGAGGGGAAGCTAGGGACAAGGAAGAATCAGGGTATATGTATGGAGAGGATTGTTTGGTTGTAATGATTAATGTGCTACATGTGAATAGGTGGGTACGTTGATTTGTCCTCCAGCAATGGAGACAGCATTTTGTTGGAAGCATAATCGCCTAAATACAAAGACCTACTGATCTTCTTCCTTATTTATAATTTTGATTTGCTCTTTCGTTCCTCTACATTTCATAATCTGATCAAAATCTCGTGATATCTTTTGCTGGCTGGAAAGGGAGGAAAAAAAAAAAAGAAAGATTACATATTATATAATTCATGATATCTCTGCAACAGAGAGAGCGGCCATTTTGAATTCAAATTTTGTACTTTGTACCTGCGTGTTCTGTATATATTGTTTATAAAAGATATGTATTACGTACTTTGGATCCAAATTTATCACCGTGATCACTAATTGAGGGCCCTTTCCATTAAGAATTGATTAAACTAGGATTCTTATCATGGTTTTAGACAGATATGCATACTTTGGAAAAGCAAGTAAGTTGGAAAGGGACTAGCAGAAGCAACCAATAAGATCAGTCTCTGTATCTCATTTTCCAGTATATTTTATTTATTATTTTATTTTAGGGGCTATATGTAACATGATAAAAGAAAAAATGAAAATGAAGTGGGAGATGAGCATTGCCAGTCAATATTGAAAAAAATACATTTTTCTTCTTAGAGATATTTGGTTATTTAGGTGGAATTAGGGTGAAAGAATATATGTGATTAATATGAAATGAAGGAATAAACAAGTGATGAGGGTGGAAGGGCACGTGTGGAAAGAGAAAACTAGGGTAGGGAGAGAAGACAAGGGTGACGGCTGTTTTGAGAAAGAGAGAAAAGGGTACTCCAAATTTCCCGTGAGGAGGGTTTGGAGTCATCCAAAAACATATCACCAATTTTAACATCCAATCCTATTTTGGTGATGCTTTCCTCTTCCATGATTACCTGCTGTTCATCACTTGATCACGTACGTATACGCTCTCCTTTGATTGATCTATATATATTGTACCCCTATGAAATCAATAGTTATTTTTAGACGTGTATTTTCTTTGCTTTTCTCTTTCTTTTGGGGGTTGTTCTTACTTCTAACTTCTAAGAGATATGACATGCAATACACATATATCAATGTTATGAACATAATGTTAGGAATAAGCCCAATGAATTGTGTTATCACTAGGAACCAATAAGTTGAGACAGTTGATTGTTATTACTTTACTGAATTAGTACCAATGGAACTCTCGAGTGGGAATTTATTCAGGTAAACATTTTTTTGATGACTTGAACTCGTAATAATTCAAATCACCGTATACATACTCGAAATACCCTTCATTGTAACCATATAGCCTATATATAGCGCTGTCATCCGATCCTATAAGTTACCATCTACATCATCATTGTGGAGTAAATACCTAGTTAAGTTTTATGTTTAGGACGGAATATGGCCACTTGAATAAAAAGGGTTCATCTTCACATAACTGTGGCAATAACTTTGCATTGCAAGTAAGGGAGTTAGCGAATATTTTCTTACCCCAAAATAGTACTGTTCCCTTGATTTTACAACGTTCAACTTACATGGGTTTTGTGGGATATAAATATAATTGAAAAGAAGCCCCATTATTAAATTGTAGAGTGCCGTTTCAAGGTAAGAAATTACAAAGAAAATTATTCTGAACATCATTTCAAATTATTTAATCTTACGATTTGTAAAAAAAAAAAAAAAAAGAAAAGAAAGAAAAGCACGTCCTATGAGACATCACAATTAATTAAATTATGTCTTTAAGGAAAAAATTAACGATTATCAATATTATTTTTTAAAAAAAAATCATCGCGAAAATGTAACCATTCTTGCAGACTGGCCATTATTGATCAACAACATTATAGATTGCTCAAAAATTAGAGAGACGCTGGATTTTAAAAAATAAAATAAAATAAATTCCTGTTGATGAAGGGCAATAATGTCATTCCGGGTACAATAATAATTAAGGGGTGTAGTACTATTGGTAGCAAATAGTTAACACTATTTGATATTTTAGGAAAGAAAATGAGGCAGTCATGTCATATTGTGTCATGTGGAGGAAGCAAACAAAGAGATGTCATTGATATTCGAGAGGGGGCATTGTCTTTTTAAGGAGCCACCTTCAGGACTCAACTTCAGAGTTCAGATGAGAAGAAGACTACTTTCTTTCTTCATATTCATTCATATAAACGTTGCCAAAGAAGAAAGCTGAAAATCATCGGTCGATCGGAAAAAGCTATATATATATATATATACAAGAAGCTGAATAGCTGATACGCGCCCCTCAAGGTAGAAATGGATTCTAAAGAACCCACGAATCCCAATCTGCATGAGAAGCCCCAACTTCTTCCTTCTGATACTACTAACTCTCATGCAGTAATTAAATTTTTTCCCCTTCTTGAGCTTATTTCAATGATTTTTTTTTTCTGCTTTCTTATATAGTTATTATTAATTATTCACCGCGATGATCTTATAACTTTGTTTATTTAAGGTCTGAGATGATGATCTCTATTGAGATTCCATCTAGCCTAAAGAAGTTATAATTCGTCTATTGTTGATCCATTTGTTATTCGATTAGCTTGTTTGCTTCGTGTATATATATATATATATATATATATATATATATATATATATCAGGCCTCCTTAATTGTTTAGTTATTGATGGAGTTTTGTTCGAATTGATTTTCATTTGTTTTCTTGTTGATGATGGATTTGGCAGATGACCAAAACCTCCATAATAGTGGATGCATCAAACTACATCAGAGAGCTTAAACAGAAGGTGGAAAATCTTCAGCAAGACATCTCAACTTCAAGAAGTTCAACGAGTGATGAGACCTCTTCATGGCCTGTAAAGTTTTTCTATCTCTCTAGGATTGTTTTGCTTGTTTCAAAAGATCATAATCTTCTGTATTTTTTTTTCTTTTTGGTAATTTCTGGATTGATTAATTGCATATAAAATACCTGTGATCACTGTCGTACGTTGACCATTGACCATTTATTATGTTTATATTCTTTTCCCCACAGAAAGTCACAGTAAAAACCCTAGAAAAGGGCATCTTGGTGAATGTATACTCAGGAAAAAGTTGCCCCGGGCTGCTTGTGTGCATACTGGAGGCCTTTGAAGAAGTGGGTCTTAATGTGCTTGATGCTAGGGTTTCTTGTGAAGACAACTTTCACTTGCAAGCCATTGGGGAAGAAGTAAGATCACTGAACTAATTATAATCTGCACCAACTGTATAGATATATGCAAATCATTCTATAGCTTTATATTGATAATTTATGTCAATACTAATTAGTTCACAAAAAAATTGTGTGTTAGAATGAAGAAAATGAGGACAGCATCAATGCCCAGGTGGTGAAACAAGCTATTTCAGATGCAATAAAAATTTGGGAAGAAAGTAGTAATGAGCAAGGAGAGTAATCCTATCATCGCAAATTCGATCGGCCGCGTTGCATATGTGATCATTAATTGATGATGGTTTGCTAGCAGCAGTGTGCATGTTTTGTTACTTTTAGGCTCTCTTTTTCCTTTTTCTTTTTCTTTTTTTTTATACTTCTCAGAAGTGATAAAATTCCTCAAGTAAGGTTTTAAATTTTTTGTGGATTGGGGTACTAGTCACTTAGCTAGATTGAAGAAAGCAATGATGGATGGTCGAAGATCACCAATGTTGATTTCAACTTCTCTAGAATTAATCCAGAGAAAAGTTCAATAATAAATAATATGTGCTTTTGGTTAAGTGAGTACTGTTTTCTTACACCGTATAGATGTGTGTGCTACATATATACAACAAATGCAAGCTAATGTGTCACTGAACAATTAGTTCGTACTTCATCAATCAACCAGTCAAAATTTCCTGCTATTTGTTTTGATGATATTAATTAGCTACCATGCATTTTATTTAGAGACCAGAAGAACTCCAATTGCCACCTTCTCCTTTGGTTTTGGTATTTAACTTGTTTACCTGTTTGGACTTTTTCCTTCTCTAGTTACCATATGCACATTTCCATACAGTTCACGCCATATAACACAGTAATCCTACTTAAAACATTAGCTTTTTTTGGCATAAGCATATTTCCAAATTATGATCTGCAACATCTAAAGAAGAAGGCAAAAAAAAAAAAAAAAAAAGCCGATGAGAAAAGTCTGCCAACATCTTCTTGTACTTTGTTCGAGCAAGTAATGAAAGATCATTGAAACAAGTTTTTGATATATGTGTACATTGCCTAATATTAATTATATATATGTGTGTGTGTGTCCGGTAAATAAGTTGCACCATGCAAATCAATATGTCGTATTTTCCTGAAATTGAGGTAAATATAATAAAAACACCAGCCAATTCATCATATCCACGAAATCTGATTATAAAAAAAAATTAGAAAGGGGACCAGCACAAGTCCCATCATCATTTGATAATGATGAGAAGTGTCAATTTCGTCCGAAACGAATCAATCACTTATGGAAATAGTTATTGTTGTTTCTTTTCTTTGTTCATTTTTCTTTTCGCCTTCCGGTATAAAAGTTCTTGTATTTTCTTTTCCCCCTTCTTGCACTGTTAGATTAGTTCTGTTGCTGCAATAATCCACATATATACACTGCCTTACTGGCACAATAAAGATCAGAATGGAGCCCGATTTTTTTTTTATTTAAAAAGTGTTGATAAAGATACATACAGTGCTTGCAGGATGATATTGAGAATATAATAAAGGAAGGGGGCAATCACCGCTTCCGGTTCCTACCCTTGTCCGGGGAAGATTGGACTTTGACATCAAGATTTGAGTTCTATTTTTAGAAATTTTTTAGCCGGCGTGCTTGAAATACCTCGTTAAGACTTTGAATGTTATTTGAAAATTCATCAAAGACTGAAATCAGAACATTACTAAGTACTAACCAACATGATCCGTTAGATAACAAATTAATAATGGCAATTATATTATGAAAATAACATCAGGACAATAATAAATCATAATTAGTATGCAGAAATTTTTCTACTATATATAATTGTGGTGTCTTTTTGTTTTCTTTCTTTTTTAGTGCCACAATATTTTTTGTCTCCTTTCCTTAGAGATGTGAATAGATTTCCATAATTACATGTTTCATGTTGTTTTCCATTGCTTAATTTGATTTCATGCAAAAAGATTGACACGTTGTTGTGGTAGTGTATTCAGTTCAATGAATGATTCGTAGTACTCTCTCTATGTCCGGAAATAGTAGTTATACATGCAGGAAAAATTTATAAAATTTTAAAAGTATAAATGATGTGGTTGAATTTTAAGTATACATCAAACCTCTAAATAGATAAATCCATAAAGGTAAGTTTTAACTATGAACGGTTATAATTCATTATATATATATATATATATATATTTTTACCTGCAACAATCATTGTTCATCCGGAAAATGAAGAACTTAACAAGAAAAAATTAACGGACTTATACAAGGTGACCTACTTGATGATAATTCGAGAACTTTGCACATACCTTTATTCAAGAGCAGTTTCCAACCCTAGCTAGGTCTTTATTATCTTTAATGATTTCACGGCGGCTAAAAATTCACAAGAACGCCGATTAATTGACAGCTTCCTTCCTAAGGCCTAATACGCGTCAATGACGTCACACCAAGTTATGTCACGAGTCACTTTCGTTTGTCATTCTTATACTGAGTTATAACTCCCTAAAAGTAACTACAAGTTTATTATACTAATGTAATAATAATGCTATAATATAAGCCTGAGATCTGTAATATATCAAACCTTAACCACGCCTAAAAAATTGACAATCGTCAAACACGTAACCTTAACGTGTTTGATGATTTTATTACTTCAACTATGGAACAGATGAACTGTTGAATGGCTTTCAGAAAGTTCAGAAACTATTCTCTCTGCTCCTTGATTCCAAACAAGACGCCCTGGTGATCTGCACCCCTAAATGCGGGTTCTTGAGAGCAAAATCATCGAATTTCGACGAGAAAACTATGTCCTCCATGTTCTGTACAATGTAGCTTAAGGTAGCTTCCTTCAGTGTATGACTAGAACAGGTGTCCGAGATCTCCAGCACATCCAGAGCATTGCTTGAATTCAAGCTTTGAAGCATATGTTGCTCGCAGAATTTCTGCAGAAAAGAAACCTCGTACTTATCCGCAGCCATGGATAAAGTGTACACATGTTTTTCAACCTTTTCTCTGGCCAGATTCCCACTGTACAGAAACTCTAGGAATGATTGTAATTCCTCATAGTTTAGTTCACAAAGCTTCACGACTTCCTGAGGTGGAGCCATGCATCCATCATAATCAAGCATGTTCTTGAACACTGTGGATCTGGCTGCCTGCAACAATAATTTATTATTCAGGCATGGAATTAGAGGTCATTTTTTTTTATTTTAGAGTAAGAAAACTCACCAACAATGCTCTGTGTGCAGGAATGGAAGGACCATTTCCGGGCTTGACTTGAATATCGGGATGGATGTGATCTCTAAATGCGGCCACGAATCCAGAAAGATATGATATTGTTTCTTTCGATTCTTCTTCGGTTTCTTTCAAATCCTTCACCCATCTTAGAGCATTTACAAATCCCTGTACGGTAAATGAATCAAAGTTATGGAACTGAAGCAACAGTAATGAATGTTTATTTTACAAATCAATGAAATAATTAAATTAGCTTGCCTTTGATAAACTTGGGGATCCGGAAATTCTGTTGGGAGAAGAAGATCTGTTAACAGTACTAATGCCATTACTACTGTCCATATTGTTCATCAAGGCCATAACGCTTCTGGCCCCTTCATAGCAAGATCCGCATATTGTATACTTGAGAGGCCTTAACAGAATCGGAGTCGATACAGTGTTACAAATGGGACAATCCATTTTGGTACTTATTGTTTTATTTCAGAACCTCCTCTATTTTGTAATTACGCAAACTGAGATTCTGGATTTTAATGAAGAACTACTAGTAGAATCCTATTAATCACTTACAATGTTTGATCCCGAGAATTAGTGGTTATTTCACTGCGACGTGATTATTTACAGTAGGCTTTAATAAGAGCTTGGTCATCATCAGTAAAATGTTCATTTTTAGTAGTCTTGAATTTTGTCTCTGGAACTGGAATTGTGGCTGAGGCATTCCCCAAGTGGTAAATAAGGAGACATCTGTGGATCTGATCTGGTTATAAATTTTGTGTTGTGAAAACGAATAAGAAAATAAAATCAAAGACAGAGACACGCAGTTAGTATAGGGAGAGAAATCAGCACCAGATGGATGCTTGTGGTTGAGGAACTGTGGCAGCTTTGGTATGTGTTGGCTAAAAAGAAAAAAACTCAAAGGACAGCCATATGTGTAACTGTAGTGTCACATGATTATACATATCTATATCCTTCGGGTTTTTGGCACATCATATATTCATACAATAATAATCGAAACCATATGCAAACATATTTGATGCGACGTACACTTGTCGAGATAAAAGTCATCTCACACTGCGCGCAATACCAAAATAAATGGAGAAACTTCAGATTAGTGATCTCGAGTCTCCAAGGAAATGTGATCACATAAGGTTGTGTGTAATAGTAGTATTCTACAACTCCAAAGTAAAAGAGGAATTATAAACTAAATTAATTAATTAAGAAGAGCTGAAAGGCAGAATCATATACTAGTATATATTTCACCAAAATTTTCAATAATACTTACCGCCTAGGAGGAATGGCCCTGGCTATCTGTACTGCCAAATGAGGATTGCTAGCTAGCAGTTAGTTCAGCGAAATTCTGAGTTGATACAACAGAATCCTTGTTGTTTGCAATGTAGTTCAACGCATCATGCTTCAGTGTCTTGTCGGAGAGGGCAGAAGAATCAGCGATTTCTAAGACATCAAGTACATTTGAGGTGGCTAATTGTGCGACCATTTGATTCACACAATGCCTTTGAAGATACCGGATGTCGTACTTCTCTGCAACAATGAGTAACCAGTGAAGATTTTCCTTGACAATTCTCCAGTGTAAAGGAACGTGAGGAAGCATTCAAGTTGTTCATAATTTAGTTCCTTCAACGTTATGGTATTGTCAGGGTATTCCTCGGATTCTAGCATCCGTTTGATCACACCAGAGCTTGATGCCTGCAAAATCATCAGATGAGCATTGATTATTATAGCTCTAAAAGAATATTGTGACTCCAATGATCACCTGTGGATATACAAAAACATGCAAAATTTTCTCGTAAAGTTCAGCAAGATGGGTTTCTATTTTTGAGATGGATCATGTCATTCTAAACCATTTATTTCATTGATGAATTGCAGTAGCGTAACTAGGATTTCACTAAAGCAGGGCACAAAAATAAAATTCATGGACTAAACAGTGTAAAAAAAAAAAAAAAAGCCAGAAACAGAAACTATTATTTAATTATCAGAAATTTGTATTAAAATTTTTAAAGGTCTCTTATTGAAATTTCTTTGGGGGGAGGGGGGACCGCCTATACTGGTCCCCCTCCCTCCGCTACTGATAAATCGAGCGAAATTTAGTCCAAAAAATTAACAACGAACGGGGTAATTCAAAGATCCATATTGACATAATGTAGTATTTAACAAGTACAAAATTACTTTAAAAGATCCATATTGACATAATGTAACATTTAACAAGTACCATACTACTTTGAAGGAGGAAAAAAACAAAAAAAACCCCAGTACCATACTAAACTACTCAAAACGGGAGTGAAAAAAGAAAATAAAATTAAAATAAAAAAAAATCACCGTACCAAAATCACTCTATGAGCAGGAAACGAAGGTTCGTCGTCGTCTCCAGACTTGACAAAAATGTCAGCGTGGTTGCTATTGTTAAATTGGGTAGCAGCAAAGCCAGCGAGAAACGTCTTTCTTAAGCCATTGCAACACACCTGCAACTTGCTGACTAGCCTGTATATAAATGAGGAACGTTCATCACGAAAACATCATATATAGGAATTTGATTAACAGAGGAGAATTGAACCCGGCCCAGTTTACGAGGAGTAAAGATTCTCATAAACGAACAGGGAATATTAAATTGAGGAGTGAAATTCAGACTAATTAACGCTACAGTTATATAATTTGGTGACCAGGGTTTTGAATAACCTAAGTTTGTAGCCCGGCCCGATGGTGATTCCAGTCCTGCAATCTTCACAGAACTCTTTAGTGAATCAGAGGAGGGTTGAGGGCCACAAACGTTACAGATTGTTTTTCTCTTGAAAATTGACATTGGTGTATATAATCTCTGTTTGCTCAGAACAAAACTTCAGCAAGATGCAATTAATCTCAAAACCATACAAAAACTTCTAACCATTTTTATCCATCAATCGCTCTATTTATAGGGGCTTAATTATTTGCCCTTGTCGAATCTATATAATAGGAAAATGAAAGTAATAAAACTCATACTAGGAAACTACCAAATCAGTAATTACTTTGGTTCAATAATTACTTGGGATTATTATTGTTGTTTTTACGGTATCAATTCACAAGTCAACTGTAGAATCAACGAAAGATGCGCCACTATTCACTACCTAACTAAACATGATTGAAAAAGACCTCTCATTTCATGGGATCAATCTTATAACTTACCGAAGTTTGGAGGATTTTCATTTCAAAACAAAACCAAAAAAAAAGTGAATTTTAATCGTAACAGAACTCTTCTTGAATTGATCATAAAGTTGAATTGATCATGGAAGTATTTTCCTAAATTACTTCATTCTTTCAAGGTTAAAGTTCAATTTAAAACTGCAATGGCGACGGTGATGAAACTGTAAAAATCACATGCATTTTGGAATGATTTCAGTCAAGTGTAGGATTCATCTTGAGTGCAAATCCGTTCCTTAGCTTTGCGGTTTACAGTTCTCCGTCTCGTTTCATCATCAAGGGGCCACTAGGCTTCCACAAATTAGAATATTAGATTTCAATCCGAATTTACAAAATGGGACAATCCATCTCTTTCTTCGAGTTGTAAGTAATACACATACAAAATTTTGATCGAAATTAGTTCAGAAGGAACATGCATGTAGCAGATTGTTATGTTTTTGTGATCACCTTAGAACTAGGCCATTATAACATTCTCATAAATAAATAAATAAAACATTTTTTACTAATAACCAAAAAAAAAAAAAAGTTGGGGATAACAAGTTCACAAAAATGCATCAGAAAAGGAAATAAAAAGGGCTCGCTCAATAGTAGGGTGTAAAAGCACTTCAAATCCCAAATCCGAAGAATTACTTAAACTAAGAATGGCAAAAAAAAAAAAAAAAAGATCCAAAATTTTCACGTCCACGCCCTGGCTATCTGCACTGTCAACTGAGGATTCTTAACAGCAAAATCAGCAAACTTCTCCGTTGACACAACAGATCTCATGTTCCTTGAAATGTATGTCAGGGCAGCCTCCTTCAGTGTCAAGTTGGAGAAGGCAGAGTCAGCTATTTCTAAGACATCAAGTACATTTGATGGAGTGAAGTCTTTGACCATTTGTTTCTCACAATACTTCTGAAGATACGGGACCCCGTACTTGTCCGCAGCAGTTAGCAAACACTGAACATGTTTTTCCAGCTTCTTACTTGGCAATTCTCCACTATAAAGGAACTCCATGAAGCATTCCAACTGTTCATGATTCAGTTCTTGAAAGGTTAAGGTGTCGTTTGGATGAACCCGGGATTCATCTGAATCTAGCATGTTTTTTAGCACATCCGACCTTGATGCCTGCGATCATTATGTACGTAATCCAATTTGACTAATTAAACTCTTTCTCAACAAAAGTGGACTGTTTTCATTGATTTTTTTATGGGTGAATTGAGTGAAATAACAGCAATATATTGTTCAAAACAAAAAAAAGAAACTGGAGTAAAAACGATGGGATTCGGTGTTCAGCGTACCAGGAGAACTCTATGAGCTGAAAACGAGGGGTTCTTGTCTCCAGGCTTTACTATAAGATCGGCGTGGGTGCCTTTGTTAAATTGTTTAGCAAATCCACTCAGAAACTCTATTCTTTCTGTTCTTACATCCATAACATCTCCCTTGATCCATTTCAACACATCTACAACTTCCTGAGGACCCAATAAATGAATTAGTTACATATCAAATCAAAGATCATTCACCAGATGATGTTAGAAAGCCCCCCAAAAAAAAAAAAATCCAGAAACTGCACAAAATTTGAATTGAACACCATTTTTACAAGGATTAAAGATACTCTTTTCGTCCCAAAACGATTGTGAAAAATTTGAATCAGAGTAAATTAAGCCACTTACAACTATTTTCGGTGAGAAGCCTCTTTCATAACCGAACCTTTCAGCCCTCATGGTGATGTGATCCTTACAGTCTTGGCAGACTCTTAGGCTATTAGAGGAGGGTAGAGGGCCACAAATGTTGCATTTAGTTTTTCTCTTGAACATCGGCATGGTTGCAATTCGCAAAAAGCCGTATTGAATAATGAATAATTGAATCAATTCAGTAACTGGAGAATGATGCTGCAGAATTGTAATTCTAACAGAAGCCTTCCTACCATATAATATGATAATATATATACCATAGAATTCACGATAAAGTTGAATTGATCATAGGAATCTTTTCCTAAATGATTTCGTGATTATCGCATCTTCATCTGCAATCAACCCATTAGGGTAAAAAAAATATATAACACAATTTACAACCTTAATCTGTGGATATAAAACTGTAAAAGCCCATTCAAACGAGTTTGTTCTGTTCTAATCAGATTTCAGATTGGGCTTCTCTTATTTTTAATGTCCATGAAAGAAGCCCTTGTGATCTGTACAGTCAAATGAGGATTCTTGAGCGCAAATGCGTCAAATCTATCCGAAAACACAACATCTTCCATGTTTTTGACAATGAAATTCAGGGCAGTCTCCTTTAAAGATGGGTTGGAACAAGTATCTGCTATTTCTAGGATATCAAGAACATTCGATGTGTTTAATGATCCCAGCATTTGATGCTCGCAGAATTTCTGTAGAAACGGGATTTCATACTTGTCTGCAGCGATTGACAACGAGTAAACGTGTTTTTCCACCTTATCTGTCGCCAAATCTCCACTGTATAGGAACTCCAGAAGGGATTCGAGTTCTTCATAATTCAATTCTTCAAATGTTATGGTGTCTGTTGGAGCTGCTTTGCACCCGTCTGAGTCTAACAGGTTTCTGAAAATGTCAGATCTTGCTGCCTGGAAAAAGTATTTTTTTTAACATAATCCAACATGTACTTTTTTTGGTTAATATATATGAGATGAACTAACAAAAATTGTGTATGAGAAAAAGGGAAGAAACAGAAGGGTTTCCACCAACCAATAATGCTCTGTGCGCTGGTAAAGGGGGTCCATTATTTCCAGGTTTGACAAGAATATCTGGGTGAATCTGATGCCTAAATGCAGCAACAAATCCACTCAGGAAGTTTAGCTTTTCGTTTAGTTCCTCTTCCATCTCTTTCATTTCTTTCACCCATTTCAATGCATTAGTAAACCCCTGATCATCAAATCAAAATCGCATCATAAAACCCAAGCACAAAGTGCCCTGATCAAATTTCTACAGCTTTATTGCGTAACAAGAAGAATTGCAACAACAAATTACAAAAATGTTTTTTTTTTTTTCTGGGTTCTTCCTTAAATTATAAGTACTAAATTGTATGATATGCAACAGATTTCTAAAGTAATCTGCACCAATTGATGCAGAGTCCTCTGTTTCAGCTTAACCTAAGAAGGGAAAATTTCATATTCATATCAATCTTGCCGAGAAAACGGGAAGAAAAAACGTCTAGCCATATACACTTGAGGTAATTCTTTCTATGCCACTGCATCATTCTTGGCCGTAAAGGTTTTGCACCGAAAAATGCAGGCCATTTCAGTTGCCTGTCATCAATATGGTACAAGAACAGAGTATATAATTCATATGGTGATTCTCATAATTAATACTTTACACATTAACCACAGAAGGAATTCTGATCCGGAATGTGAATCAAGAAGAAGTAAACCCATTGATTATAAATTTGTAATGTAAGAACCTAGAAGCGTACCTTGGCGGGAGAAACTGCATAATTGGTTTGCTTGTTGTTGTCCAATATCCCCTTATTGTTGTCGCTACTGTCATATTTGTTGGTGAAGGTGATTATGGTTTTCGCGGCTTCGTAGCAGGATGCGCAGATTGTATTTCTCGGTGGCCTTAAAATGAATGGCATGGCACTGCAGATTGAACAATCCATCTTCTTTGCATATGATAATTGGCTCAATCAACTTGATCACCGGAACTGAAATATGTCGCAGTATAGACAGAGGAAGAAGAAAAGAGCAATAACAAATGAACTAATCCTTCACAAATGGCTCTTTATGATAATGTTTCTACTAATAAATATATCATCCAGGACCCGCTAAAGTGAAAGGTGTTTTAACTACTTTCTTTGTTAGTACGTGATTAATTAAGAAGTATTCAATCATCAGTTTTTCATTAAGATAATAGCTGAATAATTATAAGACTTAATCATTTATGCGGCCGCGTAAGGTATCAATGAGTACCATATGTCAATTATTTTCGCTTCCATTTTTCAATTGCATCATCTTTTTTTTGTCCCAAAAGCTTGTATGGTTGTATGGAACTTATTTTGAATTTGATCGTATTATATTGGCTGCTCATCTAGTCCTCTCTTTATTATCCACATTAGGCAGCTTTAGTTTTCACTTGTAATGGCCCTTTAAATGGGTGGATGGGAGCAATTAGTCATTCCTATTGAAGAGAGCTCCTTATGATTAAGATTTCAGGCATTATGTTAGGCCGCACAAACTTGACAATTTTTTTTTAAAAAAAAAAAATGCAGAATGTTGGTTGGTGATGATCATGATTCATGTCTATAGTTGTAGTTGGATTTTTAAACTTCAAACTAAGAAATCCCTTTTATAAAACAGCAAATTTGGTTAAGGGGGGAGAATAAAGTTAGGAGGTAGAAAGGGACTTTCCAAATTCCAACCTTACAACAGCAAAAATGAGGTAAGGGATGCATGTCAGCTCCAAATGTAGGCTTCTGATTTCTTTATTAACTTTCTCAGATCGACCCCCAACAAAATACTAATAGTTAAATGAGGTAAGGGATGCTTTTATAGTATGATTATGTGAAATTTATGTATTGAATGACCTGCACGATTTTTCCTCAATTATTCACTTGTTTGATTAGAAATTTCGCATCTCTACATGTCAAAATATAGCCAAATGGGTCTCACGTGGTTAAATTTTTACATTTGAACTTTAGGGGGAAATGTGGAACCCCCAAATGTAAGCAATTAAAATGCCGTGTCTTTGTTAAGGATGGTGATGATTTTTACACTCAAGAATACATGCGAATTGTTGGCATAACCTAAAGAATACTCAATAACCGATAGTCTTGCAACACACAACCGTTACTCCGCTTCATGTTACACTACTTCAACTACTACTATTTCATAAAAAGTTTGTCAAGAGAAAGGTTCAGGTTTAAGTATTTAATCCACAATATCCTTGAGATATCACTCGTCCTTGGAGATATCTTTTACTTTCACTAATTTGCACTAAACAAATTAATGGCACATTAAATTTGGTAGAAAATAAAGGAAGAACACTTTCAATTTTTATTTTTTATTTTTCTTTAAAAAAAGTGTCACGGAAAGTGACAAAACATGTATGTAATCCGCATTACTTGACGTTAATTGAAATGGATTGTTGTAATTGACACTTCATCACAACTGCAACTAAAATAGAGTTTAGGCCTTCTGATATATAGTTGTTAAAAGAAGTTATACATTGATGATCATAAATTCATAATACAGAGCTTCATAATAACTAAGAGTAATAATAATAATAATAATACGGAAATTCAGTCCAGTCCATGGCTAAATGGCGACCGATATACTGTGCTTTAATCAAGTTACTACTAAATGACATGAAATGACATATTTTTTCCTTCTTTTTTTCGGGGGTTAACTTCCTCTCTTATTCGGTCAATACTAAGGAGCCATTCAAGACTTCACAAGATTGCCGGAGGTGATGATAATAGGTCTGCTTGATCAACCGTCGGCGTCGATTAATTGGCTACAATTGCATTCTCTGCTTGGTTACAGTTCTGCTGCTTCTCGTAGTAATGGTACGCCGCAGCTCCAGAAAGCACCGCCAGAGTAAGGGCTTGAGCATGCATCCTATTAAATCATAACCAAGAAAAAATAAAAATCAATATAATGGCCCACTAAAATTACCAAAACAAACAAATGTAGCATTGCAAACTAGGGAAATGGGGAGCTGGAAATTACAGAATTAACAGTTGTTACCTAGCATGGATGAGCCGGATGCTGGGCTTAAATGGCGTTGATCGAGCTCGTGAACTGTAAGCTAGAGAAACACCCATTGCCGAAGCCCAGAGTGAACCTGCATCATCATGTACGAAATCAATGTTACAACTCAAGAGGAAATGGGAAATGTGCAATTAAGCTGGTTATGAAGTTAATTGAACCCAAATTCTAGTACTACTTACCAATGCTGGTGAGTTTGTGCTCAGAAACCCAAGATTGCACGGCCTCCATTGTCTGTCTTCTCTGATAGCAAAGATTGATAGAAAGAAAGAAACCAAATGCTTTGAGAGTTGCTTTGGAATTCAAGTTCAAACTGCTTGTGTTGATGAAAGCAGTGGGCAAAAGAGTGAATTTATAGGGGAGCACTGTGAGAGTAATGCCAAAAATGATGTTAGTGTAGCCCCTTGGTTTCGGGCATCCTCTGTTTTTTTATAAATAAAAAAAAAAAAATTGTTTCACTTTCCAATCTTGGACCATTGAAAATAAATTTGTAAGTAGGAAATAGTGAGATTTGTACTGAGGTAGTGCCCAAACCAGTGGGTTGAATTGGCCGGTTTTGGGGTCTTTAAAGATTGTGGTGCTTCAGAGTAGTACCTGAGAGAAATCAGAAATGTGTGTATACTATTTTTAAGTTTCAGGGGGTCTTCATCATCCAAACTTTACATTACTACTCCTAGGTAGGATTAGGAAGGACGAATCAAGTCAAGTGCTGGTCCACTAACTTTAATGGAAGCCCCTTGGTTTTTTTTTTTTTTTTTTCTTTTTTATCCCACATGGGAAAGGGGGGGCACACAACCGACTTCTTTTCCGAACTTCTAGATGGACATTTCCTCGATACTGTTCACTACTTTATCCAGTTATATGGACTGTTACGTATCTGGTTGCTACCAAACTTGATTACTATTTACACTTTTGTAGGGAGCAATTCAATTGGGTTTTGAGTATTTTGGATTTGTTGGTTTTCTTGTGCAATTATATGTCATATCTTTCGAGTCTAACTGGTCTATTTGGTGGTACGATGGTTAGAGTTGTTGAATTTGAGTTATTCTAATTGATCATGTTTGAGACTGAAAGATTTCAATGATACATCTCCGTTAAACTTGCACATCCGCTACAGATATTAGTAACTACTAGTGATTAAGTTGTACAGTTAAAGTTAATAGTGATAATAACACTAACGCAATAGCATTGTAAGTACGTACCACCTCGTAGTTTATTATGATTGGATCTCGATGAGCTGAAAATGCTTTTCTAGCATCAATCCCGATGGCAGCACGTACGCACATCTCACGTGTGCATTCCATGTTTTTGCACTGAAATTTGCTGCGGACTGTACTAGTGGTTTTCTACTTTTACAGCGCTGTTAGTGCAAAACTTCTCATCTTTTGCGTGAATTTACAGTTTCATTTATTAGATACTTCGAGCAATGATAGATATAGTGACTAATGATAGTGAAAATGTATACTGACTAATGAAAAAACAAATACACCATACTTACTAAATAAACTATTTGTTAATTAACGGTAAAAATATAATTTTACAAGAAATATATAATTTCAACGGTTAAGTAACTAAAAATTAGAGGGTCATAATTACTACACATCAGTCACTATTTTTTATCACTATATATATCATTTTCCTGTATACTTGCTTGTGTTAACGGTGTTTCCTTATGCCTGGAATGTTTTTATGTAATTTTATTAGACTTTTACCACCTCCATTATAGACTTGTAGTAGTATAATAATCCAAATTAAAGACCTTGATTATCTAGTGCAACAGGAGGGGAAAAAAAAACTCCAATTAGCCTGTAATATCACAAAAAACCAAAAAGAGATCACATTAAAAGTCGTTAGCTTAATTATGAGTAATGATATTTGCAATAGCATATAGCAGTTTGAATTATTATGACCAAAAAAACATCGAACTATTACATCAATATGCAACAGTAATTAAAATGTGGGATTGTTTTAAAAATTCTCAAGAATGGTTTACTTCCCTGAATCATTACATTAGTAAGTAATATAAGTATAGTGATATATTATAGTGATTTTTGGTGTAGTGACTGACATGTAAATGTGTGATTGGTAGTTCATGTGATGATAATAACTATTTAAAAATAAATTAATGAGTGAATTACACATCAGTCACTACACCAAAGTCATTATAATTTTTACTTTCTCTATCATCACTGTTAAAAAATACTACAATGACAGGGAGAGTGAAAAAAATAGTGAAAACTAATAGTGACTGATGTGCAAGGGGCATAAGTGTAATTTTTTGGAAGAAGTTTGTCCAACCTCTTATTTTACTTTTTGTCTCATTTTACATCTTAAACACAAAATCCAATGCACTATCTAAATAACATTTTAATTTACTTTTTGAAATGTGACGTTTGGTCATTACATTCTTATAAAGTCTTCATTTTGGTCACTGGACTATTATAAAGTTTTTACTGCATTTGGTCACTGAACTATTGTAAAGTCTTGCATTTGGTCATTACATTGTTGTAAAGTCTTCATTTTAGTCACTAAACTATTTTAATTTCATAAATGACCATTATACTATAATACTTTTCCAAATTAAAAGTTAAACTATATTTTAAATCTCCTCCAAAATCCAAATCAAAAATTAAAACAAAATGTTGTCCAAATAAGCACTAAAACTTTTAACGAGAAAATACCAACAAAATAGTGAGAATTAGTGTATGTCACATCAATCACTATTCTTATTCACCTTTTGTTTTCACTATATTTATCATTTTTCCTACAAAATATGTGTTGCAAAAACTCCGAAAATTGGTGAACTGCTTTAGATTAGTTTAGTCGATTCGGACGATGTCAAAATCATTTTGAGATTTTTTTAAAAAAAAATTTATTTTTTTTAACAGAGGAGAAATCAGTTTGAGAATGGTGGATGATAATAAGCCCATTATAAAATCATCCTTTCACTTTATGGGCCGATTTATTATGACGTATCAAATTGCCAACATTAGTCCAGTATGCTCACACTAGTCCAAGTCCAGTATGGTTCTTCCTCCTCCACCAGTTTGTCGTCACTCTGTGTGTGTGAGTGCGTGAAAATAACAACCTAGCAAAAAAGCACCCAAAGCAGGCGGGGGTTCAATTCACCAAATTCCCGCCACAGTCGCGTGAAGCTTCTACAGCAATCCTAACCCAAATCCATCTTTATTCCTCTGAGTAAACCTCCTCTATAGTCTCTTCTCCCAAAACCCATAGCAAAATTAAACCCACTGAACACTTACCACCGCTAGAATCAAACGAATCAGTACTCTCTGGTGCTGAAATGGAGAGAAGGAGAGGTATTAGAAGCCGACAAACCACTAATATCAGTGATACTTCAGTGAATAACAATGGTGTTTGCAGTTCCGAAACTGGTGTTATGAGGAAGCCATTGTCGGACGTCATCAACAACCTCGACATCATTCCTACTCAAACTCTTCGCAAGATAGTATGTTCGAATACCATCTCCCCTTCCGAAGCCCAATCTATCTTGCGCAAATCCCAGGTCCTGAACCCTCGATTTCCTCAATTTCCCCCAATTCCCAAAGCCCATGTCGTCCCCGACTCCGATTCCAGGTCCGCCACCAGCATCGGCTCCTCCAATTTCAACCCTGCTCCAATTACTCAACCCAAACAGCCAGTCCCAGTTACCCGTCCTCCTTCCTCTTCAAAGGGTCTCAAACCAACTGGTATGTATAGGTGTAGCTTCCCTTGCTTTTTTATTTTGTCTAGAAATGGATAATGATCTCTATCCATGTATTTTGTTTCTGGGCTATTATCAATTTTCTTTTTAATGAAACTGGAAATCTAGGGCTTCTTTTACGCTTGTTATTTGAATTTTGATTTTCTTCGCGGGGTTGTTTGTTCAACTTGTTGGATTATTGGTTATGTTTTGCTTCATGGAAGAAGTATTTTCCCCTCTTCGGATTTTGTTGGTATTTGATTACTGGATTTTTATTACTAAATATATGCATACTTTCACTAAGATGATGCCAATGATATAGATTTTGGGGGGCTCCCAGTTCGTAACGTTTTTCTTACGGAGAACAAAAATAGGTATTTGAGCAGTTTGTGGGTTCTTAATTTCCAAATTTTGGGCCTTAGAATTGGATATGACTTAGCACTACTTTGTTTGTAAAGCTACTTCCCATTGCTTTTTGTGTGTTCATGTTTTTTCTGCTTCAATTTGTCTGTATAACTTGAAATCTGGATATGAGGACTGCGTTATTCTTCTGTAGGTGATAAGGTTAAGGAAACCATAATATTCAGTCATGCAAGGTCTGTGGAGAATCTTAAGGGACTAGGGAAGACTGACGTTTCTCCCCATAATGCCATGGTTTCTGAAAAGATGAAGGGCCAAGGAAAAACAACTTCCATTTTCACCCCTTCTGAAAAGGCGAAGGATAAAGGGAAGGGCATTTCCGTACCATCTGATTCCACCCCTGCTGTGAATGAAAGGGATAAACCTCCTGAGAAGGCCAAGGATAAAGGGAAGGGCATTGCCTCACAGTTTTATTCCACTCCTACTGGGAATGTAAGGGATAGACCTCCTGAGAAGTTAAAGGATAAGGGGAAGGGTATTGCCATGCTGTTGGATTCTGTTCCTGCTAGGAACGTAAGGAGTAGACCTCCAGAGAATGCAAAGGATAAAGGGAAGGGTATTGCCACGCTGCTTGATTCAGTTCCTTCTAGGAATGTAAGGAGCAGGCCGCCGGAGAATGCAAAGGATAAAGGGAAGGGCATTGCCACCACTTTTGATTCTGGTCCTACTGGGAACGTGAGGGATAAACAGGAAAGAAGTTCTGTGCATTTCAGTTCTCCAATTGTTGAGAGAACATTTGACAAAGGGAAATCAGTTTATGTGCCTTGCATCTCAACTGTGGGAGTGAAGAGAAAAGATAAAGGAAAGGCAATTGCTAATGAAGTACTTGAAGATGTAGAAGAATCTACTCCATTGATTGCATACTCCCGGTCATCAAGAAAAACAAAGGAAAACAGAAGAGAAGATACTGTTGTCCACAGTTGTCCTCCTCGAGTGCTGGAAACAAGAAACATAGGGTATTTTTCTCTTTTGTTTTTTTTCCCCTCAGCATAATAATATTAAAATGCCAGTTATTTAGCAACCCTCCACAGTTGAAATATGTAAATCAGTTTCTTTTGATGAGTTCAATTTTTTCCTTTTGACACTGTTGAATTTGGTAGTTGTGTATAACATCTGCAGCTCTGAATGGCATATGTTAGTTGGAATGGTATGGCTTTCTTGATGATCTTAAAATGAAAATCTTCCGGTTGAAATTGGGGCTAACTGTGGAGGTGGATTTTTTGTTTACTCTCCTGTTTCCACCCCTGAAAATCATTGGGATGTACTTTTAAAAAATCTCCTTATTTTATGTTTTAAATTTCATCTCCCTTGTATGGTGATGATTTGTGTCCATCTGATGATAAAAAACCGGGGAATTGTTGTTATTATGTTGATTTCCACAGTGAAATGGTCTGCATTCACTAAAGATGTTCTTTGAGTGTTTAAATAGGACTTCTCAAGACAGTGTTGGTTATTTTCAGGTGGATTTTAGAAAGTTTTTGTATTACGATGAGCAAGATCCACTTGTTATTCTTTTGGACAGGTTAAAACCAGCATCATCACCTAGCAGTATAAGAACATCCTCTGGATTTCGGTTGTCTTATTGTAATGGGAGCTATGAAAAACTTCGACCATGTGCATAATTGATAGCAAAATCATCAACTTCGTGGTCTCTTTGTCTTGAACAGAAGTTCTTTAGGGTATCAGTATTTCCTTGCAAATGTGTGGTTTTTCAATTAGCTCCTACATTCATGGGAGGAAACCTATAGATGTGATTGCGGAAGATTACAGTTGTTGGGAATAACATTTCTTTGATATCTGCTGTATAGATTTTATTTCACATGCTACGTTACGATATTGTTCTATGGATTGAACTTTGTTGCAGCCTTTACGAGTCGAGAGTTTTTATCTTACTGCCTGCTTCTAACTTGGATTATGCTAATCAATATTCTTGTTAAAACAGGAAAGAACTTGAGCAACATGGGGAGAGCAAATCAAAGTCTTGGACAGATCCACGTCCAAAGGCAAAAAAGGTTAGTTAAAATTCGCTGCATCATTCGTAATTTTGTTTTCTCATCCATAACTACCAGTGAAAGCTGCACTTTGTACTGATAACTTTTAATTGCCATTTTTATGACGGGCTTGAGCTGTTCTGGTTTAAACAAGTTTCCTTTGACATTTCTTTTCGACGGCAATGTATGCACTACATGCGGAAGTCGTATTACGAATTTGTATTCTTATTATGCCTTAATCTCCTGTGTTTCTGATAGTTTCAAAATTATTGTGCAGAGGAAGTACACAAAGCAACAACCTGTTTCTGACTGGTCCTTACCGGAAGATTTTGTTAAGGCGCAGAATGCATATTTTGCAGAGATCGATGCCTTTGAACTTCCGGTGGAGTCAGCATCAGATTCGGATTAAGAAGAGGAAGAATGACCCCAGATTTCTCCTGTATAGTCATGCATAACATCAAATGGTATGAAGCTCTGACCAATAGCTTGTGAATTTTGTTAACAGTAGTTGATCTGTGTAGAGTTAGCCACATGATGTGTATCGGTGTAGTAGTTATAGAATCACAGGGGAAGGTTCCCCAAATTAAAGTAATATGTGTTGCAGCTAATCAGGAAATAACTTTTTGGCTGTTGAACTGGCACTGTAATCGATATTAGTGAAGATGTTTTATCTAAATATTTGCGTTCCCTGCTCTGCTGAATCATAAATCATAACCAGGCAGAACGCCGTGGCTATTAGGAGAGTTGAAGCATCTCAATAATGAATTCTGTCACATGGATTGGTAGGGTATCCTTAATTAGTGAACAGCCTCAAATCTAGTGAAAGTAACAGTCCTAGGTCTTAGCGGCAAAACCCTCTTTTACTTGCCCAATGGGTGGTCACAAATTGGTCCATCATGGTTGGAGAAGGTTGCAAGGGAATAAAGAGGCAAATCAACTGTGGATGTACAGGATAACTACCATGTTTTTCATGGACCAAGTTGTCAAGGGAAGAGGAGGAGGAGGATTTGTGTTTGTGTTTTGATTGACGCTTAAACGAGTTGTCCAATTTGATGTGAAATCTAATCAGAAATTCGAGTGCTAATGAGGCACCTGAATGGCCAGGGCATCCTTGATAAGAGGAAAGACAGTGACCGGAGAGGAATAAAGAAAGAAGAAATCTAATTAGCGCACTGGTTCATCACGCACAACGAATGATAATACGATCACCATTATGTGAAATCACTGTATGTGTCTGTCATTATTCTCGGGCTAGTCTCATATAAATGTATGATTATAAGGTTTCAACGTCCGTAAGTTTTGACAGGGAGGATTGATTCTAGTCCAGTATTGTAAAAAGGACAAAAATTTAATGTGATGCGAGTTCCCGAGAGCGGAGACTAAAACAGAATCTTCAGTGAATGACTGAATGGTTGGTTCCTTGGGGCTGCTAAAGGGGCACCGGTATCTTTAGCGGGAATGGGGAATTGGGATTTGGGATCGTGATAAGTCAGTCGGGTAAAGGAAAGTTGTGTTTTGTTTCTTGAATCTGGCTTAATTTGCTGATGGATGAAATACTAGTGGAAGAGATGGTGAATAAAATCAAGTTGCGCAGAACTGACACTATCAACGTTGTTGTATTAGTAACGACTTGCAATGATTGAGATAGCAGTTATTCTCACGATACGCTGAATTGCTGTTCTACTGATGTCGAGAAAGAATGACATACAGAGCTGGGTTGCCTCTAACAAATCAATTAATCTTCAGTATTACTAACTATTAAGAATTGGCTTACACGGCTTCAATTCAAACTCTAGAAGGACGATTACTGGCCATTACATATTCTCTCTAATTTTCTTCCGAAAATTCAAGGGCAAAAAAACATTGAAATTATTATTGTGGTCAGCGTAAGTTGACCCCCACAGCACCCAATCCCCAAGCATACATAGAGTTTTTGCCTACACCATAGGAATGATTTGTAGTAATGGGATTCTTGTCAACTCTTTTGAAATTGTTTGTATAATTCCTTCTCTAGAGCGCATGCAGACATCATTATGGCTTCTCGGTCCAAAAAATTTGGACGGCCATTGTGATTGGAATTGGAAATTCATGATCCGTCTATATCAACCTTGCTCCAACGAAGGTAGCTGTTCCAATTATTTCCCTACAATAATAATAATAATAATAATAATAATAATAATAATAATAATAATAATAATAATAAAGAAGGAAAAAAATGGCTGGTTAACCTATTTGATTCTCATTCATAAATCTCTCCATTTTCTCCCTTTTTTTCCCCTTAGTACAGAATTCAGAGGTTGCCCGAAAATTTTCTCTAAAAAGCAGCAGCAACCAAATTGATTTACTCGTACGTAATCTTTAGGTTGATCACAGTCTTCACATGAAATTCCTTTTATGTTAAAAAGAAGAAGAGCTAATTTCTTGTTACTTGTTGGGTTGGTTCAGAGGTAAGAACGTTATTCACAATTAAAATTAACTTCAATAATTGAGTTTACTAAGATTTGTGCATGAGATGATTTTTTTTTTCTTTTTTGTTTTAGAGATTTTATTCATGAACCCTCAAACCATACTAAAACTTTATTCATTTTGTGCATCAGATGATTTTTTGTGAGTTATTTTACTTGATAATTTATTGCAATTTTTTTTTTTTTTTAATCCTTATCGATCAAATATTGTTTCATTCTTCAAACTTTTAACAGAACACTGTCCGTACAATCAAAGATGTCAAAGTTTGAAGTTCCTGTTGCTAGTTTGCCACAAATTAATCATTGGTTCGTATAACTCTATCCTTTATAGTGAGCTTTTCATGAGATATGACTCTTAAGCAATTAAACTCCCGAGTCTTAAAGTAACTAGCTAGCCTTTTCCCAATTTGCTTTTTTATTTAAATAAAGGTGGAAAAGACAAGGAAAAAAAAAGAAGGTCGGGGGGTTTCAAAGTAGGTCAGGTTCTTTTCCTGTAAATTGGAGTCGATTCATATTTGTATGACAATTTTATTGCATTAACTTTTATGTTTATGTCAAGTATATATATATATATATATATATATATATATAAAGAAACAATAGTTGGATCGATCAAAGGAGGGGACATAAAGATTCTGAGTTTTGACCGATTATTTACCAAGTTGTAACCATTATTGCCAGAAACAGCTATACTCTATTTATAAATAGTATATATATATATATATTTGCATTTTGTGTACGACGTAATTATGAAATTTTGTAATGGTGCTAACTAGGAGATAAACATTTGAAAAGTAAAAAAAGTTGATCTGGATAAACTTTTTGTTAGTGCAAAATAATTAAGCTTTATCTTCCATCATAGTGAGTGATCAACTTGGGTGGAGTCGTGGAGAGATTCTCCATGTAAATACAATATATGCATGAATTTTCACTGTTCTGCGCGTATGTGTACTAAGCTAAAAAGGAAATCCGTGAAGTTGACATCTTCTTATTGTATTCCCCGTACATATATTCTATCGTAAACTACATGAGAACGATTATTTAGTCCAATTTTTCTCTTTTTATTTAAATTTATTGTCCAGTTTATTTTTAATTTAATTTATACTAAATATGAAAATTCAAACTTAATTATAATTTTGAATTGAAGGGAGTGACACAAACCATCAATAACGAATGATTTATTAATTTCTAAATTTTTAATAAATTAAAACGATACAAAAAAACCGGACATGTACCCACAAGTGAAACGTGATGTAACTGTCTAAAAACGCAAAAGGGGTGAATTTGCATGCTCCATCTGGTCAACGGTGTCACTTATCGTACAAAATTGGTTCGTCACGTTTAACGTGGTATCCAGTTTTGATTGGCTGATTGAGGAGTAGGAATTTGAAGGCATACCCACAAGTTGTGAACGCAAAATGGTGGTGCGATTAAGATCATCAACATGTATTGCGTTACCCCATGTAAACTAAATGACCCTAAAGTCTAAACATCAGCCATGCTTTTGTGCTTGTTCTTCCAACTTAGCGTATGTTTGTTTCGTTTTTCTAATGTGTTTTTAGGTGTTTTTTGTATTGAAAATGTAAAAATGTGTATTGAAAATGTAAAAATGTATGCTACGATGAGACAGATATTATTATATTATTCTTAAAAAATCATGAGAAAAAGGAACAAACAGAGCTTAATTTCTCGTTGACCTAGCTAGCTACGTACTCTACCTTCAGATGTTAATCATTTTTTTTTTTGGGGTTAATTTGCTGGTACTCTTCGATGAGCCTCTATCCAATATACCTGGGGTCACCATACTCCCCCTCCTATCTTTTACACTACTAGTCCTTACTACATTTTTTTCTACTTTTCTAAATAATATTTTATAATTTACAGGTTTAGTCCCTTTGATTTTTTTTTCTCTCCTTTAAAAAACATCTCTAATCTTTAAACGATCATATCTCATGATCCGTAAAAAATTAGAGAACGTGTTGTACATGAAAATTATAGTACTCGTCGAGATCTATCCAACAAGATCCATGTCGAATATTTTTTTCGAGTTTAAAAATGACTAAATTTCGATGGGCAAAATAAGATGGATATCTAGTTTAGAAAGATGGATAACCAGTTTAGTTTAGATTAAGATTCTTGTATTGCATATATCTCTTGATTCGTAAAGAATTAGAATACGAATTATACATGAAATTTATAGTGTTCGACGAAATCTATCCGATAAGATCCATGTTGACTATTTTTTTCAACTTTAAATGCATTTAAATTTTACGGGCAGAAATGAAGAAATGTATTTTTCGTTTTTTTGAAAAATGGTTATCCGTTGTGTTCCTACTAATTATCCAACCGGTTTGGACTGATTATCCATTCTGTTTGTGCTTGTTATCCAATCATACTTTTGACATTCACTCTTAAAAAAAAAAAGAAAAAATGATTGGATAAGCATTGTAAACAATTTGGATAATCAATAGAAAATAATTGGATAGTCAGTGCAACATGTTGGATAATCAGTACGAAAACGTTTGACAATCATTTTCATAAAAGAGCAAGGAAAAAAATGCTGGATAACCACCACAAAGAAGTTGGATAATCAATACGAACACATTGGATATCCAGTTTAAGAAGATGGATAACCAACTTATTTTACATTCATATTGTTGTGTTCCTTATATCTTTTGATCCGTAAAGAATTATAACACGAATTATATATAAAATTTATAGTGCTCGACGAGATCTATTCTATAAGATCAATGTTGAATATTTCTTTTGAACTTTAAATGCATTTAAATCTTACGAGCAGAAATGAATAAACTGAAAAAATGATTATCCGTTGTGTTCATACTAATTATCCAACCGGTTTGGATTAATTACCTATCCAATTATATTTTTTACATTCACTTTTTAAAAAAGAAAAAAAAAGAAAAAAGAAGATAGATAACTAACTTAGTTTAGATTGATATTATTGTATTACATATATTTCTTGATCCGTAAAGAATTAGAACGCGAATTATATATGAATTTTACAGTGCTCGACGAGATCTATCCAACCGGTTTAGACTGATTATCCATTTTGTTTGTACTTATTACCCAGACATATTTTTTACATTCACTCATCTTCAAAAAAAAAAAGAAGAAAAGAATAAAAAATAAAATATTTTGATAAACATTACAAACAATTTGGATAATCATTGCAAATAATTGGATAAGTAGTACAAGATGGTTGGATAACTAGTACAAAAAAATAGGACAATCATTTTCATTAAAAGAGCAAGGAAAAAAAAAGTCGGATAACCATCCATCACTGAGAAGTCGGATAGATAATCAGTATGAACATATTGGACAGATTTTTTTCTCAAAAGAAGAAAAAAAGAAGAAGAGAAATTATGTTTGGATAATCAGTGAAAACGATTGGATAAGGCATACAAAACGGTTGGATAGTCAGTACAAAAAAACTGGATAAGGATTTCCGCAAAAGTAGAAAAAAAAAATGATCGGATTATCTACAGAACAGTTGGATAATCAATACGAACGCGTTGGACAACCATTTCTTTTTTTCAAAAAAAATAATAATAAAAAGAAAAACCAAATGGATGGATATCCAGTACAAACGAGTTGGATATCCAATAGAAACCAAATGGATATCCAGTACAAACAAGTGGGATATCCATTACAAACAAGTTTGATAGGCATACAAACCAAATAGGTAGATATCCAGTACAAACAAGTTGGATAACCAGTTCAAACTGGTTGGATAATCAGTATAAATACAATGGATAACCAATTTAAAATGAATTGGGTTATCCATCTTTCTAAACTAGATATCCATCTTATTCTGCCCATCGAAATTTAGTCATTTTTAAACTCAAAAAAATGTTCGACATGAATCTTGTTGGATAGATCTCGACGAATACAATAAAATTTATGCGTAACATGTTTTCTAATTCTTCACGGATTGAGAGATATGATCGTTTGAATATTAGAGATTTTTTTTAGAAGAGAGAGAAAAAAGTGACAGGGACTAAACTTGCAAATAATAGGAAGATTATTAGAAAAAGTAAAAAAAGTACAATAAGGACTAATAGTGCAAAAAATATGAGGGGGAGTATGATGTCCCCGGATGCACCCAATAAATTGCCCTCTTCGACGGCACTTACTGATTGATCTGGTTTTATTTTTTTTTATTTTTTTGGAAAAATTAACGTAGTGCCACAATCCTAATATGCTTCCTAAGACATGTTGTGTTAAAATATAGTAGCCAAGATTAATTAGAACCCGGTAGGTATTGGCATATTGATGGGAGAATGAGCAGATTAATTATAGTAGTATTCGTGATTCTTGTCTTCCACTATTCTAATTCTGGAATTTTCCTTCCAATATGGAAACTTCTTCTTCAATTTTATTTTTTTCTCTTTTAACGCCAAAAAACTTACATAAACCTACACAGTGAGAGGAAAACACTTGCCTAAGTAAGCGTTGGGTGACAAGCAAAAGGAAACTTCATTCTTATGGATCCCCGGTCCGCGCTATTCAATCGAACTTAATCCTTCTTTCAAAAGAGAACCAAAAAAAAAAAAAAAAAGGAAAACACCAAATTTTGTGGAAATGTAAAGGAGTGATTTAAAAAAAAAAAAAAAAAACCTTTGCAATTCAGACAAATTTTTTGTCTATTTTTGTTTTCTTCCTTCTTTTCTTTCTTTTATTATTTCTTCTTTTAGGCTAAATACTAAAAGAAAAGAACACAACAAGTAAGATAGAAGAAATTCAGGAAACACACACACAAAAAAACAAAAAAAAAAATGCCAAAAATCAAACAGTTGGAAGTGGGGTAAGGTAAGCTAATAAATGTGATGATCAGCATGATAATCCCCAAAAAAGGGCAAGGATCCAACGAGAGTATCATCTCAGCAGCAGCAGACTCAGGGCTATTTATGTATCCCTCCTCCTCACCCCAATACAACAAATTCCCTTGTTTTCTCCCCCCCTCAAAAAACCACCTCCCTAACTAACCAATTCCCAAAACCCCCCCATCCCTTGTCATCACTTCAACTCTTTAAAGTATATATCATTTCTTCTCCAGCCCATCTTTCTTGGGCACTCTCCTTTCCTCCCACCGTATTGGCATAATATGGAAGGCGGTGGAATTAAGTCGGAAAGTAGTAAAGATTACACACAAGATGGCACTGTTGATCTTCATGGCCAACCTGTTCTTGCTCATAAGACTGGCAAATGGAAAGCTTGTTCTTTTCTTGTTGGTATGAATTCTTTCTCCCTCTAATTCAATCTGCTTAACTCCTTATGTAACATGTTTATCTTTCTTTTTTTTTTAAGTATTCGATTCCAGTCTCCATTAGCAGAGAAAAAACGTTCCCTGAAAAAACAGTATCACTATTCACTAGTGAAGTTTGAACTCTCCACTTGTGAAAAATAGATGACTAGATTACTGCCCAGCTATACCATTCTTGAAACTACTCCATCAGTTTCAGTTATTGTGCTTTAGTACTTTATTCATGCTTTAGTTACTTGTTCCTACCTATGATTGTAGCCAGACAAAAATTTGTCGTATATGTTTATCAAACTTGCCGGGCCGTTTATTTCCTTCTTTTGGAGCTGATCTTCCAACTCTGAATTAATCAAAATCATACCAGAAATGGAATAATCCTGGGGGTTGTATGTTAGATGATCAAAAACATCAAAGCCCGGATTAACTTATGATATCACATGCAAAGTGAGGGACAAAAGCTGTAATCATCATTCATTAAGGATAACTAGTGCTTCCGTCATACTATATTTAGTGCCAAAATGGTGAGTGGTCTCGCTCTTATGTGGCCAAGTGGTGGCTCGATAGCCTTAGACCTAGATTTCCCCACCACCTTAATGTGGTCAACATGATCATGACCACATTGATTTGTAGCTTTTTTTTTTATTTAAGGCATAATGATTTTGTTTCTTTTATTTTAAAATGAGATCTTACTTCTTTTCACAAATTGTATCTAATTAAATCCAAATATAATAATTATTGTTAAACATAATGTTACAATATATTTATTGGTGGCAGGGTATGAAGCATTTGAGAGGATGGCTTTCTATGGGATTGCATCAAATTTAGTGGTGTATTTGACAACTCAACTTCATGAAGACACTGTTTCTTCCGTTAGAAACGTTAACAATTGGTCCGGGTCAGTTTGGATGACGCCTATCTTGGGTGCCTATATTGCGGATACTTATTTAGGTCGCTTTTGGACCTTCACCATTTCCTCTTTAATTTATGTCATGGTAAGCTAAATTAATCTATATTATCTTCCATTTATACCAAAGTATAAAAAATTACGACAGCCTTTTTTTTTCTTTTTGCATTTTTCTTTTGTTGTATGTTAAACGCACTAAAGAATCTTCAAGATAAAAGATTTGTCAATTCCAAATCTAATCTCGATTTTCTTTTTCATGATTCCATGTTTATGTTATTGCGCTATCTTTAACCTGACCATTCATTTGTTTGTGTTTTTGCCTTATAATTGCACAACTTTATCACTCCTACTTGTTGATTTTTTTTTACTTGGGAAAAAGGGAACACAATATAACGATCCTTGTGATATTTGGTTCGTGGGGTACTCTTTGTGGTGTAAATGATATCCACATAATAATCATATCATACCCCCAAAAAAAGTACCTTATTCATTCTTAATTAACATTTCACCAACCTTAATAGTGCATTCTGCTCGTGGCGTTTTCTCATTGTGGGGCGGAAAGAAAAAGGAAAAAAAAAACCCATCATAAAGATTACATTTTTATTTTTTTCACTTTTGTTTTCACAGGGAATGGTGATGCTAACCATGGCAGTTTCTGTTAAGTTTTTGAGACCAACATGTTTCAATGGAATATGCAACAAGGCATCTAGTTTACAAGTGGCGTTTTTCTACGTTTCCCTCTACATAATTGCAATTGGAGCCGGGGGAACCAAACCCAATATATCCACATTTGGTGCTGACCAATTTGATGATTTCAACCCCACTGAGAAACAGTTCAAGCAATCCTTTTTCAATTGGTGGATGTTCAGTGCTTTCATTGGTGCCCTTTTCGCCACCCTTGGACTTGTGTACATTCAAGAAAACTTGGGTTGGGCATTAGGGTATGGTATCCCCACGGTCGGACTTGTCATTTCCCTCATCTTGTTTTATGTTGGTACCCCGTTTTATAGGCACAAAGTTAAGAAAACAAAGAGCCCCATGGCTGACTTCCTCCGTGTCCTAATCACCGCAATTGCCAACAGAAAGCTTGAGCTTCCTATTCATCCATCCGAGCTTCATGAGCTTGACCAACATTATTATATCACCACCGGAAGACGCCAAATTCATCACACTGCTGTTTTTAGGTAAGCCCGTTTGATTTAATTCAATTTTTACTACAATTTCTCAAATTTTAGTATTATTCGATATCTCCAATACTCTGGGAATAAATGTGCATCGTACCTTTAGTATTTCAGTACTTGCTATATTATAGCCATGTGGAAAACCTTAATTCGTACGACGGTACGAGATTCCTTCATTTCCTATGCTGTGGGTATTTCAATTTGCCTGACCTAATCTTCTCAGTACGATGAGCAGAATGGTGCACATGTAGGAGGGGGTCCCTGTTTGTTGGACAAGATTTTACACATCTTTTTTCTCGTGGTCATTTTTTTATGGGCTATTATAATTCCATGAAAGTTCATTCTGATAAATTAGTGATAATGCGCTTTTGCAAATTGGCAAAAGTCGACGCTACTGTCGATATTATACAGTTTACTATTAGTATTATGTGTGTGTGTATGTGTGATGGTCCAAAAAGCAATTATGGATGATGGGACATTTTAAGGGCTCACTCCTGATTGGCTCAAAGTGTCTGACTTTGCCATATCATAAATTTATCTCAACAGGGGACACCACTTTTTGTTGTTAGCTTCTAGCTTTGATGTGTTGTATAAGTCAAATTTCACGAATATCCTAAGAATCTTAGGTGGATAAGCGATTAATTCTGCATGTCTAAGTTCAAGGAATAATGATAATGGATTGATTTCTTCTTGACTCTGTTTTAATGGATGTTTTTCTTTCAGATAAGATTAATGGGTGTGTTTTATTCCAGGTTTTTGGACAAGGCTGCGATTAGGCCGGCCGGTCAAGATAAGCCGTCCAAGGATCCATGCACGGTGACCCAAGTGGAGGAATCAAAACTAATTCTAGGAATGACAATGATATGGCTGGTGACCCTGATTCCGAGCACCATTTGGGCTCAAATCAATACTCTGTTCGTGAAACAGGGCACCACTTTAGACCGGCATTTGAGTAAAAACTTTCAGATTCCGGCAGCATCTCTCGGAAGCTTTGTTATACTCTCAATGCTCGTAGCCGTACCTTTCTATGACCGGTATTTCGTGCCGTTTGTGAGAAAGAAAACAGGGAATCCGAGAGGAATCACATTGCTCCAGCGGCTCGGAATCGGAATCGCAATCCAACTTCTGGCGATTGCGGTTGCTTACGTTGTGGAAGTGAAGCGGATGCGCGTCATAAAAGAGCACAAAATCAAAGGGCCTAATGAAATAGTCCCCATGACAGTTTTAACTCTGCTTCCGCAGTATATTTTGTTGGGAATTGCAGACATTTTTAACGCCATTGGGTTGCTGGAATTCTTCTATGATCAATCCCCTGAAGACATGAGAAGCCTTGGGACGAGTTATTTTACGAGTGGGATCGGAATTGGGAATTTCTTGAACAGCTTCTTGGTGACGGTGGTCGACAGAGTGTCGGGGAGGAATGGAAGAGGGAAGAGTTGGATTGGGAAGAATCTGAATGATTCGCATTTGGACTATTACTATGGGTTTCTTTTGGTCATTTCTGTTATAAATCTGGGGATCTATTTGTGGGCGTCCAGGAAATATGTGTATAAGAGAGAATCCAACGAAGTTAAGGTTGGTTGTATAGAATTAGATGACAAGCCCAACGAGAAAGTGCCTGTTTAGTTATGTCGTTTGTTAGGGTTTTGTTAACTGGAATTTAACCTGATTTTTCCGCTTGATGGAATTAATCCTGCATTGTAATAAAAATCTCATCTGATTTTTTTTTTTTCTCTTGTGCATAAATTTACTCATTATGGAAAAATTTTGGGTTTACGTTGTTTTTCAAATGCTATCTAACTAAATTAACAGGAATCGTGAGAAGTATGCTAACTGGATCATAATTAGTTTTTTGGTAACTAGTAAGGGGATCACCGTCCAAGAAAATAAAAAAAAGTGTCAATTCCTCTCATTTTCTTAAACAGGAGAAGAAAGAAAAAGTGGGTAACAATTGTGCTAAACAGATGAGTCAGTTTTAGCGCTGAAAAAAATCATATTAAGCTGAGATTACACATCTGTTGCTCTCAAGACTCAATTCTAATCATGAACAGTCGTAACCATTTTGGATCTTGAGCTGAATGGGCCTTGTAGGACATTCATTTGATAGATATCTCAATAGAAGGATTGGGAACGGTGGGACATTTAAGACAATTTGCTCAAGTCCATTCTCCAGTGTCAGGGCGTACTAATTTGGTTGGATGAACCACCGGATGAACTGAATCCATCATTATAGTATATTGTAGTTGGTGTTTCTCATCAACAATCTGTAATAATTTTATCAAGCAATAAACCTCCTTCTATCGTACCAAAAAACAAAAAAAAAATGTCCATCGTCTCTGAAATAACTCATAAACCCCTGTAATAACATTTCATACAACCTTGGAAGTCTCAAGACAATTGGCTCAAAAGATCAATATAACAAACAACAAATAAGCAAATATCAAATTGTAAGCGAGTATTCAGAGTATTTCTGCTATAATTACTTTGTGTTCCTTAGGGAATTAACTGCAAATGGTATTTCACATGCTTATATTTCATTGGTGTGACAAGCTATATTAGAATTACGATTTCTTATTTTATATGCTCCATTTCAGTAGTTCACATTGCTTTAATGGACGGATGCAATACTATTTTTCAATAGATTAAGTAAACACCAACCAAGTCAATCGCATTTCCAGAATGATCCGACTGCAGAAAGACCTCTGTGTCATTTTGGTCGAAGTTTCGTTCCTTGCTGTATAAATTACTTGCATCAAAATTCACCAACTCCCTCAGTTGATCAAGTCCAATCTAATCCCTTAGGCTTAAAGAAAATGTACACTGGATCTAACTGGCTAAAGAAAGTCTTTCAAAAATATATATTCTTTCTCCGCGGTTACTTTTCTGCTCCCACTACTACCATATCATATACACTCGTTAAATTAGATCTCACTTTAAAATATTATCCTCGAGTATGATCGTCTAGATTTTTTTGTCGACTTTATTCTAGTAAGCGTTTTTTTTTTTTTTTTCAACCATGCAAAAACAAGGGTCAAAAGCATTGATTCGGTTTTTGGTTTTACATGGTCGTAAAAGTCCTGTTGATTTTAACGTTAGTTTCTTCAGTCTTCACCAAATGAAACAGATGATGGTTAGTTTCCCGGGTCCCTTTACATTGACAAATTCTCGTCACTCTCAGCCTTATTTGACATTCACGCCCTCCCAATCTAGGTTCTACGACCACTTTACTTATTGTCATTGGCTCTTTTTTGAAAATACACAAACGGGTTCTAATTTTTTCCTTGTTTGCCTTTAATTAAAGTTGTTACTTTCAAATCAAGTCTCAGGGTTAGGTAACCTGCTGTGCCCAACAAATTTAACACATTTGAGGCAAACCAGTCTAACCTCAGTAACCATTTTGCGCCTATATAAACTTCGAGATTTCATCCAATTGAAGCATAACAAACTCTTTTTTAACAGTTTTCATCATCATAAGTACTTAATCGTACGTTTTCTTAGTTCAGAAATGGCTTCATTTTCCTCTTTTATCGGTTTAGGTATCTTTGTGCTCTTCCTATGTAGTACTGGAAGCACTTCTGCCCAGTTGTCCAATAATTTTTACTTCCATTCCTGCCCCAAGCTTTTTGGCACCGTGAAATCCACAATGCAATCTGCTATAAAACAAGAAGCCCGGATGGGAGCTTCCATTCTCCGCTTGTTCTTCCATGATTGCTTCGTTAACGTAATTTCCATCAACTTCCTTATTTTCTTTTTTATTCAAAAATTTTGCAACTTCTTTCGATCCTATTTTAATGTAAAATTGTGTCTTACTAATAAGTACGATATAATAGTAAGTACTGTATAAGTAACTTTTGGTCTGGTCCACGGTTAACAACAGTAATGATGCTGACAAGTTACGTGCATGATTCTCTTATTAGTTTCAAAGCTCCTATTATCAATTAGTTAATCACATTACTTTATCCTGAGGGTAGGCCGGTGCTTTTGAAATATCAAAGCCGTTGACTAATTAAGAATTTACTACGTAACAGGTCTATCTAATTAAGAATTTATTACGTTGGTGGATCGTAATATGAGTCATATTTGTACAGTAACACTGCAGTGCAATCCAATCATTAAGTTAATCATTAGCATTAACCGACAAACAATTGTTAAATGAGTAATTATTCACTTGTCTGAATTCCTTAAGTTTTGGTATGTTTAAGAAATGATTGGATGAATTTGCAGGGATGCGATGGTTCAATCCTGCTGGACGATACATCCTCATTTACAGGGGAGAAGAGAGCAGCTCCGAATTTGAACTCAGCCAGGGGATTTGAAGTGATTGACCAAATTAAATCCGCCGTGGAGAATGTCTGTCCCAATACAGTTTCTTGTGCCGACATTCTAGCCGTTGCTGCTCGTGACTCCGTTGAAATCGTATGTTCCATTTCCAGATCACTTTTCAGTTTTCAAACAATTCATTTAATCAAAAACTAAACAGGGGTATTTTGAATTTCTGTATTCTGTATTTGTGAATTTGATCAGCTTGGAGGTCCGAGTTGGGAAGTCAAACTCGGAAGAAGAGATGCTAGAACAGCAAGCCAGTCAGCTGCAAATAACAGCATCCCACCTCCTACTTCCAACCTTAATGCCCTCATTTCCAGATTCAATTCCTTCGGTCTCTCTGCCAAGGACTTGGTTGCATTATCCGGTTCGAATTTGATCTCACTCTGTTTTCTTCCATTCTAGTTTCTTCTTATTAGAACTGGTAAAAAATTATTCCAACGTTTTTCGGGTCTTTCTTAAATCATGTCAGGATCACACACAATTGGACAAGCTAGATGCACGAATTTCAGAGCTCGGATTTACAACGAGACCACCTTGGATACTTCCCTGAGACAAACCAGGCAAAGCAATTGTCCACGTGTCTCCGGACAGGGGGACAACAACCTGGCACCTCTTGATCTTCAAACTCCCACCAATTTCGACAACAATTACTTCAAGAACCTTGTGAATCAAAAAGGGTTGCTTCATTCGGATCAACAGCTGTTCAATGGAGGATCCACTGACTCGATTGTTAGAGGATACAGCGCCAACCCGGGCAGCTTTGCGTCTGATTTTGCCGCCGCCATGATCAAGATGGGTGACATCAAGCCTCTTACTGGATCCAAAGGAGAAATCCGGAAGAACTGCAGGAGGATTAATTAATTAAAAGCCCAACAACGCTTCTTGTTCGTGGACTTTTGAGTAGTCGATGTGGGCTTTAAAATTTATTATTGCCCACTTTTTTTTGTGTTTCTTGTGCTGTGTGGGCTTTTCAGTTTTAGCGCTCCTCTTTTTGTACTAGTCTGTCGCATCAGGATTCTGATCACTGTTGTTTCACTTTTTTTTATGTGTGCGAGATTTTTTGTTTGGTTTTCTTCCAAAATCCTAAAATGTTGCCTCTCGTGACGTTAGGGAAATGTGTGTTAGAGACTTCTTTTGCTTAATCCCTCTTTTTGTATAGCATCCGATCTACAACTACAAGTACTAAATCTACTGTTCAGACTCATCTAAGTTCCCATGGAGCAAGAAAATCAATGTAAGGGGTGCAAAATTTAGAAACAAAAAATTAATACTCCCTCCATTTCAAAATATAAGTCACTTTATACTTTGCACGTAAACTCAGGAGACAATTATCCAACTATTAATTTATGTGTTAAATATGTGTTTTACCCCTCATTCATTACATTGGAACTATAAACAAGACTAAATGAAAATATATTTACATCATTTATTGAGGGTAAATTTCGAAAAATAGTCATTAATTTGCCTCGAATTTGTAAAACGATCTATATTTCGAAAAAATCTCTCCAAATCTAAAATGACTTACAAATTGAATTAGAGGGAGTAATGAGTTAGAAATTAATGCAGAAGTATAAAAAATTATATAATACATAATTTTCTATTAAAAATTTAAGATACCTTTACTAATTTCAAAATTGAACAGGTACGACTGCACTCCTCCATCCTCCCCTAACTCCGCCACCCTAACTAATTCTAAAATTGCTATGGTCAGTGGAAAATAATTATGGTAAGTATTTTTTTTTTTAAATTTAAGTAATGAAGATATAAAGCCGTAAAATCAATGGCGGGAACTAAGGGGATAAAAGGACGTGGTCGCACCTGCTCAATTTTTTTTTGAAAAAGTTTAATTTTTTTAATTAATAGAAATATCCTAAATTTTTAATAGAAAATCATATATTATATAATTTTCACATCCCCGACATTGAATTTTGGGTCATTAATAATTTTTTTTTCTTCTAAATTTTGCACCACCTACATTGATTTCCTGACTCTGCATAAAATGGAATGCTACGAGATAATATACACTTTCTTCTTTTCCTCTTTTTTTCTTATTATAGAATGGCACCACAATAAGAAGGTAACAATTTTTTTTCCTCAAAAATTTCACGATAACAACAACGTTGCTATGTCAAAAATGAAGATACGTGACTAATCACGAGACTTTAGTACTCCCATCAATCAGGGGCGGCTTCACCACCATAAAGCAGGTGACGCCGCCACTTTAGGCCCAAATTCTTAGGGTCCTAATTTTTAATATTTTTAATATTTTTAATATCATATATATGTATATATTTTTTTTAGAAAAATATATCATAAAAAAATTTATTTATTTGAATTTTAACTCCAAAATTATTTATATATAGTAGGCGGAGTTTAAAAAAGTTTCTAAAATTATAAAACCTTAATTTTGCTTATAATAAACTTTTGGTTGTAATTGTCGATTCAAAATATGAATAAGGAAGAAGGTTAACTTTTTTCTTTTGTTAGTTTTTTAACTTTCAAAAGGGCTAAATTTCGAAACTCGCTTTAGGTCCTTGACACTTTAAGCCGCTACTGCCTTCAATCCCCTTAAATATTTTTCTCCCTAGTATTTTCTTGACAGTATAAGTGGATTGTTAAAGTTAAACGACGGGAGGAGTATCGAGAGTGAGGTTTGTAGCAAGAGAGAATGTCTAATGCCAGTACACAACCATTAATTAGCTCTGAAAACAAAGTAAGATTGCTTGCAAACTAGGTCCAATTAATTCATCAAGCCCCGAATCATCAAAGTTTGACGACTAAACACATTAATTTCTGAAAAAAAACATCGGATCACTAAATTCACGTGCTCTTTGTTGTTCATATGATTTCCCAAGGAATAAAAGATTACATCCAACCATAAGATTTTCATTGTCCAATTTATACAGCCTTAGTTCATGAACTAAGAGTTTAATTGTATGAATGGACAGTACTGAGTCTGAACTAGCTAGGAGAGCTAAGTCGAAAAAACTGTACATGTAAAGATAAGTTAAAATGATGCCAGGAGTGGAAGCAACCGCGACTTTTCAACCAAAATTCCACCCCCATCATCATCTTAATCTTTATATATTACGAGAGTGACAGTTTAAATTCGTTTTTTTGGGGCTGCTTTAGAATCCGTCAAATGAAGAGAAGAAATGGGGGTGGGGCGGGCGAGGGGGAGAGGAGGAACTAATTAATCTAAGATCGCAGGATATGGCGACTGATGATCACGAAGACAAATTGATCAGTTCAGTTCTTACATAATTTGTAAGACACAAATTAGTTAACATTAAAACTCATTTAAATTAATTTTGTTTTATAATTAGGACTAAAAAGAGTACGTAGGATTCATGATTTCATTATTTAATCCAAGCTGAACTCTACACGCCAAGATAATCAACGTTTGTATAGCTGGCAGTATTATTGACTGTCTAACAGCACCCCCTCCCTATACAACTACTAGTATAGGGATATGCATCCCTATACTAATCAAGAAAAATACACCAGTACGACCTTTTAATCAGCCCTTTGATTAATTTCGATTTCTACAACTCCACCAATTTCATCAGTACCGCTTTGTTCTGTTTGGTTAAACTATTTTTTATTACAAAATGACAAGGTGGGCTACTAAAACTAGAGAGGGAAAGTAGATGTAACGAAATTGTAGGCATGCATTATGAATCACTACTACTATTATATATAATATTTCTTGTACTTACATAAACCAAAATGAACATGATCCATTTCTAGTTCAAGCGTTTCTCCTAAAAAAAAAACAAAGATATCTAATTTAAGCTCAACTATGAATTTAAATCATATCGTCTGTTTGCGTCACAAGCATTAGAGCACACGCTTGTACTTTTTTTATAGATTGACAGCGCGGAAACGATAAAATCAAGAATTTGACTACACGGAAGGAAGAAGAAGGTATATAGCATGATTACAGATTGCGTCCTGATAATGAATAACAAAACACATGATGGAAGTGATGTAGCCATACCAAGAAATCAACCTGATTTTCATCAAAACAAATAAAATTTGGCAGGTAATGCAGGACCGCTGCTGTATCTATATTCAGGTTTCCTAACAGTTCCGGTCACACAATAATTTAAATTTAATTCATAGTACACTTAATAAGGTAGGTAAATCTGTGGAAAATTCATTCATCCTTCGTCACCACCTTTTTCAATCTTAATTACAACAACATTATTATGCATGGTAGCCATATATAGACAAATATGAAAGGCCGTTTGTTAATTAATTAATCCAAAAAAAAACACAAATATTCATACTACAGAAATTCTTAACATCTGAAAGATAAGATAACAAACTTACAAGTTGATTGATGTCAGAATATTGTATCATCAGTAAATATAAAGAAACGGTGCAATATGGATCAATTGTTAAAACTTACAAATAAACTAACATGATGGAGGAGGGATTAATAGTGTCATTTACTTGTGTATGCATGTATAAGATATAAAAGGAATATTGCTCAACCAAAAAAAGGGATATCATGATCGTTTGAGATAGAGCTAAAATCATGATGATGATCAGGTGGTGGTGCACTACTAGACGCCGGAGGCTGAGGTGGCGGTGGCGGTGATGAGTACATGGAAGCTGAAGAAGAAGAAGAAGATGCATGAGGATGAGGAAGATCAAGCAGTAAACGGCCGGACGGCGGCAGAATCGGCGGCGGTGGCAATGATGCTATTGAAACAACTCCAGAAGAGAGTAAGGCTAAACCGTGATCAGATGGGTCAACAACATGATGAATATTTATGTTATTATTGTTACTGTTTTCTCTATATTTATATCTTAGAATTTCACTTCTTACTGCGTGTAATTCTGCTTGCAAAGACTGAACCTGTTGTTGCAAAGCCGAGATAGCTCCCATGCATCCGTAGACCGGATCTCTGAGCCTCACATTAGCCTCGTAAACCAGACTGTTGGCCGCATCGGATCTTTGGCTTTCCGGCACTTCCATCAGCATCTTCGACACGTTACTAGCCCCGAACACTTTGTGAACCGACGCGAATTTCTGAGGCTCGTGCGGTGAAAAGTAGGGAGAAAACGGACATTCTTGTGCACAGCGTCTTCTCAGTAATTTACAAGCTGCGCAAGGCGTGATTGTGTTGAGGCTTCCTCCTAATAATGACAGTGATGAAGAAGATGATGATGATACAAGAGCATTTCCTGATCTGTTAATTATCAATTGATTATGAATGTTGTTGAATTGTGCATCTGATTCTCTCTTGATCTTCTTCCCTATCTCCTCAATCCTCTCCCTGCACATCAAAATAAATAAATAAATTATTAGTTTGATCAATTTTATTGTACAACAAAACCAAAAATCATACACATTCATTCTAATTACTTTTGATTGTTATGATTGAGGAGGAAAAAAGCTGTGTAAATAAACTTATACCTTTCTCTAGACATTCAGGCATGCTCTACTGGTGCAAAGCTGCCCTCCAAATAATTGAATTTGTGCCCACAATAATAACACAAAGGGAGGGGAAAAAGAGAGATGAATTGATGATGATGAAAAAGGAAAGGGGAAGAAGAAGAAAGTGAAAGAATTAGGAAATAAAACTGTATGTGTGTATGGAAAAGGGTGTGCTTAAAAGGCAAGATAAATCTCAGAAAAAGATGGTCCAGAGTTCTGTTATAGAAAAAAAAAAAAAACTGACAAAAGAGAATTGTGTTGTTGAGTAGTATAGTACTACTACTAAGCTAGCTAGCTAGCAAGTATATAGCTTTGGGAACTGAAAAAGAGGTTGAAACTCCCTTTTGTTTATTAAGGCTATCAGATTGGTGGCTTTGATTTTCATTCTGGCTTATGTGCACGAAGATTGAATCTGATCAAACTAGAATTCTAACCCAGTATGGCAAAAGAATTTTTTTTGGAAAAAAAAAAACAAAAAAAAAAACCTCTTTTGAGACTTCTCAAGAACGTCCTCACGTGTGCATTAATCTTACTGTAGTAGTTGACTTTGTCAACGCTGATTAATGTCCAGCTTACATTTTAGTAGCATTTTTGGGTTCATTTTTATAGAGTGATTCATGAAGGTGGTATTGGTTTCTATGTTGGATCGGAAGAGCATAAGTGCTACTCATGATGGGGAAGAAACCCAATTAACATCTGGAGTATAGTGAAGCTTTTTGTTTTGTCAACATCTGATTCTTAGCAAAGCACCTGAAATCCTTCCGTTCTTGGTATGAAGTGATATAGAAGAAGAGCTTTTGTCAGTGATATATGATCAATGATGCGCCCAGGTGTTGTTGTTAGGGCATTGGTAGTTTTTTGTCAATGTCAATGACTACTCGCTTGCTTTCATTAAAATGTCCATTTTCGTGTCTATTTCACTCCTTGGTTTACTTCCTTTTTAATGGAAACTAAAAATCATATATTCTCCTTCCTCTATTCAAATGATACAAAATACGCTACAACTTTTTGCAAAAACCTTGTTGGTACATTCAGATATAGGAGACTGTCATGGCGCGTTTAAATTACACGTACTCCTCTTATCCCGAAATTATTGTCTAGTTAAAATTTCACTTTTAATACAATTTAAACTACAAATAATTATCCAAACTGGACAATAATTTTTTGACAAAAAAAGTAATATATATCTCGAGGAACAAGGATATTGGCAAAACTGCATCAGGCATCTTTATGCAGGCATTGTGCAATGTCATTTATATGTGCTTATCAAATTTCCAGGTATATATAGGAATACTTTTAGATAGATATATAGTAGTCTGTCATGAGCGAAGGAGGATTAGTGTCACTATTATTGATGTTAGATACTTTGCGATAAAAAAAAATTAAATTTTTTTTAAAAAATGGATATAAAGTGTGTGTACTATACATTGTATTATTGGCCATTAAGTGATTAGTGATACCAATGCATAATTTCCATTTCGTAAGTAGTAGCCTACAATCCAACTAATTGATTGGCATTGGTTAAATTAATTAATACTAATCCTTCTCGTTCTATTAATGAGGTAAAACTTAAACTTTAGTGTTAATTTGTATCTTGTAAATAAGACTATTTAGAAGGAATAGTAACGTTAGAGCAATATTGACCGGAGTCCAAGTCTCCGCATGAAAATAATTGTTGAGATGTGTATTTAGTGAGCTTGAATGAGTTTGGTAAATGGTATGTTCCGCTGAAGATGTTATGTCGTGTATGGTTGAAGGGGAAAAAACAAATTACTATTAACTTGGAGGAAGATCCAGAGAGAGTCAGAAACTGATAAGAATGTAATCAGGGAATTGCGTAAAGAAAGCTGTCACGACCGTACATAGGTGCGTGCAACAACAAAGAGAGACGAATGAAAAGAGAACCAGAGATAAAATCAAAATTAAATAAATGTTACAGAACTACAAGTAGTAATTAATTAACCCTTCCCTCCTCCAATATTTTAAGTTCAATGAATGGAACATATATGCAAAGACTTGTTTCCAAAGTATCAATCGGATCACATCTCACCCACTCCCCCCAGCCCCAAATTAACAATTAAATGATCAATTCATAAATTTTCATTTCAATGTACTAGGTTTTTATCAGTCCATTTCCCATCGCCTCGCCCCCCGCGCCTGCTAATTTGCTAACTTTTCAGTACGTGGAAAAATTTAAGCAGTAACTAGGTTGACATTGAATAATAACAGCAAGACAAGTGGAGTTGCAGTAAAAATGGTCCAGGCAATATTGACGGGTGGTTCAAAGGGCAGAGACAGAGCCACAGAGGGCTCTGCGGATGAAGAAGACGCGGTTGGCTGCGAGTTCGTGGGGTGTTATTTCAGAGTGGGTGATGATGGGGATCATACCAAAAAAAATTGGGAGTTGTTTCGACTTTTTATATTTCTTATAAATGTATTATTTTGCTTAAACTCTAAGGCAATGACACCATCTTCCCTTCTTGTTTGACCCTTATCTTCAGCCTAATACCTCGCTCTAATTCCACTATTTCCCACACATTATGGCTTATGCATGCATTTTATACTAGCTGGTCATACAGCTCCATTGTTTTGTTGTTTAACAGCGAATTTGTAAGTTATGGTGGACTACCATGGACAATTTATATATCGCCCAATCATGATATTTTTCTGAGGTTTGTTGTTACTTGTGTATTGGATATGTATCTGATTTACACAAATGGTAAACCAAAATTGTCAAGGAATTATAATTGAATGTTAATTAAGTATAACAAAGTTGTAAGGTTTGGAATCTGCCTACACTATAGAACAATCTTACATCTTTTTATCAACTATTTCATTTATCAAAATGATCTTCATTTCATCTCTCCTGGCTAATCTGACTTTGGGATCTTGTACTTTTAAGCATATGTAGTAATATTTTCATTGCTTATCAATAAACATTACAACTAAAATTAGCGAAGCAAGCCCCTAAAATCCAATATGGGGTGTAAAACATAAGATCAATTTCCTACAATTTCAGTCGAAGCATATCATAACATGATATTTTGTGATTTTAATTGGTATTAGTGTGCAACCAACATTCATTTTGTGCATAAATGAAAAGGTATTATATAGGTTGAATGTTGATATGAATACATAAAAATCATTAAAAAAGAATGTCACGAAGGTGACTTTTAGAACCCAAAACAGAATAGGATTTCAGAGGGTTTAAGGAAGAAGGGGGAAGAAGAGGAATGAATCAGAATTTTGGGGGACAAAAATCAGAAAAATAGAAGAAGGAATTCATTCATTTCATCGATAATCATCACAGTAAACCGGTTTGCAATTTATCCCTAATAACTAGAGTTTTCAAATTTAGAACATAATCCCTTAAAATTAAACTAATTCTAAAAAACCTGTAAAGCATGACAAAGAACAAGCGAGTGAAAACCCAAACAAATTCGTATCCGGGCAAAACTTTTCTGGGTTCCACAGAAATCATTTCCCATGGGCCCTAATGGAAGAAACATTCAGCAGTCCAAAAATAAAGTCCGCCATTTATTTTAGACTGACACTTAGGCCCAAATTATCATTACACAGAGAACTACGAATCCAACGTTTATCAGATGGGGGAAAAAACGACCCAAGACGGCAAGTGGGCGAGTGGCGACAATTCCTTAATTAGTTGTGAGAGACTCAACGAGTTATTGTTGAACTTTGAACAGTAGAGACTCATGTGTCATTAATCGGAGTTTGTGCGAGAGTAGTAATAATGAAAAATTCCAAACCAATAATTGGCTCAACAAAGTTGTAAAATCAGCCACATTTTGGTGCTAGCCTCCTAGGTAACTTCATCAACATCTTTATTGGACCTAAAATGCTTTAATTTCCTAAGGAATCCAAACCAAATTAAAGTAGCAGCTGCTTCAGACTAGCATAAATATGTGTATGTGTACATAAATATTTTTGGACTGACCAAATTCTGTTTATTAATTGATGACCAGATTGTATCAATTTTTTTTTTCTTTTAATAAGCTTTCAGTAATTAAACCCTTTCATCTCAAGAAGGAATAATATTGAAGTTTATTGTGACCCCCGGTCCGCTGGTCCCTGGAGAGCTAATAACCTCAAAGATTCCTCTTCAATGCAATATTTTTCGACACGTGGTCTGAAATTCTGCTTGGTTTGTTGTTGGTTGTGCACTGTCTTCATAAAGAAGAGTAGGGAAAGGTTAAAAAAAAAAAAGCACTGGTCCTAATCGAGAAAGTGATTCCTAGAAACCGACTTGAGAGAAGAGAAACAATTGATTGCAATGCACTCTCTCAGTTTCTGGAAAAATTAGTTCGTATTGAAATATGGTTACAACAGATATTTTATGCATTATTATTTATCTAAAAAGTAGAATGAATAACAAATTTATCTTAAATTTTGTATATAGACCAAAATTGACAAATAATTCTGTACACGTACTATTTTCCGATTGAGCGAATAGCAGGAAGCCACAAAAACCACCTTCCGAAAAGAATTGCAATTAGGGATACATTCAGATGTGAACACTATTATATTGAAAGCAACGTACGTATTTGATATTTTTAGTGTTGTATCAATCGCAATTCACCAGGAGGGGTTTCATTCATCATTTAATAGAGAGACACCGGCATACCTCATAAGCCCGGGCTATGTTATGATTAAATTAATTATATTATGCAACGCCAATGCTCCATATCATCTTTTTTTGCCTCCTAATTCTTTGATCGATCATTCCGAACACAGTCGGAATTTTGTAGGTGATTCAACATCATAATCGCAAATCAATCAATGCCCGTTGCTGAAAAGACTCCTCGCAAATTCACTATTTTCAGATGTTCTTAATGGTCTATTAACCCATTGCAATCATAATCACATCGTGAAATTCACTATTTTCAGTTGTTGGTAAATTTTTCCTGATAATAATGGCAAAGAGAGTATTTTTAGTAATTACAGTTACAAAACCGTGTACGATCGGGTGCGTAACAACAGATTAATTTTACGTTTGTCTTGCATTGGCATTATGGTACTGGTATGCAACACCACTATTTTAAAGTTTAAAAAGTTACGGGCAATTTTAAAATGGCAATTCGATACAAGTCCATTAACATTGGAAGCACGTCATCCTCCAATTGGTTATTTGAAAATTATCATGTTGACAGTGTTCTAGAATGATAAAAGTGTTTTTTTTTTCTTGCAGCTAAAAAGATTGATCAATCACTGAACTTTTTTTGTTTGTCAATAAATTAGTTTTACACTTTTACTTAAACATCTTGTGGTTGAACTAATTAATATACTACTAGTTGTTACCTAAGCGATTGGGTTTTGTCACCTCATTGAGACTACGTTTATTTCCAGTAATATTGACAATATTTTAACAATTATTTTTCGCATTCGGAACAAAATGCAAGTAAAACATGACAAAGAAAATTGCTTACACAATAGGTAAAGCAAAATATCGGCGAGGCCGCCATCAACATTAATATCTGCTGTAGTAAAATTAACATCCATAGATTAAAATTTTGCACTTTTGCTGCAGTGAACTGAATTCAGAAAGTTTTATCCGTTAGACTTTAATCTACATCATTTTCGCGTTCACTTATGTATCTGTAAAATGTAATTATTTCCCAAAATAAGATTGGCGATACAAATTTGTTCGGAATAGATTTAAGTTTGGATTTGAGTTTTTTTTTAAAAATAAAAATTGTTATTCATTTAAATAAAGATTGGCGATACAAATTGTTTTTTTTTTTTTAAGTTTGGATTTGAGTTTTTTTTTTAATAAAAATTGTTATTCATTTAAATAAAAATTGGCGATACAAATTGTTTCTTTTTTAAGTTTGGATTTGAGTTTTTTTTTAAAAAAAAAAATTGTTATTCATTTAATATAGGAAGTAAAATAAGTTTCGTCTAATTTGCGACAAAATCACGGTTGAGTAGTACTGAACGGTGGCAGCGTTACAGAGTGCAGTCCGCACGCATTTTCCCGAGAAAAGCTGCTAATTTCGTAACCGATTATTCATTCCCCTCATTGTTTCCGTTTCGTCGGTTACGTTTGTTCTTAACCTGCTCCTTTTTCCCCCAATTCTGCAAGTTTCTTCCTCGATCCTCACCCTCCCTTAGTAGTAGTAAGTAGGATCACAATTTACAAAACAGATTTCAAAAGATAATCATTTCAATTGATTCCATTAACTCTTGCATCGAAATATGATCAGAAATCAATTCGATTTTAAGCAGAAATGCTAGTACTAATGAACAATAATTGTCAAATGCTTTACAATTGCTTGAAAATGTATTAATTCCTTTGGGGCTAAGCTGTGAGCTGTAATGAAACTGTACCCGGTCCTAGAAATCAAATGGAAGATGGAAGAAATCATTATACATTCCACATTTGTCTTTCTCTGTGGGAAGAAAAAAAAAAGGGATACGTACAAATTCATATGCTCTTTGACATAATTGCCAAAAAAAAAAAAGAAATAAGAAATAAGATGATCTGTAACTTCATTTTTTTGAGGGGCAAGTGAATAGATTTCACTTTTTTGGCACCATGACAATTATCAACCACAGACCGCACATAAATCTAAAATATCATGACCCAAATAATAATCCTAAAGGGTATTATTCTAATCTAACTAATTAAAAACAAAAAAAAAAAAAGCTTTGGAAACTGAAGACACCGATCACACTGATTTCTTCTTCTGTATCCTTTTTTCAATTTGGGGTTCCTTGGCCGGAAATGGACAAAAACGCTCTTTTCATCACTTTCTTCATTGGACGACCGCCGCCACCAAATCTGATTCCACCCCCAAAGCACAGAGTTGATGTCGGTGATACCTCATTCTGCTCGTCCTCGTCATCAATCTGAAATTGGACCGCTGACGTTGACCTGGTGAGGCCGTTTTTCTTCCGGCTGCCGGACTTGTTCATCGGCGTCGACGGCATTGATTGTGACGAAGACGAGTACGACAAAGACGACGACGACGAAAACGAACCCATTTTATCATTTGCGGTTTTCCTGGTACACTTGCGGGAGAAAAGGGAGCCCAGGAAATTGGGCTTGGAGTGGCTCCGCATGTTCTTCATCGTCCGGGGGCTGAGCTGATAAGACGGCGGCGGCGTGAGCGGCGGAACCGAGTTGTCTAGAGACGGGTGTTTCGGGGTTCCCGGCTGCGACTCCCACATGAATGGGATCGAGCCGGCGGCTCCGCCGTAGTACAAAACCCGGAATGATGCTTCGCCGGCGCCGCCGCCCTTGGAGCTTTCCTTGGACAAAAGCCTGGAGAAGAACTTATCATCCTGCTTAATTTGAAGGAATTTCGGTGGCACATCACGGACTCCTTCCCTCATTTTTTGCTTTTCTTCTTCTGCTTCTAGAGTTTACTCTTGAACTCGTTATTTATCTGAAAATATATATGAATTACAATATCTCCACTCACTCGCTTGTAGATCCAGAGGAGAAAAAACAAATACATATATGGGATAATAATGGATGAGGAATATATATATATATATATATATATATATATATATAAATAAAGAAAGTCTTAATTAATCTACCAAAAAAAAAAAGAAAAAAAGAAAGACTTAACTATAGTGTGGGTGAGTGTGGGGTTTTTTTTTTTAATATTTTATTTTATTTTTGGTTTGAACCAGGTCCTATATTTTTTTTCTATTTTCTTTTACTCGGAAGAAGACGTTGTGTTTGTGACAACATATAACAAAGTTACTAATATTTAAAAGGAACACAATGAGCGGCCAGAATGGGCATACATTAATTATGGAGTTCAGGAATTGCCCGAATATGTGAATTTGACCAAGTTTAAATCTGGGCATCATTCTTTTAATTATATGGCAAATGGGTTTACATTAAATATAGGGGATTTCACTGAAATCACCCATGTGTGCCGCCCATAAGAGGGAAATCAAAAAATCAATGGAATAGTGACTCGCGTTAGTACTTAGGTACTGAAAGTTGATTAGTGTACAATGGCTCGGTTCACATCCATGGTCTTATTGTGCATACTAATCGATGAGGTAATTAACAAATGAAATCAAAATCTAGTTCTGATTTAGTTGAATTGAGGCCCTTGATTTAAGGATGAGAGGAGAGTTGGATCAATGTCCACCGTCATGACGATCAATCTAGGTGGTGATGAAATGAAGCATGCATTTAAAAAGTAAAAAAAAAAGAAGAAGAGGATACGTATATGTTGTTGGAGGCGTGAACTGTGAAAGAAGGGAGGCATTAAATGAGAAAGCATAGGTGGTCCTTGGATGTTTGTGGGAAGTAGTTGCCAATTGGAAGTAGTTCTGGTGAGACGCTAACGCATTTATGACACTATTTCTGCGTACTCAAAATATGGTGGCTTTGGTTTAGTTTTAGCCTAAAGCTTAAATCATTTTTCATAATACACACGCCACACGAGTCATGGTCCATACTCACAGAGACTCTTTCTTCTTAGGCCCGGGAAGAGTTTGCTTTTAGAAAGTACTCGTACAAAGGAGGATTATATAGGTGGTGTGAGATTTGCTGCAACAATTTATTAACATCGTCATTGAAGTTGAAGAAATGAGTGTTGATAATTGAAGGTAATAATATGGTACTCCCTCCATTTCAAAATGTAAATCTTTTTACACTTGGCACGTAAGCTAAGAATACAATCATCCAACAATTAATTTATGTATTAAATATCTTTTTTATCCCTCATTAATTACATCAGAACTATAAACAAGATTAAATAAAAATAGATTAACATCATTTATTGAGGGTAAAGTTGGAAAAATAGTCATTAATTTGCCTAGAATTTGTAAAACGACCTACATTTTGAAAAATCTACCCAAACCTAAAACGACCTACATTTTGAAATAAAAGGAGTAATTGAGTTTCCTACAAATAAATAACGTGTGTAAACTAGGTTAGTACATATTTTGTGAGTTTAAATTTCATTTTCTTATAAAACACACACTTCCTCTCTCTCTGTTCAATAAAAATAATTCACATCGAATTTTGACATTTCTATTAAAAACAATACAAAATTTAAAATTCAATGTAAAATTTTTTTGGGATAGAGGTAGTAATATATATTTCCTTAATTTGTCCCAAAATTATTGTCCAGTTTCATATTTCACTTTTAGTACAATTTCAACTAAAAATGAAAACTCAAACTGGATAATAATTATGAGACGAACAGAATATTTTTTTTTTTGAATTATTTATAAAACTACTCTCTAACGTGAGAATTCAACCAACCTTTTGATTAGCTGGAAAAATCTCTTACTAGTGATTTAATTAAAGTCATGTCATAAGAAGTTTTCTTCGGAAAAATTCTTGTAGAGGACAAAAAAACATCCGGGGTCTCCTCCCTCCTGCTCCTATTCATGATTTATAGGATGTCAAATCCAGTACAAGTTTATTACTACTTCTTTCAATTTCAATTCAAAGGTAATTAAATAGATGAAAAAAGAAAAAAGAGAGAGATACCTTGGGAAAAAATATTGTTGAATTTTAGAAGATTGATATAAGTGTTCCATATGGCGGTCTAACTATCAAAAAATAGTCAGTCTCCGCTATTGTTGTATGATGATGAATATCGATCATTTGAATTGAAGAAGCTAACTTTGACATTCATCGAAATTTCTATTCCTACTTTTACTACGAGCCTTACCTTTTCATCTACCTGAGTTAGTCACCCTCTCCCCCCATCAATTACACACAAATCCTCCCTCAATGGAACTGGACAGTTTATAATTTTCTATATGGACGCAAATTGACTTAGCAATTTGATATGACCATTCTTAAACAATGCATGTCAAATTTGATCATTGGGATTACGTATTGTTCAATGCTCACGGTCCGTTTCAGAATCCTTAATTAGTTAATTTGGAAACCGTAATCAATTACGTGATCAACATAAAATACTCATTTAATCAGATTTTTTATAAAAAAAAAATACGAAATCGAACCATATATGTAACGGAAGACTGAAACTATATCATGAGAAAATGGGCATATATATACCAAGTGGATTTAATTGGTTATATTTGAAAACGACATGATGATCACTTCCTAAAAAAATACTTATACACTCCGGCGTTGATTTATGGTTGGTGTTTTACAACTCCGGCGAGCTAGCATTAATAGTAAGCTGAGGTAAGAAGAAATTAACCCTTAAAAAATGCCGTAAAGAAGACCTCAGGTGAGGAAAAAAATCCAGTGAAACTTCAATACGTGAACGTGTCTTCTTGCGGGTTCACCGGGACGGACCGATTAACTCACATGCTAATTCCTCAAAGCACGTGATCTTCTTCTCCACATGCCTTTTTCCCCGTATCCACAGTGTTTTATTCCCTCCAAATTTCTAATCCGATCAACTACGCATTGTAAGTTGTAACATGCATGAACATTGTTATTTATTCAATCTGATATTTGAATTCAAATTTTGAAAGCATATTTTGTTATTCTTTGACCCGATAGAAGAATTATACGTCTCTAGTTAAATATTTTATATTATCTAAAATTCTCTAATCACCTTGATTACCCTATTTGAACGCAATTATAAACTAGACTAAGGTAACAACTGAGACAAAAGGAATAGAGAAGAACTTAGTGTAGAAACTCAGTGGCGAAGTTAGGATTTTGTGTTTGTAGGGGCAAAATACTCAAAAGACTAAAATATCTAAATGGTCCTTTATAATTGGGTCTACTTGAATTTACGTCCCTAACATTAACATTTTAACATCATAGTCTCAAATATTATGTTTTTAAACTTTTTCGGTCCCATTTCACTGTTTCCGGTCGTTGACATGCCAGAATCAGAAGTATTTTTTCTTTTAACTTAATTTGAATTTCAATTAAAATCTAAATCATTAAAAATATTTAAAAATTCAGATTTCATTATTTAATTGTTAAAATATTATTTATTAATTAAAAATATTATTATAAATTTTAAAATTTACATTATTTTCAAAATTAATTTTTTCATTTATCATTTATTTTAGGTCCAAGTAAATAGTAATTATGTTACACTTTTAACTTTGGACCCACTGTAACTTAAAAAAATTTACCGAGTTACAGTAAATAATTCAAAATTCAATTTCTTTAAAAAAAAGAAAAAGCAAAACTATTGTTTTTACTCTGACTGCTACAGTAAACTCTAAGTGATAATTATGTTTCACTTTTAATCTTGGACCCACTATAACTTAAAGAATTTACCGAGTTACAGTAAATCATTCAAAATTAATTTAAAAAAAAAAAAGCAAAACCAAGATTTTTTTTTTACTTTGATCGCTACAATTGAATTTTGAAATATTTACTGTAACTCGGCAAATTTTTTAAGTTACATTGGGTCCAAGGTTAAAAGTGTAACATAAGGGTTTATTGTAGCGATAAATCGCCTTGTGTTGTTTTTTCTTTTTTTAAAATAAAATTTAATTTTGAATTATTTACTGTAACTCAATAAATTTTTAAGTTATTGTAAGTCCAAGTTTAAAAAAGCAACGTAGCAGTCAGAGTAAAAAAAATCTTAATTTTTCCTTTTTTTTAAAAAAAATTGAATTTTGTATTATTTACTGTAACTCGGTAAATTTTTTAAGTTACAGTGGGTCCAAAGTTAAAAGTGCAACATAATTACCATTTAGGGTTTACTATAGCGGTCAGAGTAAAAAAAATCGTGGTTTTACTTTTTTAAAAAAAAAATTAAATTTTGAATTATTTACTGTAACTCGGTAAATTTTTTAAGTCACAGTGAGTTCAAGGTTAAAAGTGCATTATAATTACCATTTAGGGTTTACTGTAGCAGTCAAAGTAAAAAAAATATTGGTTTTGTTTTTTCTTTTTTTTAAAAAAATTGGATTTTGAATTATTTACTGTAACTCGGTAAATTTTTATGTTACAGTGGGTACAAGGTTAAAAGTGTAACATAATTACCATTTAGGGTTTACTGTAGTGGTCAGAGTAAAGAAAATCTTAGTTTGCTTTTTCTTTTTTTTTAAAAAAAAAATTAAATTTTGAATTATTATTGTAACTTGGTAAATTTTTTAAGTTATAGTGGGCCCAAAGTTAAAAGTGCAACATAATTATCATTTACTGTGTACTTATAGTAAATAGTAAATAAAAAAAATACTTTTGAAAATAATGATAAATTTTAAAATTGTACAATAATATTTTTAATTAATAAATAATATTTTAACAATTAAATAATGAAATTTGAATTTTAAAAAATTTTTAATGATTTAAATTTTAATAAAAATTTAAATTAAATTAAAAGACAAAAATATCCCTGATTCCGGCATGTCAACGGCCGGAAACAGTGAAATGGGATCAAAAAAGTGTGAAAACAAAATGTTTGGGACTACGATATTGAAATGTTAATGTTAGGGACGTAAATTCAAGTAGACCTAAATGTAAGGGACCAGTTGGACATTTTAGTTTACTCAAAATTTTATTTTGTAGGGGAAAAAATCTAAAAAGAAGGTAATTTACACTAAAAATTTAAAACACGCCTTAAAGAAAAATTCCGGCAAGGAGGCGACCGTCGCTGCTAGTCCCCCCTAGCTCCGCGCACTGCAGAAACTGATGACCAAGTAACTTACTTTTTCTGTAAAAGATAGTTCATGTTGAGACAAATTTTAAAACTCAAAACTCAATGTGAACGTTGAGACAAATTTTAAAACTCAAAACTCAATGTGAACTATATTACGAAACTGGGAGAGTATCATATATTATCCTTACTCCTTATCCTGAAGTTGCATTGTTCGGTTAAATCAATAAAAGTATAAGGTGCGACAAGTCAAATGGCAAAAATGTGCAAAGATAGCCAACAGTATTTATTTGTCTATTCTCTCTCTTAGAAGCAAGAGGTGTTTACGATGCAGCTTTTTGCATGCATTGCTAATTTGCTATAACGGTGCGTAAAAGTCGTTGGGCATTCAATGCGCTCAAGATTTTGGCGGTGCTGGGTCTGAATGTCTGATAGCCCGTAAACTGCAATGTTAATGGGCTAGCAGCTACAACAAAAAACAAGGATAAAATCCAAGTATGCTGGGCGATTAAGAGCCCAACATTAGTGGTTGCTCACTTTGCTCTCTTGGAATCAGAATTTTGAAACTGAAACAAGTATTAATTGAAGAAAATAATGTGGCGGAGCTAGGGTTTGTTCGGAACAACATATGTCTTGAGGGACCAATAGGTTCATACGTGGTTTTACCTCAAAAACAATTAGTGATAAAGGTAATAGTACATGTGGTTATATATTAGTTTCAAAAGTTTTTATCTATCCATATAGAACAAGGTTATATTCTCAACAATACGTGACATGTAATCCGCTTGATGATATTTTTATCTTCAATTTTCGTAGTCTTTATTGTCAAAGTATAATTTAAGAGACAGAATAATGTGTGGTGCTTTTATTATATGTTCATTAATCAAAAGATGGTGATCAAATATGGCAATGATCTGATAGATTTTGAGAGTTTCTATCTTCATCTCATACATTTCACTTACATTACCAATGAATTTATATCTCGAGTACTGTACATTGGCTGACTTGAGCATCAAAACTAGGCTTCTTAAGAAATTCCAAGACAAGCATTGATCTTATCTTACGTTGGCATGTTGCGGGTGTATATTGTATATATCAGTGTAGATAATATTCTCACCGTGCCAAATCGGTCTAGATCCAAATGAGGACTCATCATTGACAAGGCAGAAAGTTGCTGCTATTTGGTGGTGGATGAGAAATAATTAAATGCATAATTCATTCTAAATTTCTAATGCTTTTAGAGGATAGAGAACAAGGTACTACTCCATCTGAACATTGTGAGGAATATATGTATACTTCCAAATCAATTGTACCTTCTGGCAATATTATAGAGATTGCATTATTGAATCTTGAAAGTGGACAAAAAGAGAAAATAGAAGTTGCACGTACTGTAAAAAATATTGGTCCCCTTATACGTTTCATAATTGAAAATTTGTCACGCAATTCAGATGCAATGGGGGTATGTATATGATCATGTTTCCAAGTATTTTGGGATATCAGAAAACGACATTTGCTAACCATACCCCCACCCCAAAAAAAAAAAAATCTACATGGAGCAAGACAACAAGTTAATCATTTGAATGGTAGTAATTTATATGGTTAAAATGTCAGTATCAATCAGTAGGATGTGAGTAATATTCCATAGTCTTCATCACCTATAAGTAGAATCTTTAGTGCTATATAATCCATGATTTTTCCAGATTATAATCATGATTCAGTACTATATAGTATTATCATATCAGCCTTGACATGCCATGTGAAACGAAATAATCTCCCTTTAACTGAGCTTTTTGGCTTTAGATTAGTTAGAATATCAAATTTGCTGACATTAATTTTTAATTTGATGAATACATTGTTTAACCCTGAATCTTGTTCGTTAAACTAAAATTCTTCATAAACCAGAATTAAAATAGTAGAACTTTTAGATTGAAAGGGATGGAGAAATTTGAAGGAGATAAGGGAGAGAAAACACGAGCTGTGTGGCAGATAATGGCATGTAAGACAGGTAATTTGGAGGTGGACTAAACAATAAAGAAGGCAAAGCGAAGTGAGCAGTAACTGAGAAAACTTTTTCATAAGAATTTTTCCTGCAATCACGCAAAAAAGGTAATGTTGTTTTTTTGGTCATCCGTCTCGTCTCACTTCACAGTGTACCCCCCAATTTATTAAATGATTTTGCAAAGTGTAGGTAAGGTTCCGTGTCCTGCTTTTCGGGTTGCTTTTCCCCTTCTTTTACTCAAAATCTTTCCTTAATGCGTTTGTGAACCATACATACATAACTCAATTGTGTGTGCCTTTTACAGCGTGACCAAAGCCCATGGTCCTTATTTCCTTGTACATTTCTTAGCATCCTATCCTTACCAAATGCCAACCCTAGTTGTGGTACTGATTAGTATTGCCAACAAAGGGGTGCCCAGCGGTTTGGACTTTGGGCTATTCAACCTGAGAAACCAGGTTCGAATCCCGCAAATAACACTTCAGTGTTGAGTTTGTGTAGATCTACTTACACTCATTAGGAGGCTTTTTGAGCATTAGATTGAATACCAGATCAAGACGTGTGCGTGTAAATTCTCCCCCTTAGTAGTGCTAACTCTTCCCTATAGATCACACCCACATATAAACGAGGTACTTGTAATTTTGTGTAAAAAATAAAAAATAAAAAAATTAGTAGTATGCGTGTAATTTCCCCCTTAATAGTACTATCCCCTTCGCTTAAGACCCCACCCACATCCAGTAGACTAGGTATTTATAATTGTGTGAAAAAAAAATAGTAGTATTAACTCACAGTTTAAAAAAAAGTGAAAAGATTACGCTCTAGAAAATGACTAGGGAACTACCAACCCCATTAAATTTGTGCTAATTTAAAGCTACCTTAACCCGAAATGGTACGACATATGCTATACTACTAACAAGAAAGGCATTTCCAAAAGAAGAGCTACTCCCCACTTATCAGTTTCTACGCGTAAAAATCCCATAATGATACTTATTGCAACTTTTCAAGGTGCATGAAATCCAGTACCATATGACTGAAACCCCATATATCCTACTGTACACATTTGTGGTTCTGGGAATGGAACTTTTTTTCCCAGAACAAAATGCATGTTTTGCGCCACGAGAGATGGAGAACAAAAAACATGATTAACATCATCTAATTGCATTTAAGTTGATTATAATTTTTTTATGTGGTAAATGTAAATCAATCTTCATTTGTACACTTTCTCATTTAGCATCCTGCAGTAGTAGTTTTCTTTACACTGGTGGGGTTACTTTTTAGCCATTACTTTACCAAGTTCCCCTTTAATTTCAGTGACTATCAATTTGCTTTTTCATTTTTTTTTTTAAACTTTTATTTCATCTGTTCTGGGATCCTCATTAACTACTGCTCTGTTTTCCCACTTCTGTTTCTCTCTGTTTCCCTCACTGCACTCACACACACACACACACACACACAGAACGGGTTAGCAAATTTCTCATTTTTCCAGCTGATGAGTGAGGAAATTGGAAAAGGGGTGCTAGATAGTACTACTAAACTTTAGTTCTTTTACATTGGTCCCTGTTTACACTCCCAAAAACATCATCATTACTGCGCATCTTCCCATATTCATCACCAATCTACCAAAGTCACTAAAACACCCAATAGTGCCACCATCTTTTTTTTTTTTTTTTCTCCACCTATAAAACACCAACAGTGAGTGTGAATTCTTTAAATTCTACAACTCATTCAGATCACCTTTGAAACTCAAGGGCTAGTCTTGATTTGTGATGTTATGGCGGCAGACACAGAATCTGCCATGACAGAGACTAAGAAGGTCATCAACCCAAGAGTTGAAATCGATACTTCGCCACCCTTTGAGTCGGTTAAGGAGGCCGTTGACCGTTTTGGTGGTGGTGGTCCTTGGATTCCCCAGCACTTGCTTCCTCTGGCTACTCACCAGGTATCTTTTTTTTTTCACATTCATTCTTTCATTTTCATCTGCTATTAGCCTATTACCATATATTTTGCTTCAATTTTTCTTAATTTCCCGTGCATTGTCAATGTAAATGGTGAGATGATGACTGTGATTTGGAAGCAGTAGATCATATTTGTTGAAGAACAAATGTAGCATAATTTTACACCAAACTGTAGCAAATGCCCTGTCTTGAAGACTTGAACTGTGTGCCACTATCAAAATTCAAGCTTTTTGCTACATTTTGAGGATGGATTGGTATAGGAAATAAAGAGGAGGGTTATAATCACCTCAATTTTTTTCACCTTCTTCCATGATGAAGCTTGTCTAAATAAAATGAAAATTGGGTTCGGGACTATGATTTACACAACCCTACCGCAAATTGATGTATAATGTGTTTTTGTTTTTGAAAACTGAATGTTTTCTACTTTGAACAGAATGGGACTGAACATCTAGTTGACATGGATAAAGTGGAGGAGCAAGCTGCTCAACTAGAGAAGGATCTCATGATGAAAGAGCAGGAAACGCTTAATGTCTTGAAGGAACTGGAAGCCGCAAAAAGGTTTGTTGAAGGCATTAAGTTGAATTTCATTCAAGAAGTGTCTGCTTTAATGGGAAGTCCTGATCTGAAGCCACAAGGCCAGAATTCAACAGAGCAGAATTTGAGCATGTGCCCTGCTGTGTCACCTGGTTTAATTTCCATGGAGTTGAACCAAGCTAAAATGAGCCTCAACCAAACGACCACAAATCTTGCAGTAATTCGAGCTTCCGTTGAGTCATTAAATCACAAAATGAGGGTTGAAACCCCTTCGGTTGAAAAGGGGAATGGCGTAAATGTCAATAACTCTGCGAAACTAATGCCTGCAAATGAGGATTTTGCGAAATGCAGAGCGCTGCCCGATGAAGATCACCAAAATTTTCGAATTGTGAAGAACTCTGATAGGTCGATGGATATACTGAAGGATGTTAAAGAAGTCAATTTTGAGGCTGAGCAGTTCAAGAAAATGACAGAGGCTTCTAGATACGAGGTAATGAAGGCAATGTCAGAGATAGAACGAACAAAGAATAGTATCAAAATGGCTGAAATGAGGCTAACTGCAGCCAGAAAGATGGAAGAAGCAGCTAAGGCCGTGGAAGCTATCGCTCTAGCTGAAAGAAGTGCCATGTTAGAATTCAACAACGCCCCAGATGCGGTGTTTTTCAATAAATCAGGTGGAATAACTCTATCTATTGAAGAATACAACTCGCTTACTCACAAGGCTCAGCAAGCTGAAGAGCTTTGTAAGACTAAGTTTATCGACTCAAACGCATACTGTCGCATTGATGAAACAAATCAACCAGAAGTGACCATTGTCAAGAAGTTGGAGTCAACGACTAAAGAAACAAGAAGAAGCAAAAAATCCCTGGAAGAGGCTATGGTCAATGAAGATGATTACGATCGAAGATATGGTTTCAACCAAAACTGTGTTGGGCAAAATGCTGATGAAGATGACCAAATGGGGTACTATACAGGGAACAATTCTGCTAAATTCAGGTTCAGGAATTCCCATTCATCGGCCACCCATAGAGGGTCTGAGCCAATTGATGAAAATGATCCAGATGAAGCGAAAGATAAAGTGTACAGGTCAACCATTTCCATCGGAGATATACTTAGCAGGAAACTCATTCTACAAGATGACATTGTTGTGGGAAAGCATGTGGATAGCCATGGTGAAAGAAGAGAAGTTTCGTTGAGCCAAATGCTCAGGGAACAAAGTGGTCACATATTACATCCGACAAGATCTGCAAAAGAAACCAATTTGGACAAGCAATTCTACACTCAGAGGAAGAAGTTTGGATTTATTCATGTTACAATTCCCAGGCATAGCAAGAAAAAGGCTCAGTTTTTATAAGTTTTTGAGTAACCCGGCCAATTTCATTTTGTGTGTGTTAGGCTTTGCTTATGTGTGTTTTTTACTTGGTTTGAGACTGTCTTTCAAGAATCAATTACAATAACAGTGACGATTGTGTGTGTATGATTCTACTCATGAAAATCAAAATACGATGTAATGAATTTCTGATCATAAGAAAACAAATGTGAAGCACAAGAAGAATGAACTGAACTTAGTTATATCCAGAAGATAATCTCAACAGAAACAGAAAACACCACCAGTTAGAAGGTTCCAAAATGGGGGGTGCTTTGAAAGCAAAAAGAAAAACAAAACAAAACCCGAGCTATAGAATGTAAAGTTTGCGGCGTCCTGGATTACAAATGGCCTATTCCTCTATGATCACCAGCTGTGCACTGGCAGGTACCTTCAGTAGTTCCAATACTTGTTTTTGAGTTTGAGTAATATCATCTCAATTATCTAGCTTAGGTTTAAACTTGATACTTAATTTCTCCGAACACTTGAATATATGAACTAGGTCCACCGCAAACTCAATTTGGTTCCTCTGATCACCATCCATGTCCATCAATTCCAGCTCTTTCAGATGCTTATGAGTATATCGACTTAGCCATACTTGAATTGCTTTAGATAAAAGTTTTGTGGGTACTAAAACACAAAGTGAGTAAGTTGAAATTAATTAAAGACCTAATTGTCACGTTCAGGACGCATACAGAACAAATATAGCGTAAATGATCTTAAAGATAATACTATCATCAACATCAAACTAAATGCTTAAAAAATATGCACTAGAAGGTAAGAAAAGTGTGTTACCTGGACAAACAAGGTAGACAGAAAAGGTAATGCCCTAATGCATAACACAAAGGCGGTGAGCCAGGGGAGGTGATGTCCACAAATTATGATAACAATGATCAATTCAAGTCGCTTAAGATGTCGCCCCAATTGACGGAGTCGACGAAAACAGCGTTCAAAACTCGAACTCGTCGCAATACAGCACTGCAAATTCAGGGCTAGTGTCTGCAGTTGATACAAATGGGCTTGATGCTTGTTTTTACTTTTTAGCAGTGCAAAAAGAATTGAAATATGAATAGTCTATGGTAATCTCTGAGAGAAGAGGGACATTCTGAAAGCCAAAGTGTGGAGACCAATACAGATTAGTGGGTATTCTCTTAAACTCGAAGCACAAAAGATTTGGGGCAGAAATATTCAGGGTTATCAAATCCCAACACTACCGAATGCTCAAAGACTTGAGGGATTCACTGGCCACAGTCAATTGAGTTAAACCAACTCCACCTTGAAGAGATCGTTGTTCAAGACATTGACAATTGGATAAAAGAGAATCCATCCCCTTATTGTCAATGTTGAATTGAACCATTGTCAAGGATGTTAATAAACCAAAACAAGGCCCTGAACCTGAAAACAAGAGGCTCTCAAGATCAGGAAATTATATCGAGAGGTTGACAGTTTAGCGGCATAGCGGCATACGGCGGGGAGTAGCAATAATAGGAGGCACGGTCACGGTCATGGTCACGGTGAGTTTATAAGCATTGGGGTGAGCTAAAAGCTGCAAGTCCTTAGATTTCAAAAGAATGTGACAATTCGAGGATTCAGACATTTTTCTTTACAGCGACACAGATCCAATCATTGATAAATTTGTCGATGACATTAGATGGTGCCTTGAAACGAATTATGAACTTATCCGCATTAGGTGCTTGATGTGATGTGATGGCCTCGGTTGCTTTCATCAGGTCATCTTCTCGGGACGACATCGTTTTTGTCAAGATCGAACACAAAATCCAAGGATGCAAAACGCCATAAATTTCTTCATCTATGGGAAAGGACACTGCTCCGACATGCTTCCGCAATAGGGAGAAATAACAGAATGATCACAATCAACTTTTCTGGCAAACTCTCGATGGTGGGGATCTCTCCCTTGCTACATTTCTTGGACATGATGAAAATTTTCCGGTGCCCGTCGCAGCCGTGGACAGTTGATTATGAACCTTCTTCTTATTAATCACGGGGCGTGGGTGCGCGGTGAGATTCCCTTAATAAACTTAGATTAATTAGGTTAAGGATGAAATGAAAGATTGAACGGCATGGCATTATGGCAAGTATGAAAGATTTTAGGTGAATTGGTAAGAATTATCTTCAGATTTATTGTAATCTTCTAACTATTATAAATTATTTTGAAGATTTTATTTTTCATGAAAATCAAAATGTTTTTAACAATCACAAGAAATATTATAGATAAGGACGGATAACCATTCAACTTAAGGAGTTGATAAATTGAGAGCAAAATTTTGTAAACTACCTTTATCGTCCTCATATAGAATTTTAAGGATTTACCTTATTTATTTGTTTTTGTAATTATCTCTTTTCCCCTCAATCCAACCCTTTTTCTATCTAGCCTTATAATCACTGAGGTCTTTCACCAAGAAAAAAAAATTTATAATTGTTAAGAAACAACTAAAATATAACACCAAAAAATAATTCATAAGGTTACCATGACATGTAAACTATCAACGCGGCTGTACAACAAGTTTTTATTCTAAAATTCCATGTGCCAGACCAAAAGAGTAATTATTCCAAAATTTTTATACGCAAATAAATTGTATTAAATTTGATCTGAAAACAATACACATAGCATGACAAATTCAACAAAAAGAAAATTTTTCGCCACAATCTCTTGAAACAACTTCTAAAAGCAATGAATCTGCGATCAATTTTAGAACAAAAATATGTATGTTATTAAGTAATCAGTTAGCCCAATCCTTAAAAAAAATTTGTATTTTAAATTGTTTACAGTGAACACAATCAACAGACGTGTATTGTTTTAATGAAAAGTTTTCTAAAGTTATTGGAGCTATCCCTCGAATCCCTCGTGCTTCGATGATTGGAGAAAAAAACTGGAAAAAAAAATGCCACATAAGGGTAGTATAAGTAATTTAAAAAATTATGCTCTTAATATATAAAAATAAAATGCTCTTAATATATCAATTGCCTTCAACTTAAAATACACACACAACAGATTCATTCCAGTAGGTATCTTCCCCCAAGATTTTTACTTGTCTATCTAGGCATGCTCATATGTTTTAACTGGAACCAAACCAAAGTTGAACTTACAATTACCTAACTGCATATCATTTTCAGAAAAAAAAAAAAAAAAAACCTCACCACATATAAAATTTCGGTTATGATTCTAAACTTCTAGTGTTTAGATAATCTGATTGGTGGTTTTGATCGTCTGTAAATTTTTAACATGCAAAATATTAATGTAATATTTCCTCCACCCCAAAATTATTGTCTAGTTTGAAAGTTTACTTTTAGTACAAATTGTACTGAAAATAAAAATTTTAATTGGACTAAATTTTTTTGAACAGATGGAGTATGTATTATGTAATAGTGTAATACCACATAGTTTGATATTTCCAATGGTATCAGATGGGACTAACATCACAAAATCAGTTACGATAAGAACCCCATTTTTAATTAATAATTTATTTGTTTCTTTTAGGTGATCCAAAAAGGAGAAAAAGTATTTGGAAGTTTCAAGTAAGAAATTTATAACTTTCATATCATATAACTTTAATATCATTTGACCAAAGGTAACTTGTTGGTTTGAATACTTGGAAGTATTAACAAACACTCAAATATCCTATTCCGTCCAAAAAAAAAAAATAGTCCACATTAAGTTTTTAAATTTATACTAATTTTAGTATAGATTTTAAAACTCAATGTCAACTATTTTTCTTGGACGAAAGGAGTATTATATGGTGGACCGAAGAAGAGCTCCGGCTCCCCCTCTATTCAAAATCAGTTGGTGTCAACTATTTAGCGACTAGGGAGGGTTAACAAGCATTTCAACAAAAGATGAAGAGACGGTCTAAAGCAACGAATTAGGAAGTTTAAACGAAAGACCAAACTGACTCAAATAGCTAGGTATTAGAAGGTCAAAGCCTTCACGGAAATGGGCTCTCCTATTTATATTCTACTAGCATGAAAATTAGGATCTCTTAATAACTATCTGATTGATAAATAATCTCTCCCAGATAAATGAAATATCTCAGTACAAAAAAAAAAGAAAAAAGAAGCAACTTGCATACATCCAAATATTAACAATACTTAGGTTAAAAATCTCAAGCAAAGAGTCCAACTTAGTTTCTTGTAAAACTTTCGCACAAGTCTCTTTCAGGTTGCTCAAATTTATATTTGCCATTTAGACCACATGCCAAGGTTCCCCCAGAAGAGCTCCTCTTTGTTCTTCAAAGCATTGTTTCACAATATTTACAGAAACTGAAATAATAAAAACATAATCTCGGTAATAAATTATGAACTCTCCCGTAGTGGAGCAAATTATTCATCCTCTACCAAGGTGCATACAATGTTAGAAAACAAATAAGCAATATGGCTAACGTGAATGAGCGAAAAAAAAAAAACAAACTAACATGAATATCCTTATTACACCCTTTGAGGAAAAACATCAAACACTTTAAGTGCTGGCTGAGCTGCATAATTTGAGGAACAAGTGCATTTATTAGTACCCAAAAAAAAACACTAATCAGGTTCTATTTTGCCTAAATTTCTTTAACAGACACTCATCTAGACATAGAGATTGGATTCGCGCAAACTTACAAACTCTAAAGCAAGTACATATACAATTAAATAGGGAACAAAGATTCACTGCACAGAAAAAACAAATCGAGGACAAGAAATTTCATTGTTGACCCCAAATCACACAAACACAGTGTCACCTTGTTGTTGCCTCTTTTTTCCACAGAAAATATAAGTTAAACACCCGGAATCAAAGAGAACGAAAGGGAATTTTTCATTCTGCACATATGAGAAGGGAAGAGGGATAACAGAACTGTGTTTTTCAAACGGAGAAGACGCGAACAAAAAAATTTGTTTTACTATGTTGGACAAAGTAAGTGTTGGTTGCCAAATTTGATTTAGAGTTAAGTAATTTGTTGCTAACCGGGAAAAAAAAAAGAGTAGATGCTTGAATTGAACAGAGACAACTATGTTGGTTGATAAGATAGGGGAATGCCATGTTTATTTCGGAGAGAGAAAGGAAAGATGGAGAAGACGAAGCTGGAAGAACCAGTGGAAGGCCCACAGATAACCGTGGCCTCCAATTGACAGCTGACACGTATAAAACATTTTACTTGCTACCATATCTAAATAGGAGCAGTCCCGATCGAACTCCCCCTTATATATATACTAGTGATGTCTGGTCGCGTAATGCGTTATCCTGGCCCAAAATATCTGTAGATCTTAGAAATGTTTGTATCTGGAAAAAAAAAATATTTTGTATTTGGCCCGATATATTTTAGAAATTTTTGAAGAATTTAGAAATATTTTATAAGTGTGATCATAGAAATGTTTGTATTTGGCATAAAAAGAAATTGTATTTGGTCCGGTACATTTTAGAAATGTTTGAAGATTTTAGAAATGTTTTATAAGTGTTATTTCCTAAATATAAATAAACTTGATCAAATATATCTTTTGATGTAAATGCTAGACAAAATATGAAAGCATGCCAATAAGTTTAAATATGAGTAAGATAATTTATTGATGTTCTCCATTGGTTGTGCCAAATCAATACTTAGTTTTGGAGATTTATAATAGTTTTGTAGTAAGCTTCCTCCTAAGGGTATACGCTCAATTGTTGAAACTATTTTTTCCAAAAGTTTATAGGTAATAAAATATCAAAAATATGATTTTGAAACTGGTTCATCACAAATACGAGAATGAAAATAATGTAAATTTGCATATGTTTCAAGTTATAGCAAAAAAAAACTCACCTCACCATGACAAATAAAGAAAAAAAAAGAAATTAAAAGATAGCCCATTAAAAATTGAGAAATTTATTTGTATAAAAATACAAATAAACGTAGAAACATCATTCTTTCCCTCTCCGCCTCAAATTCATAAAAGGTTTCCCCATAAATTAATTAGAAGAATCGACCTGAACTTTTTATATGATGAGAAACTAAAAAAAGTCCAAAAATCAAATCCAAAAAAGCATATTCTTGAAAGTCCGAAAAAAAAAAAAACACGCTTCATTTGTAAATAATAATAATAATAATAATAATAATAATAATAATTGGTCAACTGGAAGTATGAAACAAAATAAAAAATAATTAAACAAAGAAAAAACAAACTTCATAACTGACCATATACGGAAAAAAATCGAGACTCCATAATTAAAAAAAGAAAACCACTCTAATTGAATGAAATATAAAAACAAAGTTTAAAAAACCACATTTTATAACAAAAACTCAATTAATGAATTCAATCCAAACAGAAGTAAAATCATACAAAAATTTTAGGCTAACTAACCATATAAGAAATCACATCATATTACCTGACAACGGCTACAGTACCTGTAATGGACGGACGCATAAAAATAATAGTAATAACACTATTCTTGAATGGGAAAAACAAAAAATAATAAAAGCCAAACAAATGATCTGTAAAAATAAAATCATTTAAATTTTAATACCTGTAATTGCACCACCACAACGGCCGAAGCAAGATCAATGAGAATTTTTTTTTCCCTTTGTGTTTATATAGAGAGGTAAAAAGAATATTTTTTGAAATCGAAATTTTATCCGATTAGGATGTAGTTGATCATCGTTAATGAAAATATTGAACATGGTAATTGGAATGGGGTATATTTCACTATATATTCTAAACTGATGATTGATGAGTAATTTGTTTTTTTTTTTTTTTATTGTGGAGAAGGGATTAATTAAGGAGTCCATTGTGGTAGAGATGAGGATGAGGATTTGGGTTTTTTTATGAACCCATGGTTTTTTTTTTGACGAAAATAGGAGGTGGAGGTGGATTTGGACTGCAATTACCTTTTAAGTCTAGGAGATGTAAAAATAAAAATTTATTTTAAAAATATGATGTGAAAATGCCACATGACAAATGATGGTGCTTTCTATATATAGAAACACAGCATGGTGACAAATACAAAGAAATTAAAAAACGAAAGAATATTATTCGTGAGCCGATAAACACAAATTGAAGGTGAAGATATTCTATCTTCCAAGAATATCTTCCAATAGGATAATTACACGTGTGTAGAAGGATTAATTCAATAACTGAACCGGTAAAAATCCCTTTTTCCACTCACAGCGGGAAAATATTTTCCCTCTACTAAAAAGTACTGTTAAAAAAACTTGAAAGGAACTTTTCAGCGCCCGCGCAAATTAAACCCGCCCAATTTGGCGCAGTGGCAGAGGTCTGTTGAGTTGCAACACTGATTAAAGTGAACTTCCTCTCCGTTTTCTGCTCTTCAATGTCTGGCGAAGTTTCAGCAATGAAAATATTTACCTTTGATTGAGCAAAGCTTTATTCGAAACAGAGACACAATAAGAAGGCATATTTTGCTTTAATCTAAGATACTAAGGAGGGATTGGATGAGAATGTACCGGGCAAGAACAAGAAAAAGGGTTAATGCAATCCGGCGTGGTCCTGATGGAAGTGCCTTCCAACAATGGTTCCCTCCTTAAATTACGAATCTTGTTTTCTATTTTTTCTTTTTCTGCTGTGCGTTTTTTGTTTTTCCTTTCGATTTTATTGTTGATGCCTGTGGTTCCATGTATCGATTGCAGTGAAAGGTGTGGCTTTTCTGTGGCAATTGCTTTGGCTGATATGCATGAGTGCGAGTCGAATGACAAGGTCAAGAAATTTAGAGGTTGGCCTCGCGGAGGAAGTCCTAAGACAACACTCAACTATGAAGATCAGCCCAGATCAGCTTTCCGGTTCTTCATGTATTTCTATTACTCTTTCTGCTTATTGGCTCTAGTATCGATTGTCTTTTCTCCCATTTCTAAGAGGGTTAGATTGAAAATACTGGCTATGATGTTATGGGCTATACCAATTGTAAATTGAGAATTGAGCTGGCATTATCAATGATTCTAATAGTTGGATTTTCAGGGAAGAATTTGTGGAAGAATGTGAGGAAGAAGATGAGGTTGTAGTTGATAGGAAGGGTTTTGAGAAGTGGAAGAAAATGTCGAAAGAGGTGATTTTTTTAATGTAATTGACTTCGGCTGCTTTTTCCTTGTTTTGTGTTGTCTGATTTGTTAAGTTCGTTTTTCGTTGCCATGTTGTTCTTTCTTCAGGATAGGGAGCAGTATGTCATCAAAGCTGAGAAGGTGAATTTGGCCTACATAAAAGCTCTGCTAGAAGAGGAGAATAATATTTTCTGGGTAAATTGCTGGTTGTTCCCCCCCTTTTTTTCTTATGATGATTTGATTGCCAGTCTTGGCCTAGTTATAACTTCACCGAGTAATAGAACGTTATGCTCGCTTAGTTCTCGAAATAGTCCTTCTTAAGTCCTATTAGGAGCTCCTCTTTAACTTGTTAGATAAATAGTGAAAGTGAATCTTTTTTCAAATTTTGACTCATGTAGGTGGATGATGAGGCAGATTCCGCAGAGGTTGGAAAGTTTGATAAGGTCTGTCTATCAGTCTATATGTTAAGCTCATTCACATGATCTTTGGTGATGTTTTGGATTCTCACCATTTTCATTTTTCACAGTATTGGATGAACTCTTTTTTTAATGATCTTCCTCATTGCATAATTCAATCATCAAAGGATCAATCACATTATGGTGCTGCATTCATCTTACTTAAACGATATCAGAGATAATACCAATTGGTTATGCTCTATCTTGTTAAACACAGAACTATCCACAAGGGGATTACTCCGATGATGATTGTCACATTTCTGAGAGCTTCCTTTTTTGGTCTGAAAATAGTGACGACTATGGCAGCACGGATTGGTAGGTTATTTTGCATTTTGTTCTGTTGTAGTGTACCCGTAGTAAGAAATTAATGTGATTCAAGCAGGCATTATGCTACAGTAATTAGCTGAACTGTGAATGTCATGAAGCTCATCCTTATTGTGAAACAGGAGGAAAAGGCTTCTAAACCAACTAAGGAAATGATCTCCTTTCTCTTGGAGCTTCCACGGGTTTTGGGTAATTTTTGGAGTCTGAACTGATGGGAACAAATTTCATAGGTTCAAGCACTAGAAATTGCATGGCGCAAAAGCTCCAAGCCAGGCATTTTGACCGTTGCTTACATAAAAGGGGGGCAGGTCACTTTGGGCATTGTACAAAATAGGAGTGTGGGACTGCTTAACTGCGTAAAAAGTGTAGGATGATTAGCCCTTCTCTACCAATTATAAAATGCTAAACATGTAAAAGGCAACCCTGATTAATGTTTTTGCTCTGATTAGTATCTGAAGGAGAGAGTGCAGTGAGGGGTGATTTTTTTTGTGTTTGGGGAGATCATTACATTTTGTTACTGGGGACAGATCAAAGGTTGGACCGGCATGGAGCAGTGAAGTATTTTGACTAATGGTGTAAATGTTATTGTAGTTTTAACTCTTCTACTTCTGCCTTTAGCAATGTTTAGCCCTGGATCTGAATTGAAGTGCTCATTGCTGAAGTCTCCAAGACCAAAACTGAATATCCTACTCACAACTCCACTCTGATGATTCCATGAAAGTCTCCATCACCATAAAAACTGTTTCTCTAATGCAGAATGCATAGGCAACTTTTTTCCAAGTACATACAACTTTTCACGAAATAAACATGTCATTACTCTACACCGACCTAATAATATAGAGTAAATATTAAAAGATGAAAAAGTAGAAAATATTTTGGCTTTAATACAGCCATTCTTTGCTTAGTAATCAGGTTGAGGAGATAATAAAAAATAATGGTTCCTTACTTGTAATGATGAGAATAAGATATTCTGCCATTAGATAAAGCCAGAAAAAAGAGCCCTTTGAAGGGGTAACAAAAAGCAGAAAGAATACTTCCACTTTGATGCAATGGGAGAAGAAAACTAATAACACCAAATTCAATTTGGTTGTGGGGAATCAATAGGTAACTAAATCCATAAAGCTTAGTTTTAGCTTTGCAATTTATTTTTCCTCGAGAAAAAGCAATGGGAACGTGAGACTCGAAGATCCTGGACAAAATACAAAGGGAGAAAGCTAATTGTAACAAGAAAAGTAAAGGTATATTTGATGTCACAGAAAACGCAACTTCCATGAAAGATTGAGGAAGTAATTAGTGCATATATATTCATGGCAAATTGCACCCTTTCATGCATCAATTAGTCACAGCTTCTCAAAAGAGTGTTTAGAAACTGCAAAAAAGACGCGATTTTTGGCGAAAGAAAGTGATTCTCCTAATAATTCTGACGATGGCAACAGCTGCAGCAACCAAAAAGTACGAATTTATTGAGCCACGAACCGAAACTGTGTCGGAGAAAGACGCTGACACGATTCTTATTCATCTACCAGGTACCATATCTCTGCATCATCTGAAGATTGAGATTCATTTCTTTATTGTGTTTCATTTTGCATATGACTGTACGATTATCATCTGTTTCATAGCCTTAAATATTGTAGTTGAATCTATGTCCCTGTTCATTTTATGTTCTGATATTTGTGCAGAATTTAGGAAAGAAAAGCTGAGAGTCCAGCTGACTTCATTAAATGCCTTGAGGATCAGTGGAGAAAGAGAAACTGAAGATAAGATCATTCGGTTTCAGAAGGAGTTCCCTCTTTCATCTAATATCGACGCAAACAAGATTTCTGCAAAATTTGAAAAGGGCATACTCTATATAAGGCAACCAAAACTGATCACCCCGGAAGAGAAGCCAACTGAAAACAAATCCACCACACCTGATCAGAAGAAGCCTGCAAATGAGCCACAAAAACCACCTCCTCAGACTAATGCTCCAGAACCCAAAACAGAGGACGGTTCAAATAAGCAGTCTCCTTCTGATAAAGATGATCAAAACCAGGAGAAAGGGAAGAATACTGAAAAAATCGACCCCGGAAGTGATATAACAAAACCTCAGAACTATCAAGGGAACGGAGTTGATCTAGCAGCAAAGCTGAAGAATTCAAGGAGAGCTTTTTATGTGGTTCTGGTTGGTATTGCAGCTGTTGGTATTGGCTTGTATGTTACTAATTTCATTAGGTCTTTCAGGTCATCTGAAATCTCAGGCTAAATGCTTTTTCAGGCCATATTGATTGTGTGTACTTTGTATTGTCCTTCCCTCTCATGCATTTGTTTAATTATTCTCTCACAAGAAAATAAGAGCACTTCGAATTGTTGTTTGGTTTCTAATCCCATTTTATTGCTATTGTGAGCATATATACTATTGCTGTTTTGATTGGAAAAGAGAAAAAAACCCCTTCGGTAGATTTTTACAGTTTTACTTCTCTGACCGTCAAAGATACTTCTTTTTTTTTCTTTTTCTTTTTTTTTTCCTTCATAAGTGCACCGTGTTTCAAGTATTTTTACATTCAGACTAATCTACACCGAATCACAAAAATCTCCTTTTAGAGAGCAAACTCCTCCAACATTACTCTTTCCATTCACGGGCCTCGAACTCGAGACTTAACTTAAAAAAATCAAATCACCTTACACTTCAGCCAAGCAAATGTTGGTACGGTCAAAGAGAGTCAGAATTTGGTTCAGTGGGGACAAAGACAAACGAGACAAAAAATTGTGGTAGGAAAAGCAAAGGGGAGCTACCAGGCAACTTACTTAAAGCCCAAATATACCTTTCCGTTGACCCAAAGATACATGTTAAAATTTGTAAGTAAAGGCCCAATAAGTGGATGTAGCAATGCCCAACCGGATATGCGTATATCCGTTAAGTTATTAAATAGGACCAGAAGGTCCAGCCTGGCTGGCTTCTCTGTTCTTCAGAGAGAGTCGTTCTTCCTACTCCTACTTGGTTTCTTCGGTTGAATGAACATGGAAAATGCTCTGAGCATGAGCTTCACCAGCTCCTCCACACTTCAGCCTTTTTCCCCGACGTCGTTTCCCCCTCGATTACCTGGAATTTCTAGGGAGCTCAAGCTATTGGTTGGTCCCCTTTTCTTTTCTTTTTCTTTTTTTTTTAAAGGTTTTTCTGGCAACTTATCTCCATTTTTCTAATGAATTTAATTACCTGAGAAACAGAGATTAAAACGTTCAAATTCAGTTGGAAAGCATCCGAACAGTCGTATTCTATTGGTTGGAAGGGCTTTTGGCAACGGTGAAAATGGGTTTCCGATCAAACGCAATAAGAAGATATTTACGGAAGAGGTAATTTTAGTTATTTGCTAGTAACTTTTATTGTGGCATTTTCCCTTTCGTTTTCCTCTAGAATTTCCTAATTCAGGGTTGTAAATAATATTCTTCTTGTTTTGTTCTTTATTTTTTTCCATTTCTTGGCGGCGAGCATGTTGAAATTAAGATTCTGAACCTTCTAGTTCATTAAGTTGTAATTCTTGTCGCCGAGGTAAAAATGGAAGAAAATCGTTTGTTCTGTATACGGAGACCAGCCAGTATTAATCATATTCGATATCTTTTCACTGTTTTTTCTTGTTGTCCCTCTTTCTTTCGTTTTTCTTTTGACTGAATTTTTTCCTTGGGAAGGCAATTGGGGCTGAATATGGAGAGGGATTTGAGAGTTTTAGGCCGGACGGTCCCCTGAAAATTGATGTGGTAATCCCCTGAAACTCCCTTCAGCTGTTATTTTAGTCTTTTTTTGGTCTGGTGGCAATTTGTTTGAAGCTGCTTGGGTTAATGGTCCTACTCTGGCTTACACTTATGCCTGTGCTTTTATGCAGGATTTTCTAAATGACAGGCTTCAAGAAGGTTTTCTTAAAAGAATCCGTTATGCCATGAAACCTGATGAAGCATATGGCCTTATCTTTTCCTGGGATAATGTCTTGGTAAAGCTTCAACTCGCTATCATCTGTTTCTGTTTAAGAGATTTTCTGGTCCTTTGTAAGAACAGTTTCATATGCATTGCAGGCAGATGCACGACTGGTTAAGTTGAATGCTTGGAGACAGCTTGCCTATGAGGAAGGTAAATGTCTTTTTCTTAAAGCAAATAGTCCGAGAGGGGATTACTTATGAGAAGATTGCATTAGAAGCAATCCTTAATTGTATCAAAATCTTGAATTCATTGTGATGTTACAACTTTGAAATTACATTACAGTTTTTCTTATATTTTTTCATACTTTTGATTGATCATAAAGCTGTAAGTACTCACGTTTTTAGAGGTGAACAATGCAAATTATGTTTTGCATAAATTTTTCTTGTTGATTATACGTGAGATATACAAAGTGATTTGCAATGATTAGAAATTGGAATTTCGTATGCGCTTTCTTGCTACCATTTTGTTGAATGTTTATCATCAGGTATAATTCTCTTATGCCTTTGAGCAGCTTCTGAGTTCTTGACCCACATTTTGTGTCCAGGAAAGAAGCTTCCCGAGGATGATGAAACTCAGAGGCAGTTAGTTTCTGCAGATGCTGAGTACGTTCTCCATAAGGTTTGGCCTTAATGCTTTTTTTTTCCCCATAAAATGATTTAGAGTTATCTTTGCCTCTGTGTCTATTAAATTCCATTGCTTGGTGCCTGATTTTTAGTATCTTAATCAATTTGAAGGTTTTGACGTGGGATGAGGTGGAAAATGATTTGGATAGATTGAGCTTGAGGCTTTCGCAGTTGTATCATGACAATTTTCTTGAGGTTAGTTATCAGTATTACATTTGTTGTTCTATCATGTGCAACAACATAGGACTTACTGAATTACTCGTCTCTTTTTTGTCATTGTCAGCTTTCAGAACCTGTTGAAGGTCTGAAAGATTGGTTGGATGCTGTATCCACAGCACGCATCCCATGTGCTGTTGTTTCAAGTCTTGACAAAAGAACTATGGTTCAAGCCTTGGAACGGATGGGTATTATGAAGTATTTTCAGGTTGCTTATAATTCCATTCCATTAAGATATTATACTTTCTACAATTGTAGGTTTTCTTAAATTAATTTTTTCTTCTGATCCTTAGTTGCTAAATTGTGTAAATTGGCTCACATGTCATACAAAATTGTTAGTTTGATCTATCGGCCACATGCATTGTCCCGCCAGAAATAAACTGTTACATAGCATGCATTCTGGGCTTGGCTAACATTGTTGATCTTGAAATCTTGTACAAACCAATGCTTTTGTGAGAGCTGGATCTACGGTGATGTTTGTGTCTGAGTTCCTCCTTCTCTGTGCTTTGTTTGTCTTTGAACTTGATTTGACCTGTTTGGTTACGGGGTTTTTGAGTTTATGCTCTTCATTTACGATGATCTCTTTCTGTAGCAGGCGATTGTGTCTGATGAAGATGGTATGGAGTCCATGGCGCATAGATTCCTTTCTGCTGCAGTGAAGGTGAAACATAAACAATTTCCTGTAACACTGGAGAAATATTGTTCTAGGTTTTTGCTCAAAAAATAGTGGCGGAAGGGTTATACTAAGCAAAATGATAGACTAGTTTAATACAAGGGAAATGTGCACTTGAGATATCTTTTTGTGATGATTTTATAGTATTATTTTCTGGTACTTATCTTGTGGTCATTTTGCAGTTGGACAGGAAGCCATCTAAGTGTGTGGTTTTTGAGGATGATCCAAGAGGCATAACTGCTGCTCATAACTGTACCATGATGGCCGTAGCATTAATTGGTGCTCACCCAGCGTAAGCGAATCTTTTCTTTCCTTTTAATTCTTGTGTGGCTAGTTGTTTGGTTTGAGGAATTTAGTTAGGACTTTGGATGTATTCTCATCATTCATCTCCTATTTGGGTTTTTGGTGGCTGTATCAACATCGCCGTTCCCTTGGCGGTAACACTTGATTATGGCAAATCCCATGCAATTCACATCCTCCGTGATGTATTTGTGATGAATGTTGATGCTTTCACATGCGACTGGTTCCTTATAACTCACCCTTGGATAAGTTAGACGAATTAGTATTCTGAGACGCCACAAAATGAATTGTACTGCTACTTCTTGTCCTTAAAACTTTTTCAGATGTGATCAGTAGTCTTAACTTTTTTTTTTTTTTTTTTTGATTTTCCATAAAATTTGCAGGTATGCTTTGGAACAAGCTGACCTTGCTGTTGCTAGCTTTAACGAGTTATCTGTCATCAATCTCCGAAGATTGTTTGCGCATAACGGATTCGCCTTCATGGACATGCAGAAGCAAATAGTTGAAAAATCTCCACCCAGACGGAAGCTTAGAATTGACACTATTTTTTGATTATCATTGGTTCTCCATGTGAATTCCTTCCTACCCTCTGTATATGAGAATTCAAGTGACATGTTGATGATTATCTATGATCCAAATGATTGTACACTCTTCCAACTTGAATTGGACTGAGATTTGTTGTATATATTGAAGAAAAACTTGAAAAGCCGATTCTTTAATTACCCCTTCCAATGATTTTCTTCAAATCTGTCATCAGTAATAACATCGGAAGTTTGGGTTCAATTTAAACAGTGCACTATACACTATTATTACTGTAGAGAAGAAAATAAAATAGAAATTGAAAAGAGTCAAGCTAGGCGTAGCGGGCCCCAGTATTTTGTACCCGTCGATTGGAAGTGGTCCGAATGATACCGAAGATAGATTTCGACTTATCTTTTTATCTGTTCTTCAACTTCTTTCTTCCCCCATCCCATGCAGAATCTCTCACCAAATTTAAGGGGAAATCAAATCAAAACCTCCACGAATGAGGTTCTGGGTTTGAGATTAATTTGAGAGAGAGTGAAGACGATTGCAGACCTAGTTCACTAAAATCATCACCTCGGAGGATTTCCTTTAGGATTGAGTTATGGCTTGTATTTACAGCTCCATTTCCTCTTTCTCACTTTCATCAAATTCGACCTTCAATCCTCTCCGTTCAAATCACAAGTCCAAGCCCACTATCTACTGCGCTGTTGGAGGTGAAATCCCTTGCTCCAAATCACTGTTTTTCATGAACAGTAGTAGTTTGCCGAGTAGTTTTTCCCGCTGGATTTTGACTGTTGACTGGAATTGCAGCTCGTTTTTGGTCTTGATAAAGTCAATTTTGTGGGTTGCTCAAATTTTATCTGGTTTTAGTGAACCAGTATTATTTATACTTTGTCGCATTTGTTCTGGTGTTCTTATGTGCTGTTTTGATGGTTTGATTGTCTATCTATGAGAAGAATCACCGCCAATTTTTGGTGATTTTGTGATTGCGTTTGTTCAATGTTGTGCAATCTAATTTCAAGACCTAGCAAGATGTTAATTCTCACCAAATTCTTTTACATCTAATTTATCCTTCTCTCTGTTCTCTGCTTTTTCTGATATTGAATGTTCTACATTTCGAGGCTTTGAATATGGACCTGTTCTGGCATATCCTAGATTCTAGGTCAATCTTGTAGACAAAATTCAAGTGCAAACTCAGATTTCGTGAATGTTTGCTTTGTTTTCATAGGGGCTGTTGCAGAACCAAAGTCTGTTAGTGCAACTGAACCTTTGTTGCTTAATGCCGTTAAAGGGAAAGAAGTAGAACGACCTCCAGTTTGGCTTATGAGACAAGCCGGGAGGTACATGAAGGCAGGTTTAAACCACAACCATTCTTTTCATTTTTTCACCTGAGTGAAATTTCTTATTGGTAGAATATAATGTTTTGCAGCTGCAGTAGATGGTATTTTGTGTACCTGAGCTTGCGTAACTTTAACAAAATGTTGCTCTTGCACTTCTAGAGCTTGTTTTCAGTTTTGGTGCTCTGGTGCCTTGAATGGTTGTGGTTTTTTACTCTACTGAAATTTCTTGCATTAGGAGTTAGAGTTGAGCTATTGCTCTATGCTCTTTTTCCAAGTGAAAGACAGATTTTTACCCTAATACATGAGATTGTGTTCTTGGGCTGTAACTATCCTGTTTATTCGTGTGCTGTATGTTCTGCTTTGAACTTTCAATGTCATCAAATTAGACCTAAGTCATTTTTCATTCTTTATAGAGCTATCAAACTCTCTGCGAGAAGTATCCATCATTCCGTGAAAGATCAGAGAATGTAGACCTTGTGGTGGAGATTTCCTTACAACCTTGGGAAGTGTTTCGGCCGGACGGGGTGAGATTTTCTCTTTCCTGTTGACATGTTCAAGTTGATGTTCCTCTGCACAAGTATTGTTTTTCGTGCTTTCTTGTGTTCTGCGCTTCCGGTTCCTTGAATTGCATTTTCATTCTCTGTCTTACAATTTAACATTCACTTCTGTAGGTCATTTTATTCTCTGACATCCTTACTCCCCTCACTGGTATGAATATACCTTTCGACATCATAAAAGGAAAAGGCCCAGTGATATTTGATCCCCTGAAAACAGCTTCGGATGTTGAGAAAGTCAGAGAATTTGTTCCAGAAGAATCCGTTCCATATGTTGGTGAAGCATTAACAATCTTGCGGAAGGAGGTTTGCATCCATTTGTTGAAGTTACCCCCTCGATATTTATGATGTCTTCGCGCATTATGATATAGTTTCCTTGTCTGATCTCCTTGTTATTATAAGCTTAAGTTAGGCATACTCTCCATTCTGCATTTTCAATCATATTGCGGCTGTCAGATGTTTGGTACAGTATGCTGGTAGAATAACCTGTTGCATACCCTAGTAATGTAATAATCTAGTCTCAGGCTATGCCTCTTTTTATTGTACCAAGAAAAAGAAAAAGAATAACTTGTTGCATAACTAAAACTTGATACAACATTTTACAGTTGAGATTTCTGATTTTCTTGCACCTCGATTCAAGTATGTCCATGATAGTCGCTGGAACAAAAGTTTCTGCAGTTAACTGTATCGCATGCTTCTTTGTGTACATGTTAATGATTTTGTTTGATATGCATTTACCAGTATGTGACTGCAGATCTCGTTTTTCAGCAAAGTTTAGTTAATCAAGTTGACAACTGTTAATAAATTAAAGGGTGATTCCTTGTTTTGGAATTCAACTCTACTTAGTAATCCAGCTAATGAAATTCCTTGTTTTGGTCAGGTTAACAATGAAGCCGCAGTGCTTGGTTTTGTTGGAGCTCCATTTACTCTGGCATCATATGTGGTTGAAGGTGGCTCATCAAAAAAGTTTACGAAAATAAAAAAGCTAGCTTTCTCAGAGCCAAAGGTAATTGAATATAGCAATTTTGAATAAATCGAAGCATGAAAGCACGATTTTTTATCAAGCTCATCTTCCCAGATACATGTATTCCTCTTGTTTAGTAAGCCCCAGATCTGAGGCTTCATGTTCACAGTTGATATTTGTAGCCAACCAGAATCCTAAGTTTCTGATCGCATTCATTTGCACTGTTCATGTAGGTCCTTCATGCTCTCCTACAAAAATTCGCTACCTCCATGGCCAAATATATTTGCTATCAAGCGGACAAGGGAGCTCAAGCAGTTCAGATATTTGACTCATGGGCTACAGAGCTCAGCCCTGTTGACTTTGAGGAGTTCAGTCTACCTTATTTAAAACTGATAGTGGATACTGTGAAACAGACCCATCCAACACTCCCATTGATTTTATACGCTAGTGGTTCTGGAGGCTTGCTGGAGAGACTACCTTTGACAGGTGTGGATGTGATCAGCTTGGATTGGACTGTTGACATGGCCGATGGTAGGAGACGATTGGGTCCTGATGTAGCAGTACAGGGAAATGTAGATCCAGGCGTCCTTTTTGGCTCAAAAGAGTTCATCACGAACCGTATAAATGACACAGTAAGGAAAGCCGGCAAAGGTAAACACATTTTGAACCTTGGTCATGGAATAATAGTAGGAACGCCAGAGGAAAACGTCGCACATTTCTTTGAAGTTGCTAAAGGACTTAGGTACTAGCTGCAGCAGCAGAGGGTTTTGATTTTAAAATGTTAGATAACTATTGCCCTACTCACAACTTTTTTTTTTCCAAAGCGCGGCACAAAGATAGAATAGATTACCCAAGGAAGGAGCTATTCACTTTCAGCTGAGATGTAAATTTAGCAATCCGCTTATATTCTGACTACTTGGTTTGTATTCTTTGTATTTAAATACTTGAGTTGGTGTAATGATGCTGGTGAACCAATTGGGACTTGGCGTCCGATGAATTGGTTGATCCGTCCCAAACGAATTAGATTGCATTTTTTAGTGGCTGTTTGAGCTTTGTAAGCCATAACAAACTATTAATATCTTTAGTGTTAGTTGTTCTATAATATAATATCAGCAGAGAAAAATCCATTTAGCGAGCGGCGCTCGTTGATATCACCTCATATACAACTCAACCAAAAGCAACCTCAATTCTGCATCATTATATGGCCCATCCCTTTACTCAAAAGAAATTATATGGCCCATCCAAATCGAATTCAAATTTCAATGTGCAGGTTAAGCTTTGGTTTGTTTTAGTTGCCCTTATTTTGTTTTATTTTTATTTATATATATACTAGTGATGTCTGGTCGCGCAACGCGCGACTCTGGCCCAGTCTATCTGTAAATCTTAGAAATAGTTATATTTGAAAAAAATAAAATTTTGTATTTGGAGCGATATATTTTAGAAATGTTTGAAGGATTTAGAAATGTTTTATAAGTGTGATCATAGAAATAATTGTATTTCACAAAAAAAAAGAAATTGTATTTCGCCATGTAAGTTATAGAAATATTTTATAAGTGTTACTTATTAAATATAAATAGCCTTAATCGAATATATGTATTGAAGTAAATGTTAGATAAAATATAAAAACATCCTAATAAATTTAAATATTAGTAAGATGATTTATTGATGTTCGGTCGTGCCAAATCAATACTTAGTTTTGGAGATTTTTAATAGCTTTGTAATAAGCTTCATCCGCAGGGTATACGCTTAAAACAAAATTGACACTTTGTAACAAAAACCTAATTGATCAATTTAACTTAAAAAACCACTCTAAATGAATGAAACATAAAGAAAATTTTTTTTAAAAAAAAAACGTGTCACGTAAAGTGTAAAGGGAGATTTAGTAATTTAGTTATAGTTTAGATAAAAGGGCAATTTAGTACTTTCTATATGCCACGTGGCAATCATATGAGGTGTTTGAAAGGAAGGTTTTTGTTTCTAATATAGTAGGAGATTTAGTAATTTAGTTATGGTTTAGACAAAAGGCAATTTAAGATTTCTATATGCCACGTGGCAATCATATGAATTGTTTGAAAGGGAGGTTTTTGTTTCTAATATAGTAGGATATATATATATATATATATATATATATATATTTTGTGTGTGTGTGAAGGGTGGGTCGACTTGCAAAGGCATTACTTACTACCAAACTGGAGATGCCTTAAGCCAGAAAGCCCCCTTTTGTTCCGGAAAATGTTGGTTTCGTAGCATTGTTGAGGATTAATATAGCGGAAAATTGGCCTTTGGACCTTCATAATCACCGTGGCCTGTGGAATTCTCGTTAATCATTTTGAAAGTTTCCAAGCCTTAAAAATAGAGGCAGGAAGAATATGAAGTGCCGGTTCTTGTTGCTATATTTTAGCAGTTCTGATACGGTCAACTTTTAGCGTTGACCACATGATATCTAAATGAAGAACCAACCTTATTAAAATTAAAAAAAAAAAAATCCAAACGGAAATAAACTAACACTGGATGTTAAACCCGCACGATGTGCGGGGTTTGTACCACATTACAATTATTCAACTGTACCACATTATAATTATTTATGTTAATCTTCATTCAAATGTACCACATTACAATTATTCAATCTAAATGGTTTGTGACTTTTTTCATTCACCCTAACCGGGAATAAAAAAAAAAAAAAAATTGTACTACATCATAAAGTAAACTAAAATACTCCCTCCGTCCCAAAATTATTGTCGAGTTTGAGATTTTATTTTTAGTACAATTTGAACTAAAAATGAAAACTCAAACTGGACAATAATTATGGGACGGAGGGAGTAGTATAATTCATAATTTTTAACGTGTATTATCTGTCTTGAACAGAGGATAATAGCTTAGGGTTCGGATGAAAAACATAAAATTCTATCAAAATCAGAACTTCATTGTTTCCATTAGACTATCTCCTTTAGCCATGAAATAGAGTTCATGTGTTGCGTCCTGAAAAAAAATCATACTCCAGATATTTTACTGTTTTTATAAATAATAAAATAAAAAAAGAGGTTTTCATTTGGTATATCCTTTATAATTGAAAATCACACATATCAATCTAGAATTGAAAACAAAAAAAAATCTAACCTGCTAAATTTCGCTTAATCTGGAAGGCTACTTTTTGTTGTAAATCTTCATGGGCTTCTTTCTTTATATGGCATCACACAACTTTTTGTTAAATACGAATAGTGCACTAAACAATCAGATGATAGAAGAAGGAAGAATAGGAGAGAATATTGTGAACCGTTTTTTTTTTTTTTTGGAAAAAAAATTTGTGTTGTAGAAGTATTCAGTGATTAAGGCTCATCATAATCGCCCAAAGGAGATATTTATAGTGGATCGTAGGTCATCTTCATATATCATTGGTAATTCAAATTTAATTTAGCACTAATTGATGGTATATAATTCAAACTTAATTTAGCACTAATTGAGGGTATAAAGATGATATGATCATCATCTATTGATTGAATTGATATTGTATTTATTAATAACTGATTTGTTAATTAATTTGATTGTTGTTTTGAAATTTGAACTTTTAAAAATATGGCAAAATTAAATTAATTATGTAGTTGAGTGTGGGTTGTTGATTTTTCTGTTACATTACATGATATGTGGTCACCAAACGTGAATTAATTAGTAATAGCATGGGGTTTTCTTCTTCAATGATTTGGTTTCACACAGATCATGAATCTGACCATGTTTTTTTGCTCCATTTTTTGTGTGTTTAGATTTTAATAATTACCAAAAATCCAGGTGAATCATATATGTATATCATGATAAACATATTACTATTCATTTAATTTAATTGAATACATAATGGGAAGGAATACTTTCCATTTGGGGCATTGAGGCAAAAACTCCCTTCGCATTTGTTGATTTGGAATGATTTATAATTTTCCTAATTATAACACTGAATTAATGTTGATTAAACCGTATAAATTTAATTAGTATTATGAGAAGTGAAAATTTGAAATTACCCATTATGTATAAATTTAATTTGTTCATGTACATGTTGTAAATAGAATAAATATTATATCATAGAATTTTAAAATTTGAAATTTTTTGTGAATTATTGTAAGCATTAAACGCTTCCAAGAGTTTGTTTAGGAAATCCCTAAAGTTGGGGATTGGATATGTTTGTTTTTGAATTTCAAATCAAATCAGATTGTATAATGAATAAAATTAGTTCTTACATTTTTTGGGTGACACATAATGGAAGATTTGAAGATTTTTCGTTTTTATTTCATCTTACAATTACGAAATTAATTCTTACCTTTTTTGTTGATTTAGTGGGTTTGTTAATTAATGGTTCATATATTCAATTAATTTCAAATTGGTAACAAATGAATAACTGAAAATTTAGAGGACATTTGGTGTAATTATTGAAAATAGTTTTTGTGCAACCAATTGGAAACTGACACATAGGATTTTGTCCTATGTGTCAACGTTGTAAGAAATTTGATTCCCTCTCTCTGGTTTCTCTCTTAATATAATATATAGATAGATAAATTTCCTCTGTCCTAAAATTGCTATGCAGTTTAAATTTTTATTTCTAGATAAATTGAACTAAAAGTGAAATATCAAATCGGACAATAATTTTGGGACAGATGAAATATTAAGTATGAAACTAACAATAAAAATATAAGGGACCAAGTAGAATGGGATTTTTAAAATTTTTTTTATCATAAAAGTTGTATTTTTTAATTTATAATCAAATCTCATCTATATATAGTTTTATGCATGCAGAAAAGGTGAAACTATCTAAATCAATCAGTTATCAAAAATCTCTACCAAAGATTCTATTGAATATTATAAAATCGGAATATTTTAGTGAATATTACAATAGCATCGAGGAAAATTGGGAAGTCATTGTGTGCATTTTATTTGATCAAATCAAATTCTTCGTAACAACATGCATATAGTGACATCTCTGGTTAACTTTTTCTGTTTTTACATTAGTTTTACAATCACCATATACCAATTTTATTATTATTTTTTTTAAAAAAAAAAACAAAATCACCATTTAGTAAAGTTACAATCTACATCTAGTAATTTCACAAAACTATTAACTCACCACTACACCTACATCAATTGGAGTCAAAATCCAATTACAATTAGATTGATGGTTTACCAAAGTTTAGGGATTCAAATCCTAAAACATTAGTTAGTCTGTAACAAAATAATCGTTTATGAACATGAGCTAATTTGATTTTCTTTTTTAGTTGGTCAAACGTGAGGGACTCTGAAAGAGATTTATGTAATCTATCTCCAGCTTGGTGAAATTTCGCGAGACTTCAAGGGTAATTTACATAAATAAAAAACACCTTACACATAAGCAACAAAAATCTTGGCGGCAGAGCGAAGACATATCTGTCAAAAACCATTACGTCATATATAAGACATCGAAACACAGTAGTACCTTCTTAACCTTAAACTAACTAAAATGACGCTGTAATAAAAATATAATTATATAGGAGTACTATTTATAGCTGTAATTAACCGCTGATCTTTTCCTTTTGCAATTCATCTTCGAGAATCAACACTGATCCTATCTTTCTCTCTCTGTAGACCCCTATAAAAACTCCAAGGCATATCATTCTTGAATCACCTCCTCTGTTCTTCTCTTCTTCAATTTCCGACAATCCCCTAACTCCTTCTGCAAGCCAGGTACCCTTTACCCTGTCCCCCTACTACCTTTTTTTTTTTTTGATATATTTATTTATTTGTTTATTTATTTTCAAATTTTGTGTTTGCTTGTGTAAAGATTATATTGGTTATGAATAGAAAACAGAATAAACTAAACGAACATCGATCTGTTACGTGTAATCGTGTATATGTTTGTTAAAATCCTCTGGATCATGGATATCTTTTGATATGTACATTTTTTTTTTTGGGGGAGAGAGAGAGAATGTAAGGGCTGGGTTTTTGTTTTTCCTTTATGCCTATTGAGTCTTCCTGCTTTGCTAAAATGTGATTGTGTTGCAAAACGTGATTGTGTTCTCTGTGTATGTGTGCAATTACGTTTGAAGATTCTGATTATTTTTTCCCCACAATTATTCATGGTAAGATTTGGTGTTCAAGATTGATTGGATCTTGCAAAGTTGAATCGATAGGTTTGAATCGTGTTTGGTCAGAGATTTCCACAATGTCCTAAGAACGTGTAATTTAAAGCATTAGCATTGCTAATGATTAGACTGAGATTTCTAATATTCAAATCTCTTTGATGATGAACCCTGTATAAGTAGCCATCTGAGAACCCCTTGGTTCTTACTTCTTAGTATTAACTTTTTTTGGTTAGAACAGTCTTCATAGACCCAACTTCTGAAGTCTTCTTGTCCGTAAATATCCTTGTTTCTTCTTCCTTCTATCATTGGAAACTTTTATTTAATTCGTGTAATGGAAATTATGGAACGTGACATTATCTATTCACTTCTTTTCATGTGCATTGTTTGTCCTTTTTCCGCTTGAAGGTACATTTTGTCATTGCCAACCATCGTAAGAATTTCCTTTGTTACTAGTCTAGTAGTCTTCATCGTTGTTCGTTTTCTGTTTTCAGGATCTTTCCAGACTCTTTGGATAAAAGAAACACTTGGGAATGCAGAAAGATGTGCGTCACTAGCAGTCCATCAGCATCTGAGATCAAGGTGGAATTTGCTCCTTTGGGAATTTTTCCATACATTCTTGATGAATTGGGGCATGATAGTTGTAAAACGTCGAACTTTTGCCGCCAGATGCAAAATGGAAGTACTGTTTGTTGCTTTCCTGACGGTTGATTTTGTTAGTTTTAAGGGACTCCTGCTCTGAGCACAGAAGATATTATACAAGCAGGAGAGTACTAGTAGTAGGTCTTTAGTGTACTGTGTGACTAAGATGGAGAATAAGTCAAAAATATTAATGGATAGATATGAGTTTGGAAGGTTACTCGGCCAAGGGACATTTGCAAAAGTTTATTACGGTAGAAGTCTTGAAACTGGACAGAGTGTGGCTATTAAGGAGATCCATAAAGAAAAGATTTTGAAGGTTGGATTGATGGATCAGACGAAACGAGAAATATCCGTTATGGGACTAGTGAAACACCCGAACATCTTGCAGCTTTATGAAGTTATGGCCACCAAAACCAAAATATATTTTATTCTGGAATATGCCAAGGGTGGTGAGCTATTTAACAAGATAGCCAAGGGAAAGTTGAAGGAAGGGGTTGCAAGGAAGTACTTTCAACAGTTGATTACTGCTGTTGACTTCTGCCACAGCAGGGGAGTTTACCACCGTGATTTGAAACCAGAAAACTTGTTGCTTGATGAAAATAAAAACCTAAAGGTGTCAGATTTTGGTCTGAGTGCTCTATCCGACTCAAAACGTCAAGATGGATTACTTCATACCACCTGTGGAACCCCAGCCTATGTTGCTCCTGAGGTCATAAGCAGAAAAGGTTATGATGGGGCAAAAGCTGACATCTGGTCTTGTGGCGTAATCTTATTCGTTCTATTGGCTGGATATCTTCCATTTCACGATTCCAATCTCATGGAGATGTATAGGAAGATAAGCAAAGCGGACTACAAATGTCCTAGTTGGTTCCCACCAGAACTGCGTAAATTGCTGTCTAGGATCCTTGACCCGAATCCCTATACTAGAATTTCTATTGCAAAGATTATGGAGAATCCTTGGTTTAAGAAAGGGCTGGATTCTGGACGTGGAAACACAAGTGTCCTAGTAGAGAGGGAAATGATCCCTCTGCATACTGATGATAATATATGTTCCCCTACCGAGTGCTGCAGTAGTGTTTCTTCTGAGACTAAGCTAGAAGTAACAAAGCCTAATAACTTCAATGCCTTTGATTTAATTTCACTTTCTACGGGATTTGATTTATCTGGTCTTTTTGTGAGCAATGACGAGAAGGAGGACGTGCAATTTATATCAAAAAACTCTGCGGCCTCTATCATAGCCAAACTGGAGGAAACTGCTAGATGTCTGAGGCTAAAAGTCATGAAGAAGGAAGGCGGGTTGATGAGGTTGGAGGCTGAAAGTGAGTGTAGAAATGGTACTGCAATGACCATCGATGTTGAAATTTTTGAAATCACCTCATCCTTTCATTTGGTGGAAGTTAGAAAGTCCAGTGGGGATACAATAGATTACCTTGTGATGTTGAAGCAATGCTTAAAACCAGCTCTGGCAGATATTGTCTGGGCTTGGCAAGGAGAGAAGCAACCTATATAGTTACAATGATGAGAGCAAAAGCTTCTGATATTTCTTACCTTTCCACTTTTGTAAGTTTCAAATTATGCTGATTTTCACATGTTTGTTGCCCTTAATGTTGTGATAAGTGAGTTTACGCTTCATTTATGTATATGAACGTATCGAGCTTGTTGGCCAGAAATGATTGCTTATTTGAGCTTCTCTATACTCCTTTTGGCATAGCTTCTTTCCGTATAATTGCTGTCGAAGATATCTTAGGCTTCACGCATTTGACAGTGGAAAGAATTTGCATGAATCATGTCAGCCCAAAGGGATCTTTAAGTCTTGCATCCTCTAGAGGAATTTGTCAGATTGTGGTGCATGTCAAAGGCCATCCTGCACAATTTGGCTTTATGAGTCGAAACAAGAGCTTATGAGTTTCTTTATTGGTTTGCTCCATTCCTGTTATGCTGCTTCCGGGTTTGAGTTAAACAATGATGTCAAGTAGGGAAAGCGTACTGGGGAAACCTTGGGTTGGCAGTCTTGGCCTGCATATCATCGGCGGGCTGGCTTCAGAATGTACAGTTGGTGCGATTTGAATAATGAATGAAATTTCTGTTTGTAACATAGGATGGAGTTTTATTAGAGGCTGGAATTTTTAATGTGTGGCAACTTCATGTGTGTGGTGCAGCCCAATTTGTGAATAGTGGTAGCAAGTTGTTGAACGTCCACAGAGACTTGGCAAGATTAAAACCTATGCTTTTTGGGGATAGAAACAGAATAGCCAAAACACACACACGCACACACACAGAAAAAGATTATACTTATAAAAAAAAGTGTTTCGGTCATAACTCGTAAGACTGAAGTGATAGATTCTCGGATAAATCGAGTTGGGTGTGGGCTTTGAATTTTGGTCGACAAAGTTTGGTTTCCCTCTTGTCCGAAGAAGAAGATTCATATTCTCCAATGACCAAGCAGCAGCAGCAGCAACAACAACTACAAGGAGACCAGAATAACACAGTTAAAGGCAACCCAAAAAAAAAAAAAAAAAAAAAGCTCGATACATCAGTCATTCCAAAACAGAACACCGCATTTTTTCCCCCTTTCTTTTGGTGATGATGACGAGCTGTATGGCACCGTACATGAAAATGATGATTTGTTTTCTTCTCTTTTCTTCTTTCTGTGTTGGTTGGTGTTTAAGACATAATTAACAAAAGCCAAGATTCTTACCAAAAAAATGCCCAGTTCAACAGCTAAAAGGAGATTATAAAATGCGAAAAAATGAGCAACATGTCTGCGTGCCCCCATCGTAGTATATTCGATGGTGAATGAGGGCTCTGGAATTTTCTACTTCATGTCGGCCACGAAAATGTGTAATTTTGGGATGCTGGTGACTACCAAATTAGTAGGAAATTCTCGCGTTTAACCACCTGCGAAGAAGTATTTTTTATTGGACACAGATCAATATATCATACATAAATCACTTTTCAAAAAAAAAAAAAAAAATCATACATAAATCAATTCATATTTAACTTGGACAAATCCCTTTTTAGGACTAAAAAAACCCCCAACAAATATAATCCTCTCTTCTCTAACACAACTTAATGCACCTCCTTCTAATCTTTCATTATAAAAAAATACCTGAAATGAATTAGAAGGAAATGTAGAGATGGAAATAGTGTGGTTTTTGGGAGTCCATGGTTCTGATTCGGTTATTCCCCATCCCCAGTGGTGACATGAACTGCTGAGAAATTGTGGGAGGGAGGGAATAAAGAGAGTGATTCAACAAAATCCCCAGTTTATGTGTCAAATGAGCACTGCTTGATCATCAAATTAGTTTCTTTCAAACAAACCCCCCTACCCCCCCCAATCAATTTATTGCCAGACAAAGGCATCAAACGCAATGACATAAAAGATAAAGCCGTGCCCTTTATTCTATTTTTATGTGCATCATTTTTCTTTTTAAGTGGAACAAGACTTCTCATTGAGTATTATTCGTTGAGAACTCTGGTCGATTTTTATGCTGTCTTTTTTCATTTGCAAATTAACAAAAATAATTCTAAAAAGACTGAGGAATTCAGCTGGTGATCATTGATAACATTCGCACCAAAATCCCACCTCAAATATGAAGAAACAAAAAAATGCTGGCCTTTTGATTTTGATGATTGATGCTGTGTTGAATTGTACCCAAGTTATACTAATGTTGCACAGTATTTTTTTATTTTTTTTATTTTTAATTTTTTCCCCCAGTTGATGTTAAAAACGAATGATTCGGTCGTGGATGTTAACTTATCCCCTTTCTTACACATCATTTCAGAATGGGAGAGAAGCACTGGGCTATATGTACCTTCCCCAAATCCAACTGATTATTGAATTCGCTTCTCACACTTTAAATGATGATTAGGATCTTGCATTGATTTTCCTATACAAAGCAAGTATGTAGTTTGTTGTTTGCGTACATTAGTTGTTAGTTTTCACTCGGAATGTCTGAAGGTAATTTAATTCGTCTAAATGGCTTAAACTTAACTGTACATTGTAAATTTTATAATATTACGTATCTGGTGATCAAATTGCGACTAACGAAAATTCGAGCCGAATATATCTTTTTGGGAAGGACAAAATCTTAAATCAACGAAATTTGCATTTTCTATCACCCTGTGAATTTTAACACGCATGTGTGAAGTTTATGACGCTTGGCGAGATTGGCTATAAACCAAAGCGGAGCAATATGTTCAATCATCATATCTTAATCTTAATCTCGAAGGCAGTACAGAAAAGAGAATAGATTGTATCCCAAAATATCAGATCAACTTTATCATTTGATTTTCGAAAGAGCTGTAATTAGAGAGGTTATCTAGGGTTTTACAATTGATATACAACTTTGACAAAAAGAGGTGGATGATGATGTAAACTCAAAAGGTTATTTAGTGGATACACTTTAAAGCATCCCCCCAATATGATTAATTATGAAAAAAAAAACAAATAATTAAGCTGCACACAAATGGATTAGTACTGACCAAACATATAACATGCGTGTGGAATGAATGATTGTGAATAATTGTCATTAAAGCTAAACTATAGAATGCCTTCTTTTCTGTGAAAAGGTTCACACATTCAAAAGATCTCTATCATTGAACTATACAATAAGTACGATAAATCTATCGAGACGGATTATAAAAAGAAGTAGTTGATCTGTTCTAAAATTAATATCCAATTTCGATTTTCATTTTTAGTTTAATTTGTATTAAAATTAAAAATCCAAATTAGACAATAATTTCGGAACATAAGAACTAGTAATTTGTATAGTGTGTGAGGGATGGAGAAGTTCGTGAATTTTGAAAATGAAAGGCTTCATAATGAAGTGGGACGCCCGTACCTATTATATCGGTATGCCAAGTGCCAACAAATCAAGCTCATTATCTGATCTCCCAAACAATTTAATACTGCATGTCAATTGTCACTTTCAATACAATTGGATTAACAGTATCGAATCTATGTGGACAATTCAATTAAAACTTGGCTGATTATCTTGTTAATCAGAAAAGTATGAAAGTTGACAATTCAAACAACTAGCACTAAAAAAAAAAAAGATGTTGCTGTTATATGTAAAATAAAAAATTAGTCCATATGAATAGTTCATTTAGCAGATTCTGGTTTGCTTAAAAGGGTAAGGACAACCAAAGAAATTAACAATAGACAACAAAAGAAATGAAGTGCATAAAATAATGTCGACTTTTCTTTTGGATGAAAACGACACTCAGTTCCCAGCAAATATATTGAAGGCCTCTCACACTACATGTGTTTCATCAGAAGGGCGTGTTAGAGAGTTATGTTGACAAGTAGAGAAAAGAAAACAACAAATATCCAACTCCACTTTCAAGGTCTGGAAAACCTTTTTTTTTTTTTTGTAATTTTAATCATACACGTACATCTGAATAACTCTGAATTTGATAAGTTATAAGAATAGTTTATCGACCGCGGAGCGGAGTTAACAATGAGCCGCCTTCTGGTTTTTATTTTTGGCCAAAATGCCATAAAAATCCAAGGAAAAAAAGATAGCATAAGCCGGTGGCGTCCTAGACCCCCTTTTTTTGGGTTTTGGGTATGTTACCGACTTCATCATCTTTCACACTACTCAAAAAGATAGCATAAATAAAGGACTCCTTAATAAGAAGAAGCTAATCTCTTCTTTTTTCTTAAATAAAAGAGAGAGAGAGAGAGGCACTAATAATAAGAAGAATAAAACCAGGAGGTACCTTCAGAAAATCATGCACCGTCTCTCACTTTCTTGTATCCTACGTACTCAACCACCACTCCAACCTCTCATTCTGCATGAACTGCGTATCATTTGTTCATTCTTTTAAAAAAAAAGAAAATGATATAGACCTAATTAATTAATCTTTGAAGAATTTAAAAGATAACTTTTTATGCATCAGATAGTTATTTTCACTTTTCTGTAAAATATTTCATTCGTTTTAAAATGGGTGTATTCTTTTGCGTCAATATTTTTGTACATGTTACGCGGAGACGTGCTCACAGCTCTTCCTGAGACAAATTAAACCTATTGAATTGCTGGAAAAGATAATGAATGGTGCTGGCAAAATGAAGTGTGGTCAAAATATATATAGCAGTTGTCATTGAATCGAATCTTTAAAAAAAAAAAAGAAGAAGGAATACATCACCAAGTATAATTATAACTACAGATTTGTACTACTATTTCTTATATAATTAGCATAAGTAAATTTTTTTTATATATGCTTCCTCTAATATTTGTAGCTTAAATTTGTAATTTATAATTAAAACCACCAAGTATATATTATGTTTAAATAATTCTTGGTTTTTCGGCAAGTGTTTTTGGCATGTTATGAAGTGATCGTCTGATTGAGTCCATGCAAGTGAAAATCTAAATTAACAATTATCTAACTATTCTCTCATTTCCCTATCAAACAAATAATATCGCACGAACCAACACCATCATTTGGTTAACGCCGTTTCTTTTGTACATGTAGCAAAAGCTAAATGGCATTCCGGCTCCGCCAAACCTGCATTATGATGATTGAGAAGCTCCCAATGATTTAGCTTTTGAAATGACAGTGACAGCAACTATACATATTTTATATATGATCAATTTAATTATATAGTATGTTCAAATCATGGTATAGAGTCTAGTACATGTAATAATGATTGAAATACTTATTGAAAAAATTTTGTTTCTTAAAATTCATGTCGATTTAGATTAGCCAAGTCAATGGTTTTTAGCACTCAATAATATATTTTCTCCGTCTCAAAATAATTGTTTAATTGTATTAAAAGTGAAAATTCAACCTGGATGACTATCGAAAATAGTATAGTTTAACAAAATAAACAAATTTAACGAATACAGTAGTAAAAATTTTAAAGCCAAAATGAAAGGTTAAGAATGTCAATAATTGGTGGAAACTGCATGTCATGGCTTTTTGGCAGTCCATACAAACGTCTTTAACGTGTCTGAGCCGTATCAGTGATGAAAGCTCCTGAGTTGTGACATTGGAGTTCCTTAAAGCGACAGCCTTCTTCTGTATCTTATTCTGGTTCCAGCCATGACCCTTTTCCTCACTCAAAATGGTACGAAACACAGGGAGAATAAAATGTTTTTGATGTGAAACTTATAACAAAAGTGGTGATAAGTAGTAAAAATAAATACTAAGAGGTAAAAGGCGATCGAGGATCGAGTACTATGCTATATATATATAAGATATATAACTTAAACGCAATGGTAATAATCTTTGGGGACTGGGATCACTCGTTAATGTTTGTTATCAGTTATGTGCATAAAGTCTTAGAGATTAGCTATACACTAAATCATTTCTAGTACAAGAACTTAGTATAACTAGTTGAAAGATCCAAAAAAAAAAAAAAAAAGGACAAAATGGGTATTTGGAGGCAATGGTCATGTACTCATATATGCAAATTGTGATAAAAATACTTAGGCCGAGCTGAACTTTCTCCAAATTTAAAATTTTAAATACATTGATTATAGCAAAATAAATCTCTTTTTTTTGCGTAAATAAGTGATTCTAGCTAGCTAGCGAAAAGATATTTACAACCTCACGATTTCTAAACTTCTCCTTAGTTTTTGTAACTCGCGCACATAATTTGTTTAGGTTTTCATCATCTGAAACAATAAACTATTGATTCGTAACAATGATTAGGGTGGAAGAAGATTCTTTAATTGTGGAGACATCTCAAATGTGGATGGTTTTTTCTTACGAGGAACAGCCAAAACTAGGCTTCGATTCTTTCTCCTAGAGTTGCGTAAAGCTGCTAGTTCTTAATTAATTAGTACTACTAGTTCGTGAAAAATAATATAGCGGGGAGACTGAGAATCTAACTATGTGCAAGGGGAACCGGGAGAATCTGTTGTGTAATGTTATAGGATCTCTGTTTTGAGATCCGCAAAGATTGGGAATCCTGCGTTACGCAAGCGTACTATTTATCACAGGCATATGCACACCAAGATAGATTATATTTGCATATTCTTCACCATGACGTCCATCCATGTTGGAATTTTTTGGAGGTCCTAAAATCCCCCCCATTTTCCTCTTTGACCAAAATTTAGGGTGCTTTGGATAAAAAATTGTTTAGAATAAGGAGTAGAGAGATCTATTAGTCTCTTTTTTTATATAAAAAAATACAGAGATCGGATTTATAAAATCCGAACTACTAATTAAATTAGTAAATCGGATTCTGTAAATCCGACCTAATAAAATAATATTTTTTTCTGGAAAATACATGTGAAAAAATTAAAATAACGATCAAATAATGAACAGTACAAGATCGGATTTTCAAAATCCGACCTTAAGTTTTTTAATAAAAAATAAAATATAGGCGGGAGATTTGAAAATTATGAACAGTGCAGTGTCAGATTCTTTGAAATCCGACCTTATTTAAGCATACCAACCGGTAGATATTTGCATTCAATGCAGGGAATTGGTGCGCAAAAAGTCGGAGTTAATAAATCCGAGTTTAGTTGTAGGTCGGATTTTGAAAATCCACCTTACTTATAAACTCGGATTTCACGAATCCAACCTTTATGTGATATAATGGGGAAACGAAAAATACTATTCACAGATCGGGATTCTTTATTTTTCTTGAATGAGGAGGCGATTTTGGTGGCGATTTGAAGATTTTATTCACGATTCTTCGCAACAGATGTCTTAAATCCATTTTACGAGAATGTTAGTTATTGTTTTATTGTTTTTAGATTATTGTTGTTATTTTTTTTGTAGAAGTGTAAAACTAGGAACGTTTATTAAGATTTTAGGGTTGATGTTGGATTTAGTTGGTGATTATTGTTGTTGTATACGTGGTATTGAACATTCCATTTAGTAAAATGTTTGAATTTGCCCTCAACTTTTGAATTTGTAGGGGGTTTAGTAAATTTTGGTGTTGATATGCCTTGTTTGTGGTATTCGTTATAATAATTTGTTTGATTATGCCTTATTTGGGTATTTTTGGTAATAATTTGTTCACAAATGTGCTTTAATTCATGTAATCAACAGATATAAATGGTGTTTAATGGTCTATATTTCATTAATGTTTATTGGTCGAGCAAATTTGTTGTGAAGTATGGGATTGTGAATACTTTTAACAACTTGTCGAACGATTCCATCATGATTGATCATAAAGTATCATTCTATGATTTGGTTGGATTGATTTGTGAAAGAGCTGGGTACAATAGAGGGAACGTGAATTCAAGTCTCTTAATTTTGTATGATGCGATGGGCAATGGTTTTAGGCGTATCAAAATCAACGACGACATCGTTGCAAGTCTTGTATTTCCTTCCAAATTCGACATATATTGATTTGTATGTGGATTTTGAGGTGGCAGATACTTGTAGGTCTCATTTGGAAGTAGGGACAAGTAGTGATAGGCCGAATGGAGAATGTTGATTATATGGAAGATGATGATATCGGTGGACCGAATATGGAGGATGACGATCACATGGAAGATGATCACGTGGAAGATGATGATATCGGTGGACCGAATATGGAAGATGACGATCACATGGAAGATGATCACGTGGAAGATGATGAATTCGATGATGAGGACTACACATCGATAAGTGAACAAAGCGCTGAAGACCAATCAATTTCCGAAGGGAGTCGAGAGAGTGATGAAGAGGTTGAAGACAAATTCGCCATAAATGACAGGCACATATATCGTTCACAGGGTAAATGGGATCATATAAAAGTGGACAAGGATGAATTTCAGCTTACTATGTGGGATCGGACAACCGCAACAATCGGGAAAGGGACGTGTTTTAAGAACAAGATCGATGCAAAAAAATGGTATAGGAGCATGGAATATAGAGCAAAAAAGAGATTATTATGTGAAAGAAAGTGACGGCAATACATGGTATATTTGGTGCAAATCCCTAGAAGAATCAACCCCTAAGTGTTATGTTTCTTGTTGTTGGAAGGTACGTGCCTCCTTGAAAGACCACGGTTTGTGGAAGATTGTGACATGGGTGTCCAAGCACAATTGTATGAATACAACCACGGAAAAAAATAATCAAAATGTGAGTACAACACTTATTGCTCATCTCATGAGGAATAAGGTTGAGTTCGACCCGGATTATGAAGTGAAGCTCGTTTAGGAAGAAATGAAAGAACGTATACATGTCGATGTTTTTTACCACAGGGCATGGGAGGGAAGGAGAAAAGCTATCGATCTTGTTTACGGTGACCGGGTTTTCAATTTTGACATACTTTCAAGGTATCTACTTAAGTTCTATCTAATTTATTTGATTTGTTTGTAATTTTCTTTTAAAATAAGCATTAATTTATTTTTTTAAAATTTAAGTTTTTCGCCGCCCTTGTGAAGAGTAACCCCGGCACAGTTGTAGAGTGGGAATGGCGACCGGGTTGGACCAATACAGAAAGGACGTTCAAATACATTTTTTGGGCATTCAAGCCTGCAATTGGTTGTTTTGGTAAATGTCATCCAGTGATTAGTATCAATGGGACGCACTTGTATGGAGGAAGGGAAGTTACTCGCTGCAATGGTCAAAGCTATGAATAAGCGCATCCTGCCAATTGCATATACGATCGTGGATGAAGAGAGTGCGGGAAGTTGGACATTCTTCTTGAAGCATTTGAGGAATCATGTTATGTACAACCGTCGGGTGTGTGTTATATCCGACCGGCACAAGAGTATCATCAGTGCAATAAGTCTAATGCCCGAATGGAATGCATATCACAGGTTTTGCCTTCGTCACGTCTGGAGTAACTTGGTGGCTCGGTTTCAAAGTAGAAAGGTTAAGAGGTTGTGTTGGGACATGAGCTCAAAACTTTCAAAGACTAAATTCAAAGAACTAAGGCAAGAGGTACGTGACTTTGATAATTAAGTATATTTGTATCTCGAGGAGATTGATGCTTGCCAGAGGATGCTTGCAAAAGACAAACACTATCGTTGGGGTAACCAGACAACTAACATTTCAGAGAATTACAACAACGTCCTCAAGGGCGTTCGTTTCTTGCCGATCCGAGCTTTGGTGGAAGCCACGTTTTTTAAGACTGTGGATTTGTTCCAAAAAGAATACGTAGTGTTGAAAAAATGCATTACACCGCTCCCGACTGACTTGTGAGAAGACTTCTTGAAAAAAGAGAACAAAGTCGCGCCACACAAAGTCAAGCGTTATGCTACGGTTAATGGGAAGTTCAAGGTAAAATGTAAAAGCCGACTTGGTAATAAAGGTGAAAATGAGTACACTGTGAAATATGAAGAGAAGAAGTGTTCGTGCAAGAAGTGGTAGGAGTATAGGATGCCTTGTTCACATGCACTAGCCGTGTATCGGAAGATAAAAGATCAACCAATCAATACGGTGCATCACATTTCAGGGTTGTTGCTTGGCAAGACCAATTCAGTGGGCACGATGACTTTAGCCCGGTCCTTGATAAGAGAAAATGGCCTAAGGTTGGATGGAGACTCGTTCCTAACTACGAGCGAGTTATTATGTTTGTGCTACCTATAGTTGGGGGTTAGCAGCGTAGGCGAGATTGTACTTTGGTTTGTGTCAGGTTGGCGCTCCCGAGAAGAATAACATTACAGGATGCTATATACTGATGCAGGTACATTTTTTTAATTTTTTTGTTATTTATATATGTTTTATTATATTATTATTTGTTATTCTTTTTTATTTATAATTTAAGATATGGGCTTGAGAGCGTACCCCAAGAATTCAACCGAAGAGAAAAGTTAAAGACCAGAGTTATTTGACGCCGGACGCTCCACTGGCCAATAGGTAATTATGGATTTATTTTTATTATTATTTCTTATTTATTATTTCCTCTTATGTGTATTTTGGTTTTCTAGATTTAAATTTAATTAATCTAACTAGAATTCCGTTCTTTCATAGGTGGAAATACTCAAAATCCAAATCGAAGGTCGTCGCTCATTGTGTTGTTGGCTTCACGGATCAGTTATCTAGACTAAGGGATGGTGATGTAAGTATTGATTTTTATTACTTGATAAAAATTCCTTCTTATTTTTTTTCCTATATTTTTTACCATTTTTTTTCTTCACATCTATATATTTTTAATAATTATTTCAATTTTGGCCAGTTTCTGTGGACTCTATACACTCCCTTCATCGACGTTCTCCCTGATTTCTGTAAAGCAGGGACTCATATGTACCTTTGCAGGACGTGGATCTTTTGTTGGGCCGTCAGAGAACCATACGAGCCCAATCAGGTCCTTCGTCAGTTTTGGTGTAAGCAAGCTAGGCCAGAGGCACCGTTAATTCGTGACAGGGATCGCTGGAAAGCAATACACTACGGGGACTTAGCGACTGGAAAGGCATATGATGATTGGGTGCTAAAACAAAGCAAGGTACAACCTCATTGGAATGTGAGAGAAAAGAAAGTGGTCCCTCATGAGTTGGTTGATCCGGCTCTTGGTCCTCAGTGCACAGTAGATTACATGCCGTGGTTTCAAAGGAGGACTGTCAGATTTATCACTGATCCCACCCAATACGGCACTTTGGCACAGGGTTATCACTGGACTTCATCCCGAGAGAGATTTTATATAAGATTTATGTCGTTGTTTTAATTTAAAATTTTCTTTTACTTTTTTTGCCTTGCTATATCTTATACTTTATTAACATTGTTCAAATTTTGCTGGCTGAAAATCTTAGCGGCATATATCATCTCGCTGAATCCACCTTACGGGCAAATCCTGGCCCTGGTGGTAGTCTTAATGAAAAACTCTTGAAAATTGTCGATAAGAGTTTCAGTGCCTTGACTTTGGCCCCAAATGATATGAGCTCTCAGAGAGATAGTGAGGTTCTTCTGAAAAGACCACCGGAGTCAAGTGAACACATTGTGCTCACAAAGAAAACAATATCTCAGCCAACTGGAGGTGGAAGGAGGGGGCGACAATCGGGAATTCGAGATCGAAGATTGATAGTCATCCCTATCCGTCTCTGATGCAAGAAAATGATGGAGATCATCAAAGTGATGAAGATTATTACATTGGGGGTGCGGAAGAAGAAGAAGAGTCCCCTCCACCTCATGTTTCTTCCCAAAAGAAAAATAAAATGGCCGAGGTTCGCATGAGTGATAGGGTGAGTAAATCTGCCAACAAGTTTACTCCCGGCTCCATTAGGGGCAGAGGAAAGAAAAGGCCGTCCAAGTAGTTTCATTGTATGACTCTTTGATTTTTATTAGGAGTCATTTGGATGTTTTTATGATTTTGAACTCGTTAATGTTTATTAGTTGTAATTTGAATGATTTGAAAATTTGAATGATTTTGAACTAGTTAATGTTTGTTACGATGTGTTCCAATGTATTTTTAGATAATTTCCTGCGTGAAATTTGGTTTGATACGGTTGTGATAGGTTGGGATTGGTTTAGAAACCAATCCTTTCTTTTTTTCTAAGTTTCTGTCCAGAAATCCGACCTTGGCACAGTTCAAATGTCCCGGATTTTCAAAATCTGATTTTAACTTACCCGGATTTCAGGAATCTGGCCTTTTTACTGTTCAACAGTATATCAGATTTCTGAAATTCGACCTTGGTCCGTAAAAAATCTAAGTATTTTTCTTTAAAATATTATTTTTTTACTATGTCAAGGTCGAATTTTTAAAATTCGATCTTCTGTTAATCTTTATTAATGTAATTAATTTTTCGTTTTAAAGGAAGTTTGCATTTTATAAATTTGAGAGTAAAATCGGATTTCAGGAATCCGATCCCGGTATCTTTTTCTTTTCCAAAATTTGACCTATATTTTTCTCTATTCCTATTTTTGCACCATTTTTTATCTCAAAAACTCCCAAAATTTACCTCATTCTAGTTTTTAATTATGTATAGAAAAATCTATGATTTGGTGTGAACAATAATTGGGCACGATTTTATTTATTATTTTTTTTTCCCGCTGAAGATTTGATAGTATGAAACCACGAAATGTGGTCTCAAAATATGTGATTTCCGTGAGCGGCTGGATTACTTCAACAAGTCAATGCTTAATGGTTGATTTGACTTAAAAAATTTTAGTTCACCGAGAATATATAACAATCAAAAGGCTCCTAGCCCAAGTATGCAAATTGTGACAAACTTACTTTATGCATTTGTCAACTTTCACCTCACACAAAGTCAAAATATATGTTCCAGTTTCAAAATAATTAACAAACCTTATATTGTCCGAGCAATATTCAATTACTAATACTTTTCGCCTGTTTACATTGATTCTATTAAGCTTATGCATGCTTTCAGGGCAGCAAACCACCGACGACATGTGTTTTTTTTTTTCCTTCCCGCGCTTTTTTATTTTATAAATTCATTTTCTAAAGAATTTTTTAATCTTTTTATTTTGCCGTTGAAGAAAACAGTGTAGTACAAGTAGTTTCGTACCACAAAAGGGAGACAATGAAAGAAAGGGTGTTTGGAAGAGCAATTAAGTATGTGTATTTAAGTCATAAACTAAAATTGGAGTCCTCAATCATATGTATGCGATTCTATTTTGGGCTACTTCAAACTAATTTAATAATCCTCCGGACAAACCTGATGCAAAATCGTGACTGACTATCATTCCAATTTCTAGCTTCAGTTGTTCATGGTTTGGAATACCAAAAGTGGTAAAGTAAAAGCACACTAAACTTGAGTTGACCAAAATCGGTTGAAAATTTATTTAAAGTTATTTCCCATTACGAATATGACTACTCAGACAATCATGTGTGACCAAATTAAATTACGGGTCTGTCAAGCAACCCCGACACCTACCATGTATTAGCCAATTGTCCCAAATCCTCATCGTATTTATTCACATTTCACCATCTCCATTTCTATCCATTTTTGAATATTTAAAAGGGGGAAGAAAAAAAAGAAAAAGAAAAACAGAATCACAAGTTTACAAACAATCACCAACTTAAGATTCCTAACAAGTTTATTACGTATCATCATCAACGTGAAGATTCTTCCCACAAACCATCGTCATCATTTCCCTTGGACCAACCATTTAGCAGTAGTAGTACAAACTAAAACTCTAAAACCAAACAAATAATGATAAATAAATATAGTACTACTATTTAACAAGAGTTGGAGAAAAAAAAGTGGGGAGGTCCGGATAAGAAGAGAGCAGGAGACAATAAAGGCATGACCAACTCAAAAAGAAAAGCTTTTTAAAGAATAAATAAAAACTTCGTCCCCCCCAATCCTAATAATATTTGGAGATCCTAATAGAACTTAGGCATACAAACTCTAAAACTCCCAATGGACTTGGAGTCTGGGACACCACTCCCGCCGCCAAAGCGGCTGTCCTCCCTGATTACCCGCCTCAATGCCTCCGTCGCCGACAGCCCCGTCGGCCACCGCTTCAAGATCAAGCAACGCAACACCACCTTCACCACCGAGCTCCGAGCCGGCACCGCCACCTTCCTCACCATGGCTTACATCTTAGCCGTCAACGCTTCCATCCTCTCCGACTCCGGCGGCACTTGCTCCGTCTCCGACTGCATCCCCCTCTGCTCCGACCCCACCGTCTCCCCGTCCAACTGCACCGGAAACCCCAACCTCCGGCTCATAACCCCGGACGTTTCCTGCAAGTTCGACCCAGTTAACCCGGGCTACGCCGCCTGCCTCCAAAAAACCCGGAAAGATTTGATCGTCGCCACCGCCGCCTCCTCCCTCATCGGATGCGTCATCATGGGCTTATTCGCGAATTTACCCTTAGGATTAGCTCCGGGAATGGGCGCCAATGCCTACTTCGCGTACACCGTGGTGGGCTTCCATGGATCCGGGAACGTAACTTACCAGAGTGCTTTAGCCGCCGTTTTCATAGAAGGCCTAATATTCTTACTCATCTCTGCCGTCGGGTTAAGAGCCAGGCTGGCGAAATTAGTCCCGAAACCGGTGCGAATTTCCTCTGCGGCTGGAATTGGGCTCTTCTTAGCCTTCATTGGTTTGCAAAACAACCAGGGCGTCGGTCTCGTGGCTTACAGCTCATCAACATTAGTCACTCTCGGAGCCTGCCCGCGTTCCGCGCGTGCTTCCGTTGCGCCGGTGATCGCGTCCTTAAACGGCACCGTTTCCCTGTTACCCGGCGGGACGCCGTCTGATGACATATTGTGTTTGCATGGCCGAATGGAAAGCCCAACGTTTTGGCTTGGAGTTGTTGGGTTTGTGATCATTGCTTACTGTTTGGTGAAGAATATAAAGGGGGCGATGATATACGGCATCGTTTTCGTCACCGCCGTTTCGTGGTTTAGGAACACCAGCGTCACCGCCTTTCCCGACTCTGTTACCGGGGATTCTTCTTACGAATATTTCAAAAAAGTCGTTGACGTTCACAAAATTGAGAGCACCGCCGGAGCTTTGAGTTTCAAGGATTTCGGCAAGGGGCATTTCTGGGAAGCGCTGGTGACGTTTCTGTACGTGGACATTTTGGACACCACCGGGACACTGTATTCGATGGCTCGATTCGCCGGATTTACGGACGCCGACGGGAATTTCGAGGGGCAGTATTTCGCGTTTATGTCCGACGCGTCTTCCATTGTGGTGGGGTCGTTGCTGGGGACGTCACCCGTGACGGCTTTCATTGAGTCGTCCACGGGGATCAGGGAAGGTGGTAGGACGGGGTTGACGGCGTTGACCGTGGCGGCCTACTTCCTGCTGGCGTTCTTCTTCACGCCGTTGCTGGCGTCCATCCCGCCATGGGCGGTGGGGCCGCCGCTGATACTGGTGGGCGTGTTGATGATGAGGTCGGTGGTGGAGATCGAGTGGGATGATATGAGGCAGGCCATCCCGGCGTTCATGACTCTGATTCTGATGCCGTTGACTTATTCCATCGCCTACGGGTTGATCGCCGGCATCGGGACTTATATAGTTTTGCATTTGTGGGATTGGGGTGAGATTTTGTTGAGGAGATTTGGAATCATCAAAGATGTCGGCAGCAGCACCAACGATCATGGCGTTAGCAGCAATGGTGTTGTGGTGAAGAACGGGATCGTAAAAGAAAGCAGCATTAGCAACGCTGGAGGAGTTAGCCAAAATTAACTTGATGATATATGTAATTAACTCTTTGTAATTAGTTTTATATATGGTTTAATTTTTGTTCCGGAAGTTTTTAAATAGTTTTGCTGATCCATCATCAATCAATCAATCAATCAAACTAGTATTGATTCTTCGAAAACTCAAGGCATGGTAGCTACTAGTTAGCTATAGACTCAAAAAGTCAGAACTCAGAAGTGCCAAATATAGCAAGGATCCAATAATATATGCAGGTGTACTGTTTTCTATATAAATAAATGGAAGATCTCGAGACTGATATAACAATCTCTTATTGGTTTCAAATTTAAGTATGATCTTTCACGATATTAATATAGAGTTACTCATCGACGGAACGTTGTAGTTTGATGGTATGGTTCACATCAAATTAGCTTCTCTTATATTACGCACCAAAATGGGGAAGATTAAGCACACAATTCTGAGGGGAAAGGGGGAAACGTGAGGTATTATGAAAATTCAAATGTTGTGATTAGAGATATATCAGTCAGTGTGAAAAGCTTCAACCACGCACGAGAGAGGCTCTCTGGCATCAGTTTTAAGACTTTAATAAGTGTGAGACTGTGAGTGGTAGGACAAGTTAGCACTAGCAATTTGTTTAGAGAGGCAGCCAAAAAAAAAAAAGTCTATCTCTCTCGACTCCGTGTTATGCTATGAATCACAAACCAAGAAAAAGAAAATGAAAATTGAACTATATATTAAATTCCAAAACCGATGGGGGGAATCCCATGTCCATTGTCTCCCATTATTTTCCTGTAGAGACTTCAACAAGTAAGCAAGCCATGGATGGATGTTGATTTCAAGTTTTCAACCAATTCGGTCATTGATACTGATAGTTGTGGATATTCTGTGAATTGGAGGATCCAATATAATTACAACTTGTAAAGTTTATTGACTATGTATGTTTTATGAATGATGTAAGATTGAGAAAAAAAAACTTGGGCATATTTGCTGAAAAAAAACCTGGTGACCAACTCTGACACATACAAACACCCCCCCAGAGTGAACTGTGAGCTGTGGACAACCTATCAAAACACATTTCCCCTTTTGGGTTAAAAAAGAAAGTGGGACAACAGGAAAAAGTTACGTATCCCTTGATTATTGTTTCAACTTTTAACCCAGAAAAAATAGTAATAATATCTATTCTCAGTTGGAGTTGCGCAATCTCTTTTCGTTTGGATTGAAGTGAAGTGAAGTCTACCAAGAAAACTTTTTTCTAGTACATCTTCTGGACGTGAATCCATCCATCCATCGTGTAACTTAGGTTCTTGATGTAAAAGCCGGCACGCCGATGTTATGGAATTAATAATTGGACCGTGATGATTTGAAAGAAAACCCAAAACCTCAAACACACCATCAACATCAATAATAACGTAATTATAAAAGGCGGACAAAATTCACACATCATAATTACAAAATATCTGTTCTAATTTGTCAAGTTTTTTTGGATAAAATCTCGGATTGAAATTAGGCTAGTCATGAATGATGGTTGGTGAACAAAACAGATGCGGAAATTAAAATCGATTACGATGGATGGATGACAAACACCTATATATGTGTAAGAACCTAGCCAGCCTTAATGACTTAATGTGGATGGTACGTGGGTTTTGAGTGTGGGTTTGAAAAGGAGGGAATTCAACTCAAATTTTATTTTTATTTTTTTGAATAAAAAAAATTGATTTGATTTATTGCTAGTCATTTTCTTTCCCACCCTAGAAACAACATAATTGGTCCCATATACTACCACATGGGCCGATGATTAATTATGGTTGAGTTTTCATTTGCAACCTTCGATTAGATTAATATTTATCCATAAAGATAATCACCATCCCCACTCAAAAGTTATGGAGGGACCTTTTGTGTAATTGATAACTAATATAGGTTTTCAACTAGCCCCCCTCCCAGAAATTGAGTCTGATGAATTATTATTATGTGTGTATGATCGGACAATAACTTTTTTTTGCATCTGTTTAGAGCCTAGGATGATCAATTATGTTATTGAAGTTGGTTGGCGGTATTTAATAGTTATAACAAAACTACTCATCCCCCACAAAGTTGCCTTTTTCTTTGGGGCATCTCATACTTATTGCTAACTCCCCATCTCTTTTTACCCCCAACCACACAAAACTGAACTATACACAATCCTAAAATCGATAGAAATCAATCCAGCTGTTATTACTATTCGTCACTGTTACTTCAAGGGAATTTGATGAGTTAAAAGGATGAATTTTGTTTCCCCCATCGAGTTCGAAAGGAAACTAACTAATTTTTATATTTGGGAAGAGCTCAAACCTGCAGTATATATAAAGCCTTATACGAAGAAAAAAAAGAAAAGAAGAAGCTAATTGATATCGAAGCAAGATCCATTCAATCGGGTTCGCGTTATTTTATTTTATTTGTGTCTTTGCTTAAACATTTTCCTCTGGCATCAAATTTCCTGGGCGTATCATCACGTTTATTCAAATACGGTATTGCATCCATGAATTTGATAAAGTACTAGAATGATGATAAATACTTTCTTTTCGATCGCCATTGATATTTTTTTTTTTTCTTTGTTTGATTAAATTACAATCAATCGCTTATCGGTTACTGTCGCAGATCAGTTCGTAGGGGTACTTATTGATTGTGGAAACAGTAAGCACGTACGTGCCCGATACTACTAGTAAACCAGGGAACTATGAAGACGTTGATGATGAGGGAGGAACCAAAGCAACGAGACTTAATTGGGGCTTCCGGAGGATCTATTGGTGGACATAATGTCGAAATTAGACCAGCAAAGTTTAGGAAAATGTCGATGCGTATGTAGATCGTGGAGGAAAACACTGAGTGATTCTCGAGTTTTGAGCGTGTTGCGCGAACAATCTAGGAGGAGAAGTTCCAATTCCTTCGTCTTCGTTTGTAATGAGCCATTCTGCCATCGCAATCAGCCAAAAGCGTGGAACACCCTCAAAACCGTTGACCTTAATTGCAATAGTAGTAGTAGTGGCAGTACTACAAGATGGTTAGAAGAGCTTGACTATGGAATCGTAGATGTGTTACCTGTTTGTTACGACTTGGTGTGCTTCCTGATGAGGAGGGAAGTTCGATTATGTGATCCTCGGACGGGTCAAGTTTATAGCTTACCCGAAAATACCTCGAATGTGTTGGAGCCGGATATATCATCTTGAAACTTTGGTGTTCGGATATCTGGCTTCTAAGCAACAATACATGAGGGTGGTATGCCTCAGCCCTACCAGTTCTATCACATCAGACTTGGAGTCCGACTCTTGGCGGGCTGACTCTGATACCATATAGAAGTCCATGGGGTTCCACCTCAAAACCAATTGACAATGAGGGGAGTAGTCCATGGTACTTATATACTGATACAAAGTGTCTCCAAACACCAATGTGAGATAAACAATTCAACAGACTACAGCGAAAACAAAGGAGAAAATGAACTTTTAGTCTCATTGGACATTGAGAATGAAGAGTTCACGCTCATAAGCTGTCCTTCAATGCCACCGTCATGGAAATTATTAACCCGATTCCATCCAGGTTCTTACTGCACCTTGGTCGATTTCAAAGGGACCCTTTACTTGATAGACGAGGAAGATATGTGGGAGACTCAAGTTCTGAAATTGTGGGGATGGAAATTGATAGACAACGATCCTTCTTCTTGCTCTGCTACCTGGGATTGGGCCATAGAGTATAGCATCAGCTTAGATTTCAAATTACTCCTCAAAGATGAATTTTCCCTTGGTGTGTTCCAGGTCTTCAATGGAGGGAGAACTAATGATATGTTGTCTTGATCAACCCGGAAAGCCCTACTATCATATCTGTAATCCGGATAAAACGGAAACCAGGAAAGTGGAACACGAGAACCTAGAGTGTTGCCGGATTATGTCATTTGGGTTCTTATGGGAACAAGATTGGTCATCTTTTGAGAGTGTTACTAATTCTTCAAGGTCACCAGATGATATATTATGCATCAAGGCACGGCATTCCCAAACTTCTATTGAACATCATGGAGCTAGCCGCCAGGAAATTTTGAATCGACTTTACGCCGACGGACGGAGTTACGAGGATCTGTTTAGTGGCGGATGGAGAAGCCGATGGCCTATTATATCGTAGTCAAAAGTACGTTGAGGCACCTGACCTGCCAAACGTATTACTCTCCCCATCCCATGGCTAAATTATGCATGGCAAGATGGTAAATTACAGATCATGAATATTTTAGTAAACCATCTTTTCACGTACTCAAATAATTCTTATATCTAAAATGATGATCGCCAATTTCTATCTATTCTTTTGTAGATCATAAACAAACCAGGTATCCACTTACTAGCTCTATGCACAAATAGTGGTGATGTTTCGTAGTAAATAGCTGTATGAATGCCTGTTAAGATCTGCTGTTAATTAATTCTGAATTTTGTTGCCACTATTCTACTGTATATGGTTTAGAATAAACAAGGCAGAAAAATGAAGATGAAGATCTACAACCGTCACACAATAATGGTTTTAATGATGGATTGACAGTGAGCATGATTTTTTTGGGATGCCAATTAATCATGGCCAGAAAAAATGTTGCAGCCATTTAATGAAACTGGAACTGGAAGTTATGTATGCTCTAAAAACCACCCTCAAGATCGAATGATTGATTTTTAAATTTTGATCAATTTTTGGAGTTGTAGTTACATTAAACTTATATATGTTCACCGGGTCTGCAGTTTGGTAATTAATTTGGATTGTTTCTTCACCGGAGGGAGAGCTGCTCATATGTTTGCTTGATCTTGCACGGAGGACCTATTATCTCTGTAATCCCCAGACTCATAACATCAGAAAAGTTGAAGGGCTTGAGATTAGAGAGGGTGTCTTTCATATGTCATTTGGGTTCTTTTGGGAAGATTGGTTCTCTTTTGAAAACCATACTTCCAGCACACCCCACACATCGTAAATTAAATATCAGACTCCGATACAAAGAAAAAAAAGAAACTTGCTCAAACTTGTCGTGTCCTGTGATTTGTGTAGTCATTATTCATGTAAAGATTTTCTCCATTATTTTGGTCAATACAATATTTGATGAGTTGTTAGTTATTTAAATACTTTCCAGTTTGCCTTTGGCTCTATATTTTATTTTTATTTTATCCTCTTCTCGTCTAAATTGAGGAATACTCTCTTTCCCAAACCCCGAAAGAGAGGTCTCAGGTTTTGTATCCACCATAAAAACAAATACATATATATATATATATATATATAAATGAAATTAGTTGGACAACTCCCAGAAGAGAGAAATAAAAATTTTGAATGGTTTTTTTTTTTTTCACATTTACAGGGTGTCCATCGTCGACAATAATGACTAATACCTCTAATCCCCCTTGCTGAATTGTAGGCACCTTAATAGGTGGAACAGCTGGCCAAAATATTTAAAGTTGCTCTATGTTCATGGCGAGATTCAAACCCTTGACTTATGATTAAAGGTGGAAGAGTCTCTTTCACTCCACCACAACCAATTTGGTTGAATTTGAATCTTATTACTGGAGGGGAACAAATGAACCATTGCTTGCAACGAAACACAATCATGCTGGTCAACCTGTAGAAATTGTGGATCAGAATGTTCTATCTATCTTGCGGCCCAAACTCTCAGCATGATAGTAAGTACTGATTGTACAGTTTTACCCTTTTTAAGTGTATAGAAGTGCATGTTAAAGGAAGGGCATAGTTGTCCTTTTATTAGAAAAGATTAATTAGACAATGTTTAGTGATAATGTTTAGTGACAATGTTTTTTGTGAATCATTGTTATACAATCTAAATATATAGAAGAAATTGCCCCAGAATCCTTATCCTCTCTGTTGTTTGTTCGAACCACAAACCATAGATCATGTTCTTCTAGACAACCGATAATTAGTAAAAGCCTTCCTTCTTGGAACAGCTAGTTTTTCTTTTTTTTTTTTGGGCTTCGCTTTCTCAAGGGTTTTTTCTGGTCTTCCCTCGTAACATGTCAATTCATTTTTCCCTTGAAATGTTTTCTTTTCCTTTTTCTTTCTTTTTTTTTTTTTTTAAAAAAAAACACATTTACAATGAAATGTGAGCTCTGTTATTTTAGTCTGACTTACTGATGATGATGCCTGTAACATGTGTACCTTGTGCAACCTGGATTTTTGGGACTTAAAAAAAAAGTCATAGTTTGTCAAATAATGGATTTCAGAGCTTATAAAATAATAATGCATTAGTATAATTGTGGCAGAGAAGACTAAAAGATTTGTGTATCTGGACTGCCAAATTTGAGTTTATCTTCCTTGTCATGATTTTGCCTTCAGTCACACATTTGAGGAGTTTTCATCCTGCAACAGAGAAGCGGGGGATATCTTTCGCTGATGTGACAAGTCTTCCCATTGGAGCCTGAATTTTGCCCATAAATCGGCTGTTCCATCATATATACCAGAACTGAGGTTTTGATAACTACAGAGGATGATTTAGGGGAAGGTCTTCACTCTTCCGGGAGCATATTGGGAGTGTTCATCAGCAACATCAAGATGATCATCACCACTATCCACTTTCCTGGAGCCCAATATACAACAACTCCTCAACTATCTCATCACCCTTCCATGGTGATTGTACTGTAAAAATTCTTTTCTTTTTTTGGGTTTCCGTGAAAGAATTTCAAACTTTACAGTTGGATGATCACACGCGCGCGGTATTCTTTTTGAAATGTACTATTATATCTTCTATATATGTATAACGACGAGCTATTATACAGAACTGGCCCGGTACCCGGCGTTGACACTACTTACCCACATTCTGGTTTCCGGTCCTCCGTCAAGATTCATTATAGTCGGTGGAAGAGTATATTATATAAATTATAATACTACAATCAACCCTTCGTCCTTACATCCTCGTAGGATGCCATATCACTTTGCTGATTAATTACTTTCATTTAATTAATTAATCGACTGACCAAATTGAACAAGTTTTACTTTTGTTAAACTAAAATGCCTTCATTAAATGATCAGATTCATCACCGCAACTAGCTAGCTAGCTAGCTTTGGTATACGTCACATCACATGTGCATCCTTAACCACGATGAACTTCGACAAATATAGATCACGACTCCCAACATGCATACCATCGATCATATGTGTCATGATAATAATCATGATTTCTTTAATTGAACATCCAAATTTTCCAAAGTCAAATACTACCGTCTAAATTTATTTGTGTACCAAGAACTGATCAATTTTGTGATAAGGCTTTGCATTTTTTTTATTTTTATTTTTTCACCTCTTCACGTCTAAATTGAGGAATGCTCTCTTCTCCACAACTATTTTGTATAGTTGCGGTACCATACAAAATAATATAAAATAAAATAAAATAAAATAAAATAAAAATCGGACATCGTGCGAAAAGCTCCCGAGAATGGAAGCCAGGGTGTGGCGGTGGTCTTCTTCACCGCTGCAAACTTCACTTGACAAACACACAAATGCCTTATCATTCTGGTCTTCTACCAATAATAATAGGGCCCCATCCCCATGGAACTCCATGTGGATGCCCACAAAGAAGAACTTGAAATTGATCCAGATTTCCTGCAAACTTCCGGAGGATGAGACGGAAGGAATTACCTCGAGAGCAGTAGCATTGGGCACCTCCAGGAGCAGAATGGAAGAGTACAACTTAGCCATGAAGCGAATGATGAGAAACCCTTATGAGTATCATCATGATCTTGGTCAGTTCCCCCCTCCCTGCAGCTTTAACATCCTTCCATTTTTCTTAGGTTGCCTTCATAGATTTACTAATTGGGGGAAAATCATTTACTGGGTTTAATTTGCTGGAAATGCAATGTTTTCTGGTTGATTCATTAACTGAGTGTTTGTTTTATTCTGGGTTTAGTAACTGTAGTTTGCTGAAAATGCTATATTTTCATCGAGACCCAAGTCTGTATCTAAATGGAACAATCCATTTGATAAGCTAGATATCCCTTGAATGCTTTGGAACTCTCGGAATTATAGAACATGGTTCAGCCTTATTAATTTCGCGTATTTCATAATTGGAGAGTGATACTAGAACTGCACAATATGGTACAATCATTTTTATGCATATGAAGGCTCAAGGAAATGAGAGGATTTACATTAACACTGGACTTGTGTACTCTGACGATCCTGGGAAAAATAATTTTTCTGCAATCTCTAATTTTCCGTTATGTTCTTGTGTTTCAGGAATGAACTACACTCAGATAACTGAAACTCTAATTGTTGGCTCTCAGCCTCAAAAAGTTGAAGACATAGAACATCTGAAAGAAGAAGAGAACGTGGCCTATATTCTGAACTTGCAGCAAGACAAAGATGTTGAGTACTGGGGAATTGATCTCTCGTCAATAGTAAAAACATGCAAAGAACTTGGAATCCATCACATGAGAAGGCCCGTAAGCAATTACTGAACTTTGGTGTCAACTAAATTGCAATATCTCACTATTATACATGATAATAATTCCTATTTGAGAATATCTCTCTGTTCAATTTCTGGACCTATTTTGTATACAACATGACCTTTTGTGACGCATCACCTTTCGGGTTGTGAATGCCTGTTTACTTAGTTATTGGAATTCACAGTCACAAGTCCTAACAATATAAATAGTCATGTGCTTGTGTATCTAAGTCATGATTATCTTGCTAAATCATCATCAGCAATCTAACCTTGCGATTGTAGTCTGCCATGAATTCTCCACTAAATTCACTTCTAGATTTTCTGAGCCTTATGTATCCTGGATTTCAACTTTTTTCTTGGACACATGGGATCTTCCTCTTTTTGGGTCTCATTTTCTTTCCTAAAGAATGTGCACTGTAACATGCCTTTCTTGTGTATCTTCAGGCAAGGGATTTTGATCCAGAGTCTCTAAGGAATATATTACCAGAGGCTGTTTCTTTACTGGATTGGGCAATTGAAGAAGGAAACGGAAAAGTATATGTACACTGCACTGCTGGATTGGGGAGGGCACCTGCAACAGCTATTGCTTACATGTTCTGGTTTTTGGACATGAACGTAAGTGATCAAGTCTTTCTCTTCCTGTAGCAACATTAGCTTAATTACTCAAAGCTCATATTCAATAATGATAGCATGTAGGCTGCTTTAGCACAGTATCAGTTAATTTCTGGTGATGTTTTGATTGTGCTCCTGAGCAGCTAAATACAGCATATGAAACTCTTATTTCAAAGAGACCTTGTGGACCTAACAAGACAGCAATTCGGGGTGCTACTTATGATTTAGCCAAGAATGATCCCTCAAAGGAACCTTTTGAGAGTCTTCCAGATTATGCTTTTGAGGATGTTGCGAACTGGGAAAGAAAATTGATTCAGGATCGTGTACGTTCCCTGCGGAAGATTGAAAAGGATTGTTAGATGTACCTCATCAAGGTCATTGAACTGCTGTGCACAACAAGATTTTACTATTTGATCAAATTTACTTGTTAGACCCTTAGGCCTACCATTTGAAAAGATAAGAAACGCCAAACTGGACATTTTGGTTGTTCTAGGTTTCTCAGGTCAGAGCCAAATGCGATGTTGGGTTGGCTTTCTCTGCATCATTGGAAGTTGCTTATATATCTTCTGTAAAATGATGTATGATTAGGCATAGAATCTTCTTTTGTAATGGATGGTGCGTACAATTTCACTGACCTAAGAATATGAAACGAATCAGATTGATTTCGGGCTAAAAAGTTCACAGGGTGCTGGTAGGTTGTAAAAGAGAATGAACAAATAATCGGTGAATACGTTAGTTTATTGCTGTTGCTGAAGCTAAAAAGGGGGATTCCACAAAGGCATGGGATCATTCACAAACTTTTCTTGAATGTTATGGCCTATGGGCACGAATAATTCTGCTGAACTAGTACAGATTGGCGCCACTGTCAACGTGTCTATAAATTGGAGTTCTTTCCAATCCATCTTTCACCGCCTCCATCTCCATCTTTTCTATCTTACACTCCTCACAGTATTTCCATTATTTGGATACATAGATCTTATATGAGTTGCGGGCTTTATCTGCAAAAGTCCATGGGGCTTGGCAACCAGTTCCACTTAAAGGGCTAAATCCGCGTCTGTGGATCCCTGTTTTGATCTTTTGACCTGGTTGCGACCCCATGGACTGTTGCTTTTAAAGTGTTTGGGGTCTCCTTTTGATAGATTATGACAATGTTTAATCCTGGAACCCAATTATGTTCCCTCAATTTTTGAGCATGACCCTTTTGTGCAATGTATCATCTTAGTTATTGGAGTTTCTGTGCAGATCAGAAGTCCTAAGAATCATATGCCGCTGTCACCTTGCCATTGAAGTCTGCCCTGAATTCTCCAATAAATTTTACTTCTACATTTTCTGAGCCTCGTGTATCCTTTACCTTTTTTTGCAACTTCTCTTCTTGAATGGATGCGATTTTCCTCTTGTCGAATCCCATTTTCTATCCTAAAGCAGGTGCAATATCACATAGTGCCTGTTGCATGTCTGTTTTGTGTTTCTTCAGGCAAGGGAGTTTGATCCAGAATCTCTAAGGAACCCTGTATGTTTGTACCAGAAAAAAAGGAAAAGTAGATATGTACCTCTGCACACAAGGGATTAGGAAATAATGTTCTGGCTTTTGGACATGAAGGTAAGCCTTTCAGAAGTCTGAATCTTTCTGAAGCAACATTTGCTCAAGCTCAGTCCCAATGATGATAGCACGAGGCTTCCTTTAGCATTATTAGACAAGTTTATCTCTGTTGACTATGCTCCTGCCTTGTGGACCTAAGAAAACAGCAATTCTTGGTGTTACTCATGATCTAAACTCACTCAAGAGGAATCTTTTGAGACTCGTCAGGAGTATGCATTCGAAGATGTTGCAAACTGAAAAGAATTGATTTACCAGGTGCCTCATTAAGGTCACTTAATTGCTATGCATCTGGGGATTTTATCGTTGATCAAATGATGGTTCTTAGACACCTTGGCTCTACCATTTTGGTTGTTCATAGATTTCTTTAGTTTTAGAGGCAAATTAGATGTTTGGTTTCACTGCATCACTAGAAGTTGATTGTATGTGCTCTAATATTATGATTAGGAGGAACAGAAGCGTTTGTGAATGGCATTTTACAATTTCGCCTATTTAAAACCATCCTTAATTCACAGCAGCCAGTGGGCCGATATCATGTTAAGTATCAGAAACAATTTTTAGCGTTGTGAACACCGTAGTACTAAGTAAGAGTAACAAGTACACAGGTACACCCTTTCTTAATCAAATATGTGTACAGCTACATTATACAGAAGATTCGAACGGAGGCCTCTCCAAGGGTTTCAACCAAATATTTGCCCTCCAACATAATATTAAGAACCAAAAAGAGAAGGAAGAAGAAGAAGATACGAATAATACAAAATTGCAGGGCCACTGTAACTTAAGTAAACTTAGTAAGATGGTGCAACTGTGGGTACTCATGAGGCCTGAACTTCCTTGCCCATCCTTTGGCCAGTGAATGTATAGTTAGTATGAATGCAGAAAACTACTTTGAGGTGGTTTCATGAGATGGTTTCAGGTGGCTGAGAAGAACGGAGTTTTGCCAGCTTCACTTGCCGATGCCCTAGATGAAATGCTGTCAGTATCCACAACATGCACACCTGAAACACAGAAGGAAAAAGAAGGACCTTAGATTTTGTATTCCATTATAGATCGAAACTCAGATTCCCTAATTAACAAAAATATATATATAAAAAAAAAAAAGTCCAGTCCGACAGAAGAGACATTTGTTTACCGTTTGAAAATAAATTACTTACAGGCAAGGCATATAGGGAGGCAGTTGATGGATTTCCTTTCACAGTGGTGTGAAGGAGTTTGTACATTCCAGCTGCCGAAGCATCTCCAAGACGTTGCACAATCACGTCGATGCATACCTGTGGGATCATGCAGAACGCAAGTTATCAGCTGGCATAGCATACCATCATTTATGGTTCATAAAATTATGAGCAGAAATGGTTCAATAACTTGTTTTGTTTCCCAAATCTACTTCCAAGGATTCACACACCAAACTCTTTATTATTAACTATATACCGCTGGGGCGAAGATTTTTATCAGAAAGTATCGCGATTCTCTCTCTTGCCTAAGCTTTTCATATTACAGTCCAATAAACAAGGTGAGCAAAACAAAGTCGACTCGAATAATCTAATCACTAACCTTTGCTTTATATTTCTCCTCCTGTGAGACAACAGTGAACAGTAGCTCTCTCCCAGGCCTAGTTACAACATACGTGGTAACCTGACAAAAGAACATGAATTTACTTAGCAACTAAAGCAACTTCATGATCTGCAACCCCGATTCTTAAACTGTAAGCACCCAATTTTTGTTTTCCAGCTTCAAGAAGGAAAACCAACCTTACGTAAGGTTTCACAAATGGCAACAGCAATCCATGTTGGCCAGAGAGCTATAGCAATTAAATTAATAATGGCAACAAAAGGTGTACAGCTTATAGCAGCAGTAACTCCAAAGATGGTAAGAATGCGCCCCTGAAGGATCCAAATTAAATTTTTGAGCATGTGAACCACTAAATCACACAAGATAAAAGCAATAAACAATGAAAATACTCCTGCTTGGAACATTGGTTGACAAAAATGAGTGAAGGTTCCAGTAATAACATATCAAACATCTTGACAGTTGCGCAATACCGTCACAGTAAGTTGTCCACCAAGAATAAACACGGCAATGAAGCTATTTATCTGAGCGAACAATCTTCTTCTCTGAACAGGGTTTGTGACACTTGTGGCAATCACAGTAACTTTCTGCAGCAAGAAATAAACCAAGTGGAAAAGACGAGGAAACCACTAGTTAGAGAAAGAAATGCATGAAAAACAGTTTAATGACATTTTAAGGGCAGGATACACCAAAAGTCCAAAACTAATGGAGGAGCCACCTATATCTAAACCAAATTTGGCATTCATGACCTACAAATTTTTATGCTCCGCTAGAATTATAACTGAAGCATTAATTATAAACTCTTCGAATTCTTTGACAGACAATAACTTAAGTCCCACTCCAGGTACTTAAAAATGCACCATTTTCTGTTCTTCAAGGAGTCATTGTAGTGAAATAAATACAAATATGATATGGTAGGAAAATACGTGAGAATGCACCAAATGATAGGAACACAACAAGAGCCACATGGCCCACATCACATACTTCAATTCCTCAACCTACATTATCGACATCACAACTACCCCAGATTTACAATTCTTACATTCATATGAACAGGGCCTGAAAAGATAAATCACACATTTCAGCTAACTGCAGAGTGCAGACAGCACAAAATTTGATTGTAATGAGTAATCTAGCTAGATGGATCCAATCAGCTGTCATTTCTACAGCCAGTTTATGAAGAGAAAGCAAAATATCCAATTTAAAAGTACAACAAGAATAAACTCATACATCAACATCTAGACCGCTAAAAGGGAGAAATATTTGAACATTTAGCAATGAAGAGGGCATATGATGAAAAAATTCAGGGATGTCTTACCTGAAAGTAAAAGAAAGAGGATACTACAGCACTTAGCCACAGGAATAAGGCAACATATATTAAGTAAGTTGATGAGAGTATGAGGCGTATCCCATCTAATATAGACCAGAACTGAGGCTTTGATTCTACAGCGGATGATTTAGGGGAAGGTCTTCCAGAAGCACGTTGCGAGTGTTCATCAGCAACATCAAGATGATCATCACTATCAACTTTCCTGGAGCCCAAAAGACAAAAGTTTAACCCCAATTAAATCCAAGATCTCAAATAGCTAAAGACTCTACCAAGAACCGTACATCAGCAAGCACAAAAGAATACATGCGTGAATGGGTAATAAGGAAATTGCATCGTTATTGTATATTTGCAATTGCATATACAAACGCCATTGAATAGTTTCTAACCCGTAATCAACTACATGCCATATAAATTTGACTAAACATAAGGAAAAATGTAAATACTATTTATCTTATTCCTCTCTTTCTCATTTCCCCTTTCACTAAAGCTTCCGCCAGAGGGTTTGACCCATTAAGGCCTGAGGCTCAAAGCCTTGCCCAGATTCTGTTTTCGCATCTCCTCGGTGATCTAAATTCTTAGATCACATGGAAACAGCTCTTACCGCTTTAGATCCCCTCCAAAAAAAATGTAAAAATTATATCCATGCATCTGAGATACAGGTTTTGAATTTATTGTGCACGCCTATCAATATAAATATGTTTAATCATAGATATACAGATACTGGAGCATACGCAAAACAAGAAAGATAAACATTATGCGGAACGAACTTGTCTAATTCACAAGAGGAAAGCAAAGATATGAAGGTTTTTGCTAATAGGCAAAATCAACAGAACAAGACCTCATTGGAAGTTGTTCATCTGGAAGATTTGTGGTGTCTCTCTCAATTCCTTTAGCAGATTGTGCAGCAAGTTCCATTAAAATAGCAGCAAAAAGAAGTAAATCTACAAGATCCCAGTTCCATCGATAGTCAAAAAATTGAGAAGCAAAAGGATAGAAAAAGACAAGAAGTGAGGGTCGAAGCAGAAGCAGAAGCAAATGACTATAACGTTATCATTTTAGCAAAGAACAGAGAATTCACATACAAGGTCCTAACCAAGCCACTATTGTTGCAAGTACTGAACCACATAGCTGACCAAATGTAGCGCCAGCACCAATGAAACCAAACAATCTTGAACCTGACTGAATACAAGAATGAGTTAACCATGTTTGATGACAAAAAAAAATTGCAACAGATGCTTACAGCTTGAACGGTTTACTGTTCAAAATCTTTTGACAATTCAGATTATAATTAAAAGCAGTGCAAAAAGCGAAGCAAGAAGAAATGAATCAACTGACCTCAGTATCCATCACATCTATAACTCTAGCCCATGTTGATGATATAGTGATAAGATTAAGAAGTGCAACCTAAGGTGAGAAATATGGAAGAAACATATATAGCGTAAGAGCCTAAGGTAGAACATAAACAAGAAGTAGGGAAAGCAAGTACCCAAAGAAACAAGCAGATTCTAACGGCCTTATAAAACCATCCATTGTTGCTCCACTCATCAGGCGAAGGAGCACTTGCATGATTCACTTCAACCTTGAGTTCTTCTTTGATCGTAGAAGACATCCGAAGAAGCCCCTGATTTCAGATTTTAAAAAACTTCAGGAATTTCTAAAGAAAAAAGAACATACAACAAGCAAAATGAATTTTGTTTGGCACAATCCGGACCTTGAAATTGAAGCCCGCAGTTCCTGGTGAGGAGGTGAGGAACAGGATAAAGAATACAACAAGAGAAGCGCTAAAAAATCTGTGGATGAACACCAAAGCCTGGAAAGCAAATGAGAGAACAGTTCACACAACTGGAAGTTAAAGCTAAGATAGAAAGCTCAAAAGACTTTCTTTTGCATCCGAGACAGACCTTTCGTTTAGAAAGATTGGGCAAAGAGAAGATAAGCGTGGAAAGGGGAGCAGCAACCAAGGTAAGCAGCAAAGATCCAACGAAAAGCTCTGGCAAATTTCCCAACCCCAACGATATAGCGCCTTCATCGCGCAAAGGCAGAACCAAGAAATATGCACTCAGAATCTGAAATAAATAAACAAACAACAAAATGCAATCTTTAATAAAAACAAAAACAGGGGATAAAGAATAGGGCAACGAACGACAATCGTGATAGTAAAACTGATTATTGGGAAGTGGAAGTAGAAAAAACGTACAAAGAAGAAGGTTGAAGTGGAATAGAACAAAGCGGAGGTCTCGTGGGGATGAACTCTCACAAAACAGCTCATAAATGCTTCAATACGGGCTTTACCAATTAATTCCATCATCCCCATCCTTCTTGTTTGACCATCAACCACTGAAATGCAATTCAATCCAATCGATTGACGACGGCGGTCAACAGCAACCGATCGTCCGGATTGGGGAGAAGGAAGGGAAGGCTTCTCACTTCAGTGAAAGACATCAATTGGAGGAACCCCACTTCTTTGCTTCAGGATCAGAACTTAAATGTCAATGCCGGAAAATTGACAACGATGCCGGATGCCGATGGCCGTCCCACCATCACCACCGTTTGTCAGAAGTAACAGCTCCTATAGTAAAGAAAAGTAAAAACTGTTGAGGAAAAAGAAGGACGTGTTTTCTTTAATGTTAAATCGCATTTTTGCCCCCAAGCATTGTTGGATGAAAAAGGAAACTTCGTTCCCACAAAATGGGTGTAATTGGTACTTTAGGATCTGGAATCAGCCTTTTATGTACGTTATTAGCATTTGTACATTATCTATAGGAGAATGGGAAAATTCACTTAGGAGTTAGGACTCAGAAATTGTAACATACTGTACTCAGTTTCGTCCCAAAAGAAAGAGTTTGGTTGCAGACTTGCAGAATCTTACTTCTCTTACGAACTCAGCTTCAAACTTGATACATTTAGTTAACTGCGGTCTAACTTTCTAGACCGGAAAAAAAAAAGAAAAAAGGTAGCTTTCAACAAAAGGAGCATCCATATGTACAACTTAGCAACCTAATTTGCATAACAAAGACAGTCGTAAAACTCGCCATCATGAAGCAATGATCGAAAACTTGGAGTATAGATACATATGAAGCAACATCCCGCTTGGGTCATAGTGATAGGTTACATTGATACATTTGTTTTTTTCACCAACTTGAGAACAATTTACACAACTTTTATGACCCTTTTCTTTATCTATCCCCCATTTCCCCCTTTGGCTTTATGCACTCCCCTGCAGCCTTTCCTTTCTAAGTCTGTCTAGCTCCTTCACCATCTGCCAGTGTTCCAACAACAAACTGGTTTCACCAAAGCTCACCGACATCAAACGCCCTAATGTAAGCAACCTGCAAACCAAGTCTTGCATTGTTCATATGAACTTATTGCGGATAAGGAACATAAACAGGTCAAGGTTTGTTTATCGACGACTAACCTGCTTAGGTCTTGGCTGCCTAAGCTTCTGTCAGCTTGTCTTGCCGCCACCAAGTCATCTTCTACCACCTGCACAACATGTCTGCCAATATTAGCAACAACTCTGCTGCAAAAAGAATCTCACATATTGCAAATGGTATTTATTACCTTCTGCATCTCCTGCTCAATGGAATGAGTCAATGATCTCACAGTAGCCAAGTACCATCTCCAAGCTTTTAGTATTTCCGGCTCCACACCATCTAAGGTATCTGCTGATGATGGACGGAATGGCAAGACCAAATCAGCAGGCAATATATTGGATTTTCCATCGGAAAGAATTAAAATTTGAACATCAGCAGCCATCTCCATCTTATAGTACGTAAAATCGTACTCCACCTGGAAAGAGGAAAGAGAACAAGCTTAGCATCTAGAACTATTTACACATAACTCCTTAATTCCAAAACAATGCAATAATTGGCTGCATTACTAAAACAACATGAAAGCTATACAACACTGAAACATGCGGTGATAACTTTAAAAAAGATGCAGCTCAGAGTGTGTTTGGACCTTTTGAAACTCCATCAGCATTTTTAATACCCTTGCATTTTCAACTCCAGTTGAATTGAGGGTCCCTGCTTGTAGTTGAGTCTCATCTATTGTCAAGTGCGACCCCTCAGCTAATTGTAAAGCTCCAGCCACAAGTCTTGAGATAGAGAAGCATAAAATCATCATGAAGCTTTAGAGATATTGAGAAGCTCTATTAGAAAATAACCTTTCTGATAGTACAGCTTTCAAATACCTGTTGGTCTGATAATCCTTTTTCGGGGAAAGAGAAACAGAATTAAGATAATCAACAGTGAGTGGTAGAGAATGTGTGAACGGCACAAGGTTTCTGATTGCAAGATTGAGACGATTTCCAAATATAGAACTGCTTTCCTTGCCAAGACAAGTCAGATTTAGGGAAAGCTTTCCTACAGCTACAGCATCTACCCTGGCATGAACCTACAATAAAATCATTATTTATTAGCGGCCTGTAATGTTTAGCAGGTAAAGTAATAATAGACTTATGGTTGTAACAATATAACTTGGTCAGAGTAAAAATACCCCTGATAGAAGGTGTAACAACATGAACTGAGCTGCCAATCCATCATTCCCGAGTACAACTGTAAGATGGCTCAACAGTGAATCTCTTATTCCTTTGACAATGTGGGATTTGGGCTGCATCATCAGCATAAAAAGCTTGGTGACAAATAACTAAAGAACCAAAAACACAAAGCTTCGCATATTTTAGGTAGAGATAAAGGGATAAGCTAATACACCAGAACATGGGGGAAAGGCCATCATATTTTAACATTTTTCAACAGTAAGACCTTAAAACTCAAACCTATTTGTCTCACCTCCAATATAGGGGAACTCGAAACAAAGTCATGAGCTGCAAGTTTCCTGTAACTAAGACAATGGATGCGAGGAACCTGCAGAAACAAATTGTAGGATTATAATCAATATATAGCTCAAAGGCTGACAAAATTGTCTAGATTATAGGAGACATTAAGGTATTAATTAACTATGCCTAATGGCTAACCAAGAACTTCAACAATAAGCTTTCAGGTTTTGCAACACCCTTCAATAAAGCAAACAATGAAAGTTCAAAATGATTAACATCAAAATAATTCTGATGGAAATTAATGTATTTTGGTTCATTTCTTGGTTCGTGGGAATCTACTTATGTTCGGTATGAGCAGCTCATCACTTGATTGAACTCAGTATCCAATTAGTTGTTAATTATCTTCAGTCAAGTGTGAAATGAAACTGCCGTCTTACGCTACTGTAAAGAACTTACTGAAGAATACGGCTAAATTGCTTACATGTTGAATGAGATAGTTATTGCGCTTGCGGATTACATGCTACTAGGTTCTAGCAAAGTCAAGAAAGGTAAAAAAAAAAAAAAAAAGGCTGACAGGTAAAACTTGGCATGAAGTAGATCTAGACCTTGACAGGGGGAAGATGAGTCATGTCCTCTTCACATAAACCATAATCAAACTCATCAATCTCATCTTTTGCAACCTCCGTTTCAAAACTGAGGATACCAACGAATTCAAAAACTTCATTCAGCTTTATCTCCGACTCGGGAGAATCATATACCTGTATGATAGAAGAAAAATAATTTTAGTATAGTTTTATTACAATATCATGCAGATCACAAAAAGGCACACATTGAAGACACTTGGCAATTAATTCACCTTCAAAAGACAGGGAAAAAAACTTCTGTCACAAGCAGGCACAAAGCTACTAGAACAGTTTCCAGCAAGTTCATTCTCCAAATAAGGAGACTGCAAAGAAACACCATCCTCTCGCTGCAAAATCAGAGTAAAATGTTTAAGTTCAAATCAGTTCATTGGGGAAAAGATATACTTCAAAATTTGATCCCTCAAGCCTTCACTCAAGTAATTCACTAAGAAGTATTAAGTTGATGGCCCCGTGGTTAAGGGTGCTATAGAAAGATCACCAAATATTAAGCAAACTTCAGCTCACCTGTCTTTTCCCAGATGATGAATCTTGAAAGTCATGATCTGGAGCCTGCAATTTGCACAAAGTCAGAGATTGAAACCTCAAATAAAACAAAAAAAAAAAGAGCAAAATTCAACTAATTATTAGGGAAAAAAAGACGAACACTGAGTTACAAGTTTTAAAAGACAATAGATTATAGTGTCTAAGCAGAAAAACCAAATTTTCCAAAGTGAAATTAGAAGGTCAAACTAGTCAGAAGCATACATAAACGTGCTCATCATTATCTTGAAAAATGCATGAACCAACCAGTCAGGCACATACAAAACTGGAGAGCAGATATCCATATCAGATAAATTCTGATTAAAATGAATAGACACAAGAAAAAGGTACTGGAAAGTACATGGGTTTCAACATCGTCCATGGAGATATCATCCTCCCTCTGGCGCTTCTGCCTAGGAGAGGATGTGTAATTTGTAAGTGGGTTCATTTGAGTTCCCCAGTAGTGCTCAGTCCATCCATTCTGTCCAGGAACCTTATAGTAAAAATACTCGAAGTTAGTAAACTATAATTCCCAATATTCACCTGAAAATGGTTATGCATTGAACCAGCAGGTACACAAAGAAAATGGATAAATCGGGCCAATGATATAGCAAAAACTCACCGGAATACAATAGAGTAAACGGCGTTCCCACATTCGAGTCTCTGACGATGGTTCCATGGGGAATTGAGATACATCAGAAAACTTATTTGTTCTCCACACATCTCCATCCTACATTGGGAACCGGGGGGAAAGTAAATTTTGAGTATTTAGGAATGTTTTCCTCAAAAAATCTGCGCAAGTAATTTAATAAAAGAATTTCTACCTTGTAAGCTCCAACATAAAACTCATTGCCTAGCATGTCCTGAATCATGCCTCGGAACCTAACCAGAGTGTTGGTCTGAAGAGATCTTATAGTTGTAGGAGTTAACATAGGTACCTTAAAAAATCAAAATTCAAGAGACGGTCAGCCACGACCTAGAGTAAAAGCGCAAACATTTAATTCGGAAAAAAAAAAACACCCCAATACGAAAAACAATAAGAACCCTACTCCCTAAATTAGCATTCCACGGTTATCATTTTTAGAAAAGAAAAAAAATAAATGATTGGAATATTTAACATCAATAATATATTTCCACTCATAGCAAAGCTGCACCTAGGATCATTCAAACTTCTGTAGCAAAAAAATTGACAACTTCCTAAAGCGAATTAGTAACAAACTGAGAAATGAGATAAGGAAATGTGTATTAGGGTATCTACAATTTTAGATAGTACTTTGAAATGATCGGGACAGGGAAAAGGACCTGGGAAATGCCATCGTCTTCAAATAAAAATCTCTGGAAGAGATCAGATGTGCCCCAGTCTTTGCCTTCGAGTGCTGCCGGAGCGGAGGCGGAAGCGAGCGCCTTCTCGAACGTGAATCGGACGGCTCCAAGGGGGTTTGCAAGGCAATCGTACGGTAAACCCACCATTTTTGTTTCCGCTATCTTTGATTGAAGCTACTTACTACTTAATTGAGGATTTCTTGCTTGTCTGACCCTTCAAATCTCTGAGGAAGAGAACTTGCCGTCGGCTTCCCGCGCTCAAGGGTTAATATGTCGTTTATGTACGAACCCTTTCCCGCCAAATCGCGAGGAAGTCGTCTCTCTTCCCGCCAAATCGGCCAACCAAAGCCTAACAGACTATTTTGGGTTGGATCTCATATTTCAATGGGCCGATTTCGAACTCTTTGGATTTTGGGCATCCTCTGAGGCTCTGAGTATGCTTAATGCTTGTCCCCAATGCCATACACCTCCATTTCTAATTTTTATTTTTATTTCTTTTGTAGTAGAGTGTTTCACCTCCATAAAAAATAAAAAAAAATTTGACTTCTGCCGCTGAATTACAAAAAGTCGCTATGAATTGGAATTCCATACAATATGTACTTACTACGTAGTATTAGACTTGATCCAAAAATTTCTAAACATTGAGCTTTCTAATGGCCGTTAAATTGCTGATAAATAATTGTTGATTTATCAATAACAATATAAAATTCTATATGAAAAATAAATCAATAACAAAATCGATGAATATTCATAATTAGACGCGATTAAAAATCTATTAAAAATTCTAACTTACCATCAAAATTATTGATTTCCCAGTCTCAATATAAAAATATATATTTATTTATTTCTTTGTTAAAATTATGGGTGTCTACTTTATCATCCATTTAGCAAATCGGACAATGCCAAAACATAATGTTTTGTATCAATTTCTTAATTCTGATTTAGTAATTAATAAACTTAATAATTGATGTTAAAATTTATTTATTGTTTATTAATTTATATACTCCATCCGGTCCTAATTACAAGTCATATATTTTAATTAATTATAATGTTACTTGTACTTATAATTAGGATTAAAAGAAATACTTCAGAATGAAATATATATATATATATATATATATATTACCATGTACTTGTTTGTATCATAAATTCGACGGAAAGATAAATGTATGTAATTTTACCACTAGTGTAGAGACTTATTGTATCGATTGGAATTTGATATAATATTGTACTCAATTTTCCAGTTGGTCGCAATAAATTCATAATAATGTGATTAAAACTATATGAGATAAACAAAAAATATAGGGCGAATTATATTTTACCCCCGAGTTTTGGTTAAATCTACCATCAATTTCTCAAGTTTTACTAATAATACAATATACCCCCTTGACTCATAGTCAACCTACGAAATACCCCCTTAACATACAAACATTATCATCAATTTTGTATAAATAGTCAAGAATACCCTTTAATCTATATTTTTAGATTATACAGTATAAATGTTTTTTAGAAAATATATCATAAGTTGGAAAAAAAAATATTCCATATTAATTCTTTTATATTAGTTCATTAAAAAATAAAATTTTGACATCAACTATACCATGTCTTTTGAAATAAAAAATATTTTCAAAAATTAACTTCTTTTTTTTTAAACATAATAAACCTATATTATTAATCATGGATTAACTTTCATATATTAACTTGTTATAATTAAATTTGAAAAAAGACAACTTAACTGATTTTTATTTTTAATGATCAAAACATCAAGAAAAACGAATCAAAAAGGAGAAAAGAAAATTAAGTGTATGTAAACTGGGGTCAGTTTTGTCATTTTAATGTTTAACCCTTGCTCATGGGTATATGATAGTATCATTCAAACTTGGGGGGTTTATCTAGATCAGGACAAAACTCGGGGGGTAAAATGTAGTTCGTCCAAAAATATAAAATAACCGATAATTTCTGATCTTGAGTTTTCTGACGCTAGATCCATTGAATTTCATTAGAGTGATTTATCATATTCAACATAAAAACTAGTGTAATACCCATGCGTTGCATAGTGATTTTAGATATTATCATAATAAACTTGAAATGAGAAAAATTATGCATAAACTGTTTCAAACTAATTCTATATGAAAATGGAAATTATTAAAGTAAACAATATATGTAAAATCTGAAACACTATCAAAAAAGTTCGTATAAATAGTATTTTCAAATATAACACAAATATTTGGATATTATTTGAAGGGAAAAAAAAAAAAACAAAGTTCATATATTCTGAAGTGCTTTCTTATAAACAACGTTCGTTGTGCTGCTGCCGAATTCTTCATCTTTGCTGCAAATGAACTTTGAGACCCTTTCTGGACTTTACCCGGGAAAAGGCAACATAGAGTTGACCTTGTGTGGAGACTGGACGTCGCAAAAAACAAACCCACATTCGAGAGCGACTGTCCTGGCTCTTGTTTATCGTCATAGCAAAACACACAACTACTGAAAACTGCATGCGGTTGAGCTTAACTGGCATTCTTTCGTCGGAGGGGCTTATATCCATACGTGAAATGAAACATTACCTACCAATATTTGCTCCGGATATAATCGTAGCCTGAATCACACGTTCTCCAACTCATTAACTTGTAGTCTGGTACCATTGCACAATCCTCCTGTCTGATATAGGTTTCAAAGAAGCATGATCGGTACACCGACTTTAAGCGTTATCTTGTGATTGGACATCCCAGAAAATCTTATTGAATTGAGGAAGTCAATGGTATGAATGGCATCATCATCAGGATTCAATGACTTCGAGGTTTCTTCGATGCTATTTGAATTGTAATATACTTTCGCTTCTCCAGTAAGCAGTGACAACATATATTCATAGATAGAATCAACATCATCATTGGTTGGGGCTAAAATAGCCCTTTTATCAAAGAAGTTTGAGACCTTCGAATTAGACAGTATGTTCAGGTAAATAGCATCACAAACAGAAGGTATGAGTCTACCTGTTGGTTTGATGAGGAGGTCTTCCGGGATATCAATGTCAACTTCTCCATCATTAGGAGCGCCAGCAGTTCCTTCACCGATCTTGAGTAACCAATCAGAAAACTCTTTTATTTCATCTAACGATTCAGAATTAGCACCCGAGGGGAGTCTCATGTTCTTAGTCAACTTGAAGATTTCACATTTTTCTCACAGTGCTGACGCGTTTATTGCAACATCAACAATCTGATACCTGCTGCCTCTACAGACTATCGGTAATATCTGTCGAAAATCACCTCCCAATACCATCACAATTCCACCAAAGGGTTTATGACATGTCCATGGGTGTCTCCAACGTATGACGTCCTGCAACGACCTGTCCAATGCCTCAAAACAGTGTCTGTGGGTCATAGGGGCTTCGTCCCAAATTATCAACTTCGTGCGTTCAAAGAGTTCAGCCAAATCCTCGCCTGGTGTCACATTACACACAGACGTCTCTTTAATGGTAAGAGGAATGCCAAACCTCGAATGTGCCGTTCTACCACTGGAGAGAGGTAACGACGCAATTCCACTTGAAGTAACGTTCAAAACAATTTCGCATTTACTACGTAAGGATGCTTACAAAGTCTTCCATATGAACGTTTTTTCAGTACCTCCATATCCGTAAAGGAAGAAAAAACCACCTTTGCCTTTGGATACAGCACCGATGATATTTTCGTAAACACTTCTCTGTTCGGATGTCAACGAAGACAGAAGTGAATCGTGCTCAACACGTAACGCTTTGACGTCATAATTTTTCTCTAAACTGATAAGCTGGTTGTAATACTTTGTGTCCATATAATCTTTCGGGTAAGGTTGACTGAAACAAATAAAAATGGAAATTAAATGTTATTTTCTTTAAGTTTAAAATGTCACATGTTTGTTATGAATGTTACATAAGTTTGTTTTTAAATTATAAATCAATATATAATTCGCAATCACAATATTAAATATTCTTTCGTAATACCAAACAAATTTTTTGATAAGTTTTAAAGGGTATATTCGGTTCTTTTTCCTTTTTTTTGGGTGGCCATCTTTTTATGGCTTTCTGCTTTGTTTTCAACCTAAAAGATTTCTTTCGAAATAATCATTGTAATTAGTCTTTGTCGTGCTCCATCTAATTTTTACCGGAATTAAATTTTTCTTAGATGACCATGAGGTTGATAGAATTTGATAAGGTCTTCTATTTGAGGTTTGGAATAATTTACCAAGTATGAGATACACGAGATCTTATACTCATATATGATGTACTCTCCTCCAAAACTATATACAAAAACAAAATAGGAGAGAGTATTTAAATAATGAGAAAATGATAAGTATAGTGACTATATACAATGAAAATAAATAGTGACTGAGTTGGGCCCTATTTTGTTGCCACTTTCCCATAGAAATTTTTTTCTTAGAAAATTATACTTCTACCTTAATTACCAAAGACACATCAGTCATTATTAGTTTACACTATACTTTTTCACTGGTTGTATCATTGCTGCTAAATAATAATATATTCCGACTTGGAAAAAAATCACTCGAACTCAGTTTCGCATTATCAATTTGGAATTACTTCCCATATCAAACTGAACTTAGTTAACACATCGAATAAACCACAGTGCATTTTTGTACCGCCCCACTCAAATTCCAATCCCGATAGAAAGTTTCAGGCATTCCCGAGTGATAGAATTACAAAGGTAAAGGGGGAAATTGTATAATGATGTCGAGATGCAATGGACCCCATTGCATGATCTATATACATTAAGTTTAGGCAAATCTTTAAAATATCTAGGCCATGATTTATGTAGATTGTCTCAAATTAAGGTGGTCATATAAAAAAAGGGTAATAATTCTGCCAAAAATAACTTTTAGTATCCAAAACAAATTTAAGAAGAAATGACATATCAACCCATTAAAAAGTAACAATATCTTTCATATTTCTCTCACCCTCCCACTGCACCTCCTCATAACGAATTCAAATGGTCTTTGAATTGCTAGAAATTTAAAATTCAAATAAGAATGCTCACTTTTTGGAGTTGGGTGGAGAAACATGGGTTAAGTTGAATTATATTACTCAAACCAATAAATCTATGATAAAAATTCATCCAATTTAATGTGAATTGTTGCCCACAAAGAAAGAAGTCGATCTCCAATCTTAGAAACTTAAAATTTAGTGATTTTTTATAAACCAATATGTTTCAGATAGTAATTAATTATGATTCAAAAATTTTCTTAAGGCAAAGAATGTCGATATCAATTATGATATAATAGATAACACTTTAAGAGAGCAAAAACTGAGTTATTCTTTTTTTCTTGGGTGGAACAGTAAAACCATGGAGCTTTATATGAGTTGCGTTAAAATCAGAACATAAAGATGACAAATTTTCAGATATTTTCTTCTTCTTTTTTTTTGGGCGTTGCCCATGAGGGGAGGGAGATAAAGAAATAACGAAAAGTAATATTATATTTGGTAAATATGTATTTTTATTTTAAATTTATTTTAGATGCTAAAAATTATTTCGAGAGAATCATCACCTATAAAGAAAACTTTCAAGACCATAATTAGGGATTATGTTTTAAATTTGTAATTCACTCCAAATTCACCCATGATTTACTTAGATAAGCATACCTTCAAATTTGAACAATTAATTAATAAAATTATATCGACTAAAGATCAAAAGTTTAATAACAAAATCGAGATATAAAACATTAATTCTGAGTGATAATTTAAAATTTTAAAATTTCATTCAATATCATGACATTTATTTATGATATATAAATGTTTCTTATTTATGATGCAGTTATTTTTCAATATCACTCAATATTGTTCGTACCTACTACTAAATATTTGTAATTCAATTACACTGTTTCTTCGGCTCAGGTAGATCAATCTTATGACTTTATGTTTGTATCCTACTAAGTAGGGGTCGTTATGGTGCATCGTTATGGTTATCATATATTGCTACCTGGATAATGATGATTGATCCATTTTAACTGAAAGAAATACTTTTGTCTTTGCATTCATTTTGCTTTAGTATAATCTAGATGGATAATGAATATTATTAGAATCTTAATTTTTCAGACATATCCTCTTCATAAATTTTACCTTTCCCGAGAAGAACCGAACACAGTTAATTTGGATTGTAGAGGTTGTTCAGTTCCGCTAAAAATTAATAAACCATGGCAATGGCCGCTCCAGTTGAATTGCTTCCGGGCTCAATTGCGTTTGCTACATTCTGGGTTCTGTCGATACTCCCGGCTATCCCATTTCTTCGGATTGGTAGAGCCGCCGGATCTCTTCTTGGGGCCACGCTTATGGTCATTTTCCTAGTCATAACTCCCGGTTAGGCCTATGTTGCTATTGATCTTCCAATTCTTGGTCTCTTGTTTAGTACAAAAAAGTAAAATACTAAAATAAAATATAAGTCCTGGTAAATTTCAAAAATAACAGTTTTACTAATATATTATTATTGTTTAATAAATGACCAATAACTAAATGGCACGTGTCTAAAAATTAATTTATGGACAATTGAAGAACATGTTATCGCACCATCTTCTTTCCTCTTATATATATATATATATAATATAGGATTACAAAGTATTTTTTTTTTTTACAGAAATTAATAGTGTCGACGTCGTTGTAGAAAACCGACAAGAATGTCGACGAAAACCAAAATAGTATTATTTTATATCTTTTTTCCTTCTTCTTTTTTTTTTATATTATGGTTAGTAATTAATCAGTTTTCATATCTGACATTAAAATTTTCAAACTGTAAAGATGCTGACACAAATTAGTGAATTACACTATATCTGTCCCCCAAAATATAGTCTCAAGTGGACCAAGTTTTGAGAGCTAGGAATACAAACAAAAAACCTGCAAATTCGGCTTGGTTTATGGCAATGTGTTCTTTCGGCTAATGTAACAGCGTCATCAGCTCGTCATTGAAAATTCCAAATGTTAAATTTGCTGAATACACGATCAAAATTGGTGTGCACATTCCAGAAATTAAATGTTAATCTTTCAGCTCAAAACCAATAGTTATATACCGAGTGTACAGAAGTGTATATATGTATTCCACATTAAACCTGGAAAAACAGAGCCAAACTTGCCAAGTTTCTAAATTGTTGGTGTACAAGTCAAGCAAAGCTCCTTTCCTCTCGATAAAGATTCAACCGGAGAAGAGTCGAGTGAAAAAATTCCCGGATTTGGAGTTCTCCAGGCATGCAATGTGAGCATATCGCCCCAAATTATCCTTTTGCCGGGGCTCACCCCTCGTATCTTTCTTGCAAATTCTGCACGTCTTATCAACCCATCCTTCCTCTACATATTGTCCTTCCACTGATAAACAATTGGGGACAAAAAGATTATGTTAGAACCACATTTCTAATCCAAATCATTAGAAAACAGAGGAAGAAAAAGCAGTGTGGGATTTTTGAAACATTAATTAATCAATCACCTTCGACATAGGATTTGAAGAAATCTTTGTATGTCCCACCAATCTTCCTTCTAAGAGCTCCATACTGCGGAGAGAAAAACAAAGAACTTCGGATAAATTATCAGCCGCCACAGAGTATTTCAATTGACAAATTAATTAAGAACTTCCACAAGCTGATTTGGTTCCAATTGTACTTGTACAAACAGGGATTAAATTTCAGGGGAAGTGAAAACCTGTTCCCTACTCATCCGGCCACCGGATTGTGTAGCTTCCCTAGCTTCATCCAAAAGTTCTGCATCCTTGGCGGATCGAACCTGGGAAAAGTCGAGCGCTTCTGTTACACTTGAAAACAGGGATTGCTTCTTCTTCTTATTATCAGTCTCTTCTTCAGCATCTTTCTTGGCCGAAACAACCACGAATTTGCTCTGTTGCTTTAGCAATCTGGGTGAAGGTGCCAGTGCTGCTCTATTGGCAAAGAAGCCATTTTGAGGGGTCGAAACCGGAAGTGCTCTTAGACCCATTTTTGGCTGAGGAATTTTTCCAGTATAAGCTAGTTAAATATATGAGAGGTTTTAAAACAGAGTAATGGCTGTGGTTTGCAAACAGAGTTAGGCCACGACACTGAATGGACCACGGAGGATACATAATTACCACCAAGAGAGCTGATGGTCACGGAAAAAAGGCGACGTGGCCCATTGAGCTTCAGTTAGCAATTTTTTTGACCCCAAATTTATTGGAAGAGAAATATATGGAATGGGAAATAAATACAATCCCACATCGGGAGCAGGTGAGAAAGGATTGACCAGCATTGGATATATACAGCAGCCAGGGTGTCCATGGTTTTACTTAACCTGTCCTGTCGGGGGTGCTGATCGACCCGCTAATGAACGCTAAGTGATGGCGTGTCGTGCCAACACCCACGTAACGAACACAACAGTAGACTAGGCGAGTGAGCCTGCCCTACTTTGGTTTGGGCTCGCCCGTCAATTTTTGGAAAGCCCACAATTCCATTGTGGGCTCCATTCAACCTTTACCAAACTCATAAATAAATCAATTGGAAAAAGTAAAATAAAAAATAAGTGTCGGAGTTATTTTAAGGTTATTAGTCTAATAAAAATTATCAGGTACTAATGGCTATGTACAGTTAATTTGGGCCAAACTGGAAAAAGTGAAAATCAAACTCTTTCTATTGATAATTGATTTCAGGGGCTAAAAGGAGGAAGTGTACTGAAAACAGTAATCTATTTGCACTTCCCATCTGTTTTCTACATAATGTGCATTTCCACTACAAAAAAAAGAGAGCCTAAAGGAGATAATAAGGATTTTATCTTTCCTTTCTCTACAATTGCTGCTTTGGTCAGCAGTAAAAGTTCACAGGAAGATCAGCAGCAGCGCAACTAGTTCTACTTATTACACTGACGTTGCTGCTTTTTACACCACATAAACCATGCCAACCTCCAAAAGGGATGCTGGAGGCACCTTCAACGCCACATCCGGTCCCCGGCAGTTTCTCCTTAGGAAATTATAACCGACATTAATGGCAAGCCTCTTAAACAGAGATGATCCTTGCTTCGCTTTCACGTGTGTGTGCCCCAGGATGAATGCTGTTCCGGCTTGTTCGGCTCCATATAAATCTTCCAGCTCTTCTTGAAGTTGGGTATCAATTTCAGGCTTGGGATCAGCTTCTGAGTCATGATCAATGGCAAACCTGACTCTTCTTTCCATTACACCCCGTGGTTCCGATTCTATAACATCTTCCATACTTTCTACTGTTGTGAAACCAACAGAAACACTAGCCGGTTGTAAATTGTCTTCCATCTCAAAGGCGGGCACAGCTGAGAAAGGCATAGTCCCTATTACTGTCAACTTGCACTCATTCGATGATGCACCAGATACTTTGCCGTCATCCTCCCTGTTTGTATCAATCATCCCATGTGTTCTGTACCAGTCATATCGGATGAAATCAGCCAGCTTGCGGACTAGTTCAGATTCAAAAGAGTCTACATCCTGGTGAACATCGCGGTAACCATAACGTACTATGCACCGATATGATCTGTGAGCTGGAGGACCAACACGTCCAATAAGATATCGCTCTGCTGGAGTTACAAAAGGGACAGGTACTGATTTTACACACACAAACACGATAACACGATGGAAGGCTGGAAGGTTGGTAACAAAGCGTGAAAAGTTGGCAGGAATGCCCGAAGTTAGATCAGTGAAGACCAGACCAATCCCAGGGACTCGGGCAATGCCCAAACTTGGACCCAAGGCTAGTAACCATTCCAGCGAGACCTTGTTGTGGAGATCATATTCATATTTCTTGACTGTAGCATAGTGCCAAACAAACATGACGGTAACCAGGAAAAGTGCAAGGAGGATTGGTAGCCAGGCACCTTCAAGAAACTTGATCAGGGAGGCTGAGAAGTATAGCAGTTCAATGGACCCAAAGAAAAGAAGGAAACATAGGGCTAGTATTGGTGGTTTGTTCCAACAGAGTATGATCACCAATGACGTGAGGCAAGTTGTAACCAGCATTACTGCCATGACTGCTAATCCTGCAAAACCAACCCAAATTGCTTACATGTAAAATATTGATATGATACTTCCACTCCCAAATGACTCAGAAGGAGAAACATGTCCAAAACAAGCAGAACTTTTTTGTTTCATCTTAGAGGCAATGAGTTAAGTTTTGTGGAACTTAATCATCATAAATGTAACCTTTTTGTCAGAATCTACACTTTTTGGGGACTTATTTTGCAGTCATTAACATTATCACTCTTATCATACTTTCTGGAGTGGCTAAAGTAGTTCTTGCAGACCACTGTGAATGCAGAATAATGGTAACAAGGTAACAATAAGCTAATCATGTAGAAAAAAATGCGAGTGCTCACCAGATGCATTTCCAATGTGTTTAACGTCTCTGAATCCAATTGTGACAGCAATACAGAGGATCATAAGTGTCCAATTGATCTCTGGGATGTAAATTTGCCCATGTATCTTGTCAGAGGTATGAACCACCTTAACTCTGGGGAAGCAACCAAGTGATTGGCTCTGGTTTATTATTGAGAATGTTCCACTGATGATTGCCTGGCTTCCAACAACCGAAGCAAGGATTGCAAGAATCATTACAGGGTATCTTACTTTCTCTGCCAAAAAACACAATCTTGTCAATCGTTCTGTACTGAAGGCCACAATGCATTGTAACATTGGGTGCCATTTTCTAGAAATGAATGCAAGAAATGTAGCCCCACTGCCATAACATATTTGGACTGATGTATTCAAAGTTGATTACATAACCAGAAAATAAATGCAAAAGCAGTTGTAAAAAGAGAATGAGATGATGAGACATTGCACTTATGTTGGTAGAGATTAAGCGGAGTCAGTAGATTGTTTGGAAGCAGATGAAAACTAAACTAGTATGCTCACCAACTACTTCAAACACTGACGGTGGAGTTAGTAATGGCAATGGGCAAAAATTGGCTTACGTGTTTAATAATCAGATCAGATCTCTCTTACGTGTTTAATAATCAGATCAGATCTTTCTACTACTATTAACTGTAATTCGCTTATATAAAAGGTTAAAGAGCACCCAGTATGATGACCAGTACCTGGTACGGACACATAGAAACTAATCTGGTGAATGGTGTGATGATGCTTTGATAAGTAAGCTGCTTGACCCATATAAGCCAATATGAGTGCTGGATACACCATAAAGGTGAATGCAATCTGCATAAGTACAGCGAGTAAGAACTACTGCAAAGAAAGATGGGAATTTGATCTCATTTGATGAAAGGCGCAGTAGAAAAATTGCACCTGAATTGCAGTATAAGAGAAATGACCAAGATCTGCAAACATTGCTTCTGACCCTGGACATATATATATATAAGCATATAAGAAGTTTGTCTCATGCTCATATCTCTGCTATGTTAAGAGTATGTAATCAAAATGAAATACATGCAAGCAGTGTACAGTCAGACTGTGGTAACACAAGAAATATCCAACACTCAGTTCCACGACTTGCTTACCTGTAATGCATAAGAGAATTCCACCCAAAGACATCCATCCTCTTTTCTTTGTCTTCTTCAAAAACTTGAACATGTAATACGGAGAAAGAGCTTCATAAATTTTAGGATTCCAGTGAAGGATATTGTATAAGCCGAGGACACTAAGGCACAATAACCAAACGAGGACGATTGGCGCAAAACAGAAACCTAGCCGATGTGTGCCATAGTGCTGCAATGCAAATAGGCATACTAGAATGAAGCAAGTGATTGGAATCACCGCATCTGCACACAAAAGATAAAGACGCAAATGATAAATATGAACTGGAAACCAGCAACTAATTTCAATAATTTGTTAAAGTGAAATGGATTATTTTTTCTTCAGCTAGAATAAGTAAGGATACGTAAATAAGTGATGGCTCAAAGAAGCACATGAATATTTCACAAATGGTGACATCCATGTTCAAACTTGACTCACTGCCAAAAAATCAGAAGACAAGTTTGGCATGACACATTACGCCAAATCTTCTATCTGTTGGCATAATAACTTTGAGGAAAGCCAGCCACGGGAAGAAATGAGATAAACAGCCCTAATAGAGAGTCAATTGCAAGAAACTAACAGGTACAATACAGAGAAAAAGAGTCAGCTATTCTAGTCAGTTAGCAAGTAACTAATGTGTTTATTCTAGGCGGTTAGCAAGCCCCCCCTTTTTTTAGTCCAGAAGTTCCACCTAAACAGCAAAAGGATATATTGAATGATCAATCAAGCAACTTTATCCAACAGTGTTTCCGCATGACAAAGGCCAAACAACCCATGACTTTTAACAGAACACATGGATCCAAAACAGGACAGGGTAAGTTGAGAGAGAGAATTTCTGATGGTTATTCCCACTAAACTAACCTCAAAAAGCTAAAAAGGTCCACTCTTTCTTCACCAAAGGAAATGTCAGTTCACAGAGACACCCTAGCTGATTACATTATTTCAGAGTGATACATCCTAGAACAGAGCTACATTAGGTAAGAGAAATACTAGTGGCACCATCATACCCTAGGACATTTGTCTGGGAGTAATCTAAAGATTTTGTTCACATAAAAGAAAGGGCAAAGAGAATAGTACATATCATAACAGCATAATCTGCTATTTTCAGGAACTTAACAATAATAATAATAATAATAATAATAATAATAATAATAAAAAAAAAAAAAAAATTAGCCATTGAATTTCCATCATCAGCCATTAACAAGCGTCTATGGGGAAAAGTTGCTTCTTTCTACAAACTTACACTGATGCCGATCTTTAGACAGGGATAGCTCCAGACCAGACACAGCTGAGAAAACTGCAGATAAAGGAAGAGATTGCCATCACATAATTGCTCGATAACCACCTAAAACTACTCAAAATCTAGCACCGAATAACTTTTTTTTTACCAGATATAGCTGGAGTCAGCAGCCCATCTCCAATTACCATGCAAGTGCCTAGGAGTACCAGGATGAGTAGCGCAGTGTGCAACGGTTTGTGCTTCTCAAGAAAAGTTTTCACCTTGGAGCTGTTGGTTCTTTGAGGAGAATGCTCGAGCTTATATGTAGACAGAGCTTCATCAGCAACTTGGCGATTGGGAATAAGGCTTACTTTCGCATGTCTGCAAATTAGAGAATACAGAGCAAAAGTCCCACCTGCAACATCGTCATTACAGAACTTCAATCGCAATGACCAACACCATTAGTCTATTATTTTTAACTGTTTTGATAATTGAGCCATACCCTCTCCATTGTCATCAGCTCGAAGAACTATAAAAACATACTTGAATAAAGGAACCAGAGTCAAAGTCCAGAAGACAAAAGAAAGAACGCCCAGTATTTCTTCATTGGTCTCTGAATGCTGAATATCTTCGGCAAAAGAACTCCTGTACACATAAAGAGGGGAAATGCCCAGGTCGCCATAAACTACTCCAAGACTTTGATAGGCTAACAGTAGCGTATTCCTCCAACAATTTTTCTGCACAAAATGGAATAGTTTGAGCAGAGTCACAAAAAAATCATCTTGTAAGAGAGCTCAAACAAGCACCAGAAATGTGAAAAGTTGCAATTACTATAGCCCGAACCTTAAGGGTGCTCCCAAACTTCCCTTGTTCAAGATCCATCCGGATTCTTCAATCCAAAATATTTTGCAAACTGATTGAGATTGAAAAGATTGAAGTAGATCCTCACTTAAAGGATAGCACTCGGGATGATTCCTAAATACACAAGAAGAGATTTGTTACTTTGTTTTCCCAACTGAAATGGGAAGGATAAATCGAAGAACTTTTGGCCACATTTGAAGAATGTATGTATCTGGATACTACAAGTTAGCTAACTCAGCAGTAAGCTAAATCCTTCACCAACTTTATCCGAGAAAAAGGCCAAAAAGAAGAAAACAGAACGCATTTTAGCACTCAAGCCAATAAAACTGGTAAACTAATGATTTTGTACCATAAGCAGCCATTACATGTTCAGCATTTTCTTTTCCTTCTCTATTCAGCAAGAAATTAAAGAGAGAACTTTCTCAGTGTGGCCCTTTTAATTAAGGGAAGCAAACAAAGTAAGAAAACCCAGACGTAAGTTAAAAGTGAGAAAGGCAGGAAAGAGGAAACTATGAGCATCAACAGTTGAACAACCCTATCAGAACGAAAGACAGCAGCAAAAATGCTTGAAGGAAGAAAAGAAACCAAATTACGACAGGTAAGAGAGGAATGTACATTGTTTGCAAATAAGGACACAATCACATGATTTAACGACAACCTCATTTTCAAATCAATCACAGCAGGTGGAGCTTATCAAGAAAACAAACACACCAAGATGATCCCACGGGAATAAAGGAGGTATTTTTCAGGACCTAAAAAAAAAATTTATTAAACAAAAACCCACATACCATTTCGTCCTCAAATGAGTCAATCCTACCACTGACCTTCCGGGATTTCTCTCCCCTAATCTACTACACAAATAATACTAGTATATTCCTTATACTTTTACAGCACAGCAATAAAATATTGGATATATCAAAAGGTTTTTGTGAATGGGTGTGCAATATTTAAGGAGCTTCCGATAAGCCCAACATTCCACCAGCCAATCTGTGAGGAGGATAGAACGCATATGAAAAATCAGAATGTAGGCCAAAAAGAAGCTTCAGAAAGATTGATAAACTAATATAGACCAAAAGGGTTAAGCTTCATTAGAAAAAGTGATCTTTTCTGGGTATGGAGAATGGGTCCAGTGCATACTTTCCACTATAGGATTTGAGCTTTAAACGTCAAAGATGACTGGAACACTCAAAAGGGGGCCTTGAAGTTAACACAAAAACAGAGCAAATCCATTTTCAGAAATCTGGTGATGGAGAAAAGGTAAATAGGGAGAAATAGATAGATATTGAAAAGGAATCGTGCAATGTTGTAGACTGATTACAGTATCCTGTTGATAGACAGTACCACGTGATCAGAACATGGACCCCTCCCTTTCTGTACAAATGGCAAATTAGAATCATCAATCATACTATCTCACCGGCTCCATTCCAAAGTCTCTTCCTTCTTCTTTACTTTGTGATTCACGGCATCAACGTTTCATCTTGCGTCCGTTACAAAACACTTTTGTACAAAAACAAAAAAAAGTTCCAGAGACCACATTTTGGACCATCACTTTTACTGCCACTTTAACCATTTTGCATGCGTTATTTAGAAAACTGAAAAGGAAACTCCCATTTGGGTTCCTTTTGTTTTCTTGTTTATTAGGACTCTCAATTCAGATTCGTTTGTTTTGTTCTTCTCCTTCTTATTCAGTTTGGATCAGTACTAATTCTAAAGAAAGCATGATTTCGGGATTTTTTTTTATTTTATTTTTTGGCTTGTAATGTTTGTCGGTAAATGGAATTGGGATTGTACGCATTTTGTAATGTTCTAAAAGGAATTATCTGCGAAAATGGTTTACTTGATTTCTGCTGCAATAAATGTGCCAATTGAATTGTGATGGTGACATTTTGTGGTGGAGCTAGATTAATCTTTGCAGCAGCGTGATGAATATATTTTTGTTTGTTAATTAAAAGCGGAAAAAATAGTCCACAACAATTAAATCACCGAAATCCATATCTTTGGTTCATTGTACGTATTTTCGAGAGAAAAAATAACCAGGGGTATGTCTTAACGAACTCTGTCTGAAGCTAGTACCGGAGTCACTGTCAATTTCTTTAATCAAATTTTCGCTTCCATTTGAGTGTGTGTGATCTTCTTGATATGATGTGTCTCGGTAAATACATGGTCCACTCTAGAAACCAAGAAAAAAAAAAATTTAAAATTATAGCTACGAAAAATTTTCATCTTTAATTATGTATGTAATGACGGAAAAATTTGTCTTTAATTTTATCACTATATATTTTCACTGTACTTAGTCACTAGATGTATTATGAAAAGTGGTTTGATATTGGCAACCAAAAAAATACAATCATTACAATATTCTTATAAGTAGTTGAGGAAAATAAGTTGCATCCATAATTTTGTACTCCCTCCGGTTCTTAATATAAGACATTTTGATTTATCTTAAATTTAACTTAATACATATTTTTAATTGATAAAAAAATCTTAAAAATATGTATTAAGTGAAATTTAGAAAAGTCAAAATGACTTATAATAAGGATCGGAGAAAGTACTACACAGTCTTAGTGTGTCTATATGCCGTTGACGTTCTCGCTGGTTTCACCATGAAAAATGTTGGATTGTAAGGACTACTTACCTAATTTTATTAGGTTGTCTACCGTATTTAAAAAACAAAATAAAAAACCTACTGACAAGGTACCTCTAATGTGGCATTAGCATAATAGCATGTGCCGAAAATTAGTAATTTAGAAATGGTGAAAAACACAAAATTGCCAGAACCCGGAAATTTAAAAAAACCAACAGCTGAGGTCTCTCTCGTTATAGCTGATAGTGTTGGACCGTACATGATTTCCAGCTCTGTGGGAATCGCATTATGCTATGTTTATACATCTTGTATTTTTTTTATTTATTCTCTTCCAAATATGATTATCATAATACGTTCTCCGTCTCGTAGTTTCCGGAAAACTTTTAAAATGGCTAATCCCAAACAACTATGTTCAGATGACTGATACATATGGCTTCGAGATTTTCTTTAAGGACATAGTATGTGTGACTGTGTGAGTTTATTTAGCACGTAATAATCATTCACACGTTGTTGCATAATTCACACATGATAATGTCCATCAATTTACATTAAAAAAAAGTATACATACTTCCACGATCACTCTCTGTGACTGAATGAATATACGCATAAGTCGTACATAAACATAAGTATGGGTGGCAGAGGCTCTCTGCATTTTGTCCCGATTGAAATAAAAATATGATGGGGGAAAACGGAATACGTTGGTCAATGTTTTCTACCTTCCATTATTGGTATTATTACGAAAAAAAAAAAAAGTGTCCTAAATACGTGGCCAATTTATGACATACTCCCTTCCCTCTATCTCAAAATTATTATCCAATTTGAAATTTTACTTTTAGTACAATTTTAAACTATAAATGAAAACTAAACCGGACAATAATTATGGGACGAGAGAGTCCATTACACCTATCCTATCATTGCGGCTTTTGGTCGCATGGAAGGTTAATCGTCCGCGTCTTCCTAATCAATTGGAAGGTCAGAGTTAGACCATAAATCCGTAAATTCTTTTTATTCACGTTATGTAACGAGCCTCGTCGAAAGACACAAGCGAAACCAAAAGATTCTTTACACGTTGAGTAAAGATTGTTTCCAAAAGATTGTGCCTCATTGAGCTCAATGTGGCAGATGGCTTGAGGGATTTATCATGAATATCAGATTTTGCTCTATTACAAGAGCTAAATTATGGGGTCTTTTTCAATACTGTTATTACGAAATCAGACAGTTTGTGTGTTGTCTCTGTGATTCAAGATGAGGGTTTGGATACGGGATTGCATACTGTATTAGTCCATGGTATCTGGGGTCTATTGAGTAGGTAGTGGAATATACGGTTGGTTCATGTCTACAGAGAGACTAATTTTGTAGTCCACTGTTTTCAACGTGTTCATGTTCAGCCAGCAGAGGCATGAAAATGGTTTGAACATAATATGGTCAGAGTTTCATATCCACGACAAGTTTTAATTTCTTGTAACTAAATTTCGGCCTCTCTTTTTTTACCAAAAAAATAAACTTTCGTGTTTTGAAGCAAACATTCCCTGGATCAATTTATTGTCCCAGATGATGGTATTGTCAAGTAGGTTCTTGAAAAAACTGGCCTATTGAAATGATACTCTCCCATTCGTCCCAAATGTTTATCTAGTTTAAATTTTATTTTTACTTTAATTTATAAAAAAAGTTATTTTTACTTCTTTTTCTTTTTTATTTTCTTTTCGCTTAGTAGGGCTTAAATATTTCAAGTTAATTTGGTCTAGTTATAATGATTCAACTTTTCTGTCCTACGAGTTCGGAGAAAAAAAGGAAGGAATTTGGTCGGGCCAATGATGACTTCATTTCTGGGGCAAATCATCCACCACTAATTGGCAAGCATCATGGGCTCTCCATAGTTGGGCCTTCTTGTGTAACTGTCCAACTATCAGCTTTTTCTGACTTTTACTTTGAAAGTGTAAAAATTCTGTTCATTTTGGCTCCAAGTTCTATTGTGTTTTTTTTTTTTCCCTGTTGTGACAACAGTGTTGAGCAGAAACCCGTTTTTTTCCCTTGACCAGAATATATATTTTGTCAAGTGTAAATATATTTTCATTTCCAGGTAAATAGACAATTTAATTTAAAAATACAGAAATATGTTTAATCATTTTTCTCTATTTTTAATGGTGCCACGACAAAGATGGATAGTAAAAAAAGGCTGGACAATAATAGGTAGTCAGTGCTTATTGGTAGTAAGTAGCTAAAATTTGCTTAGACATAATGAACAAAAGATACAGTGAAAGTGATTCATTTTTGCGAAATGGATGAACTCGAACATGATGATCATCGCCTTTGTGTTTTGCAAGCGACCACGAACTAGTCACACTGTCACGGACTATACATTGTTTTACTAATTATTAGAATTTCATCATTGCTTGTCTTATTCTTCGAGTCGAAACCATTTTCTCAGACCTTAAATTCTACTCCTTCCTGTATTTATTATAAGGCATTTTGATTTTATCTCAGATTTCATCTAGGATGATTTTTTAATTGAAGTAAAAACCTTAAAGACATTTCATAATAATTAGGAGAACGCAACAAATGTAAAAATATATTTTTAATTTTTTTTTCCCAATTAAAAAGACATCATAGATTAAACATAGGACGAAATCAAAATGCCTTATGATAAAGACTGGAGGAAGTATTAGCAAAAGTACCGCAACTATCAAACTGTGCCTAACATTAGTATTCATCCGATCCTTACTATAAAACATTTTGATTTTTCTTAGATTTCACCTAACATGCTTAATTGATAATAAAAAAAAAACCATAACAATCAAGAGAACGGAACAAAAAATGCAACGAGTGTGAAAATATATTTTTAAGGGGTTTTTTTAATTCAAAATACGTATTATGTGAAACTTATGATAAATCAAATACCTTATATTAAGGATCGGACTCCGTCCTGAAATTATTGTCCAGTTTGAGATTTTATTTTTATTACAATTTGAATCAAAAATAAAAATTCAAATTGGACAGTAATTTCGAATGAAGTATTTTTTAGTAGTCTCTGATCAGATGGTGTGGAAATTCAAAATTGATCTTCAACTTGAAGCCACTTTATAATTTGTTTAATTTAATGGCTACGACCCACATCAACATCGATCTATACAAATTTAACTCCTCTATAAATATATATATATAAATTTAAATACATGATTTTTGTATATTATAAGAGCCGGATGATTGAATCCGGACATCAAGTATCTATTATTGTAGTCTCTCCATTCTAAAATAAATGTTGTTTTAGTAAAATGAAGAAATTCCAAAATAAGTGTCGTTCTCACATTTCAATGCACTTTTTGTCAAAAGTTTCCAAAATTACTCTCAAAAGAGTTGATGCTATTAGTAGGCAATTTTATAATGGGGTTGATTGAGGATATTCAAGTAATTTTATTACCTTATTTAAGAGTTTTTTAAACTATCTACAAAGTGTAGGACGACATTTATTTTGGAATGGAGGGAATACTTATTTAAAACAACAAATATTCATGACACTCAGGATACGTGTCATTAACACAATGAAAATTTTCGCTCCAAATTTTTTTCAGTTAAAAAAATAAGCTGCCAAAAGTAGACACGTGGCTTCTCCTATTTACAACAAATTTTAGACCAAACAGAAAGCCTACTTTTCAGGATCCTACTCTTGAATGACCGAAAATTAAAAAATAAATAATCCCTCAATTTGGGGGAGATAAGAGACTCTTCAGTCAATCAATCCCAGTTGAACTCCTCAATTTTAGCTCCATGATTCATCAACAATCACTCAATATCCATCAAAATCCAATATTCCTAATCAATTTCAATTTTAAAAGAAGTAAAAAAAAAAAAAATTCATCGCCACCTCTCTCTTTTCCTGATTCATCTCTCAAATTCGCTTCCAATAGAAAAACATAGACAGAACCTGTAAAACCCTCAGCCCACTTTGATTTCTTTCCCCTCCGCCGCTTTTCTTTGTCGTTGAACTATCGTCATTTTCAGATCTGGCCAAAAGGAAGGAAAAAATCTCATTGAACAATTGTGGCCGCCGACCATACATCAATTCACAGCAGAACGGCAACCCACACCGCAAAGGGATTCCAACAGTGACAGCCAGCTGCTCCGCCATCCACCAAGCTCGCACCGGTACCAGCAAATCCAGGTTATTCTTCCACAAATTGTTTGTTTTAAGTTTAGATTCAACTGAGTTCATTTTTCTTTAGCCAAATTCGTTTACATTATACTTTCTTTTTGTAATATAATTCATGAAGGGATCACAATTTTGATAAATCTGGTACGATTTGCTTGAGATCGGAAATTAAAGCAGTGAAGCCCCATACTAGGCAAACAACATATTCATATCCCAATGCCTTTAATACTATAATGTAGCCACATCGAAATCTTGGGTTAAGAGTAAAATAAATTCCAGCAGAACCTATGTAGTACTCCCTCCATTCTAAAATAAGTGTCATTCTACACTTTGCACATAGTTTAAGAAACTCTTAAATAGTGTCATCTTACACTTTGTACATAGTTTAAGAAACTCTTAAATAGGGTAATAAAATTACTTCAATATCCTCAACTAACCCTACTAAAAAAATATCCACACTTATTTTGAAATTTCTCCATTTTGTTAAAACGACACTTATGTTGGAACGGATGGAGTAGTATTTGGACCTTTGAAGCCATCCGCTGGGGTTATTCATTGGGGTATGTTTTTGTCCTTACTTTAATGAAACTACTACTAATCAACTAAAGTTCCCTTTTTGGTGTTTGCTAGCTGAGTATTGATTTGAGCATTTATACTTATCACTTGAGCGGTTCAAATTATGTTTTTCAGTTTTTTATTCTTCATTCGACATTACATCTATCATAAATTTATTCTTAAAACGTTGAGCATTTAGGAATGTCTTCGGCAAATATACCGTTTTAATAGAGATCGAATGTTTTCCTTATAACCTTCTTACTGAATTTTGTATGATACTTTCAGATATGATCACATGTCCCACTAAAATATAAACGGGCCTTATGAATTACATGATCACATGGTCTTTATTGGTGTAGAAGTATTTCGTCCTGTAGCAGGTTTAATTGCCAATTGTCTGTCTTTGCAAGTTGATGAAATTGATTCGATGAACTGTGCAAAACTTACATATATGATTAACTTATTTCCTTTGATATAAGGTTTTTTGTTTCTTTATTACATGATGTTTCTTATCAAGTTTCAGGGGTGGGAGTTTGTGCTGCAATTTCTTCTGCAGAGCTTAAGCTTGGAGCTTATAAGTTATGTTATGTGGTTGCGTTGATGCTTATTAGGATTGATGAAATGATGGAAACCTCCTTTATAAGGACTCAAAGATGAGTGTTGCAGAGGATTGATGAATGATGAAAACTGGCTTTATGAGGACTCAAAGAGTGTTGCAGAGCAACCGAACCATTTGGAACTTGCAATGTATCTTTCATAACCGTTCCCATAAAAGTATTCTACGTTTCCGATTATTTATTTTATTATTGAACACAGCGGGGGTGCCCGGGCATTCGACCAGGCGAGTATCAAATTTATATTAATACATTACGTAAATTCCCCAGAATTTCAATTTGTAAAATAGAATAAATAGAATGGTGAAATGGACCAATTTCAAAATTCAACGCCTTGCAAACTACTCGAGAAGTAATCGTTACTTCTTAAAGTTGCCTTGAATATGAATTTCAATATGTTTATTTAATGTCATATACACAGATTGCCAAGATGAACTGAAGTAAAGCATTTGATTCGGAGAAAAAAAAAACATATGGTAAATTCTACCGGCTGTTGTTTTTATAGACATATGGCCTTTACGTAATTATTTTAATTACAATGTTGGTCTTCCATTGATTAATAAATGTTTTTTTTTTTTGCACATCATCAATGTTAATTGATATAAAATAATATTTACTCATCTTTTTAATTGAAATAAAATAACATTAAAACCGCTCAGACATCCGCCCGGGCCAAACATTTAGTACATATTATTATTACAAAGAGTATAGCGGCAGTCAAAGGCAAATTGACATCAAATATCAAAAAACTAGTTCACAAATCTCACGAGATTAATATCACTAATTGTTTCGAACTGTAAAGATTTAAACGAAGGATATGATAAGCAACACACTTCTCTATAATTATAGTCAAAGTACATGATAGTGGTTTGTCACGGATATTATCATACTCCTAATTAATCCAAATATGTTTTTTAAAAACGGAAAAACAGGCGACAAAAATTTCATTAGTACGTACTTGGGCTTAAAACGTGACGATCACCAATTTGGAGAAAAAATTCAAGCGCGCGTAAACGACAGGGGAAGCAATAACGGTTACAAAGACTAATAACTCAGGTTTTTGGCTGATTGATGGGTAGTCTCCAACAAACCCTCCATTGGCTATTGCTGGATTACACATTACATATATAACACATGTTTCATCAGGATTGCCGATCCATACTAATCTCCTCCCCCTCCACAACCCCAACACCCCCAAAACACACTATAAAAACTCCATCACTAGTTTCCCCCCTCTCCTGTGCCTTTATAGCCCACCACTGATCTTGTGATCTCAATTAAACAAATTTAATTATCACTCCAGATTATCTTCTAGAGTTCCAGTGTTTTTTTTTTTCTCTCTTTAATTGATTCCTAAGTTGTATAGCAATTAGGATTTGGAGAGGCTAATAGAGATATAGATATAGATATGAGGATGACATCCAAATCGAACAAGCAGTACTCATTCCAAGTGGTGACGTGGCTCATGGTGTTCATTTTTCTGGTAACGTGCAAATGTTGTTCAGCAGTCAGACCGATTAATGGCGCCGGCGCTTCATCATCATCAGTACTGGCGCCGGAGAAATCGATAGCTGAGCCTTTGTACGGTGGTGAGGAGAAGGCGTCGCATCATCACGGGAACAACAACGACAACAAGGAGAAGACAACTCTGACGATAGAAAAGGCGGGGAAGAAGCTGCGGGGAGGGAGACTGGGACCTTTGTATTTGAACGCGCTCCCCAAAGGGCCAACTCCGCCGTCTGGCCCCAGCAACCGCATCAACGCCGTGCCCACCCCCGAGAAGAAATATTAAGCTGAAGGATCATATAATTTAAAGTGTGGTAGTAAGTAGTAACTAGTAGGGATTAGGGATGTGCAAATTGCAATGCAGCTGGTACATTATTTTGCCATTATTACTATGCATCTCGATGATCCCCATGCTAATTCGCGGAGAATATGATCATTTTTGTCAACCGTAGCGGATATATTCGAATTGCTTGCTCTGATGTTCAATCGTGTTTGATTTAGTTATTCGTTATGGTTTCCATCCATCCTTAAGCTTTTCGATTTCATTCATAATCTGATCATGAGCAGCTAGTATATATATATGGCGATCGTCAATGGTTCTCCACTCCACTTCTTCTTCTAGTTTGGACGGACATGCATATGGTGATGTTTTGTTGATTCTTGGAATCTTCTCGCGTTTGATGGCAGTATATGGCCCCACCTTAAACCCGATCGAGCATGCTTCAAGTTTCCGACTAATATATTCCCATTCAAGCGCTATATGTGTGTGTGTGTGTGTGTTTTTTTTTTCTTGAAATAAAAAAGAAGATTAATGTGATCATTCATTGGGTGACACTGAATAAACCCTGAATAGTATAAGGAAGATTTAATCTTGTAGTACCTAAGATGAAGAACCCCAACGTAGACGCCTCAACAACAACGACGCATGCTTCGAATTTGGTGTATAAATAAATTCCCATTAAACTATTGAGCTTAATATTGTATGTCAGTCACTTAATTAAACTATGATAAAATAAAACTATAGGAATAAGTTTCTGGTAAGGGCGTGATTTACTTGTTGACAACTCTGATAGTCCTACATTATTAATCAGCTTCCAAAAATATAATTTAAAAAGAACCCACCTTCCTTATTCAACGACCTACACCCCCCACGCCATCTCAGTTTTTCAAACCATGAGTGATCGATCATCACCGTGCCCCCTGCATGAAAATGACACTCCGGCGATACGGTCAACCCGACCCGCTCCCCTTTACTCAATAACCACCTCACAAAATCAAATTATGTTACGCCCTATTACAAATAACTCCTATCACTTATACACGCTGCAATGGGAATTGTAACAAAGTTGCCGACATATTCCATATCCACAAATTAAATTGTCTTTATATATGTATATATATTAGGTCCGAATTCATTATTTCGATTAATCCGATTCGAATTAGGTAGTAATTGTCTTTGATGTAATATTTCAATTTTTTTTTCCGATCTCATCTATATGCAGTACTACTAGAAAAAGGGAAAGAAAATCGGGATAAAACTTAAACTTCATACTTCATACATACATAATTAACTTTAAATTAATGTTGTGGCAATATGTAAAGATTACAATTCAATAAATTCACTTCTCCTTTTAAAATATTTTAAAATTTAATCTTATTTCAGACATTAACATTACTTTTATGCATGAATTCTTTAATATACCCTCACTACTATTACTGAAATTTAGAACATTTAATCAAATCAAACTCTCAATTTCACCATATTAACTAGCTATCATTAGTCATTAATGGAGGCATACTATGTTAATTACTAAAAGTCTAACCATTTCAATTATTTTTTTTTTACATATTTGTAGGGTGTCCACCGTCGACAATAGTGACTAATCCCCTCGTTGAATTGTAGACATCTCGATAGGTGGGACAACTAGCCAAAGTATTTAAGGTTGCTCCATGCCCATGGCGATGTTCGAACCCTTGACCTATAGTTAATGGTGGAGGAGTCCCTTCCACTCCATCACAATCACTTTGGTTTCATTTCAACTATATTACCAACTTTTTCTTAATCTCTGTGTTTCTCTAAATATGCCTATTGAATTGGAATGGAGGGAAAAGTTTATACTATTGTGGATATAATAAATATTTATATTTATATATATATATTTGACAATTATTTCGAAACGAAATAAATACTATTTTTATTAAACTTATGTACTATAATAATGTTGTAAATTTTACTAGTCAAACATTGTTTATGTTATCTAACCAAATAAAAGTTTATCTTTTTTTCCATTTTTAATATGTATCACGCCTTACTGACTCTAATAAAAGAAAAATCACGATCAAGTAGTTTATATGGCAAGGAAGTCGTGTTTGACAATGGTATCTGGCCGGCTTCATTCTCCCAGCTAAACAAAACCTGTTCGGATGATAGTTCATTTTATGCTTTTTTTTTTTTGTTTTGTTTTTTTTTTTTTGAACTTTTCTACATTGTACATGTCTGTTTAATGTATATCGTATTTGGAAAAGAAGGTTGGATGAAGGCTTTAAGCTTGGTAGCTCCCATGATTACATCTGCCTTGTAGGTTACGTTCTTCACAGTTTTAGTAGTTCAAATGGAATACAATGAAATCAATATACGTTATATTACCAAAAAAAAAAAAAAACAAAAAACAAGGAAAACAAAACAATATCTCAACATAACCGAAATTTGTTGTCTTTTCTATTTTTCTTTAACATATTGAAGAAGCTGACTAATATTAATTAATTAATTATTCATATTCTAATTAATGTTATTTTTAGTGGTGGTAAAGAACCAATAAATTACTATCTAACTATATTTTCCACCACTCCATAGAGTGTAATAGTTTGTAATAGTGGCAAAATATTAAATTTTGCGAGCCAATATATATATATATATATATATTTATGGTTGACTAATAATTTTCCATTCCACGATAATGCAATATATAAACCAATGTATAAAAAAGTATAATAAAAATATAATATGTAAAGAATATGATATGTATAGGGAAAAAAATTTAAAGGAAAACATGTATATGTATATGTACATTATTTACCAAAAAAGGGCTATAATTTTGATTCTTGCATTAAAATTGTTAAAATAATATTCCAAAAATATAAAAATTTGTTTAAGAAAACCAACATTTATTTTAGTTCTCCATTTCAAAAGAATATTCTGTATTTTTTTGGTTAGAAAAATAAGAATATGCTGTGGGGGAAGAAAAACTGGTAAGTAAGATCACAAGCGGATAAGGCCGTACAAGTTCAAATTAGGTCCTGATTTGTCCGATACTTTGCTTAATCACTTAAAATAATCAATAATGTCTTCATTTAATCCAATCCAAAAATCAATCAGCACTTGCGGGACCCCATCGAAATCCTTCACAGAAATGATAATATTTTCCCACGCCAAGCGTCCACCATTTGTGGGTTTCCGTATTCCAATGTCCTTCTTCAAATTTCCAAAGAAATTGAATAGACAGGAAGCCGAGATCTTCTCATATAGTTGTAGTTTTGATTCACTGCAGTGATAGTAATAATTGGTATAATAATGCCGGATATTGATTGCAATCGAGCTTCAGCTATGGCGACTTTACTTCGAGGAATTTTGGTTTTGTATATGGTGTTGGTGGTTGTGAATGCAAGAGTTTTGGCTCCTCATCCATTTGCAGGAGAAGTTCAACAGAACTTCATCTCCAATGTGTTTGATACTTCCAAGTATGGTATTCTTCAGCTACAGAATGGCTTGGCTCGAACTCCGCAGATGGGGTAAACCGCCTTCCTCTTTGTCTTCTGCAGTTTGTTATTACCTGTAGATTTCTTTGACAGACTGTTACCATTTAGACTTTGGTATTTTTCGTTTCGTATATATCTCTTATGTGGATTTAGGGCGGTTAAATTGGTTCTGTTCGTCACTTTGCATCATAGGACTTCATAGAAAATGGAATTGTAACCATGTAAGTGATAGGAGTTTATCACTAGCATTTAACCACGCTGGACAATCCAACTAACGAATCGAATCTCAACCTATTTTTTTTTTAAAATTAATCTGATGCTTGTATTCATCTGGCAGATGGAATAGCTGGAATTTTTTTGCCTGCAATATCAATGAAACTGTTATCAAGGAAACAGGTGATGCTCCCCCTTTGTTGTTTAGACATGCTTGTGGAAATGTGATCCCTTTTAAGAGACTTTTATCTTACTGTCTTGTGTTGCTCTTAATTTTATCAGCCGACGCACTCATCTCCACCGGTTTGGCGGCCTTAGGTTATGACTACGTTAATATAGGTATTCATATGATATGTTTCCTTGATTGGCTTACATTGCTCTACATCCTGTAGAGACACTCACTTCTTTCAACTGCAGATGATTGCTGGTCCAGTTGGTCACGAGATTTAAAGGTCAGATTGAACAATGAGCTTTTTAGATAAAATTGTTTGCACCAAATTTGTGCATCGAAAGATCTCTTCACCTTCACTTTTTAGATAAAGTTGTGCTACCTTAGGGGTACAATGTAGGTTTAAGTATTGAAAGCTAGGATGATTTTTTAAGGCACGTGATCTTATATTTGAATCATATGTTATGGCAGGGTCAATTGGTTCCTGATCCCAATACTTTCCCATCCGGGATCAAAGCTTTAGCCGATTATGTGCATTCTAAAGGTCTCAAGCTTGGTATCTATTCTGATGCTGGGTAGGACCAATTCCCTAATAAATGGTCAGAGTGGTTATAGCTGTCCCATTGCTAACTGAATGTCATTTTTCTTTTTCTTTTTTGGGGGGGGGGGGGTGTGTGTGTGTTTGTAAAGGATGACTTTTACCTGATTTTTGTAAAGGATGTCCATTGCTAATTCATACAACTGAATTTTGTAGAGCCTTTACCTGTCAAGTTCGCCCTGGATCGCTTTTCCATGAGAATGATGATGCAGCTCTATTTGCATCTTGGGTAAGTTTTTTCACATCCATTGTTCGATAACTTGCTGTGGAGATAGTTATTGGGAAAATGGGAAGTCTATGAATGTTTCCTTATTTTGAAGGTATTATAACATGGGATGATGGTACTGTAATCTTCAAGATCCTATGCTCTAGTTTAAACTTCTATTTGGTTTCACATCTAACATTCACCTGAGATGGGAAAGTGTTATTTAGTGTTTTTATTTATTTATTTATTTTTGGGGGGTTGGGTTTCCTTTTCCGGATCTTACTAAGATTTTTACCCAATGAAAAGAATTGATTGTACCCTTTGATCAGAACTATGAAGTTAGATTGTGAATCACTGATGAAAATGTTAAATACTGGGATGAGTCTACAGCTGGCCATGGTTGGGGATAAAAAGTTGGATATGAATCTTGTACCAAGAGTTATATAGGCAACAACTGAAGGATGACCTGTCAATGAGATTTAGAATTGTACTGCCATGTTTAACTTAAGAAGCATTTCCCATATCAATATGCTGTAAAACTTCGAATGCTGATAAAACTGTTATCAAGTCTTTTAATTTTTTTTTTTGGTATTAACATACATTGATGTAATAAATTATCTGTTTCTCAGGGTGTAGACTATTTGAAATATGACAACTGCTTCAACTTGGGAATTGAGCCACAGAAGAGGTTTTATCTCCTTCCATATCTGTATAAATCTTGTTGCTAACTATCCAAAAGGTTGATAGAGGTGGTTTCTTCATTCCAGATACCCACCAATGCGTGATGCACTGAATGCAACTGGACGTACTATATTTTACTCGCTGTGTGAATGGTACTATTCTGTTTCTTTGATGTTTACTTGATGCTCGACTTATAGAATTAGATTAAAAGATTTCAAATTTGAACTCATGTGTGCCACAGGGGTGTTGATGATCCTGCATTGTGGGCAGGCAAGGTTGGAAATAGCTGGCGAACAACTGATGACATCAACGACACATGGGCAAGGTAACCTATTAGTTCTGCAGATTAACTGAGATTTTGGAAAAGAAAACCAGTTTAAAACATGCAGTGGAATTACCTAAGAATCTAGATCCCTTTTTCTTTTCTTCTGTTGGAGTAAGTTGAAGACTGATAAAATCAGTTCCAGTTCCTCCTTTTTTTTTCTTCCGAATAATCAGTTCCAGTTTGATTGCTGAGTGAGTGATGTTTTCCATTCTGCTGAGTGCTCTGTTATGGCATGAGATAAACCTTGTGGTTTCACTTTGAAGCTCATAAATCAGATTGACATCTGAATGAAGTTTATACAAACAACTACAAAGATCATGGATGTTTAATCCCCCTAAAAAGGTGAAAATTGTTGAATCCCTACAGTTTGAGACTTTTTCAAAAGCAGCTGATGCTAGGTTAATTCAATATAATTTTACAAAGAAAAGAGAAGAGATATTTAGACTAATAAAAGTTCCGAAACTAGGTGATATTACTATTGTGAACTTCTTAATTCTGTATTGCTACTTGCTAATACATTTGTGCCAATGATGCCTCTGTACCTTGTTGTCTAGCATGACCACAATAGCTGATCTTAATGACAAATGGGCAGCATATGCTGGACCTGGTGGATGGAATGGTAAGAATGTTATCCCATTGGTTATCAATATTTAGTGGAGCTGTTTCCCTCATTCCCATTTGTAATTGCCTTATTTTGGTTTCTTAAGTAATTTGGTCTTCTTGTAGATCCTGATATGTTGGAAGTTGGGAATGGAGGCATGACCTATCATGAGTATCGAGCTCATTTTAGCATTTGGGCTTTGATGAAGGTTGTGTACCAGTAAACCTGATGTTGAATTTGTAGTTGCTTATGATTTATATTGATATATGACACCAATTTACTACTCTGGATTGGGAGCTGTTGCCAATAATGTGAATCTGTTTTGTACAGTAAAAATTAGCTGTCTTGTAATTTTCTTTTTCCCTATCATGTCATTAATGATTTTGCGTAACAGCCTTAACCGCTACAAAAAAGTAGTTTGTTTTGCGCATAATGTAAAAGTTGGATACTTTTGGCCTTGGGGCATTTTCGTAATAATTTTAAATTATTCATTTTCTTTACCTGCCAGGCATCTTGAAACTGATCATTTTGATTGCATGCAGGCACCTCTTTTAATTGGTTGTGACATAAGGAATTTGACTGCTGAAACATATGAAATTCTAAGCAATGAAGAGGTTATTGCTGTTAATCAAGGTACTTTCATTTCCTGAACTCTCTCGTGCTTTAAGGTCTTGAAAGTGGAACCTTTTCAAAGACAAAATGGACTTAGTTGACTAGCTTTTGTTTGGGGTTATTTTTACAGCCCCAGTATAGATATATATGTTCTGTCTTCCGTGGCTTTGTTTCATGTGAAGATAATAGGGATTTATTCTCTCTGCAGATTCACTTGGTGTTCAGGGGAGAAAAATTTCTGAATCTGGAACCAATGGGTGCCGCCAGGTCTATTGCTCTTTATGCTTGTCTTGTTCTTTTCTCTTTTGTTTCCCTCTTGAGAAGAAAATTTGTTTTGGTAATCGTCAATCTGCTTGCTTAAAGGTTTAATATAACTAAAGCCCGGATCAGAGATGACACAGTTCAGCACTAGTGTTTCTGTTCATTATTGGCTTTTCTGCACATATTCAAGAACGAATCAGTTCTTCACCCATAGGAATATTTGTTGAAGTTCTTGGAGAATTTCAAAGTGCATCAGTTGATTTACGGAATATGTTTACACCTACCTTAAGTTATCTGAGGGTAGCAAGCAGATTTCTTCGAAGGGACAGAAGTTGATATAAATAGTTTGTTCGTAGAGTCTGAATGATTTGAAAATAGTATTGCCATTTACTCACGTCGCTTAGTCCAGATTGAAAAAACATGGTTGCTTCAGTTTTGATGATCACGATAAATAATGTTTCTTTTCTCCGCTTTTAGTATTCGTAGTCATAAGGTAGTATCATTTTTCTATACCATCTCTATTTGGGAGGGGTAGAGCATACTTGAGTTTATCTGAGATATGTCTATGCATCATTTGACTATCAGGTCTGGGCTGGACCATTGTCTGGGAAACGTTTGGTTGTTGCGCTGTGGAATCGATGTTCAGAGAAGGTGACTATAACTGCAGCATGGTCTTCCCTTGGACTTGAATCCTCAACTCCTGTGTCTGTTAGAGACTTGTGGAAGGTAATCAAGTCTAGCATGGGCCTATGGTAGAAGTTGCATTTCCTGCAATTTTCCTTGCTAATCCCAAAATTTGTACTAATGGAAACGTTTTTTTTCCCTGGGATCAATTGCAGCATGAAGTTGTTATGGAGAACAAGGTGGCATCACTAAGTGCTCTAGTTGAAGCTCACACCTGTGAAATTTTCATCTTAACTCCTCAAACAGTTACCCACTCCATTATTTGATATATTTCAAGTGAGCCTTTAGTTGGTACTTGTAAAACTGTTAGCTGCTGGTGGTGGATACCTCATATATGCCTGTGATTTCATGTATCAGAATAGTCCCTCCTTGTAAATCACATTCTTATTATGTTGCATACACACACTCAAGCATTATGTACACCAACTTTCAGAACCTTGAAGACGTTCACACGGCAGAATGAATATAGAAGGTTTCAATGCGTTGTTTTTTTTTTTTTTGGGGGTGGTTAAGCTGGGTTCTTTTGATATATAATAACACGTTGGGTTCAAAATCTCGAAATTGCAGTAATTACTTCTCTCTTCTTTTTCTTCTTCTTCTTTTTCTTGTTTTTCTTCTTCTTCTTTTATTAAAAAATTAAGGTGAAGTAATTGCTGAGCACTAAGTTAAGAAAGATTCTGTGTATTATTATTGGGAAGGGAGGTGGGGATGCTACCATTTTCACTTATGAGGAATAACTTGGCTAGTAGCATTAACAAAACCTATCATACATTTCCTCTAATAACTGTTCGTTTATATTTACAGCGTAAAACCAGGGCAAAAAGAGACTACTAATACAATACGCAGGTGGCCTAATGAAGTTATTTACCAACCTCTATAGAGAGGGTGTGGGGAGTAAAATACTACACGAAGAAATAGTTGCACTATCAAACAATTCGGGAACGTCTGACTTTGATCTCAAAGGAGATCACTTTTGTCCCATGGAGTTGTTAATCTATAGCATGTTGCACATCAACTCTCAACCCAAGCATTTGAGTTTACCAGCTGACTTAGTTTTTAAAACACTTGGAAACGAATGAAGTATCTTCCTTTTCATCCAAGAGTTTAGTGTCTTGTCCAACATTTCCAGCAACAGCTGTGTACTTCACAGGTTGAATCTCCTTTTTGCAGCCCGGAAGGAGAGGAAACTCTTCAAGCATCAAACAGAAACAGCTGCTTTCTTCTTTCTTGTCCGACTTGGTAAACAGTTCCGAGGGATCTTCACTCATCTTAGCGTCATTGATTTCCTCAGATTGAACAACCTTGCTGCCCGGAAGGGGAGTCAATGACTGATTAAAGGAGCCAGCTATGTCGTCCTTTTTTGATCCCGCAGGCATCTCTGACCGAGGAAGATTTAACTCCTCTTCCACACAACTGCCCTCCCCAATCCTTGCCAGTCCTGTTGGAGCATTATAAAGCCAATTCTCCTCCGGATATCTCTCTGATGATCCTTGGCCGTCTGAACAACACTCAGGTTGCATCTGCAGACAGTTACAAAATAGACACAAGTCTCAACACTGAAGTTGCTAACCATCCTAGAATTGGATGAAGGGAAAAATAAGAAAACTTTCTCACCTTGGACGAGCTCCCAACGGTCCCTGAACTTGGCAGCGTTATTTTGGCATCCATGTTCCCTTCACACTTGACTCTTGAACTTATGAATGGTGCGGCAGATGCACTGAGTTTAGACTTGCCTAGAGAACTCACAGGTTTATACCTGCTCGGTTCAAGGTAAGCTGGCATTTGATCACCACTCCAAGCGGAGATCGATAGTAAAAAATAAAGGCCCTTGATTCAATCAAGACAAAGTGATTCTGTTCTTTCAAAGGGACATTACCTTCTCTTAATCAAGGATGACAACAGATTTGGAAGAAGATAAAGTGATTTGGTGAGGAATATATAAGAAAATTGCTGTATTTAGCGAATCTCACGGTATGGCACTACCAAACATTGAATTGATGGCAAGTGGATTACAAACTTCCCTTCCTTAAATCATAAATTCACATCATAAACAACGCCCAAGCATTTAATGCCCCTCGTCAGAAAAGGAATTTTCAGTCCAACCACCCCCAAATTTAATGAATAATAATTTAGAGAAACCATAATTACTTATTAGCAAATAGATACTCACCTTAACTCAAACTGATACAATGAGCATAATAAAATTCATAAGCTATTTAAGAAGCATAGCAAAAATTTAATCAAGTCCTTTCAAAAGACTCAAAACATTTCCCCGTGATACATTTCGACAATTACAAAGTGGCCACTCCAGTTAACTACAGTCTTGCGAGGACATTTGCTTATATGGTGAACTGACGCCACATTTGGCCCTTCCACAGAGAAAAATGTACTTGAAAAATAAACTTTTGAGGGACATTCTAGTTCAGAAGCAGCGGTTTCTGTTCTGCTTATAGGCTGGAATAGAAGATCGATGTAGCTTTGAACTGACATAAACTCAACAAAGGAATTGATACAAAATTCATCAAGTAATGGACTCGGATGCATTGCAAGATATTGCTAGCATGAAGCATTACACTAAACAAAACATTTTCTCTCTTTACAAATATGATGCAAGATGGATAAAAGTAGCAGCGAATGATACCATTGTTCAAAGTACTGCTTATTGCACAAGCAAGACAGAGTTGCAAACTTCTGGAATTTGTCATGGGTTAACAATTGAATATTCTTCAAGTAAATGTTCAGAAGCAAGCATGACACTAGTTGTTACAAAGTGACTCTTCATTTTTACACCAGAGTTGGTCATAGTGTACATTGAAGGTTTGTCATGCAAAAATTGGAGAAAGAATATTTTTTCTTTTTCACAAATACAGCAGTGCGCCACTCTTTTGAACTAAGTCAATAGTTTGATACATAAGGTTAAATTTACCATTGAGAGTATTACACGATTTAATAACTTAGGTTATAAATCTATGTTTTAACATTACAAGCATAAACCTTACTAACAATCCTACTCCCATTATTACTAGTAGTATCTACATGTATGGATAATGATAGACTAATGTGATAATATTTTGCCACTTCTTTTTAACTCCTCCGGTTCTACAAAACAAGGCATAACTTCAAGATAAAATTACAAAGCCTAGCAATAAGAGTCAACACGGAAAAAGCAATATACAAATGTCCAACATTTTTTTGGTCCTCCTTCCGTGTTCATGAATTAATACAAGGTAATTGCTTAATTTATTGCTAAAAGAAGAAAAACTGAGATCATTAAGAAAGTAATTTGAAAAAAAATAAAAATCCTTATTATCTAAAAACATACAAAACAAAAAAAGGAAGTATTACCACGCATTGAATGTTGCAATCCCCCACCGGTTTTTCTTCCTCCTTTTTTTTTTCTCTTCATCTTTGTCTTCTTCCTATGATCTCTTGGAAAATTTTCAAACAACTTCACTGCGACCTGATACTGATATTGCATTGTTTCGGTTGCGCCAATAAGGTACTGATACGCGCCGGGAGCCACCGTTATATCTCTCATTCTTCTCTCTAAAAGAAGCCACAATTCATCAATCACTAATTTATCACTCCAATCCTCGCAAGCGTATAAAACTTGCGGTAACTATTTCTCAACAACCTGGAAATCGCATGCCACGATTCACTCACCGACTCTAAGAAGAAGACGACGATCATCGGAGATGACGACCACCACCCTCACTTCTTTCATTCTTTCCTTTCTAGATCAATTTCCTTTGTGAGAGTGTCCAAGATCATTATCGTGGAGCCACATAATAAGGCCCAAAAGCGCACGAATTTGGGCCAACCCAAAGTGAGGCCCAATAAAACAAACCATAACCTTGACAACTCCTTAAACAAAGCCAACAAATATCCAGGCCATTTCTTGTCTTCCCGCCATGTTATCCCTCTCCCTCAACTCACATCTTCTGATTTCGTCTCCTCTTATCCCTTCCCAGCATCGAACTGGCTTCAACCCTTCTTCCATAATCTGCAAATCTCGACAATTCACCGAAAGGGGTCTTCAGTTTGACGTCGGCGATTCCTTCTTCCGGCAAGAGAGCGCCACCGGCCGCGACCTCGGCGTGCTGTCGGCAGCCCTTTTTAAGGAATCAAATGGGAGTCTCCGAGTCCTGGACGGCTTATGCGGCTGCGGAATTCGCTCTCTTAGGTACTTAGTGGAAGCTGAAGCTGATTTCGTCCTGGCCAATGACGCAAATGAAGATTGCAGGAGGGTTATTGAGGGGAACCTGTCGCAGGTTTCGAGAGGGTCCGGCGACGGGAGCAGATGGGTTGTGACCCATACGGATGCCAATAGACTCATGGCGGAGTATTATTTGCAAAGGGATTATTTTGATCTCATTGATATTGACTCGTTTGGAAGTGATTCTAGCTTCTTGAGGACTGCTATTAGTACTGTAAAATTGGACGGATTGCTGTATGTTACCTCTACTGATGGCTTCTCTTCCGGCGGCCATAGGCCTCAACAGTATGTTTAACCTCACGTCTCACGTTTCTATTTTTGCATTGAATGAATGCCTTTTATTCGATATGGAAAATTCATAACGGTTGCTATTGTTCTAGCTCTTTGGCTGCATATGGAGCATATATTCGGCCTATGCCGTACTCAAATGAGGTTGGTTTGCGCATGCTGATAGGTGGAGCGGTTAGGGAGGCTTCTGTATTTGGCTACCGCGTTGAACCGCTTTTCTCGTACTACTCATATCATGGCCCTGTTTTCAGAGTAATGCTTCAAGTTAAGCGTGGAAAGCTTCCAGACACTAAGTGAGGATTGACTCTTGTGCTCTTTTGTGTATCTTTTCAGAGTTTACTTACAATCAGTGCCTTTTGTATGGTTTTTTTTATGTTGCAACATGTATAATTTAATCTGCTCTGCACTAAATATGTGTTATAGCTACGTTTTTTTTAGTATACACAGCTTTTTTTTGGGGATTAGTTTTTTCGGGTTTACTTGTAATCGGAGGCTTACATTATAGTGTTTTGTGTTGCAGCATGTATAATTTCATCAGCTACTGCACTGAATGTGGAGATTCCAATACAATCGGTTGGGATCAACTTGGTCAGATTAGATGTCCCTGTAATACAAATGTATGTGTAAAATTATTCTTCACTTTTAGTTGTTCATATAGTACCAGGCATCGTGCGTAAATATACTGGCAATCCATTTCGCCATTGTTTAATGTTTATGCTGTTTTAGTGCTTCCATCTTTTTGAATTTGTGAGTTTTCAACTTTTTTGCTCTCTGCTGATAACATGTCCTAGTTTGCTACCAAAATGATCATTTTGTCTCTCATTGACACTGCCTGACCTGCAAGTTAGAATCAACTGTTTTTCTTCTCAATCATCTTTGGTGATGAATTTCAGTTCTTTCACTTCAGGTTCCGCATTCCCTTATTGTCTCAGGGCCCCTTTGGACAGGGCCTCTACATCAGACATCGCATCTCAAGAAAATGCTTAATTTGGCTGAGCGTTGGGGTTGGATTAGCAATAGCAGTGGAAAGAGCCTCAAAAAGCTCTTGGAACTGATGATTGATGAAAGTGACCCAAATCTGCCATTTGGTTATCTCAAAATGGATGAGGTTTTAAATGGATGCCCATATTTTTGCTGCCATTAAAATAAGAACTTACTATAATACATTCCGAGATTTGTTCTTGATCATCTTATCTCTGCTTTGGATTGATTTTCCAGGTATCTAGACGTGTTAAGCTTAATTCCCCGAGCATTGAGGCCGTGATGAACACCTTGCATAAGGTACATTTTCTTGTGGGTACCTCTCATCATCGATTCATGTCCTTCTGTTTTCTAGGTTTAGAACGTTGTATTCTCATGGCTGGCAAAATATGGAAATCCTTCTGGACTTGGGTGTAATGAGCTTAGGAACAATAAATGACAACAACGACATAACCTTTTGAGCTCAGACCTCGATGAATAAACCTGCTATAGGCAACTCAGACTTGCAGAATCCTGATCCAATTTCATGTCAAACTAAGAGTCATTTAAGACTAGCCTCTTGTAATTGATGACAGGTGGGATATGCAGCCAGTAGATCGCACATTACCCCTAAAGCGATCAAGACGAACTGCCGCATGGCAGAATGTCTGAAGATTGTCGAAGAGCTTCAACAATGTTCACGACCAGTATTATGATTCTTGTATGGATAGAACTAGTTCACAGTTCAGCCTTCACCTTTACCTGAAGGAAAAAAGGCAAGTAAATAGACCAACACTGATTCAAGCTGCTGATGAAGGTCAGCATGAGATGTTTTGGGGCCTTCCAATCTCTATTGCTGAATCCAGTTTTCCTGCAAAGGATTATCATTTGCTTGTGGGTGCCATTAGCGAAAGATTTTATGAAGAGAGCGATGCGCATCCGAGCTTCTAAGGTCTCATGAGCATTTTTTAGAAACATTAGCCTTCACGGAAGATTTCGACTGCATGCCACCAGTAACAATTTGACAGAGAATGACAACTTTCCTTGGAAGATCTCTTACTTGGCAGTAAATGTGAGGCATTAGTTTGTATGAAGGAATTATTAAGGTTTGCACTCATCAATTGACATATGAACCATTTGATACGATTTGTGAAACCCATATCATCATCTGTTGGCTCGAAGAATGTTGAGAAAATTTCAGAGCCATTAAGATAGTCTTAATATACATAATTAAGTTTATACAACTAAACAACACTTTGAGATGTCACGCACGTTTTATTGACTCGCTAGGAAAGGTTGAAAGCCAGAACAGTGACCCTGTCTTAAGAACAAACGATCAGAAAGAAAGCCGGCGCAACATCAGTTATCAGGCTAGTTTTCCAATCAAGCAGACTCTTTCTCGTAAACATCAGCTACATATTTCCAGTTCATCACTTTCCATATGTTCTTCAAGTAATCAGGCCTGACGTTTTTGTACTGCATCAAAACAAACCAATGACTATTAGTATTCAACAATCAAAAACCAACAATCGAGTAATCATGTGCAATCTAAAACTACAAAGCCTCTGAGTACCCATGGAACCAAACGCTTAAATATTTGAAAAATATCATATGCGACCCCCTCCCAGCAAAAAATAAATAAAGGAAGAACATCTTAGCCATGATGATGGAGCATGAAGGAAACTGTAAGCAAGCAGATGATTAACCTGTAAGTAGTATGCATGCTCCCAAACATCAATCCCAAGCAGAGGAACCAAACTTGATCCTTTAGTAACTAGGGGGTCCTGCAGTATTGAGAAGAAAATAAGATGAAATATATACTACTGTACAATGATAGCACTTCATTAAACACAAAGGTGGGGGACTAGAAAACATCCAAGAAGACTGACATCCCTTTGTATACACTACATAATCAAATAACACTATGTAGTTAGCATAAGTTTAAACTAGTTTACTAGCACATCAATCACCAGATCATAGACAAATTAGAAATCAATTACCTGATTTGCAGTGGTTTCGATCACGAGGCGCTTCAGCTCTTTGTCCAGTCCAAGCCACTGTCAAGTTCAGAAAATATACAACCGAGTAAATATAATTCTTACATGTCTCAGGAAACAATGCATGTTCTAGTGAAAGAAAAACTCTATGCAACTTACCACCCATCCAGATCCCTGCAGAGCAGCACCCTCTGCATTCATCTTTTGGATCAAGGCTTCCAAAGAGCCAAAATTGGTTTCAATAGCTCCTCCCAAAGATCCCTGAGGAGGCTCACCGCCACCTTCCTGAAATGGGATAGTAGCAGTTTTAGTGACATATAAGAATATGAAGCATCTTGAATGGAACAAAATTGACAGTACTTGAAGATTAACTCACCCGAGTAGGAGCTAGATTCTTCCAGAAAATCGAGTGATTGATGTGGCCTACCACAAACATAGAGAGTGTTAATCTTAATCTCTTTAAAGCTTAACTAGTTGATCTTTTTAAAAATCTGAGACAACCCTATAAAGCAGTAGCGCATAGTTCAAAATACACCCAAGATAACCCACCATAAATTCACTACAAGATATACAGATGGCAGTCAAAGGAAAGATGGTTTATTGCAAAATATACAGCGAATCCTACAGCAAAGACAATTATTCGTAAGTATATTGACTTTTCATCAAACACTTATGCAAAAATGCGCAGCTTCTGAAATCTGAACTTAGAAGGAAGATAATCAATCGGGTGGCATTTCATCACCGACATATTTAAACAAAGAATTATCCCCATTTAGTTCACTTCTCCATCGAAACCAATAATTTCAATTCCTGTTAGAACTACAGATACTGACATTTGAAACACCAAATTGATCAGAATGGATGCTTCAATGAAGAATACAAAACCCAGATACTAAGAGAAAATGGGATTAGGAATGAACCTCCGCCATTGAACTTGATGGCACTCTGCAATTTGACGGTAGTAGAAGCGTCTCCCTTGTTGATGGCATCATCGAGCTGCTCGAGAGCTTTGTTGTAATTAGTGATGTAAGTCTGATGATGCTTCTGGTGGTGGAGCTGCATAATTTCTCCGGTAATCGCGGGTTCAAGAGCTCCATAGTCGTACGAAAGATCCGGCAGCGAGAAGGTCTGCAGTCCACGCGCCTGCTGCCGGAGACCTAAAGAGCTTCCGGCCACGACATTTCTGGTAATTAGGGTTCGCAGCGCCATTTTTGGGGAAATTTCAGAGCAAAGAACGAAATGGATTTTGATTCAGAAAATCTGATGTGTGCGTCTACTTTTCTTGGAGGTGCGAGGCTTCTGGATTACTTAGTATAAGGTGGCGCTGGCACTTGGCACATTTTGTTGTCAAATTTTTGAGGTCAGAGTCTATATTGTCTTGGAAGTCCCTTGGGGTTTTTAAAGAGATAATTTGGTCCTTACACTATGGATTTCACGTCGTGCTTTTGTTTTTGTTTTTTTTTTTTTTTTCATTTGTAATATGATCGAGAAAGTCCTAAACTTAAGAGTACAAAAAGCAATTCATTGACAAAGAATTGTGTCAGGCCAATCTAAAGTTGTTTTCTCTAAGTTATAATAAGGTATATTGACAAAATATATAACCTTAGAACACGAGAGAAACCTCAATTTGCCTAAAAAGTACTCTCTCTGTCCCAAAATTATTGTTCAGTTTGAGATTTCACTTTTAGTATAATTTAAACTAGAAATGAAAATTCAAATTGGACAATAATTATGGGAAGGAAGGAGTACTATTTTGTGTTTCTTTATTACCTTCAGCTACAAGTCAAAATTTGGAGTCCTGCGTATTGTAGACATTTCTTCTGGGATAAAACATCTAAGACCTTAATTTGTTTTTCTTTTTTTTTTTTGGGGGATAAGTCATAAAACTTCAGATTTTTTTTTTATTTTTTATTTTTCGAAACAAGACTTCAGATGTTAGACATTTCTTCTGGGATCATGTCAAGACACATTTACTTCCAGGTAAAAGGCTCATTAATAAGAAAAAGAGGTAAAAGGCCTAAGTCTGCAGGCCCATTTTGAAATGAATTTCCCTTTCTGTCTTGGTTTCCTCTCCCTTCTTCTTCAGTTATTAAATTTCAATGGGAAGTTCTATAGAGTATATAGACTAGCCATTGAAAATGTTGGGGTAGAGACGTGGAACACCAACAAATGAGAGTTTTTTTTTTTTTTTCATATATAATGTAGAGCTTAGAAAACCTGATTACATCCGTCGACTCCTTAGAAAAGAAGTTATTGCTCTATCTAACAAAAGACTAGTTTGTAGCGCGCTTTAGTGGATTGTGTCAAAATATGAAATCTTTTGTTAGAAAGTCGACTTCTCCATTACATTTTCTAAAAATATGCTTAAATTCTATGTTACGAATACTACAGAGGAGGATTTTAATCCTACCCAACAAGTTGGATTATAGTCCAACAAATGAGAGTTAGACCAATAAATGAGTGTATACTGTATAGGAATAAGATGAGAGTAACAGTAGCACTGAAAAATAAAAAATCGTGTTTAGAAATTAGAATTGTGGACATGTGCACAAGAGACCGATAGGTACATCGAGTACATAAGTATCAACTAGAAGTACTCCCTCGAATTAAAAAGGCATAATATACCTTAAAAGGTTTGAAAGAAATTATTAAAAATTTCTTGAGTTTAATGCAATAAAGTATAGACGGTTAAGATGGTTAAATATGTCCATAAAAATTTGTTGGATTTCTTGTTTGGGCTATGCTATTTGACGCCTCTCTAAATTCTGGGAAGCGCCCCCTTTAGACGTTTTTACCCCTAGCATAATTTAAAATCTCACAACCCCATTTTCTTTCTCCACTTGAAATTCTCTCAAACTTCAAACAAAAATAAAACTAATTCTTGAATTCGGAGTCTATAACAATGTATGATCAAATGGATCATGGTGGAGACAAAGATTTTGAGGTAACATTTCTTTTTTAAAAATTTTTTTTTTTTAATGGAAATGTATTCAGCAAAGAAGAAGAAAGAAAAAGGCGTTTCGGGCCAAAGGGGCGTCCCGCGATCACGCCGCCCAACGGCCTAAGCGTCCAACATAAACGCCCCTCCTAGAATAGAAATGCCTGAGGTGGACGTCAATACCGGCAGTAAAACGAGATCGCCGGGCGTCTATCTCACCGGAGAAGCGTCTGTAAATGACGCTGACACGGTGGTTTAAGCGCCGAATTTGGCGTCTCTCTCCGTTTGGTAGCGTCGATATTGGACGCCGATCAGCGCCCCTCCTTTTTTTTAATTTACTTTAATTTATTTATTTTTTATTTACTAGTTAATTTTATCCATGTATTAGGTATTTACTTTTGTTGTTTTAAGTATATAATGTTAGAGTAAATTATTGTTAATTTAACTTATAGTAATTTTTTTTGAATTTGTCAACTTATTTTAGTTCGCATAAATATATTAATTTTTCAATTCTTTTCGTGGTTTTAATTTTAGTTACTTTAATGTAAAATAACTTTATTTAATATAGTAAAAATTTAATTAATGAGTTATTGTATGATTAATTAAGTATAAGACTTGTTTCAATTAATGATATGATCCGTTTGTAGGATGATTTTGAGCATTTTGGTAGTGATGGAATTGATTACAATGGACGTTTTTGTAACTGTTAATAAATTTATTAGTGATACAAAAGCAGTAACATGGGCCAAGAAAGTGGCAATTGGCATTGGTTTCGCTTTAAATATTTCTCCGTGGAAGAAGGGGAATAAGAAAAAATTACTGAAATGTTCACGCGGTGGGCGGTTAAAATCGAAAAAGGTAGACGTGAACAAAATTTTGCGAAGAAATACCAAGACAAAAAAGTGCAGGTGCCCATTTGAGATAGTAGTCCAACAATATTCTGGGTCGCCATATTGGGGAATCCGTGTTTTTAGCGGTCTTAAGGGTACGCACAATCATGATTTAGCTCGATATCCAGAGGGATATAGACAGATGAGCGGACACACCGCTGGATCAAAAAAACTTGTGTAGGAACTAACAGCAGCTCAAATAAGACTGTGTTCTATTTTGGCGGCTGTCCAGAAACAATATCCATATGACCACGCTACCATCAAACAGGTGTACAACTTCAGGGATCATTTGTGGAGGATTGGCTTAGATTGTAGAAATGTCGTGGATCAGTTTTTAAAATTAGCACAGGAGAACAATTACGTTGTTGCACATCTTGGTGATGAGTCCCCAGCAAATGTGTTAACTCATCTTTTTTTGTTGCACATCCAGAATTAATAAAGTTGTTCCAGACCTACCCCTGGTATATGGGCATGGATACCACCTACAAAATCAATGTGTACAAGATGCCCTTCTTTGAAATGGTAGGGATGACTCCATGCAATAATAACTTTCCTATAGCATATGCTTTTATGAAGGATGAGACCCAGGATAGCTATAAATGGGTGTTGAGACAGTTGAGGAATTTGATTGGTGATGATGTGCATCCGACGGCAGTTATCAGTGATCGGGAGTCTGGGTTGATGACGCCGATTAGTGTTTGTTTTCCATATTCTGCCCACTTGCTTTGCACCTGGCACATCAGCAGAGACATTGAGCACAGAGTCAACATCATTTGTAAGAATAAAAAATTTGCAGAACAGTTGGAGCAAGGCTTGTGGAGAATGATCATGGAAGCGTCATCCAAGGAGAAATATGAAGAAGCCGTGTAGAATATGATTGAGAGGATGGAGAGCTACCCCGGAGTAATTAAGTATGCCCATGACACATGGTTAGTGGACAAGGAGAAGTTTGTCCGGGCGTGGACGAACAAGGCACTACACCTTGGCAATACTACTTCATGCAAAGTCGAGAGTGCACACACATCGTTGAAACAATGGATTTATACGTCGCGTGGTACTTTGGATAGTGTGTTTAGTAAGGTCCATAAACAAATTGACTCCCAGTTGACGCAAATCAGGTACCCTGAATTGAGTTCCTTTTGTTTGTAATATTCTTATATTACTAAAAATTGTTCATTAGTAAAAATTATTCTGTTTTGTTAACAGGTACGCACTGGAAGACTCGAGACGTTGTACCGGACGATTGTACATGGGGTTGCCACTGTCATATTTGAACGGTCGTGTTTCAAACTATTGTTTGGATTTACTGACAGTTGAGTTAACTCGGATGAAGAACTTGAGCGATGAAGTTGATGAGCGATGCGAATGTGCCCTCAGGAATACTCATCAGATTCTATGTGCATGTGAGCTGAAAAAAGCGATTGATGCAAAAATTCCGATTAGTGTAGAGAGTCTCCACACATTTTGGAGAACACTTGCTTTTGATGCTCCTGATGATTTAGGTTTTGCTGATTTGTCGGAGCATCATCTAATGTTCTGGAAGCTTGTTGATGAGATAAACTCAAGCAATCCTTCTGTCGTGCGCAGATAAATGTTATCCTCGACAGAGAACTTCAATTAATGTAGTAAGTTGTAATGACAAAAAAATGTACGTCGAATGTGGTAAGCTGGTCAATCTGACGTCGAAAACTTTCTAGCCGGGTTTCTGGATTGTCCCACTTCATTACACTCCACGTGCGGGCTAGAGGCTCGTTAGATTGGCGGCTCAACTGCTTAGAATGGGATCGGAACTTTGGAAAATACTCATATATCCATGCCTGAAGTAAGGTCAGGCAACCAGTTATACCCTTGCAATTTGCTCTACTAGCCACCCCTTACTGGCGATAAAGATAAGCTAATGCACCGAATCTCCACGATATCTTTGAAATACCCTCCAACCCGTGCACCACGTCAGCTAGACACGACGGCCTAACCCGATCCCCACTCTTGTCCACCAACAATGTGCTACCTAACATCACCCATACCCAGGCGATTGTTTGATCCTTCGGTGATCGTGAGGACAGTTTACACACTGTAATGATCTTTTCCGTTTTCACTCCCCCACTTTCCAAATCTTATCATTTTTAAGTTGTTTTGGAAGTCACTCTCATCAGCTCTAAACACATATTATGCAGCTTTGATGTTTCAGGAACATCAAAAATTATTTTTGCAGCCACTGGAATTCCCAAAATATGCCACACATCATGAAGCATGATAGTCATCTCACCGAATGGCATGTGAAAAGAGTTCGTATCAAGTTGCCACCTATCCACAAACACAAATCAATGCATCGTCGATGGTATTGTATATGATAGATGGTAGGTGCGACAACCCAGTTTCATCAATCATTTTCTACCCTGAGGTCCTATCTTATTGTACCATTCAATCAACTTCTTACAAATTTTTTCTCGGCTCTGCAACTTCAACATGTCTCTCATCTCGTCATTCCATATCTTGTCGGTGACGTGCTCAAGAAAATTAGGAATCACACTACCGTCTGCAGAACCACCCAGCACTGGTCCCGAAACTATCCAGTTCTCATTTTTATCAATCCTGAAACACTTGCTGTTGCCTGAAATTATTTTAAGACAATAAACAAATATTAAAAATTCCTACCTCAACCCAACACAATTGATTCAAATTTTAAAATAAGTAAAACAATTAATCTAATTTTTTACTTGATGATCTAGTACTGATAAAACGGCCACCAGCCCCATGGGGAAGGCGATGAGACTCCTCAGACTCTTCACTCGAATCTGAAAAAAACATTTCATCATTCTGACCGAATACCATATCCACTCCCCCTGCATCGATATCGTCATAACGAGACTCGATATGGCGATCATTATGAATCATCTTTATCTTCAGCTTCGTCTTCCCTCCTCCCTTTTGCTCTCGGGCGGATGCGTTAACATAACAGGTCTTGGTGCGTCGTGGTCCATCGCCAATAACAAGAGGCCCCTCTTCACTACCAATATTCGCGCCAGCCTCATCCTCAACAAACTGAAATTTTATTTATTAACTATAATTAGATATAACTTATTTATATAAAAAAAAATCATAAAAAAATAACATTATAATTTAAAAAAAGGAAGGGTGCCCCAGTGTCCGACTAGGATGTCGACTAGCGGCAAAAACTGTCCAAATTAGGCGTCGTTACCACCTAAGAACGTTTGTTCCAGACGGACGCTAGACGTCCGACGTTTGGACTTCAACGTCGGTCCAGCGTAGACGTTTCGTTGCGGGAGAAGCGTCAGAGCTAGACACTTCAACCGCTAGTTAGGCGCCTGTGACGGACGCCCATTTATCGCCGTCAATTTTTTATTCTTTTTTTGAAATCAAAACGAACAAACAGAGCTGCCGCCACCGACGAAATCGCCCAAATATCAATGCCACACATCAATTTTTCAATACAAATCAGACAAAATACTTTTCAAATTGATACTTAAACAAAAAGCCTTCAAAAAAACTCCCCCCCTACTGTATTTGGCCGGCGGCCTTGTATCCTTTTTCTATTTGTTTTTTCTTTTTTTTTATTTGGAAGAAAAAAATTTAAATCAATTAAAAAACTTACTTGATTTGCCAACAGACCTTTGCCTCGACCATGACCTTTTAGATTTTTCATCATTACAACCCGGATTGAAGAAATTATGCTATTTCTGTTTGCTTGAGTTTGGGAGGATTTGGAGACAAAGAACAAGGGGTTTATGTGTTTTAATTTTATGACGGTTAAAAACGTTCAAAGGGGGCGCTCCCTAAGAATTAAGGGGTTAACAAATAGCGGCCTACTTCTTGATTACTCGAGATGCAACTACAGAATAACTTCCTTAAATTAGGAAGAATCAGCAACACACCTACACAAATTTGAAAAGAAATTATCAAGTATGATTTGATTTTTTATTATAATCAAAATATTTGATGGCTATAGTGTAAATATATAATCTATGTAACCCATTTGCGTTTTAAAATTAAAACTTTTTATTAACATGGTGTAGACATTGGATTTCTCCTTTACAGGAAAAAATAGTTTCGTTGCACTTTTCAATTTCAAAAACAAATTCTATCGCCAAGCCAACTTTAATTTCATTATTAGGAGTGTAGTTTTACGTTGCAGCTTACGTTACTGAATTTGTTAAAAACAAAAATGGTCAAATGTCATTTGTTTAGGGGGGAAGTTTTTCAGCCACAACTTTTAGTTCTTTCAGCCACAAGTTTTCAATTTTGACCATTTTGTCTTTGCTATTTGATCAAACCAAATTGAAGGAGAGAGAAAAAGAGAGGCAGAGAGAGAGAGAATAATCCACTCGGACCGAATCGGACAAGTCATCCTGTTCGATTCACGTGAGAACGGACAAATTATTAATTTTTATTTTAATATTAATTTATTCGCAGTATCGTTGCATGTTGAATACGTCGTACTTTAAATATTATTAACAATATTTGTACTTTAGTGCTTAAACTCTCAATTTTATATTTACTTGAAAATAAACAAGTAATTAATTTTTACTTGAAAATAAATATAAGATTATTCGTTAAGTTAATTTATTTGAATTGATATTAAAATATAAAATTTTGTTTCAATCATTATTTTTAAAGATAATTTTTAGTTAAAAATAATAATTATACATTTACAATAAAAAATAATAATTGTACTACAAAGATTGTGACAAATCTGTGCAAACAGATTAACTATTTTTTGTACTACAAAGATTGGTGATACTTAATATAACTTAAATAATAAATTATTCATAAATTTAATGAATAAAGATTTTAATGACCTAAAAACTAGATTAACTAATTAAAAAAAACTAAAAATTTAAAAAATAGTATTAAATCCGATTGATATTTTTTAAATTTTTAGACTTTTTTAAATAACAAATATTTTTATTTTTTTAATTAAAAAAAATAAAAAATCTAAAATTTAAAAAAAAAAGGGTCTGACCGGACTAGTTCACCAGATCGTATCGAACCAAGACCGACCGTGCAATGAAACCGTCCCGAGTTAACCCAGGATGGGTGGACCGCCACTTGTTCGCCTGAATGAGGTTCATTGCCCATCCCGAGTTAACTCAGGACGGTTTCGGTCGACCAACCGTGCAATGAAACCGTCCCGAGTTAATTCGGGATGGGCAATGAACCCGTTCGGGCAAACAAGTGGGCGGGTGGTCCACCCGTCTCGGGTTAACTTGGGAAGGTTTTATTTCACGGTTGGTCGGTTTTTTATTTTTTATTTTTAGTTTTCAATTTTTTTTGTAGTTTTCTCTCTAGTCAAGTTATTTGATTTTAAAAAATGACAAGGATAAAATAGTCTAAATTAGAAATTTGTGGCTGAAAGAACTAAAGTTAGTAGTTTGAAAAACTAACACACTTTGTTTAAATTTGTGCATGTAGTTTGTCTAGATCGTGAAAAACAAATTGTCAGCCGTCACCTCTTAATTTTAAAATGCATTTCACGGAAAAGAACAAAAAGAACCACGTACATCATTTACCATGAGAGACAAAAAAGAGCTTATTGTCATCCTAGTTACCTGACGTTTAACTAAGTTGATATTGATAAGATTTTTCCAAATAATATTCCAAAAACTTCTTGGCTTATAAGCTCCGCTTAAGCTCAAATTTTGTGCAGTATCAAACATGACAAGATCAAGGGCTCGGCAACATTAATGTCTAGCCTAAAGCTAAATACGGTCTTGTGCATAATATGGAAAAATAAAAGGCTAATATTTGACTTAAAATGTAAATAGAACGTGTAATTGAGGTCATCTGGCAAACTTTGTCACTCAACTAGCATTTTGGGAAGCCCATTGCAAAGAGTAGGGAGTGGAAGTATCAAAGAAGTTCATCTCAAAACAAAAAAAAAGAAGAAGAAGAAGAAGTTCATCTCAAATTCAATAGCTTTCTTCCACAGCGAGATGCCTAAAACCAAGGTACACACCCCTTTATCACTTTTCCCCAAGTCACAGGACATTAGTTTTAAAGATATTTTGGAAGGCAAAAAGCAGAAAATTAAGAAAAACATTTTAGTTTTAACAAATTAGCATATTGCCTAAATGTATATCACTTCTTTTTGACGCGGAATTAAATTCAATATAAACGGCAGAAAGAAATTTACACAATGTGATCACCTTAGTCCAAGGACTGATCATATGTATAATCTTTACCTGTATAGTTGATCATTTATATTTATAGACATTTTATGGTTACGTACCTGAATTGTTCTGATTCAAGTGATTTGCTCACACTTTTCATTCGTGTAAAATCGAGATATTAAACTCTTGACCAACGGAAGCAAATAACGTCATTTTACAGATTTTCTCTCAAATTCACATATTAAAAGTAAATCAATAAAACACCTAAAAAACGAAAATGCAAAATATCAGTCGATGTGAATTCTAAAGAAACTTTTCCACTTTGCACACTCGTGGAAGTCCATTCACGCCCGTTAGGACTTTTGTCTTTGTTGGTTCACGTGATCTTGGAAGCGTTATAGGAGAAAAAGTAGCTTTGTTTTTAGTATTTTTTTTGTTCTCAGAAGAAACAAGGCGGTGAGATTACCATTTCTTTCACGAGAAGTCTCGACGTAATTGATCTCAGACTTACAAGTAACAACAGATGCAAAATGTCATCCATGGACAGCATTAAACTAAAACACTGAATCGCAAATCCCAAAGCCAAAAGCAACAAACTGTTTTGCCAATATGATTAGATTTCGATTAAAAAATCGTTCCACAGTAGTATAGCATGAACCAGACCAGATAAATCCATTAGTTGAAGCCAGACTTGTGGCTGCAGCCTGCAAGACTGCAATATCCACGACGACCATAACGGCCAATTTTTGCCAATTCCCAACGTGAATGTTTGAATGAAAGGTAAATTAAGACCGTCGAATTCCAATACGTTGGTTGCAAAGTTGACTTTTGAAAACGATACAACAGAAGAACACTTGAGAGTCGGTTTTGGTACGCAAATATAGTATTTTAGTATGTGAAAAAGGCATGAAACATCCATATCTTGATATCACGACATGGGTTAAAGCTAGATACTTGAACAATCACAATTTCTTTCTCAAGTATGTATATAAAGTCCATTTATCCGTATGTTCACATTAGCATACAAAATTTCCAAAGAAATAGCTGATTTCCTCATTCAAGGTCTTTCCTTCTACGAAAGCAAGATCCCAACCCCATTAAGGCATTAACAACCCGAAAAACCTCCATTTTCACAGCTTAATCTCAAGACATACCATACTTATTCATTTGATTGCATTACATTCATGCCTGCTGGATTCCCAGCTCAAAGCACACAAAGCAATTAGCAGGACCCCCTGATATTCACTATTGCATCAGTCATTTTCAGAACGTCATGGTAATCTACACATAATTGATCAAGAAGTAACTTTATTCTATCTCCTGGAAACTTTACAGTTTTTCCCGCTATTCTTTATCATCCCGTTTTGTCTAATTCGAAACACGTAATGCAGCTGGCAGAAAAATTGGCATCTCTGAACCAAGTAATATGTCCCATAGCAACTGCAAGTTTCCTCATGTATTTGAAGTCCATCATCTCCACAATCTTCTTAGGGCAACTTGGAGACGCTGAATTAGCTGGAGGGGCGTTGTCAATTGGTTTTGCAAACATAACTGGTTATTCAGTCATCAAAGGACTGGCTATTGGAATGGAGCCAATATGTTACCAAGCTTATGGTGCCCAAAAATGGGATATTATCTCTCAAACCTTTCGGAGGACTCTGTTTCTTCTATTGCTTGCGGTCCTTCCCATCTCCCTATTGTGGGTGAACATGGACTGGATACTTGTATCATTCGGTCAAGATAAGGATATAACAATTGTGGCTAAGATCTATCTCACTTACTCCATTCCAGACTTGGTAGCTCAGGCTCATCTACATCCCTTAAAAACATTATTAAGGACTCAGAACATAAACAGACCCCTAACCATATCAGCAACATGTGCTACCGTACTTCATTTTCCAATCAGCTACCTACTTGTCAAATACTTTAATTTGGGGGTCAGAGGAGTTGCCCTTGCATCAGGTTGGCACTCTGCGAACATATTTCTGGGGTTGACAGTATATCTTTTTCTATCAAAAAGACCAATCAAACCATGGGTTGGCGCCCTAACTAAAACGTGCTCCCAAAGCTGGGGTTCGCTGCTGTCTCTTGCAGGTTCAAGTGTACTTTCAGTGTGCCTGGAATGGTGGTGGTATGAGATTATGATACTACTGTCTGGTTTACTAAGCAATCCACAGACAAATGTGGCTGCAATGGGAATCTTGATACAGCTTACTAGCTTACTTTATGTGTTTCCCTCCTCCTTGAGCTCAAGCTTGTCAACAATGATTGGTCATGAATTGGGGGCTAATCAACCTGCATATGCTCGAGATTTGGCAATCATAGGATTGACAGTGGCAATTCTATGGGGATTTTCTGCTTTTGCTTTCACCATCCTCATAAGGGATGCTTGGGGAAAGTTATATACCCAGGACTATGAAATTCTTCGATTGACATCAATTTCAATTCCCATAATAGGGTTTTGTGAGTTGGGGAATAGCCCTCAAACAGCAGCCTGTGGAATCCTCATAGGTTCAGCCCGGCCTACTGTTGGCTCTCTCATCAATTTCATATCATTTTATGCTATAGGTTTGCCTACAGCAATATTACTAGCTTTCAAAATGGAATATGGTTTTGTTGGTCTCTGGATTGGGCTTGCAGCTGCACAGATTTCATGTTTGTGCATGATGGTATCAGTTCTCCTCAGCACTAATTGGACCTATGAGGCTACAAGGGCAAAAGGACTAACCCAGGATACACAAGGATGCAACTATCATTCAGAGGCAAGTCTCCTAAATTGATCTACCTAACCCATATAGATTACTATCGAAACTTAACCAGAAAGCAAGATAGTTAGCAAACATCCTTTGGACCAAACCATATGTGAGATACAAGGCTGGCAACTTGAGGTTGATTCATGTCCGTTCGGTATCCGAAGCATTAACAGATTAATACAACCTTATTGCCAACAAGAGTCTTACGCTCACTTGATCTTTACATTTTGGTAGTACTATTTTGTCGAGTCAGGAATGTAATAGATTCTGTTTTCTGGGTGACATTGAAAGTTCCCTTATTTCTCGATACAACAACGCTACCCAAGTCTTTATCTAGGCCTAGCAATATGAATCAAGAGTTGCCATCATACTCCATCAAAACACAAATCTTCATTTAAACTAAAACATATCATATATTTCTTAATAGCTTCTTCCAGTCTCTGTTTTTCCTACTGGGCATCAACTGGCTTTTACGCACATGTTCAAACCATCATCATAGAAGTCATTCTCATTTTCTCATTAATCTATAGTCACTATTCCTTTCTTTCTAATACAAGTCATATCTAATACTATAGTGTGCTCGCACGCACATCTCAACATTTCACATATCTGCCACCCTAATTTTCCGCTCATTTGTGAGACAAGGTTGGTACCTAATGCATCCCTCCTCCTTATCCCATGTTGAGAACTTATGACTTTGGAACAATAACTACATACCCTGAAGCTCGTTTCACAATACCATGATAAATATCTATGATATTTACCCACTTACTCCGTGTAACAACTACCTACCATGGGAAAAGTGACTAATAGAAAAGAAAATATGCAATGAAATACCATTTCAAACTCAAAACAAACCTGGATATCCAAATCACAGACATATAAAACAAACTCACAGATAACAGAAATAGCAGTAACATTTGAAAGGAATGCAAGTGGCAATAACAAAAAAAGAAAAGTCTACAAATTGTCAACTATATATGTCTTTCGTATATATTGTTAGTTTCACACTAGCAACTACAAAATTATACAGAAACGCAAAGGAAACCTATCCAGCTCAGAATTCAAATTTCACTGATTGGCTATGTGCATGTAATAATAAAACCATTGGCATGTCACATTTATATACTTTGCTGCAATATTTGAGTGGAATAAAAGGTGTCATCCCGTTACTCACATGATAGCTTGTGCAGCGAAGAAAGAAGTTTTGTTTCACCCCATCATTAGCTTCGCAGTTCTCTCAGCTTTTGGGACAGAGTACTTTTCCAATACAATTCTAGGCAAGTACTACAAAGAAGCAATTAGGAATGTGAGTACCGCTCGGATTTCCGTACAGGAGCCATTAGAAGAGCATTATCATTTACTGCTGCCGCACCATTTTCTGCTTGTACTAAAGGTTCAGATTCACCTTCCTTAGTCTGCACCAGAAAATGTAAACTGCATAAATGACACTCCTTACAAAATTAATTTTCCATTCATCCCAAAAAAGAAAAAAAACAAAAATCAGAAAGAGGAATAGGCAGCAAATCTTTGTCAGCACTGAGGAAACAAAAGGAAGCATGAAAAGTATTTCCACACAAAGAATTAGCCAAGTAAAAAAAATTTATACAGCGTAAAGTACCTGAAGAATCACTGAGGATTCAATAGTCTTCTTCTGACTATCACGGGTACAATAATAGGAATACAAAACCATTCCAAGGATTGCGACTAAAATTCCAATAATGTTTCTCCAGCTAAATGGATCATGTAACAGAACATATCCAAAAGCTAGTACTAGGCAAGTTTTTAGATGCCCAAGAACCTGGTATGTGACAGGAGATGTCTTTCCAATTACAAGAAACGTGCTAAAATTCACAGATACAGAGATCAGGCAAGATAGAACGATAAAAGCCTGCAATGCAAGTAGAACATTAGGTTTGGACATATTCCAGGATTGCAGCAAAAGAACTACTATCAATCGTAAGTACAACTCCGTACCAGTACTTCTTGCGTGTATCTGAATGCAAATACGTTTTGATTTGTCAGAAACTTATCCAGAAACGGACCAGCAATGAATAAGGTGATCGCTTGATAAGGACAAGATTGATACAACAGTTGGGTTGAAGAAACTTTATATTTCTTCTGGATTGTATTAGTCATCTGAAAGAAACTGATTAAGGAACCAAACTGATATACTCAAGCATGTAACCAACCTGAATAATGTATGCAAAAATGTCTAGTAGTTCATCTTTTTACACCACAGATGTTTTGCCCGGATCCTAAATACTTCATTACCACAAAATGATAACTTGTAATCCCTTTCTATTAGCACTAAACTTTCCCGAGCATTACATACATCCAGATGGATTCATCAGTTACAGCACCATTATCCAATAGCAACAAAGACACAGATGCTATTAAGGATACAATCTGCGCGACGCATGTTGTAATAACTGCAAGCAAGGACAAAACAGAACCCAGAACATTGAGTTGCAGATCTGTAACAGTAGCAATTCCAACACCAAGGAGGAGGATGACCAGAGAAAATTGAATATTCTTACTGCATTTGACAAGAAACCAGAAAAAGTTTCATTGAACCAAAATTCATATAAACCAATAACTAATAAAATGTTGTCATCAAAGAAGTTATAATGTTTATGCCATGTTTTATACAAGTTTCAAGCATTTCACTTAAAAACCGAGTTCAAAAGTAATAACAAAACCAAGCATACACCAGGTGAGGCTGGCTAAATGATATGATTCACATCCTGCCGTTGTGTTCTATCAAAACATTTACTTTCATTTAAAAGTTCCTAATTTCAATTACAGCTGTCTTTTTTCCAGTTGCACCTTACTGGTGCGTATAAAGATCTCATACACTCATTTCCAAACTATATGTGATTCTCTCATTTCCTCATAGACTCCACTTTCTTTCTAACAGCAGTCACTAATCATTTTCTCTATAATATTTTCTCCATGCATCCATCTCAGGATTTTCACCCTTTATGAATTAAAGAAAAAATATTCAGAGAGAGTCAGAGACCAGGACAGTGTCAGAAGGACTGGCTAGTGGAGGCATACATCCAATCATGCAGCACAATGGATGGTAAAAAGAACAAGTATAATAAATGTTCCAAGAGCTGCCGACAAATAAAACTTCTCAAATATTAAAATAAAACTCTTCCTAGAACTGAAAAGACTTTCAAATTACATTCTTCTGCTTCAAGTGGTTTGCATGGTGAATATCATAAAGAATGAGAACCTTAAGAAATATTTCAAGCTGAAACAGATCATTTGAGGCAGAATCATCAGCTAACCTGAATTTCTTGCTTAAGAAAATGGTCTCAAGTAGCACCGTACAAGGGATTATTGCCAGCTTGGTCATCTATGAAAAGTTGTCGAGAGAAATGTGATGTAAGCAAATGAATAATTAATTCCATATGGCGGTAACTAGTTAATGACATCAATATGAACTCTACCTGATAGAAACCAACTGAATTGAATCCCAGGCTAAGGTTTAGTAATCCAATTGAAATTCCATTTAGGATACCAAATCCAACCACGGTTCGCGGATCAAATGGCTTGTGTTCAAACAATTTCATCAACAAAGCAACATGAAGGGAACAGAAAGTGACTAATAAATGCCAGCTTGTAAGAGTGGTAGCTGCATTGGAAAGATCAGAAATACAAAGTCACGCAAACATCTTTTATCAAGTGTCCATTCTCCATCGTCACAATTAATTCGCCGTATATGCAAATACAGGAATTAAAACTTAATAGTAATGGATATCATGAAACTCAACACTACTTGGTAAGACTTCCTTTTCGGCAAACAGCAAACAGTACTATGTATTTGCATACTTATAATGTGAGTATTCACAAGAAGGAAATCACGGCAATACGATTTAATATTCAAGTTTGTGGAAGAAAATCATCAAGCATTGAGTAAAATCTTGCTGCAAACTCACCGAAAATGAAACCTAAAGTGCTCATGAGCGCTTTATTGCATATCACAATGGATACAGACGAAACCACCGACAAGCTCAAAGCTCCAACCGTCCCGAGCTGAATTCTTCTGCTCTCACCCATCTTTTCACTTTTACGCCACTGTCAACAATTTAACATAAATTGAGCATCACAAATTCTTCTGAAAACGCTCAGAGAGAAGTGTTCACCAAAAAAATTGTTAAAAATTATGAAAAGAAAAGTATCGAATCAAGCCATCAAACCTTTGAATGCGCGATAACTCTTGAAATCGAACAATAAGCAGAAGCTTCAAGATCTGATCCGCGAAACTCGCTAGCTTGCGAAAGGCGAAAATACCCAATGTGTGAGCTTCATCCACGACAGAGGATTTCGTAAGCTTCAAATATACTGATTGCAGGCAGAGAATTATTCAAATACAGTTTTGAATAATGAAGGGCGAAAGTTTGGAAGTCACTTGTAGAGTTCTGGTTAGTGGCCAGTTCAAATACAGGTCATATGAATCATAGTGTAAAAAGTCTCCCTAATAGACGTAAAGCGTGTCAATATTTTGGTACAAATCACTAGAGCAGTCAAAATCTGTATTGGAAAAAATTTACCCCAAAAGAAAAAAACAAACTTTTTATTTTCTGAATTCCCCCGGCCGATTTACACGGTTGGGGTTACTTTACTTGAGGAGAAAAGTAATTTTTATTTCATACTTTCACGCAGCCTTTCCTTTCTTTCTTTTTTTTTGGGTTTTTCTATTTCTAAATTACTTTTTACAGTTAGAAAAAAACTCATTTACAGTTGACTGGACATTTTTACCCTTCTTTCCCATTTCCTTTCCCTTTCTTCCTCTTTTCCTCCTTTCTCCTTCTTCTCCTTTCTTCTTCTTCACATCCAAACCAAAAAACCCAATCTTTAAACTTAGATCTACAAAGATTCGGAAAATAAAAAAATGGCGGATCGAGATAAACAACGTCGGGAAAGCTTGCCATGTACACCAGTAAATTTTTTATTTTTTTAATCAAAATTGTTATCAAAAAATTTGAAAAAAAAAATTAAAAAAATTCTAGAATGGGTTAGCCGGTGTTAGACTGGGGGATCATCTACCCGGGGGAAGGTAGCCGATCCGAGACCGACTACCTTTGGTAGAGTAGCCGATTTTGATCCGGCTACTCTTCCAAAGGTAGCCGGTCTCGGATCGGCTACCTTCCTCCGGGTAGCCGATCCCGCGAGGATTACCCAACTAGGGTAGCCGGTCCGACACCGACTACCCGTGAGTAATTTTTTTATTTTTCTATATTTATTGTGTTTGTATTATTTTTGTTATATTTAATTTATTTATTGATTTTATTTTTCAATAATTAGTTTTAACTATATTTTGTTATATATTATTGATTATATTTTATTTATTGGTGTTCATGTTATTATAATTAAATAAATTTGAATAAGAAGTATAAATTGGAATTTTTAAAAAAATATAGCTTTAATTATATTAGTTGTTATATTTTAAATAATTATGGCATCTTTTAATTTATGTATTATAATTATTGTAATAATAATTTAAATAGGTTATAATTTAAAAATATTATAATTATTTGAAATTTTTTACCGTAGTTTTAAATAAGTAGTTGTTATATTTTAAAACATTAGAGTATGTTTTAATTTATGTGTTATAATTATTTTAGCAATATTTTAAACAGGTTATAATTTAAAGATATTATTATTATTTGATAACCAGATTTTGGACCCGTGCACTCGCACGGGTTTGACATTGAAATTTCATATAATCAATTTTAAAAAGATTTTAATAAAGGTTAGCTGGATACATGTTCAAAGTAGTTGAATCATGAATGCAGTCTCTATTTTTTTTTTTTAAGATTAGTAAACAACCTAAAAATATTTTTATAATAAATATATTTCATTTAATGTCAAATAGTTTTCAGTTTTCCTATAACTTTTTTTCTGAAACTACCATCATGTTCATTAACTTGACACTGTCAGTAGAAAAATCCTTACACAATGTAGACTACATCATGATTATTTACTAATTTAATTAATGGCCGTCTAAACTGACAAATGAACATATTGGTGTATAATTTTACTATGACCTTCGTTATAATTGCCATCATTTTGATGATGAAAAGGCACTGGAGAAAACTGGTTTCGAATTTTTTAATATTTTTTAATTTTTTTTCCTGCAATTAGATGTACACTTGGATGAAAATTAGAGCATTTTTTATTTATTTTTGACAATTGCAAACTACCCTTATGAGTTCTATATTATGTTGTATAAAACTGCCATTCGGATTTTTATTTATTTTTTAATTTTTTGTGTGTTTTTTTTTTAGAAAAATTGGGAGAGGAGACTTTTAGGAAATAATGACACTTGGATTTTTATGAAAAAAAATGGTTTTTGTTATAATAGGGGTTATAGATTTGATCATATTTTTAATTTATATGTTATATTAATATAGTATGCTCCAAAAAGAGTGGATGTCGGCTACTTCAAGGGGCAACTGCTCATCAACTATTCGTCTAAGCTCGCACGTATAAGGGATTTCACGAGTCTTTTTCAACACACAACCACAATTCTGGTAAACATTTTTGCCCAGTTCATGCATGCGAGCAAACTCTCTATCAAGGATTTCCAAGCAGTAATGTGAGACACGTTTAACTATACGATCATAGGGGAACTGAAGTTGGGATCGATTCAAACGTCGCACCGACAACCCTAGACTGAACTTGCAATTAAAAATTCTCATTGTTAATCTAATACTATTGATAACACAATTAGTAATACGAAGTGAAATAAAAAAACAAAGTAATATAATGTACCTGATCTCAGTGAAAGTATGCTCAATCACATTGTAGATTTTGATCTGCATTGTATCTAGCTGCAGGTTCGATGTCTCAAAAAACTGCTTCAAGGCACTATGAGCGGCCTCCATCCCACAATTATTGGTGTTCCCCGAGTGTGTCACCTCATTTGTCCATGCATGAGCCCACTTCTTCTTGTGAACTAACCAAGTGTCCTCGACATACTTCACCAACTTTCCATAACTTCCAGCATTTGAGTGCATGTACGCCTTCATCCCTGACACAGCCATCATGTTCGTACTGAGTAGGAGCTAGAATTATCTCTCTGAATATATTGTCCATCCACCAAATTGTGAATTCGCTAGCACGATAACTATTTGCGTGTGCCACAACACATTTGTCGATGTGCCACACGCACAGAAGATGTGCAGACTCTGGAAACCACTTACTGATTGGACCTACCAGTCTCAATTCCCTTATCTGTCACTACGACCGTAGGATACACCTCCTACCCAATCAAATTTCGCAACTGCTCCATCACCTAATCATAACTCATACACGTCTCATCATTCATAATTGTATATGCAATCAAGAAATTCTTATTGGTTGAAGTCATCCCTATCATTGGGAACAGTGACATCTTATCATCCGTAAGTAGTATCCATACCAATGTACCACCTATAGACTCTGAGCATCTGTACAGATACTGGATGTGCTAAGAAAATATTACTCAACACACCCGAATCATGATCTGTAAAAATCACATAGCCATGATCCTTAGCTACGTAAAAAAACTGCTCCACTAAAGTTCTATCCTCGAAGCTCTCCAATCATAACCTACTCTAGTAGTTGTATACTTGTTTGGGGACAACGTAGTCATCAGGGCATTCAGCATTAATTCGCTTTATCATTGCAGCCGGTTTTCCTCGAAACCTCAACATTTCCCTAACAATCTCCTTTGCTTTATCGCTCATCCCGCCCATCTGCCTTTGTCCCTCCCTAAATGTACCAAACGGGTGGTTATGCGTACCCTTAGGACCTGGTACAGTATGAATGCCAAATGAAGTACCATCATCCTGTATTTCGGCTGTAAGCTGGAACTGGTATCCACAACACTGCGACTTCGTACTTCGTACCTTATTCTCCGTCTCTCTTGGAAGAATACCCTTGCACATCTCAATAATTTTGACGTCTCACTTCTCCTTGACGCACTAACAACCTTAAAACTAAGAGATTTCGCAGTCTGTTTCGCCATTCTACAGCATCATCAAAAGTATCGAATCTAATGCGAGTCTTGAAAATAAGAACTATAGTCAATACCATCACCACTATAATCCTGTAATGAAACATAATCAAATTTAACAAACTTAAATATATACATAAAAAAATAACTACACAATTAAGTATATTAAATTATGTAAAACACACGTCGTGAATAATTTATAATTTAGATTTAATTACCTTACCTGCTAGTCAATTAACACTATATTAAATTTCATTTACATAAAAATAAAATTTAAATTAAATTACATTTATTACACACTAACAATTATTATTAATAAGTACAATACAAATATGTAATTACCACTACAAAAAATTTAATTTACATAAACAATTATTATTAATAATATTTATTTTTTTAATTAAATAAAAAATCTAAACAATAAAGATTGATACTATTCATTCAAACAAACTAATTATTAAAAAAATATTAATAATATCTAAAATGAATATAACATAAAAAAATTGAAAAAAAATAAAGAAACAAAAAATTGCTCGGGGATAGCTGGCGGCAAACCGGCTACCCCTTGAGAGCTAGCCGGTTCAAACCGGCTAGCTAAGCCCAAGCCTGATCGGCTCCTTCTTAAAGGGTAGCTGATGCCGGTTACCCCTGTCCAGAACGGTTTTTTTTTTTTCCTCATAATATTCAATGAATTTTGGCAAAAAAAACATACCAAATTTGAGGCCGAGCCATTTTTTTAACTTCCAAATTATTGTAGATCTGAATTTGACATTATGATTTTTTGATTTTTTTTTTTCTTTGAGAGTTGAAGAAGAAGAAGAGAAAGAAATGATTTAAAACTATGTGTTTTAGTACTCTTTGTAGTATTCAGGGGCAAAAAAGTCCAAACGACTGTAAATAAGTAATTCCTATAACTGCAAATAGTGAAATATAGACCCCGCGTGTGTATAAAGAAGTCCTAAGGAAGAGTACGGACATTCAATAATTGTAAAATTAATTAACTCTGTAATCATTCCAATCAAATGAACTAAAGCTACAGTATATGAATAATACTATGATTTTTCTCTCACATGTGTTTCAACTCATACTTTAATCAAACTTCCATATGTAATTTATAAAACTTTTTTTCTATAATGTGTTAGAAATGTAAAAAATTTGTGTTGAAAACTTTAAAAATGTTTCTGTTATTAGTGAAAAAGATCATTTTGTTGAATTTACTTTTATGTATATTAGTGGACGATTGTGATAACTTTTATCGAAATACGAACTTGGTTTGTAAATTAATAAAATAAAAAAAAAATCAAATAGCTATTGACAAAGTGATCGTGCAAAACTTTTTTGTGTATGAGTCAAACGAAGATGGTGAAAACGATTCATAAATTACATCTTCAAAAAATTATAACAAAATTCGAGATTTATGTATCGTTAGGTGCACTTGTTGTTACATAGTTTTGACTGAATTCACATCCTATTAAATTCTTCTTTCTAATACTACTAGTACCAACAATAACTGAATTATCTTTTCTGATGAAGTAGATAGTAGATTTAACAAAGTTTAATAATAAATTCAGTTAAACCAAAAAAGAAAAAAAAAAACTGAAAAAGGCGAAAAAAGAAAGGGTGAAAAGCAGTCATAAATTCATATACCCCGAGAGAGATTTGAATAATCAAAGCCAGGGTGGCCAAAGTGAGTGAGTCAGTCAGCCGTGGGGCTTCCAAACTCTACAAGGCGATAAACCAAGTCGTTATTTCTCCGCTTCGGTTTTGGTGATTGTTTATTCGGAAGATTCTCTCTGATTTTGATCTCTCTTTTATGTTCTCCTCCATTTCCATACTCTTGAAAAAGAACATTTACACCTGACTTTTTTGAGTTCATGACTTTGTCTATATATCCTTCTTCCATTTCGGGTTTAATTCACAATTCCTTGCTCAACTCCGTCTCGTCTCACTGAATCAATGCTTGTAGTTGGGTTGGGAATTACGTAAAGTAATCGTGGTTTGGCTTCTTGAATTCTCGGCGATTTTTCTGCGGTTTGACTTACAGGTATGGCTCAATTTTCCTCGATTTCGGTTGCTAGGGTTTTTTGATTGTGCATTTTTTTGCAAAATTTTGAGTGCTTTCAACTTTTCTTGTGAATTGAACTCTCCTCGCAGGGTGAAATTCGATGGATAATTTTGATGATCCGTGCGATGGAGAGGCGAATGGAGACGAAAATGAGAGAATTGACAACCTACCGTCGACGTCGACGAGTTCTTCGTACAAATTGTTCGGGCGGCAGAACACGGTTCACCAGATCATGGGTGGCGGTAAAGGTAAAATCCTAAACACCTCCCGATAGCTTTTCTTTTTTCAGTTAGTCGACTTTTTCTATAAATGAATATCTCTGCAACTTTGCCTCCCACTATCCGTGATGAATTATTTTGCATTTGTTAGCCTGGGTGAGTTGTCATGGTTGTATAATGTTGAGCTTCAGAACTACTAGTATTTTAATTTTGATTATGGGTGAAAATAATTTGCCAGAGTAAAGCAGCATCACATTGATAGTTTGATGCCATGACTACTAATTTCGGTTACTAATGAAACAACCAGTCGAGCTTTACCCTGTCTTGAGTATTGTGTTGCATTCTGATCTCATATTTGTAACCTCAAACCATATCAAATGAGATGTTCATTGTTGTTATTGCTGCTGCAGCTGCTGATGTGATACTCTGGAGACGCAGGTATGTATCGTGTGGCATAATTGTTGGTGCTACTGTTGCGTGGTTTGTCTTTGAGCGGTCAGGTTTGCCAACTTTATCAATCTGTTGCGACGTGTTGCTGATATTGATTGTGCTGCGGTTTCTTCGAGCCAATTATGCTGTTTACAGAAATAAGTATGGTCTAATACACTCTTAATGAACACCGCTTCGAACTGTTTTCTGTTAGCTGTGAAACGCAAATTGTCATTATGCTTTCTAATGATCGCAGACAACTTCAATCGCTGCCTGAACTAGTATTGTCAGAAGAAATGGTAAACACTGCTGCAGGTTCATTTCGGGTTAAAGTCAATTACATGCTGCTTATGGCGCATGATATTACTCTTGGCAAAGATTTCAAACTCTTTTTCAAGGTTGTTGGTTATGCAAACTAAACAAGTTTGAGTTTCATTCTTATGAATTAGTATGATCATGATTGTTATACTACTTATTTATTGTTCATTACTTTCCCCCCTCTCTTTTGCTTCTTCTTAAGTATTCTCTGATACTTGCAGGTTGTGATTGCTTTCTGGCTCTTGTCTGTTATTGGTAGCTTATTATCATTTTGCACTTTGTTATATCTAGGTATGTGATTCGTACCAAGATTTTATCTATCAATTCCTGTTCTCATTTCTGGTTACATTGCCGCTGGCTACAATTTGATAGTGCCTTTCTTGCAATACCTTGTTATTCCGATTGTGGCCTTTACCAAAATAAACATGTGCCTGCTGTGCTCTTACAAAGACTGTAAGGATCATCCCCAGCCCCTGGTTTTGGACTCGTGATTTCACTATAGGGCTTTATGTGGAAATTTTGAAGAGAAAATGCTTAAGAAAACATAGCATGGATGTCATAGATTACACATACGTCTGCACTTTTTCGGTTCATTTTCTTCTTGGATTCTGGGTTTCTCTTGCTGTTTCTTTATGCTTATTTTCAATTGACTGGGCTGTTGGCATATAAACAAGGCATAATCTGGCAGCTCATTGAATTGGTTCTGGAGTCTAGAGTTGTTTTCTCCGTGTTTTTTAACTGAGATTTGCCAATTTCTACACAGAATGTGAACCTTTCCATGAGAATTGTATCCTGTGCTATTATCCTTTTATCGTCATTAACCTTTTCGCTTCTGGGTTGTATGCGTCAGTTTCAGCTAGGAATACTTTAACGTTTACTTTTTCTTGATGTGGAACATAGTTTCACTAGCAGAGTCTAAGTTTGGTTTTGCTTTGTACAGGACACAGTAGCCCTTTCTAGACACTATAACTATGTTTAGATCTACCTTAAGGCTCAGCACCTTGGTTGTAAACATTTCCATTTGCATTGAATAGCTTCAAAGAGTTACCCTTAATTGTGGTCATTTCTCTTGTTCACAGGAACTATTCTCTTTACCACAGTCCCTGCCCTGTATAACAGATTTGAAGAACGTGTGGATCGGTATGCGGGGATTATTCACCAAAAATTTTCCAGGAACTATAAGATAGTGGATGAGAATGTGATCGGCAGACTTCCTCCAAATTTACCTAGGGAAAAAGAATCGTAGAAGTTGGACAGACACTGGACTGTAGTGGACACCTTACTAACTGCGTGATTTTTTTCTTTTAACAGGTTCTACTAAATTCTGCCGTCAATTTGGAAAATGGATTGTCTCTGTGTTGTTTAATATGCTAGAAATTTCCCAATATCTGTATCCATTTCCACGACCTGACAAACGTTTTCTCTGAAAGAAACAAGGGCGTAGAGGAAATTGACGTCTTGAAAAGCTTATATAAGCGACGGGATCTTTGATAGAGATAAAATATTCGTGTTTTACGCTAGGCTTAGAAAAATATCCACCTTCTCTTGGATCCACAGTGTTGAGAATAATTTTGAATCAGATAGACGTCTACACGCAACTTCTTCCTCTGTGTGTTCGTTGAATTTGATGGTGTTCATCTGACTTCGTCCCTTCGTCTCGGAGTGATTCACGACCATAACAAATGAACTAATTGGAGTTTGGACCTGTAAATGTGCCTTTAAACGAACGCAATAGAGCAATAACCAAACATAATAATCGTGGCAAAATCACACCAGCAACCAAACATACACACAACTATGCCACTGCACTCTGCACAAATATTAAATAAAAGTTCAAACAGGATTAATGTCCATTGCTGTTTAGATTTAGGAACAAGGACTGGTGGAATAGAGCAGTGGCACCAACGGGGATAGGGCGGGTGCTTGAACCATATCCTTGAAGCTTTGAGTTTTGAGTCTCACCACCAACCCTCTCATCTTTTTTATTATTAAATTTTCATTTTTAGTTCAAATATAGATCATATTTAAATACCGGATGAATCTTTAAATGCCGGATGTATCATGCGTTATTTCTTACTATATTATATTTCAGGTGTTTCATAAAGCGCGTAATATCGCGATTGGAAAATAAAAGGAGGGGAATGAGGACTAGTGATTTCCTGCGTTTAATAACAAAATGGTAACTACATTTCCATATAATAAGATAGCTTGGACGAGAATCGGCACTGAATAGATGTTTGCTTTCTCAAAAATTTGAATTACGAGGAGAAGAACAAGGCCATTCAGCTCTCGTGAAAGCGAAGAAGGAACATGTGGTGAGTGCTTTCTGAAAGACATAATTGTTGCCGGAAGATATCAAAATCAAAAGTTTCAGGTTCGTTTTCCTCCGTTTTGTTTTCGTTATTGGCCTCGTTCTGGAAATAGAAATAATAATAATAATCCGTAAAGTTTTACTATTTTTCTTTTCCATCCTAAGGTCGTAAAAGGCTCTTTTCAGGAATCCATGAAATTAACCATTACAGCTTTCTAATAAATTGTGGCGAAAAAGTAGAAAATAGTATAAACATATTCCACTAGTACAAACATGCAAAATCACACAATAGAACACGTCTTCTACAGCGTTAAAATGTTATTTCTTGGTAGAGCATTCCGTCCTAGTTATTTAAAAAAGTTCTGCGTTCCTTTCCCCTGGGATGATTTTGTCTGATGATTCCTTCCCGCTTTAAATGTACGTGTCAAACATCATTTATTATTTGACAATGAAAAATCTGAAAAAGACGCGCAAAACAATCATAATAAAAACCATGCAAATTTCACCCATCACACATTGTATATTTGGAAATCACCATCTCCCCCCAGCAAAAGGGAAAAAGAAAAAGGAAAACCTAATCCTTGTTGGAGTAGGGAGCCAAAAAAAAACCATCACGATAGATTACTGCAATACAAAAGGCTGGTGAGACATAAATATTACACCGTCATAGTTGGATTTCATGTTCTCTTTTTTTTTTTTTCATAAATAGGCAGCAAGGACTTGTTATGCGAAATCCGGCAATAATGGAATCGCCGTTGACGGTCCTTCCGAGGGAGCTTACAACGGAGGTTCTTGGACGAGTTGCATCTTCTTCCATTGCCGATCTTTACAATGCAAAATTATGGTGTGTTATGTCTTTTTTTCTTTTTTTTTTTGGATAAAATAGTATGGTATGTCAATTAGCCACTTTTGAACAATATTCGGTTTTTATTTTAATAACTGTTATTTATTTTTATCTTTTTCCGCTACATTGTGTAGTTGTAAGGAGCTTTTTGGGGCTGCAGAGGAAGAATATGTTCACAAGCAGATAACATTGGACAAAATCCCAATTATTCAATGGTCTGAAGATCGTAAAATTTCAGACTTTCTCAATAAGTGTAGACAAAGTAGGAATCCGGAAGCTCTATTCAGAAAAGGAGTGGTACGTACTTCTTGTTTTTTTTTTTTTTTTTTCCTTCTGGTTAATGTATGTATATGTTGTTCATACATGTTTTTCTTTATTATAACTGGATTGCCCAAATACACTTTGAAGCTCTGGATATCTTGTAGACTGTAGTAATTAACAATATCCCACCCAATCCTCCCAAAATTCCAAATGTGTGTCAAAGAAAATTTTAATCTTCGCGATTTATTTCGAGTCTAGTTTGTGGCTGTTAATTTGTGTGGGTCGGTAACTTAAAATTTGTCCGACACCATGAAATTTTTTTTTTCTCATTGCGATCACATATATTTCAGAGACTAAAACTTGAATTGAGCTTCACAGGTTGATTATTTTGGAGGGAAAGACGTAAGCGACGCAATTAGATGCCTTCAAGAAGCTTCAAAATCAGGGCACTCCGAAGCATCTTACACCATGGCTGTAATCTGGCTGTTTGAAGGAGGTGAATCGTCAAAGCAGAAAGGCTTGAAAATGCTTAGCGGAATGCAGAAGTCGAGAATTCAGAAGAGGAGGATCAAGAATTGTCGAGAGCGGTTGGAAAGCATCGTGGTCAATATATTAGTTGATAACGCTTCAATTTTGAAACAACAACCAACTTGTTGCGTCATGGGACACCAGAGAAAGAAGAGAAGATTTTACTGGGGCGAGGAGATTGACGAAGATGACAATATTGCTTGTGACGCCTGCACTTGCGACGAAGAGCTAACCGCAATTCGTAAGGCTATCCGTTGGACAACCACTGCATACGCAGCAGAAAATTAACATCCAATCATCAGACAAAGAACTACACAATCTTTAAACGCGGTTAAACTCACGGCAGCAGTGCAGAACATAAGAGTTGTTAAAAAGCAAGTTATTGTTTTCACAATGTCCTCATACTTAATTGAAATGGGATTTGAAGGGGTTATCCAAACAAAATTGGCGCGAACTATCTTTTCCGCGGGTATGTTTTAGATCTTTGTCAATTAGCAATCGCTCCTAAGCTCCTTTTGTTTTGATTAGATCTTTATTATTAGCATTCGCTCCTAAGCTCCTTTTGATTTGATTATTAGAATCGGATGATTTGTCTTAGTAATTTTAATTTTTTGAGTTTGCCAACACCCTCCATGTCCGGGTAAGAACATGAGGCGCCATTCTGGTTTCTGAAGGGATCATTATTGATGCACAGTGCCTATATTTTCAAGATCGTCCTTAGGCCATAATTCATTACGCTGAAATTAGTGACATAACATAGTCATTAGGCCATGCAATATGGCCCCCAGGAAATGCACATCAGCCTGCAAGACAGATACATAATGCCGGCAATATCTACCAAGAAACAGAAGTTCTAACCACTAGGATCACTCCTTTTACAGATACTCAGGTTACATAGAGCTGGTATTCTCAGGGAGCTCATCAGCAAGAAACCAGTCATCAGTCTCTAATTAATTCTCTAGCCGCCTTCAACCAAGCATCGTATATATCATCTGAAAACAAAACAAAGTGGACCTGCGAAAACATTTAACCAATATCAAAGCCATGAACTCTCTTCCATTCAATGTTTCTTCAAAATCTTAATCGTTTGCACATAATTTAAGATAGCCACCGAAAACTTCGATTTAGCAACAAGTGTAAGACTACAAGGAAACTGACGGACAATGGCCATACTCAATCAATGTGTTCGGATTTAGCTTTAACATTGCACTGTGTTCGTGAAACATTCACAACTTATACTAACAGTTTAATCCACATCAGCAAAATGCATTCAACAGATTATTTTGCAAGCAACAGACTTGTCTTGCCATGAGTAAGATAGAAACTAAAACAAGAGGACAGATGATAGGGAACAAGTAATACCTCTTTGAGGCCATCTGCAGAGCTCTTCACTGTAGATATGGCCACACTGGCAGCTTCATCAAAGGGATACCTACAGATTACAATTTGGAGGCTCATTACAACTTCAAGTTCAGATGCACATATGCTGCTCTGAATGTACCCAAAAAGTGCGGCTAAATATAAAAAGATTTGAAACTGAGAACTGATGCCATTACAGCATCACCTACGAAGTATGAGCTAACAATATGTATTAAACCTACCATATTATTTTTCTAGGAGAGATCATATGCATACTAAAATCATGATTCACGGAATTGAAGCGAAAGATGCTCTGAAGAAATGACGTAGAACCATCATTTATCTCATTGATTTAATATATCGGATAAACAACCAAACATACAATAAACGGCACTTTGCAACCTGACCTGATACCTTTTTTCTCTTCAAAAATATTTCATCAAAGAACACTACTGTAGAACTAAGAGCTTAAAACATAAACTTTCACTAATTCATTGGACACCGAAAAATGACATAATAATGCATCTGTCATTCAGTAAACCTCAGAGACACCACGTCAAATACAGAACAAAAGCATCAACTTAATTGCAGTTACAAACCCCGTAAAATCTAATCAGCAAAAATAAGATAATCACTAAGCAAAATCATCTTACCCGTATACACCGCAAGATATGGCAGGAAAAGCAATGTACTGAATATTGTTCTCTTTAGCTACACGAAGACTATTCCTGTTAACAGATTGCAACATAAATGAGGAGTTAAAAGAATCTCCAGATGACAGTGGAACCTACAAGAGAATGCCAAAAACCTACAGAGAAATATACCTATAAGCGTTGCTCAGAGAAGCCTCGGGATTTCTGTCAGAATCGTAAATGGGGCCAACAGTATGAATCACATGAGATGAAGGCAATCGAAAACCACTGCAATTCACTTCAATGCATTAGAAAAATTGAACATTATAAGGTGATAATAACTGAGGAATAAGAATAATAGCAAATCATTACGGTGTAATCCTGGCTTCACCAGTAGGGCAGCGAACTCCGGGACGCACTTCGGGAACTCGGTAGCAGGCTTCTCTTAGTTCTGGACCGGCAGCTCGATGAATGGCTGCAAAAATAATGTATCGTCAATTAAATTGGGAAATTACTCATTTCCGTACAAGCAAAAATCGCAAGGCTTTCTGGAAGATTACCTCCATCAGCACCGCCACCCCCAAGCATTCGCTCATTTGCTGGATTAACCTAATTAAACCGATCCAAATTATTAAATTGAAAATTTCGATTGAAGCCTATTAGATTAAAAAGTAAGGCAGACATAAGCGATTACAACTTACGATGGCGTCAGAGGATCCATCAACGGACCAGCGAGTGATATCGCCTTTCTGAATCTTAAGAGAGCTCGTCGGAGACAGCTGGAAGCTGACTAAATCGGCACCGTCGTGGCTTCCGTTGGACAGCGTCGAAACCCTAGCGGCACCACTGCCGTTTTCCATCCTCGAAATGGGAGCAAAGGACCTGATCGGTGATTGGGGAATGAAGAGTAGCCGGCCTGAGGTGTTGGGGTGGCTGATTAAGTGGCGGAAGTGTAAATAACGGGAGTTTGAAAGGGCATCAACGGGTGAAAAACGTCGGAGCAAACGAAAACCGAATCTCTGTTGGCACCTGATAATTACACCGGCGGCGGAGGATAATACGATCATCTAGTTCTTCCCAATCCACTCAGCATTCATTCTAGACTCCACTGGCTCAAAGTCTAAAATCTCCTTGGTTTTTTCCTTTTCATTTTTTTTTTAAACACTATAATTATTTTTCAAAAATCTCCTATATTCATAAATCTCTTCATTTTGTAAAAATAATTTTTCTTTCATCAAACATAAAATATACAGTTTTTTTTTTTGGCCAATAAAACTTTGATGAGATTTTCCTTCCAATTGTTGACGATTACTTAAAATGATAAAGACACCAGTGAAAATTGATCATAACTTTAGCATAATAGGAGTAATAATTTATGTGTTAATCACTTATTAATTGTTCATATGATGGAAAAACTTAATAATTTAACCAATGAGGAATTAACATATCTATTGCTAATACCAAACTCGATTATTATCAGTGTACTAAAATTACTGTCATCTTTTTACTATTTTTATTTTCACTCCATTTCTTACTATACTTTGGAATTAATCTAAACTCGACCAGGGTACTAGTGTTTGTAAAATGTTAGCCACGGTTATGCACATAACTTCTTCTTCTTTTTTTTTTTTTGTAACTTTATTTATGAACAAATAGGGAAAAAAGTTAAGTAAAAAAAAATTAAATTTTGATATTTTATGAGTGAGAAGTATAATTATATCGTTTCACCGAACCAATACATCAATAAATATGTAAGTATAATCGCCAAAAAGTTCTTACTGTAATGACAAATGTGTCCAAAAAAAGCATGCCATTTTTTTTTTTATTTGTTGGTTATAAAAAAATGTCAAATGCCAGAAGCATCACTACAACTTCTGGGAGGTTCCTGAAATTTTAAATAGGTTTAATATAAAAAACACTCCCAAAATTTAACTCATAATCTAAAATACCTTTACTGTTTGAGAAAATATTAAAAATATTTTTTTAATCGGCGATTTAGTTATCAAAAGGGTCATATGGGGCTGAAAATTGGTGTATGCGCATGAACTCGGTCAAAATAACGGATAGAAATTTCCTTTAATTTTTTCTAAACCCTAATAAAATAAATATTCATTTCTAATTCCAAAATTTAGCTTTCGAATACTCATAAAACCTGAATGCTGGATTCAAAAGTTATTATTTGATTTTATTAGAGTTTGATAAAAGTTCCAAGTGAGTATTTATGGAGTTTAAATGTTTTCCTGACACTTTTTTTAACTGCGTTCATGTGTAAACATCAACTTTCAGTCGATAGAAGAGCATTTAATAATTGACTTGCGGATTGATGGATATTTTGTTATTTTCTTAAACAATATAAGTATTGTAGATAATTAATTATGACTCGGGAGTGTTTTTGGTGTTAATCCTTTTTGGTTTCATGGCAACTAAATAAATACTACTACTAGAGTTCATTAGCGTGCTTTCAGTACCAAAAACAAACCGTGCACGGCCTCCTTGCTGAACCAAACAACTTGGTTTCTGCAGCTGTGAATTCGATTGATTTGTTATTTTGTTCGGCTTTAACTTTAGGTCATCGATCTTCGCTTAAGTGTGCTTTTTGATTCCATATCCTTTTTGTTTTTTCCTGTCACAACTTCAAATACTAAAGACAAACTAGTGTGTTGTCTCACAAACTCATACGTATTTTTATTGATGGTTGGTATTTTGACGCCGGCCGTTTATTATCAGCACATTCTTTAAATGTAATCCACCAAGATGTTTGGTTGTTGCAGGGAATAGGCGGGTTGGATTTAATGGGAGTTGTTACCGTGATTTTGTGTCTTCCAGACAAACAAAATTGGTTGGAGGTTTGGACTCCTAACATATTTACATTTTCTTGCATACAAAACTGATGTCCTCATAAGACAATGTCGAACGGAAATCAATCACATTCCTAGTGTCCGATTGTCCATACCCTTTAACCAACCAAAAGACTTGTGGAAATGGATTCCCTGTGACTCTATGGAACGAGGAGGAACGACTTGGATTGCTCAACGGACTCTCACGTCTAGTAAAAAACTTGTGATGTTATATTTATCTGATATTTTTTAAAATTTAACGCATATTTTCGTGATAGATTGTAATATCAAAACACCAATTCGAATATGTTCTCACGAAACACAATATACTAATCGCTAGTCTGGTCTCCGAAAATCATCACTCAAAAGATATTTCACTTACCTACTTAAAGTAATGGTGGTTACGTTCAAACCAATAATAGTTTAATTAAGTAGACACTTTTGAACTTTCTCTAATGTGAACTGTGAAAAACTTCGTTGAAGTAAAAGTCGAGTCCCAAAATAATTTGGCAAAAAAGGGCAATTTGCTTGACCCGTGATGCATTAGGTAAGGAGACCGACCAAATGCAATAGCTATGGACTATATGGACTGCATGCCAAACGGAGAAAGAAAAGAAAAAGGGGAAAAAAAAAAAAAAAAACTTGTTTCTTTGTGGAAAACTACGTTACAACTAACTCTAATTCATCTAGAATGGATGAAGTTGTTAGGCACGGTTGTCTTTTTGGCATCTTAATTACCATTGAGGAAGTACCTTCCTTTATTGGTCTAAAAAAAAACATTTTACTATTTTCATATTTAAACATCTTTCCGTCTTGATTGAATCTTAATTATATGTCCCTTTCGATCAAATATAACCCAACGGAGAAAAGGATGTAATGATACGTTAAAAAAAGAGAGATGTTCCCTCCAGGATTTGAAGGTCATATCATGGATACATGTTTAACATTAACCACTTAACTTTTTCCATGTAAAGCTGTTGCTTTTGTTGTTAACCCTTGGACAAGTTTTAGGTCAGTGATGAGGGTGATAATCCAGTCATGTTTCATTATTTTGTATGTATGAATTAATAATGGTTCTTTTTAGTTTCAATGAAAGTATGAGAAGAAAAAATGGTAGTAATTCAGTAATACTATGATTTACTGCCTCAATCCGGCTTCTGCATTGCACTGAACCAAGGAACAAATAACACATAAAGCTCTGATACATTGGTGAGCGGCTTAGATTTAATACATATCCGCCGCTCAAGAATAACAGAAACTTGCAAGAGATCAAGTTTCTTAAAACTATAAAAATCAAAACTCCAAACCATAGCTAAATTGCTAAAAATACTATATGTAGATAATAACCATAATTAATACTACTATATATTAGGCCTAAGCGGGTGCTACAAACAAACGTGCCACCACTGCCATAGAGCCACCGTCCCTGCGCGGTTGCGCCTCTTCTTCCCATCCTAACAAACACCCATAAATGAGCCATATACAAATTGTTCTTTCTTTCTTTCTTTCTTTCTAGTAAAAATCATCTGAAGAAGAAACTTATTAGAATTGTCCTCCTGAATATGTTTGACCAAACTGCCAGTTCGCCGGAGCAACATTGTAACTGGTCACCGTTCTTCCATCACTGGTGGTGACTTGGAAGGAGAGACTTTGGCCATTAAGGTAAGAATTGCTCTGCCAGTTTTGACCCCAGTTTCTTGACAATGATTGCCACCCTGTTCTTGATCCCTTGATTGAAACAGCACGAACATCTCCTGCACCACCAACGTTGCTAACCAAAACCAAATTGAAGTATGAATGTCCATTGATTGTGAACCTGATTCCTCCTTTCTTCACACATGGTACCCTGTTTAAAAAAACAGAGCAGAAACAGAGCATTTCAGTAAAATCCCACTATTGAATTTTTGTTGTTACCGGAGGAGGGAGAAAATGTAACAGATTATTCACCTGCGGTAGTTGACGGGGACAATTCCGGCTCTGTATTGGGCAATTTGCAAGAAAGCCGGTTGTGCCATGTCAAAGTGTTGGCGGGGAGGATTGCACCATCCGCCATTATCATTGGGCAAAGAAGGGTTGGGTGGGCAGAAATCAGTTGCTGTCACTGTAATAGTTCCTCCCAAGCAATATTTTGGGTCATTTACAGCGCATTTGATCTGGTAGCATGATCCACAGCTCAATCCATTGTTGAACAGAGCAGTACTTAGTGCTGCAATGTTGGTTCCATAGCCTGTGCTGTACAAATTACCGTATCCGCAAGCTCCCCCTGAATTGAATTCACCATTTTCAATTTAATCTCTGATCAGTGATTATCCAGGTTACATGTACTGTATGTTAAGTTTTTTTTATTTATTTTTTCATACCATTTAACGTGTAAAACTGAATTTAGAAAGAATCAAAAAAGCATTTTACAACATACCCATTGTGCCAGAGGCATCACCCCCTCCATAGAATGTAGCATGAGCGCTTTGCCACTGAGCAAAAGTCTGAGTAAAACACAAGGTGAATGAGAAGAACAAAAGGGATAAAAAGGACAATGTAGGAGTAGCCATTGGAGAACAAATTCAGGGATTTTTTTTTTTTTTTTAAATGAAAGAAAGAGGCAAATTATAGGATGAAGAAAGAAGAGATAGATAGCTAAAAAATGGAGTGGATTGCCTTGTGAAACAATGGGGTTATGATGCCTCTATTTATACAGCAAAAAAAATTAGAAGTTGAAATTAAGAAGGGGGCTGTGACATGGCAAATGGGGCATAAGAAATTTGTAGCAAGAAATACTAAAGTAGAAAATGACTTATTTACAAGTGGTCACGTCTTAGAGTCCGCAAAGACCACAATAAATTGAATAAATAAATATATTTGATAAATTTTTTAAAAATATATATATGTAAAAAAAAATTGTTTTCAGGGCAAAAATATAACGACCAAAATGCACATGCAGTTGTTTCTTCCACTTGAAACTACCAACTGCTAAGACTCTCTCTCAATTCGGGGGCCTACGTGCACATGCATATAAAATTTTCCTTCACTGTTTCTTTCGTCAAAATCTTCTCGTACGTCTTTTGCTTATATTTTCCATACCTCTAGACAATATATTCAATTATTTCCCCTCTGATGTTGCTTCGATTTGCCTTAAATTACGCCAGTCAGTTGTATATCTTACGTGGTATTTTTGTCTGATTCCCTCAAACCTTTAATTACGGGATACGGGTTTTGAAAATAAAAAAAGGTATATTATATAGATTGCGGATGGAGATCGATTTTTGTGCGCTCTAAAAAATATTTCTTTATCTTTTTCTCATTTGTCGATCGCATATATGCGCGACTTACGTGTACCCAAGTTTCGAAAAACGAATGATTAATTCAGTTTGCTGTATTGCCTATATATGGTTTTTGTTAAACATCTGATATTTGTAATATGATGATATGCAATAATTTGAGAGAAACTAACGGATTCAATACCGAATATAGCAAGTCAAGCAAGCACATGTCCACCCAAACTATAAAACTCACATTTGCGCAAAAAGCTCTAACATGATATTGTTTCTTATTCAAGAGTTAGTTAGTATGGGGTATATTATTAATATCAATTATCATTATGTGATGTGTACTATTTCAAAGCTTCAAGTCAATGTTTGGACAAAGTCTATGTTGTGGAACCACAAATCGAACTTTATATTCTCTAAAAGAGAAAGAAAGAAATAAACGTATTAGATATGTAGTGGTCAACATCTCATCTGATCAATCCATATAATGTTGCGCCAATTCAATTCAACTGACCAGTGATTTGATAAGTGATATGTAACAAATAGGAACAATGGTCAAATTCCTCAGAATATATAACTAATCGACTCGAAGAGCAAACATGCATAACAGCAAAGCGAAAAATGAAGCACAAAAACTGCATAAACAAATGGATGATGTTTACACCAAACTTTGGTTTGCTTCTATATACGTATGTGTTTTAGTTGAGGCAAACCTACAAACTAGGGTTTGGTTTTTAAGCCTTATAAATCATTGGCATATTTTCATCAGTAGCATAAAGTCCAAGGCTTACCTAAAGTAATAATATTGGTAACCGCCACATCGCGTATCGTTTAGTAGACGTGGCTAGTTTTTGGGAAAACGGAGAGAGACATTTGTTCTAAACAAAGGATTACTTAAAAAGATTATTTAGCTACTATCATCATCGTCTTACGATGATTGATTGATTTTCGTTTTTCACCTCATAAACATAAACCATAGAAGTAACTAATGCAAAAAGTAGTGGACCACTATTTAACAAAATAATAAAAATGAAGCAAAAGCCCCTCACATTTTGGCAAATGTGGTTTTTAGCCCCTTGCAGTTGAATCGAATAGTTTTTGTCATGTACTCCCTCCGGTCCTTTATATAAGTCATTTTGATTTGTCTTAGATTTCACCTAATATGCATTCTTGATTGACAAAAAAACTTTAAATATAAATCATTAATATGAGTCATTTTGATTTGTTTTAGATTTCACCTAGTATGCATTCTTGATGGACAAAAAAACTTTAAAAATATTTTATAACAATCAAGAGAATATAACGAATATGAAAATATATGTTTAAGGTTTTTTTATCAATTAAAAATGTATATTAAGTGAAGCCTATGAAAAGTCAAAATGCCTTATAGTAATGAAGACAGGAGTGAGTACATTTGAAATAGCCGGGCACCTTGCTTTTTTTTTTGTTGAAATTGTGCATTTTTTATTTTATTTTTTGAATACAAGCGGAAGGCAAAAGTGTAAATGCGATGGAAGCAAAACTATTACACAATAAGATATGAAATATTCCAACAAAATTTATGATGTAACAAAAGTTTCATTCCATAACGAGAATCGTCCAATTTTTGCAATTTCATGATTAACATTACACCGAGAATTCCTTGAATTAAACAAAAAATCCTTCATGTCTAACGTGAAGGTTTAAACACTTCATTTGTTAAAATAGAAGTGACCTTTTTAGTAATTGCATCATTAGTTAGTTTCAATATCAGTGTTGAGAGCGAGCGAGAAGTATAATTTAGTTGAAAAAGGTTATTTGGTGGGGAGTATCCGGTAAAGGGCCCACCATGTTAGGGGGCACATGGAAGAAGCGAACATCACGGCCCCCCTTTTTACGTGCGTCATTATCCTAATCTCAATTTTTGTTTTTGTCTTAAGACCGTCTCTGCCTACGTTATTAATACGTACAAATTGAACACATTTTGTATCAAAATTAATTAATACTCTTATTTGACTGCAATCAAACGAATAAAAACAAGTAGGACTAGTACGCCGTAGATGCTTTGGAAGTATTCACTGACCAAAAACCCCATACACATTTTTTTTTGGAAATAAAAAAATTAGTACTAAATCAAAAGGCTATCGCACGAACTGCAATTTTCTTGCCATATCTTTAAATTTGTCTCTTATTGGAAAGCAATGGCCGGCAAAAAAAAAAAAAAAAAAAGATAGGTTTTTTTTTTTGTTAAAAATTCGAAATGGTGAATTCACGCATAACTTGCTTCCCTCCAATCAAAAGTCAATTCAATCAGCGGCATATAAATCTCTAATTAATTTTTCTGTTTACTATAATCAAAGTTAATTACTACTAATTACGTGGAATGACGTTTGTAAGACGTGAGATTTGGAGATCACCGTCTCATTAATTTGACAAAAAGTTACTCCACATTAGAAGCTACGAGATTTGCTTGAGATCTAATGTTGCGCAATCATTTGATTAATAAATACTGTTAGTTACCAAAGTAGTAAGTACTTCAGAAATGCGTAGTAACATATGCATTCTGATGTCAACAGTAATTTGACTCTCCCATTAAACTAAACTCTATAGGTTTTGTCTTTAGTTATTGGAAGTACGTAGTTATAATTATTATTGTTACAAGCCTCAAATTCGTTCGTCCATTCATTTTTTTTTTATTTTTATGACCAATTTGATGCTGCATTACAACAGGTTACAAGGTACAAGGCATTGACTTGGATATTTTTCCCATCACTATGAAGAAGTTTGTACTAGTTTCCTTGTACTCCTTTGTACATCCACATTTGATTTTGTCCAGACATTAAATCAAAAGGGTCGCACAAATATTCCATAAAGGAAGGAGGAAATTTAGGGGGGCACCGTAATTTTTGTCAAATGAAATCGCCTTAAAATATGCAATCCAGGCCAAGTAATATCAAGAGAGGTCAATGTCAATATTTTTTCTTGTCCAAAAGATTAAAAAGTAAAAATCTTTTATTTTTTGTTTGTTTATATATGCTTTTTGTTGGTCAATAATTTTTTAAGGAAAAAGAAAGTAAATTACATACACCAAAATGGATAAATAGTTATTTCATTGGAGGGAGCAACATAAGAAGAAACAAAACGACAGCACCTCAATTGTCAACTATCCCGGTTACGTTACGATGCTATCAAAAGATTTTCACTTTTTTCCATCACAGAATCTTATTATTACTTTTTTTTTAATTTCAAAAAAAAAGAGAGAGAGAGAGAGGATAAGAATAAAGAATAAGATTGGTGGTGTGTTCTACAAAGGAAGTATGAACCATATAAAATCAATGTTAGATTTTTCATATACTAGTAGGAGTATTTGTTTTCCGCATTAAAAGCTTTGCCATTGCACCACTTGCCTTTACCACTTTCCATTTTAAACTTCACACCTAGATCATTGCAGCATCTTGGATTCTGTTCTCTTTTTAGAATTTATGGATCAACGATATTTCATTGCTAAAATAAGATTTTCAAAATAACAGTGGTGTATATATTGAATTTTTGATATTTTTTTTATCAATTTTAGTATAGATGTAAAATTTTGAGTGGAATATTTTTTTGGAACGGAGGAAATACTGTTAATGTTCTTATTTTGGGATGGAACACAAAAAGAAAGAAAATAATTGATGGATGGTGCAATTTGGCAATTTGAAAGTTAGGTCAAATCATGAAATTAAGGGTGGAATTCCTCTTTACCATTTCCTATAATTGAGTTGCAGCGCTACAATTCTTAGTATTCTACAAACAATCTAACATGGATACAGAACACATGCATGAACAAAGTCGAAAAACTCATGCATTGAGGATCAGGATCTGACCTGTTTTTCCAACCAAATAAAATTTTACTAACTAATTTCAACTAGCAAAATCACTTGCCACAAACCAAAGCAATCAATCATATGGCAGCTAGTTTCTTTTTCCTTTTTTTTTTTCTTTTTGGCCCTTGTAATAAAAAACTTAGATATTGGGTTCGAGTTGAATAACGTATCAAAATCGCGATTGACAAAACAACATCCCACCTTCTCATTGGGGACACATTAATCAATACTTGAAATAACATCCACAAGAAGGAGCTGATCATGTGGGAGATTTTATCCAGATGTCATTGGGTCTATGATGGGAATAAGGTTATGAAACTGGAAAGTTAGGAACAATCTCAAGTGTCCTTCAAAAGGGGTTGTCTCCTAGCCTATGTCCCCACTTGGAGGTTCACTTTGTTACAAGGAAAAAAGGAAATAAGAGCCCTTAAAACAACATGAAATAGACCTTAAAACATACAAAAACCATACGACCTAAAAGGCCCTCCTGTGGCCTATCTGCCTCTCTCAATATCACAATTTTTTTCTTCCTTCCCTGCATTTATCTGTGGTCTTTGATTCTGGTCGACCGTATTTCGTATTACGAAAAATTATTATCATCATCATCATTTATTGACAATGCCCTCATGTTTTGCAGCCAAACAATGCCCCACAGGAAGTTGCATTTCCAAATCACAGTCTCATGCTGATGTTTGCCATGTGCTTTTAAGCCCATTAGAAAGGTGTTGTTGTCACACTTCACAGGCCTGTGTGTGTGTGTGTGTGTGTGTGTGTGTGTTTATTTTCTTCTTTGTTGTTGAGACTTGAGAGGTTAAAAACTTGAAAAATGGTGGGATATGGTTATATATATATATATATATATATGGTCCCAACTGCATCAGCGATATTGCAAGTTGTTTTAGTCTGTTCATTTGTTACATTTTTGGGACCAAAAACTTTGGTTTATGTCCTAAGCTTAGGTGGGAAGTTTGCATCAGTTCAATGTTTGATGGTATCACCAGAATAAACTTGATTGTTTGAGCTTACACAAAAATGGATAAACATCCAAGTTTCTGTGTTTTCGCCTTCCATCAACTTGACTTACGTCGAATATAGTACCTTTTACCGTTTGGCAGTATTATTACTCCATCTTGTGTGTTTCTGCAACTGAAAGCAACTCCATCTTGTGTTTCACACTCCAGAAGATTCTTCACTGGTGTGTTTTCTTCAACCTAGCGAGGAAGACAGTTTATGAAGAACCGTGATTACCAAATGATAGCGATGAAATGTCGAAAAGCATTGTGTTTTTCATTCACTCAACGGGCGAAAACAGAAAATTAACACAGTTAAGCCATACAAGGATGTTGTGTCGTGATGTAATTGTCTCAGAGGTGGTTCGTAGTTTGAAACTTTGAATTGAACCATGAGTAATGAATGAGTTAGTGATAACTAGGACCTCTCGTGTTGGGCTAATCACAAGTTACATTTTTTCTATGGCATTGGTGCTGAGATCGGTCAGCAAATAGAAAGCAAAAGTTGAAGAAGATGATGTCCTTTTAGAAGAAGGGTAAGGGAAATTAAGAAGCAAAACCATGAATTAAAGTCGCAAAAAGGTAAAACTGGAGGTGATAGTAATTCAGAGTTTTTGTTTAAGTGAACCAATTGGATTCCTAATAGACAAGGAAGTCCCCACCGGTATCCATCAAAATTCTGTTTTTGTCAAATGATCAAGCAATGAACGTCACTGAACATGCTTTGAAGATGCTGAATCGCTGATGATAGCGAAGGTGTAAAACACTGACCCAGAAAAAGTGAAAAGTTTACATGTCATGGAGGAGGATAAATAAGAAAACTAATTGAGTAAGATGGATGTCAAATAAGACAATAAAAGATTATACACTAATGTTTGACCCACCAAAAACACAGTAAATAAATACAATTTCCCCGTTCCAAACATGGACTAGGACAAATTTAACCTATTACAAGTTTACTGCAGATAATAACATCACACAAGCAGTGCAACTATTTTGTAACAGCGGCCATTCCCAGACACATGACCATAAAAAAAAGAAGCTATGTGTTTGTGAGTTGAATCAAAAATTTATGACGGACAAGAAATGAATCAGAAGCCCACCACCATCACCAAGGACTTCACAACAAAACAACATGTCAAGGCTACTTTACTTCTAAGACTCAAAATCCATTAAACAATCAAAAAATTTGAAGAATTATCAGTGAACCTGGGTGCTTAACTGGGTGTCAGTCTATTAACATTAACAAGTAGAGCCGAGATAAAGGGCCAACCACGACGAATCAGAATGTACTGCTGCTTTCACTTGCGGAAACGGATGGGCCTTCGGATTTTACTGCATGGGCGGTTCTGCTACCAATGTCAAGACCCTGGAAACGACCGAGGGGATCCTGCTGCTGTAAAGTATCTGAGTAGGGCTGCACTTGAGCTTGAGCAGCTGCAATCAAAGAATGATGCTGATTTGACATTTTAGCCTGCAGTGCATTAAACTGGGCCATCTGTGCATTTTGGGATTCGTTTGGGCCTGGCTGCTGTTGATGTGCAAAGAAGGCTGATTGGTTATATGGGACATGTTGCATGCCCAAATTGTATGAATCAGAAGGACCTGCTATTTCGCCAGTTGCAATTCTAAGCCTTTCTACTTCTTGCTTCAGGGCTTCATTCAATGCTGCATTTTACGATGACAGAGCATTAATAAAGGAATACATAGAAGGAGATATGAGAGTTCATGGCATGGTTAGATCTCTTTTATAAGGAATGAATAAATCAACTTAAACTTGGTGAAGCAGGGAACACTGGCCTCTTCTAAATCTGCCTTAATCCTACAGGGTATTCTCAAAAAGGGGAAAGCAATAGTTTTCATTTATTCACTTGCAGATAGCTATCCAACTATCTAAATCATGTATACAGCTCATCTCGATAACGAAGTGCTGACTGCAGTAGCATCTTATGGAATAGTTTGTTTGGTTATGGTAAATTTGAAGGGTTTAAACAAAATTACAGGCGGATGAAGAGTTCTGGCTCAAGTTATGAGCTGAAATTTGGCATCAGCAAGCACAGTAACTAAGTACCAAGAAGAAAAGGAACGGGTGAAAATTTAAGCCCTATATCCAAATTTGATGTACTTCTTGTCAAAATGATCTCAGCATGTGTACTTAAATTAAGGTGAAAAACAACAAAGAGTAAGAACCAGACACTTCCTTTATAATTTAGTTAGTACGAAGCGAATCATCACCATATTTGCAGGTAATTGAATGATAGAAAAATTATGCAAGAGTTAGGGAACGCATACCGTCACGCAGTTGAGCTTGTTGTTCCATAGCTTGTAGCCGAAGCTTAAGCTCTGTATTTTCAGTGGTTAGTCCTGTTGTATCCCTCTGACAAAAAAATTCAATTCTTAAGTACAAAACTACAACATTGTTTAAGATGTTGGAGAAAAGAAAAAAGCAAAAATATCGGACTCGAAAATCGAAAATGTCCGTAATCAAAATGGTTGGTTCATCATAGTTTAAATGTCATTTATTTCTAAACCAAAAGTTTCCAAATAAAACCTGAAATAGATTTGATAAGTTTTCATATTGGCATACACAGAGCAGCAGAATCCACAAAAGGTGGGGCTAATCTTCATTGTAAAGAAAGCAGAAACAATCATGAAACTTGAAAAGTTGCAATCTCGAAACTGGGTAAGCAGTTTTGCAAACATTTGGCCCACTTAATCCATTCAACATTCCATTTTAAGTTGTCAGACCATTTTGCGCTTCTGATCATCAAAGAAACTCTTTCTCTTCTTTACAAACTCAATCAGAATTTAAGTGCTGATAAATCAATTAATAAAAACAGAAGTTAAAGGGAAAAAAATTTCTGCCTTATTTAAGTGCTGTCATTTTGTGCCTTATTTAAGTGCTGTCACCCAAAACAGAAGTTAAAGGGAAAAAATTAAAGTTTCAGCATGGTCAAAATTCCTGTTTCTATTTCCTCCATAAAGACATTGCGTAAAGCTAAAGCAATGAGAATTACCTGAAACAGAGTGAGTTGAGCAGAGAGAGTGGTTGCTTCTGTTTGAAGTGTCTGAACTTTTCTCTCAAGTTCGTTAATATAGCGAGCCTTCCTCTCTTTCGATCGAGCAGCAGATTGTCTGTTGGCCAAAATTCTGCACAACCATTTCCAGAGTCAGGACATAATCATAAAGGACAAACCTTTTGAATCACAACTGATAAATCGGAGCTCATTTCCCACAAAAAGCTTAACAAATCTCCAAAGCACTAGTGAAAATATTTCACAAAGACATTTCACAGCATGATATAGCCTTCATAGGTAGCCAATTTTGCCAACCGTTTATAGTACATCTATTGTTATCACATTAATAAATCACGTTCTTTTTGCCATTTGTCATTGAGAAAATCACAATCATCAGCTAGATCGTCTTTTCTGAGATGAGACGGATCCACGAGGATCCTTCTCTGCCTGCTGATGAGAGGTTGCTTCTATGCAATTACAATACAAGAGTCAACGCAATTATACAACAGTTTAAGTGTGTAAAGAATTATTAGGATCATTATAATAAAGAGGTTCGAATTACTACTGTCCAAGCCGTTACAAGAAGACTGAGACTCATTACACAAAATAGTTACAAGATATAGCGACAATATCAGTTGGTATAAATTCACGAGCCAACCAAAATAATAATCATAGTTAATTTAGTCCCAACCCTTTTGATGAACGCATTTAGAAATAATGAAACAAAACATAATCCATCAAATCAGCATTGTTCAGTAAATGATGCAAGAATTTGCTACATGACAGTGGAATCGCGGTGCATAAAAGTCAAAGATTTCTGCTTTAAAATTGCTAGGGAAAGAGAAACATTTACAATTAGTGAAAATAGTCAGCTAAATGAACAAAATTGAATCAAAATTGTGCCATTAAAACAAATGTTGGAATAAAAAAAAAAAAAAAATTCCCGCCTAGGATTGCTAGCAAGTTAAGTATATAGAAGCCCGCCGCCATTACTACAGTCAATAAGTTGACTCAAGTATAAAGATCCACAAAGATCTAAACTTGCAAGATCTTTGCTGAATTTTACTATAATTATCCGTCAATCAGCAAATCTAGCGAAGTATTCGCGGTTTCGGAACAGGAAGATAACATACCTTTTCGCACGTTTTGGATCAATGGTCCAAAGTTCAGCAAGCTTGTCGGGAGCCATAGCTTTCTTGGCTTCAATACTGCTCTCATTCAGCATTAAACTGGAACTATCCATAGAATTGCTATACCTATGCCTGGGCCTCATAGTTCCCACCGGCGTCGAACCCTTATCTCCATCAACTCCATTCTCCAGCAAGCCGCCAGCGCCGCCGCCGCCGCCGGCATTATCAGCATCATTCATGTTAGAATTGGAATTAGATCCACCGAGTTTCTCGATGTCCATGTAGGTAGAGAAGAGATCATCCTCGGATCCCATCTCGTCAAAACTAGTCCCGACAGGCGCATCAAAGGGGTCAGACACCAGATCTAAATCCTCCGGCAGCCTGAAGTTGACCTCGGAATGAGCTCTCCGGTGATTGGTAGGCCGGAATGAAAATGGCGGCCCATTCTGACTCGCTTGCTTCGAGTTTGGATCTTGCATTCTTCCCCCTCTTCCTTACACAATTTGTCCCGAAACAAGCGAGCGTGATTCCTTCCTTAATGTCAGTATACTTAAAAAAAAAAAAAGGAAAAAACAAAAATGGCAGTGTCGGAATTCGAGAAATTCAATGGATTTTATTTAGAAAAAAATCTCGTAGTACTACGTAGTACACTAACAGAGAGAGTAAGGAAAAAATGAAGCGGGAGTAACCTCAAAAGGGGGTGGTTGATGAGTAACTGTTTAATTTGTCTTTTTTTTTTTATTTTAATATTTTCTTTTTTAATGGGAATGAATGAATAGTAAAAGTTGACGGAGGAGGAAACCGAAGGGAAAAAGGATTTACTTCTGGGGAGAGAGATAGATGGATATAGATCATCATGATTATTCATATGATTCATGTTCATGTATGGGTCCATGCTGGTCTAATCATTTCAGACTTCCTGTGTGGGGGCCGTCCAAGTTATGGGCGGTGTTAAATTTTTTAATGGGCTTCTGATTTGGGCCTGAAGGCCAGAACAATGATGCTGAGCAAACTTATTTATGATGATGGGATATGAACAAAAATGACGTTTTTACATCAGCTAGATAACTAGTAGTTCTTCAGGTCTTGTTAGATAGAGATTCAAGTGTAAAAGTCTCAGGTTTGGACTTGGCCCATGTACAACCTAAGTGAGGCTCTGGTAATAATTTGATTGTAGAACTCCCTGATTCAACACTGATTCTCGAAAATATATTATTATTATTTGGTCCGACCTTATTTATAAGGCATAATAATAATTTAAAATAAGAGAGATTATCAGATTGCTATGTGATGGCTCGATGCTATCAGGTTAACTGAATTGTAACAACAAAAGATGAAAAATGATCTTTCATTAGCATTTCATAAGTCCTAACACTTGACTCAACCGGACCGCATATAACTTTGGATTCTAGAAGATTTTACCAAACGTCAAGGGAAGCGGATGCAATTCATCATCATACCATTATTATAATGTACAAAAACTATGCCGTTCATTAGATGAGGTACATTTGGAAACATTGGAAATGGTAAATGGATTTGATGAGGTCACATATTTTCAAGTAATTCTGAATAGCAGTAATATATTGTCCAAACTCCAAACTACGAAGTTAGCTAGAAGCTTAGAAGTGTTTTTTCAACAGAATCAGGCGTGGCAACATGATTGTCTCGTGCGGGACTATTTTATGAATAGCAGCAGAACAACCTCAAAAATTTTATATTCCTTCCTTCTCATTCTAAAATTACACTTTTGTTTATGAAAGTAGATTATTAAAATGAGACGGAAGAACTCTGAGTAACGTTTTTCACGGAACCTGTCAAATTAAACATGTCCGTCAGTGAAGTAGACGAGACACAAATATATCATGATATATTTTGCATCTCCACGTTTAATCTGTGGCCCTGGATGGATTGCCTGATCCACGGGTTCTTTAACTTGAAACTAACCATCTTCTGTAGTACGTTTGCCACATAGGTAGTTTTGCTTAATTCAAGGAATCGGGACCATTTACAATCTCTGCATTACAGGAATATGTCCTTTTCTTGGTCTCAAAAGATTAACCTTCAAGCTAATTAATGCACTAATCTGACTCACACTAGTCACAAAATGGACTGAGAAACCAAAAGAAAACAAAAGAGGAGGATTATGAAAAGGACAAATCTTGTGTTGGTGATATTTGGTTGTTGCATTAATGAGTTATTAGAATCATGTATACTTGTCCAAAATCTGGCTGTTGGGGAGTTCAAAACTTTAATGATGAGGAGCCTAGTTAGCACCTTATAGCTCCCCAGCTTTTACACCTTGATTGATACGGAAAACTAAAAACCGAAGATGAAAATCAGGAAGTTACAGTTAAACTGAAGTTAGATTGATTAATTTTCACAGATTTGGACTTATTCTGAACTTCAGATTGATTGTGGGATGCAAGTAAAATTGTGAAAAACTGGTTCTTCAGGACATAATTAGTCTCAACATTCAAAATACTTGAAGAGAATCAAAGATCTTTGATTTAGTGGAAGAGGGATTTGGCAAATCGTGAGATAGGGTACCAGTAATAATACTAGGTGCGGTCAATCAACAGTCTTGTCATTTTAAGACAGCATCGTCTTCATTGCAACTTGCCTACAAAAAAGTTGGTTAGTCCCACTGTTAAAAAAGGCCTTTGCTAATTTGCATTTGGTATCTTGCCTCTCTTCCCTAACAGAAGAAGGGGGGAAAAAAAATGGCCCTTTGCTGCTCCATAAAGACTAACTTTAGTATATGATGCATCTTATTGATAAGTTAATTTTAGCAACTTCCCACCTACAAGAAGTGAAGTCAGTCCTAAGAGAGAGTAATCTGTTCTTTTCTGCCAGGAAGTTAAAGAGGTTATTCCTGCAAAAACTTGTCCTTGAATTTTGGCAACTTTTTTCAGCTAATCAATTATTCCCCTTGAACAACTTCTCCATCTGTTTCCAACAACCCTCTGTAACTGTCCATATTGAAGCAAAAATAGAAGCTTTCTTCAATCCTTGTTCTATAATCTCTTTGATCTAGTCATCTAGTTATTTTTTTCCTTGATTTCTGCTACCTTAGAATCCAATAGCATTCCACTTAAGGTTCAGAAAAGTCCCTGAGTTCAAACCGAAAAATAGGAAAAGGGGATAGATCGAACAGAAGCCTATGTTTTACCTTTAGCCCACCAATATAAGCAAGGAAGGCGTTATATATACTTTATATATAAGCAAGAAAGACTCACTCTCTGCTACTTCTGTACTTGATGAATCAGATTCAGTATCTGCTCTCCATATCATTTGTGGTTCGATACGCTTCAGAATTATGGTGGGCTGATCAAAGTCTTAATCTTTCCATGTTTTATTTGGTGTCTGAATGAAAAGGGTCCAATACTAAATCCAAGTAACAAAGTTCCTGTTTCTGTATTTTCCTCTTCGAGTTTTATCTGTCCATGATGACAACAACAATCATGTCTCATCATCTTCATCATCATCATCACTTTTCACATCGGTTGCTTCTGGTATCGCAACCGCCTGAAGCTCCGCCAAGCGATCAAAGCAGAACCCGGAACGGATTCAACAACGAGAACAATTTCGATACAAATATGGTCATAATCCTGGCAGCTCTGCTTTGTGCATTGATATGTGCACTTGGGCTAAATTCAATAGTAAGATGTGCTTTGAGGTGCAGCCGGAGGTTCAGTTTCGAGACGCCGGGGGAGACGGCGGCGCGTCTAGCGGCAACAGGGCTGAAGAAGAGCATGCTGAGGCAGATACCGGTGACGGTGTACGGCACCGGAGTGGAGATGCCGGCGACGGATTGTCCGATATGCCTGGGTGAGTTTTCCGATGGAGAGAAAGTCAGAGTGCTGCCAAGATGCCACCACGGTTTCCACGTGAGGTGTATAGACATTTGGCTGGCATCACATTCTTCATGCCCAACTTGTCGGCAATCATTGCTGGAACACTACACTGAAACTACCACCATTGCATCATCAACTCATGATGCTGCTGATCAGCCCCCTGTTTCTGCTGCTGAAGAGGTATAATTTAAGATTTCCAGTTCAGGAAAGATGGAAGGAATTTTCTAGCAAAAATCTGAGGTTTGAACTTTCGAATGTCCTCTGCTTTTGTGGATTTCGATGAATGTTATCCTGGAAAGAACTTTTTTTGGGTAGGCTGCTTTCTGGACAACTTACCCTGTATGTGAAATGATTAGGTTCCTAGTTCTTGCATCTTAAATTTAAAAAAGGAAAGAGGAATCTCAATGTTGCATTAACAATGATTTTGATTTCCATTCCAGATCATTATCTGAGGTTGCCTGATTCCTGCTGAAACTAGAAATTAAACAGGAGTTTATTAATCTCTGAAAAGATTATAGCTTTTGGTTAAATATTGATTAAAGAGTCCCTCTGCTAATGGTGCAGTAATCCCCGTTTAATTTCCAGTTTCTAGCATTGGGCTTATTGTAAATGAAGAACACACACCATATAATATGGCTGCCGTAAAGATCAAGAACAGTAGCAGCATTGTGCTTAAAAAAAATAAAAAGTTTGTTCCTCATAAATGGGTATAATAAACAAGTAAACAGAATCTTTGGAGGGAATCATATAAACAAAGATTTTGGTGCAAATGTGCAATATCCACAACTAGTGGCAACGAATAAAATATGTAGAAGAAGCCAGCACCACGATTCATCTCCATGACAGAACAGAAGTACATAGACGTTTTGATGGGATTTACCATTATTTGTATCACCTTAAAAATCTGATTTGATTTGATGGCAAATGTGTATTGGATCAGGAAGCATAATAAGGTAAATATAATATATATATATATATATATGAATCTATAGCAATCATTTTCAATGTGCTCATGGAATGGAATCAAGTTTCTTCTCGTATTTTTCTTCTGTTGAACTCTGCTTTGTTTATGTTACTGGCCTACAAAAGGGCCATGCCCACCAAACAATCAAACTCCATTAACAACATATAAAATATTAAAATGGGTATATGTTTATCAGGATTTATTAAAAAACAAAATGGTTTACTTATTAGTACTCATCATTGATCACGTCTTTAAAATGCAACTAGTCACATCAGAATCCATCTCCTAGAGAGTGTTTAGAGCTTTCTCTATTTTTATAATTTTTTTAAAAAAAATCTCTTGAATTTTTTTTATGCCTCTAATGAACAGGGTTAAATTATAATATCTATATCTCTATATATATTAAAAAAAAGTTTTTAATCAAACACATATCATAAAATTAGAAATGGTAGTCCACATGGTAAAAAATTAAATAGCAAAGTCCATATGTCGCAACCACATCACTCCATCATTTAATAGTAATTTTTAATATAAATTTGTAATTTTATAGATGAAACTAAATTAAATATGAGATTATCCCTTAACGATAAATTTTAATGGTAAAATGGACAAGTTATCAAAAAGAAACTTCAAACTAATACGGGGACGAATAAAAATTACGTTATGACAAAACAAACTTAAATACTATTTCTATTAACTTTTCTGTTATGGTTTCGTGAAAAAACTAATGATAAACCATTTTGCACATGAGATGCACATGAGTTAACCGAAGGATATAATGTGTTTATGTAAAATTCACATATTTGTAAAGTCATAATAAAGTCGTATAATACACAAAATTTTGAGTCAAATTTTTTTTTACACAGACATATAATGCCCGTTGGTCATTCGTATGCATTTTACGTGCAAAAAGGTTAATTGTATTTTCTCACGAAACCTTCACAGAAAAAGTGAATGGAAATTTTTGAAAATGGAGTAATACTTCCTGTTTCCAACAATCCTCCTACTTTCCATCTCCCTCTCTGCTGATTTATTCCGTGAAAAGTTTTCCTTCTTTGCTGATCCAACTCCTATTAATGTCTCCTTCACATACTGACAGGAGTACGTTAAAACACCAATCTTGAGTACTTTGAAGAAAAAAGTGACCCCTGCCACAGCCTAAGACGTGGAAGAAGCTCTGTCTTCGTCATCTTTTGACATCTGAGGATTGCCGGGCATGTTGTGTCATCCGCTTGGGGAATCCAGGGTCATAACTCAATCAAACACCTATGAAATCTACCTCGGCAAGAAGAAGCATCCACTGCCGGAAAATCTCAGGCCTGAAAACTTGGAGTCCCCACCAATCAATGTCATTTTTCCTCAACTCCTGGAGTTAGTTTATGGAGTTGGTACCAAGAAGAACAAGTCCTACCCCCCCCCTCCTTCCCCGCTGGGTCATGGAATTGGAAACAAGTTAATCTTTACAACAATCACAATGCCAGAGGTAGACCCGACAAATTTTTTCAGGATGAAAGCTCTCAATTTAGGGGAGAGGATTCATATCCCGAAACTTCAAAAGTATCTTCAAACCAGCTTTCTGGCAGCTAAGGTTGGCTCAAGGATGCATCTTGGCAAACCCAGTGTTTGAAGTTCTTTCCTAAGTTTCTTCAGTGGAGATGTGCTGACGATCAATATCCGGTAAAATCTTCTTTTCTGCAACACAAGTGCAGGGGAAGTATTTAAATGCCCTCAATCATTAGAAGACATGATTGATTTTGCAAGTAGCATATTGCACACGGACCAAATGGTGGCCTTTGATTTCAATGCATCAGCAACCGACTCCTCTAAGACCCTGGCCGTGGCCAGAGTTGTTCAAGTTCAGACTAAATACACCATCATGTGTCATGAGATGTTTTACCCCAACGCACTCTATTTTTGTCAATCTCCTGATGCTTTGATTTTCTCAGTAAACTTCAAGAATGCGTCCGGTAGGTTCTTCACAACTTGCCACCCCAACACTGCAAACTGGTCGCCGGATCATCCGGCATTCAAGATCCTGAAGTCTTTCCCCAGTGATGGGGAAGTGTGTCATTGGATGCTTGGCAATGACGTCCTAGTCATCACGGCGGATGCTAAATGTGAGCACACATTAGGCGCTGTTGCTCCAAACTTAACAACAACAACTGAAAAACAGAGCATATGAAACAGGGCATGGCCATGGAAGGGAGCATATCAAAAGGAGTTTATAAGTGTAGGGAGTTGCGGCACTACCACTAGAACTAGGGTGCCAGCTTGCCACCTACCAACATACCGCTTAACCTGCCATTCAGAATTCGTTCGGATACCAACATTAATGCGTATATAATAGCGGTGGGGACCAATTGAAAATTGACAAAAAATAATGGTTTGTACAACATAAGCTTATCAAGACCCCACCCTTTCACGGGTGGGGTCCAATTTTCTCGCCACCCTTCATGGGGTGGCGAGAAAAATCCTCGCCCTCTACACGGGGGTGGCACACAAATCATGCGCTACCTCCCCTCGGTTTGGCAAGCAGTTAATGGGTGGCGATCTAACCGGCCGCCACCCCTTTTTTATTAAAAAGATATTTAATTAATTTTTTAATTTTTTAATTAATTTATGTTGGGGATTTATCCGTAGGAGAAAACCCGACATGGAGCCCAATAAGTAAGATAAAACCCATCTGAATCCAAAAGTTAGTGGGTTCTAAGTCTATCTTACTTATTAACTGGTTCACATGTCCTCACGCCTCCGATGTGGGATTCATAATCCTTGCTACATGACCCTTAACAGTCTCCTCCGTCATGAGCAATCTCCACATCGGGCTTCTAAATTATCTTAACAAGCCCAAATCTGTACTCCACCTGAGTAACTGAGCCGCTCATTCCTACATGAACCTCAACATTTTATGTATTAATTCTTTAATTTATTAAATTTGTTTATTTATTATTTTTTTGGCGGTTAAATAAATAATTTTTTAACTTAAATATTTAGAGAATGTTACTTAATTACGTAATAAATCCTTATAAAAATATATCATTTAATTATGTAGAATTTTTTAAACTTAAACAAGAAAATCATCATTTAATAACAACTAAAACTTATGAATTTACTACCAAATAAATTATTTATAAATAAATAATAAAAAGAAAATAATTATTTATAAGTTAATGAATTAATTTACTACCAACTAAAAAAATTATCATTCTCTAAATATTTAAATTAAAAAATTATTTATTTTATCATGGGTGCATCTAGCCGTTCTGAGAATATTTTTTTTAGAAAAAATATAAAATATAAAATATAAAAAATAGGAAATATTAAAATACATTGAAACGAATAATTGAAAGGCATGAAAAAATATAAAATAATTTATAATAGTATAAACAAATTAACTTACATATTTAGAGAATTTTTTTGGTAAACAAAAATATTTTTTTAACTTAGATACTTCATAATGTCTTTTTGGTAAATAAATAATTTTTTTGGCAAAAAATAAAATATTTAACTACCAAAAAAATATATAAATTAATTAAAAAAATTAAAAATTTAATTAAATAAATAAATTTAAAAAAGAGAATAAATTAAAAAAAAAAAAGGTGGCGGCTGGTTGGACCACCACCCTTTCGGTTTGGCGAGCGGTTTGCTCGCCAAACCGAGGGGTGCGCCACCTCTTTCCCAAGGATAAACAATTTTGCATGGTGGCGTGTTTCTCCGGCGCCAGCCTTTCACGGCTGGCGCAAATATGCGTCGCCCCCACTATTTTTTTTTTAAATAAATAATAAGGACAAAATAGTTCTTTTAAGTATTTTTAGGGCGCTCAAAAATAAAAATTAGGGCGTTCAGTAATCTCCCAAAAAACGGATATCCTTTTTTTTTTCCTTTACGGAACTGAATCGTCATATCATATTATTTTTTACCAATCGCTATGAGCCAGTGGTATGCAATAATACTTCCTATAATACTCAGGCTCAAATGGCTATAAGCCTATAATACTTCCTGTTCCCGGGTGTTTTCTTCAGGGAAAACAGAAAGTCTACAACACAGTTTCTATAATTATTCTATTTTCTGGATTTCTCCAAAGTAAACTTGAGCTAAATGTAGGCCACGCGTAGCGTAAGCCACAATGGCCTAGTATATAGATTCATCAAGTTTAGCTTTAAAACAAACTCAACATTTATAGACGATTTCAGCAGCTAACTATAGTTCACGTATACAAATTTGGAGAAAGGAAAAAACATTAGAGAAAAAAAGAACAAGAATCGTATAGACTACAGAAAGCATCCATTAACGATGACAAAGAGAATGAATACAATTTTGACAGGGCGAAATTAAGCCTTATTAACATCCGGTAACCAACAATTAATATGTGATTTTCAGTTAGATAACTCGGCAGAAAGATTGTTGGCAAGTGAGGAGATGGTTGTCTGAGAAACTCCTCTGGTTCCGCCCAAGTACCATTTCTTGATCATCTCAGCCACATTTGCATTCTCCACCTTTAACTTTGATTCCTCTTTCCCCTCAGTCGAGAATGTAAGCTGTAAAAATCAGATCAAATCCATATTTCAGCATTACAAATCATCAATGAAACAACAGATTTTTATCCAGTCTAAAAGATTGATGATATACCTCAGCAGTAGCAGATGAAGCAGGGAAATAGAATGTGAGGACAGAATCCTTCTTGAAATACTTGTGCTGGAAAAACTGAACCACTTGCTCAAGAGATTCTTCCTCCTCATCCTCGTACTTGTCGTCGGCCGCCAGCCAATCCCTCACTGCATTTTCTAGCTGCACCCCATATTGGGAACCTTTGATCTCCTTAATCACTACCACCCTCACAAACTTATCTACCGGGCCTGAAAATTACGTTTCCAAATCAAATTAGCTGAAAATGCAATGCCAATAGAAAGACAGCTTGTTCAATTTATCAAAGATCAAAGCATGTATGTATCTACTTGAGATGACAGCGTCGAAGAAAGCATCATCCTTTGCTAAATCCGCCCCGGTCTTTCCTTTCCAGGCCTGTAAATGAGTGAAAATTTCGGGATCTAGATAAACCCCAATGGCGGTGAACTTAACTTGCAGGAAGTGAATCTCAATGTCGGTTATACCTGTGGTACAAAATAACCCATTCAACCACGATCAATTAAGCACTCTGAAGTCAATATCTTTTCTTTCTAAACAGAAATTGACATCTTGATCAACCAGAAATCAATTATCGAGTAAACACGGAAACTAGTAAAAGTTATAAAGTTTGATTTGTGTACCCTGGCCGAGCAAAGATAAAGGCTTGTCAGAACCAGGATTGATCTGAGGAGGAAAGGGAATGTCATCCACCATCACAACTTCAGTACCCACTGCAATTGAATAACAACAAAAACCCATCAGATCATCTATATCAAATAAAGGCTGGGTTTGCCCAGACTTATGCAATCAGTGATTTACACTTCCTAAACCCAGAGGGGAATTAATGCATCACAAATAATCAGGACAACAAATGACTAGCAAAAGTGTATCTGCAGATGATCAACTGATTGAACTAGTGAATTAAGGAGTAATAAGACTCTACTTACTCTTCAACAACTGTGTTTTCTTTTCCCTCAGTGAATTGAGCTGATTCTGAACAGAAACACAAGAGAGGGTAGATATGGGAGGGATAAAGGTTTGTTATATAGACCTGTTTTGGGGGGATTGTCCGAAAGAATTAGGCTTGCCAGCTACCACCAAACCGGCTTAATCTGCCATTCAGCTTTTGTGTGTTTATTATTAATTTTATTACTATCAACATCTGTAACGTATACAGAAGCGGTGGGTAGGTGGATTGTTTGGCTGTGAATTAACCGAGTCGAGTCAGTGATGATGCCTGTAGAACGGCAGTTGGGAAATGGGAAGTAGTAATAATTACTAATTACTACCGAATAAAAATAAAAAATAATACCCAAAACTGATGGAAAAAACTCCAACAAAACCAAAGAGGCAAAAACCATTTCTTCTTCTACACTGTCCTGCAAAAAAATGGAGTCCGAGACAGACCCGCCAAAGCTTCATCCATTGAACCCACAAGAGATGAACAAAAGCGATCAGTATTTTGAGGGATGTTCTTCTTCCTCTACTCCCTATCCCAATCAGGAATCAGACCCTTTAATTTTCCCCAATTTCCCCGACGAACTCATCAGGGAAATCCTCCTCAGGCTGCCCGCCAAAACCTTTGGAAATTCAAGTGTGTTTCAAAACCATGGCTCTCTCTAATCTCCAGCCCGAAGTTTATCAAAACCCATCTCCCGATTGCTTCTGGAAGGGATGATTATGGACAGCATGGTATCATCCTCACTGCATTAGCCCCAGGGGACATCCGTGACGAGCTGTATTCGGTTAGTTCTCTATTGAACGAACCTTCCTCTAAATCCACCGAGCCTAAGGTATTCGAACATCTTCTTGAGATGTGGTATTTGGGTTCTTGCAATGGGCTGGTTTGTGTTTATATCATGTATGATGATTTTTCTTGTGTAACCCTTGTACTAGAGAGTGGAAAAAATTGCCTGCTTCCGGTATGGGAGGGGACATCAAAGGTTGTGTATATTTTGGGTTTGGTTATGATCAGGTGAGTGATGATTATAAAGTAGTGGGGCTGTATTTCAATAAAAATGGATCTAGAGACTATAACATCATAGTGTATTGTGTGAAAAGTAACTGTTGGCGAAAGATAGAGGATTCAACAATTGGGATTCCTTATGTTGATGGAACGGATTATTTCAAATATGCAAATGGAAAGCTCCATTGGCCTGTCCGTGATAGTACTTACATTTGGAAAATTGCTAGTTTTGATTTGGCCCATGAGACGTATGTAGTGATGGACCGCCCGGATAAAGGCTGTTTATGTGGTCGTTTTACTCTTGGAGTTTTGGGAGGTTGCCTTGCCGTGCTTTATGATTGTACTAACCTCGCAGATGTATAGATAATGAAGGACTATGGAGTTGAGCAATATTGGGACAGAGTTGTTTCTATCCCTTATGTTGATCCCTTGTGTTGGAACAAAGTTGATCATTTTAATCAATTTTCTTCCAACAAGTTCCGATTAGTTTGCACAACGAGGAGTGGGGAAATACTGGTTGTATTACACTCGAAGTTGTTACTTTACAATCCAAAGACTAATGCATTCAGGAGGTATCCCCAGATAAGGCATATTTTTCAGGTGCTTATGTATGTTGAGAGTTTAGTGTCGCCTGATATTCATGACGTAGAATGAGCTGCCAACTGCAATGAGATGGGAGAGAAAGAAGCAGGTGAATGGAAGATTGTTGGTTGATCAAAAATGATGTGTTTGGGTTTCTTAAATTGATTGGATTCTGATTAGGGCATTAGGAGAAGAAGAGCAGCTTTGTAGTATGCTGTATGCCAATGAATGAATCTCTCTTCATGTTTGCCCTGCGTTTCTCAATTTTAACATTTATACTTCAAGTATTGCTATTTACTCTATTTTGTTTTACTGTATACTCCATGTGTCCCAAAATTATTGTCTAGTTTGAGATTTCATTTTGAGAATAAATTGAACTAAAAATGAAAATTCAAAGTGGATAATAATTTCGGGACGGGGGGAGTATCTGTTTCAATTGTTGTCCCCATAGCACAAAGAGAACTACCAGACCAAATACAGGGAGATAGATGTGTGAATGTTTTTTTTCTTTTTTTCCTTTTCTTCTGTTGATGTTTTTTACCTATAGCTTCTTCTGCGCCACTTCAATGAGCTAGGTTATATTGGAGCTTAAGTCCCCTGGATTTGGCTTACGTGCAGATGTATATCTTGCAAGGCAGAACGGGTAGAGGGAGTCTGGTGATTGAGTTTGATCAAGCTCCAGAGGATCTGAGTTTTGAACTCTCTCCATCCTAGAAAAATCCATCTAACTTTGTTAAGCTAAAATAGTATGACTAAATGAAGTAAATTTTTTTGGGAAGAGGAAGTAGTAGAGTTTCAAAATAGTGAATGCTTGAACCAAATTACTGGTGGTTCACAAAGTTGAGTAGTTTTGAACATAGCAACTTTTGTTATCATTTATTTAGGCATAAAAAGAAATCCTTAAATCCCGAAATTATTGTTTCACTTTTAATACTCTATATATTTAAAGACAACCTGATAATTTGTGAAATTGAGTTGTGTGAACTTCCTCATATGTTGCTGTAAAACAAATCTACTTATCTATCTACCTGACTATAGCAACAACTAATTTAACCAAAATTCTAAGTGTCAAGTTTTCTTTAAAAGTTTTTCCAAATTTTTACATGTCATTATTTCTCAATTCACATCCTCGCTCTAATAATTCGGACGATGCATCCTAAAACCGAAAATAAATAAAAGCCAATTAGGTTATTACAAATGTTTGCAGGGGTCAAGAACCTAGTAGAAATTAGTGACACATTAATAATACTAGAAAAAGAAATCTATGAAAAAGAAATTATTGTTTAAATAATTAAATTCTAGAAGACTCATGATAAATGGTTATTCGATAAAAAAAAATCATTTTGATATTTATGCATTAGATTTCATACACTTTTTTAATTTTTCCAATATCAAAGGAGTTCAAATAAAATAAATTTTTTAAAAATAAAGATAAAACTCAGTGCAAGTAATTAGAAGAAATTGGAATAACTTTCAAAAAACCAAGAAAAGGAAGCCAGGGGAAAGAAAAGATAAAATCCGAGAAATAATACACGTGTATAACTAACACGTGAGGAGAGAGAATGGACATTGTAATTTTTTAAAGGTACGAAATTACCCTCAAAGAGAAACGGCGGCAACATTCCAAATCTCGAGCGTATGGAAACAGAAACCCTCCAAAGGCTCCATCTGGTTTTGAATTTGAAAAGTAAAAAGCCCGCACCAAAAACCCAGAAGAAAGAGACTCCAATAAAAAGGCCACATTTCCTCTCTCTCTCTCTCTCTCCCCCCCCTCTCTCACACACTCACACACTAATACATACTATAATACTACGTTGCGGTGTTTGTGCGTATCAGTTCCTATATAAACCCATCACCAAGATTCCCCCTTTCTTTACATATTTTTGAACAGAAGAATTAAAACTCTCTCCCTGTTTGTCAGCGCGGTCTTCTGCAAATTTCAAATTCCGCCAAAGCAATTAAAAGGGGAAAACAAATGCTCTCTGGTCCCCTCTTTAATTGATTGCCATCCCCCTTCTCATTTGAATCTTCTTCCTTCATCCAGGATTGTTAAATCTAGGGGAAACCCATTATGTAGAATCAATTTTGCGGACTACAAATCAGTTTTCTTTCTTCGCCTTCCAATTTTTTTTTTTTTTTCTGGGGTTCCCAGTTGGGGTTTTTTTTTTCCCCCTTTTTTCTTTGTTTTTGTTTTTGTTTTTTTTCTGGTGGAAGAGCTCAAGAATTGGGGGGTTTTTGGTAGACTCTGTAATTGATGGAGGACAAGTGCGGGGTTTCTGATGAGTCGTCGGAGATGTCCAGATCTGAATTCAAGGTTTGGGTTCTAGTGAACTTCAATCTTGTGTGTTTTCTGATTTTTCCCCCCTTTCAGTTCTTATCTGTCTGGGCTCCCTCATCCTTTTCTTAATTGACGACTCCACTAATAGAATAACTAACTTGACGGTCTCAAATTTTCAGGTATTGGCGGGAGAAAAGAGGGCTCGTCCTGAAAAGGAAGAAAGATCCGAATTTGACCCGAAGAGAGCTAAAATGCGGGATCTTGACGCCGTCTTTCGCTCCGAAGGTATCCATCTCTTTGCTCAAAAGGGCCTCTTTTTTCATCTACATCTTGTATTTCTAGGTAGATAAAGAAATGTTTTGAACCGCACTTGATACAATTATCATAAACGAAGGGCATTTTTGTTTCCTTTTCTTTTTTTATTGGAAATGTTTGACCTTGTGATGACTGGTTCCTCGGTGCTCATAAAATATATTGTTCCCTAACTCCATATGTGCAAATTATGTGACAAATTGAACTCAAAATGTGGGGAAAAAATTTTTTTTGTGTGAAAGTTCCTGGCAAGATGAGGAGTGGGATATAAATTAGAATGGAAGTGTCCATCCAGACATGAGGAATTTGAGATTTTTATCATTATTTTGTTTGCGGGTGGTAAAGAACCTGCTGAATAGGTTTTTTAGGGTTGTATTGTAGCTTTGGGATGACATTGAATATGGTTTTACCACACAGAAACTCGAAACCATATGATTTTTGTTGCTGGTGCAGAAAAGACGGCGAAGGAAGCAGTGCATCCTGTAAATAGTGCGATTGACCTGAATTCTAACCTTCATGTTAATACATCAACGTCAAGGGGGTTTGGCTTGGACCTTAATGCAGAAGATAATGCTGACAATGGCATATTTGATTCTGATCCTTGCAAAGATTTTGGACGAGCAAAATCTTTTGATGACTCTGACTGTGGAAGTTCTATTGGCCCACTGGAGGACAAGGATCCAATGAAGGTTTGGAAAGAGATGAAACAAAACGGGTTTCTGTCATCATCTCATGGAGGTGTGCCCATGCCAAAGCAGCATGGAAGGAAAAGCAAAATTGATGGGATCAAAAGGAAGATGGAGCTGGCTAGGAAAGAACAAGTAGACAGATTTGCTAAGATGGCGGCACCCAGCGGGTTGCTAAATGACTTGAATCCTGGGATCATAAACCATGTCAGAAACAAAAAGCAAGTTCATTCTATCATAGAAGCTCTTGTGAAATCTGAAAAAAATGAGAATCTTCATTCAGGAATCAAACAGGGAGATCAAATAAAGAGGGGAACAATAGAATATAGTGAAAGGACAGACCTACAAATTACGAACAGATCTGACTTGGGCCTGCATTCCTTCTTTCGAGAAGCTAGTTCAATGGCTCCTTTTATTGATCGCATGCAGACTGGTGGATATTCTGCATCCGTTAACAACTCAATTTCTTTCCGCTCACAACTTACAGGTGTAGATAATGAGTCGTTCCTGGTTGATAGAAGAGGTTTTGGAGGTACCAGAGCTCATCTAAACCTAGAAAGTGAGGATGACATACTTGCACTGAAGTTGTCTTCAGCAATGCCATCAGATAATGCTAGTTCGTTGTCCAATGAGGAATCAGCCAATTTGACCAGTGTTGATTCACTCTCTGTGAAAGGTTGGTTCTTCTTTTTTTGGATCCTTAACATTCGCACTGTGTGCATTCATACATCTGACCATGAAAAGTGAACATACATTTTTCCCCTTTTACTGAAGATCAGCTGTCTATTTAAGTCTAGGAGGGCAAATTGTTTCTTTACTTTAGTTGATCGCTTATGCCAGGATAAGATAATCACAACTTAAGCATGATTTTACTTTCTCTTGATGTACAGCTGCTAGTGTAGCTTCTCAGTGGTTGGAACTTCTTCATCTGGATATCAAAGGGCGTCTTGCAGGTGGGTTCTATTCTACTGATACTAATTGGTCAAAATCCTCTTTATTTTCTGGGGCAAGTAATGTATATGGGCCTCTAACCTTCAGTCTTTTTATTTCTGCAGCACTTCGACGAAGTAAAAAGAGAGTTCGGGCTGTTATTCAGACAGAATTACCTTTCCTATTTTCAAAAGAATTTCCTTTAACTCAAGAAATTCCAAAACCTGAGGATGCTGCTTGTCCTCCCAATTCAGCTGATGCACATCGTGCCAAATGGAAATTTCTGTTTGATCAGATGGATAAAACACTCGTAGAAGAGGAAAAACAAATGGAAAGTTGGCTGAACCAAGTAAGGGAAATGCAGTTGCACTGTGAAAAGGGTCTTTCCAAATACAGTTCAGCTTATGCTTTACAGCATCCATTTGAGAATGACAACAGGTAAAAATTCTCTTTACGGGATACATTATTTTGCATCCTAAATTCATGGAGAGCATAAAACATGATGTGGAACAAGGTACTAATAGAAAAACAAATTATAGTATGTTCTGTAATTATTATTAAGATCTACAATTCAAGGAAAGCGTGACACTTCATTTGCAAAGTACTGCTGTATTACTTTCATCATTTTGTTATTCAGTACTCCCTGTCCCTGAAGGAGGCTTCCTTTCTTTTACATAAAGTTTGGAAGGTGCAATATAACAGTACTTTAAATGGGTAGGTATGATAGTTTTGGTTATGACATTGTGGGAGCTCTTTGTAACTAGAATGTGGCTGCCTTGCAGTTTGCCGAAGGCTGATAGTACAGAGAGAGATTTGGCAGTCAGGGCGGCTGCAGCATCCATCTATTCAACGTGCAACTTCTTGTTGTCGAACGAAAATTTACCTTGTTGCTGATCAGCGTAAACACATCTCACGCCTAGTAGCATTGATTTCCTAATCATAGTGTATTTCTTTATACCTACAACATGAGCAGGAGAGGCCTGCTGAATGAAAAATTTAGGTATTGCTTAAATCTGTAGCAGTAGAGTTTGATTAGATTCACGATTTAGTTTCACTGGCCAGTTTGTGTTGACCATGAAGCTGACATTTATAATGAATAATTTTAATTATTCTTGTTCAGTATTAATTCAATTTAATGTGGACACTCAAGCCAATCTTCCTGTGAATTTTTTGGATGACAGTTTGATACTTTTGTTGGTTAACTTTAAAGTTAACCCAAATTATGGAGAGGATTTGCAGGCTCTACGATGTCTTTCATTGGGCAACTAGTCAGCTAACATTCAATAAGGATGCGCCTTTACATGTTTAATATTTAAAAAAAAAAGTTAATTATTAGACGACTTTAGTAGCAGAGGGAAAAGAAACAGAGATCTATTAGTTTGCTTATTTATACGTTCAAATATACATTTATGTGAAGGGTTAGTGTTATCTTGTTATTTAAAACCAACACCAAAAGTATAACCAGAGTAAATTGCATGAAAATAAATCATTAGGGGGTTAATTACCAAAAATCCTATTTTAGGAGGCATTCTGCTTTTAGCCAGTTGGAGCAGGTAAACAATTTAGCCAAGTTCAAGGCACATTTCCACGGGTGCTGGTGATGACAAAAAGGAAACTATTTTCTAACTCATACAAACTCTAATGCAACTGAATACTACGGTGTTCTACAATATACAACTATACCAACACTAGAGTTAAGTACAAACACAGCATCTCTGAAAGATTTAGGCTGCGAAAGATTAGGGAAAAAAAGGGAACTTTGGCATACATGCTTAATTTAATGATCTAGGCAGAAAGGTTGATCATGCTAGATGATAAGTCTGAAGCCAATTTGGTGTGCTCATTTTACTTGATATTGGTTTTACAGATAATGAATTCTCTGCAACCTTGGCAAGCGACCGGTACTGCAGTTTTACACTCTCAGCATTGTCCAAAGTTTTTACGACATACCTGTACCCATTTAAATTCCAATACCAAAAAGTTACCACAAAGTTAACAATCATCGACTGGACCAGTGCACGATATATATAAAACGTTGGGGATCACAAGACTTTCGAAAGGAAGAAGAGCATTACCATCCATTCAAGCACTGAGTGGTCACAATAGCCTCACGTCCCACAAAACGTGGGGGTGTCCTCTTGTTACCCTGAACAAAATCTTCTTACTCAGTGAATCCATTGGAAACTGATCCAGTAACAGCAATGAGGATTGAGATTCCGAAGCAAACCTTTATTATAACTCGATCAGTCACGGCAAACGGGAATTGAACACCTCTTCCCCTTGAATGATCTGTCTGCATTGAGTCACCATAAGGCCCCCTACCCTGCATGAAAAACTAGCAATGAAAAAGGAGAAACTGAAATCTTTCAAGGTAAAGCATTATGACTCATCAATCATTGGTGAAGGATAATCAAGTTTTTATTATTGGTGTACTAGCAAAAAGACAAACCTGCTCAAATCGATCCCTCCGCCTTTTTGATATATGTTGGGGTTGCATTTCCTCTTCTCGACGAAATGCTTGCACAGCAGCACGAAGAGCTGACAAGGCAAAGTAGAAAGACAAAGTTACCAAAAGTGAAACCTAGTAAGGTAAATGGAGAATTTCACAGCAAGAATAACTCATATAGTTTTATGCGTCCACAGTCAAAAAAATTGGAAACACATTATTGCCTATGAAAACATAAAGCTAAAACATCTAGCTTTTACTACCAAGCAAGCAGCAGTAACCATTCAAGACCCTTTAGCATTCAACAGCCATGCTACCTTTCTTCTACAACAAACTCAAGACTAGCAACACATTGAAGAGAGCTTTCATTACTCGCAATATTAAGTAGACTAGTATCAAGTTGAAGAGAGATTTCATTACTTTAAACATACATGGCAAGAGGAAATCCTACATCCCAGTCAATTTGGAAGATTGTATCCACAAAATGAATAATACCAAACAACAAATTGTGCAAGTATCACTTACAGAGATTTGGGCGGATAGAATCTTCCGATACTGGTTTTGAACAAGAATAGCAAGATTTCTGGAATTAGAATCATGAAAACTAATGTTAGAAAAGTAGACCAGAAACTCCAATCGACATCACTACATTACACAACGAAACTTAATGTAATATCCATTTCCTTTACACATAAATATTTGCAAGGAAGATCAATAATCCAAACAAACTAAGATGTAATCAGTATGAAAGGAAGAGGGGAGGGGGAGGGGGGGGGGGAGGGGTTGGATAATTGTCCTTCTGCCTAACAGCAAAATAAGTTATTTGAAACTGAAGATTACAAATGAGCATGGTACCCTATCTGAACAGAATGCTTGTTCCTTTTCCTCGAATAACTCAAGCAATATAGCAGAGCAATTCCAATTGCAATTTTCAAGAGATTAGAAAATCCAGCTAAGCATGAAATCAGGAGTATAAAAGTAGGATTATGACATCCTATCATACGTTTCATCGACACTAGTGAAGCTACAGAAGATATAATTTAAACACCCACCATTCCAATTATATTTTGTATCCCACCACTGCTAAATGAATGCCCACATGGCAGTATCATTGCATCATCCATGAGCGCTCCACTGAAAATGGGAAAAACTACTTCATAAGCGTTTGCAAATTTCACAATTAAATGATTAAGGTTAAAGAGAGCTACAGTACAGTAGCAAAAAAGAATGGGAAGTGTAAATGAGGTACAAAAGGGCATTTGAGGGTAAGAGCACTCCATTGACGAACAAGTAAAGATTTGGAAAGAACCCCGACTACTAAAAGTCTGTACATAACTAGCTAGATCACAGTGTCAGATTCTAAGCAACATAGAAGTCTGCAAATCTTACAGAAAATGAGACTACTGCTTCCTAAGTCAAGAATTCTTATGAAGATTATCTGTTCACCGTGGATCAATCCTTCTACTTGGCAACAAGCATCTTAATACTGGTAACTGGAGCAGGGAAATCTTTCTCGCAGCAAAGTCTGTTCACCAATGACTAGTTAAACTCAGAGTTTCTCTTACTGAACACAAATGATGTATAGCAATCAAACATAATAAGAGTTCATGAGTGAAGAAGGAGCAGGTTTATCAGAAAATTGAAGTCTCCTATCCCAACAATCAGGGCTACTAAGAAAGAGGATCCAAGTGAACTTGTAACTATATACACCACACAATGCTCTGTCCCCATGGAAAACCAGAGGATCATCATACTGTTACAGAATAACATACAAATGATTCAAACTACACCCATCTCACATGCACCCAAATGAAACCAAGAACAGAGCAACCAGAAATCAAAAGATTAAATTTTGATTTAAAAAGTAAATTACTAACATATATGACATCAGTAAGGATTTCCAAAACTTACGTCAAAGGATCAGAAAGGATTGTCCTCAATGGATCCCCTGATTCACTTAAATACAACCCCTCTTTCCTTCCACTTAAACCACAACCATTTTCGCCGGCTATAATATCTTTGTGACCTGCACTTGAAACCATCTCGGTCGCTCCCTGCATATACTGTGAGTGATACAACTCCCCATCAGCATTTGCTACAGTCACTCTCATCCTCGTACCACCATTTTCCTCATTAGTATTACAACTCCTCCCCACAACATCTCCCTCCGTCAAGCCTGAGAAACAATTTTGAAAGTTTTACATAATTAATGACTATTAAAAGGGTTGAACAATCAATACCGTAAGAGTTTAATCAAAACTTTACCAAACGAGCTGAGCTGCTTAGTCTTTTGATATCTCCTTCCATTTCTATGATTAATCCTTTTCTCATGGTTATCATTAGCATCAAGGCGAACAAGGCCGTCCACCTCATTCTCGTCATCATCGTCATCGTCCTCGTCATCCTCATCCTCAACGTCGTCGTCTTCCTCGGATCCATCCCCGCTGGGAGTGGGGGAGGCCCGGCTGCTAAGGTTCCAGTTGAGACTACTGTCCTGAATCTCCTGATGAGGACGGTCCCCGTTAGCTAAGGCGGAGGAGAACACCGGGCGGCGGAAGTCCGAGGTCGTAGATTGGTGGAAGTAAGGGTGGTGTTGCTGGCGGTGGTGGTCGATGAAGCCGCCGGTAAGCTCCCGAGTAGTGGCTTTAGCTTCGCCGACAGGGCTGGCGGAGGAGGTGGAGGCGGAGCCACGGCGTTGGGCTGGTGGCGGGCCGCAGTTGAAAGTATCCTGGAAAACGAGGTGGGAGTGGTTGAGCCCATCATCAAGGCGACGTTGGGTTTGGACTAGGCCCACATCGTCAGAAGCCATGGATGGAATCTCTATCGCGATCAAGGGTTCACTTCCATTTTCATGAAAAATTTCAGCAACTCAAAAGCGAAGAATCTGATTAGGGCAAGCGGCGAGGTTTCAAACGACGTCGTTCCACTGGTGGAAGGCCGCCGCTTTCAGTTGCTCTTATTCTTTCAACCTGCGACGGATGATGTAAGAGTGTTGCACTGTTGTGGCTGTCGGGGAAGAGAGATGATTGAATGAACCCAGAAGTGGAGGATTAGGAAGTGATTGTCTTTGACTACAAAAGTCAACGATTTCGATGATGCCTAAAAATATATATAGCGGTTAAGTAGTTTCCTGGATTTGGAGACACAAACTGATATAGTACTTTCTTTTAATAGGAGGGATAGGACTCATTATATGCTTTATTTAAGCTGATTATGATTTGTGCTCTGGTTATCAAATTCATTGTGTCAGTTAATTATTGTTTCCAAAACAAAAAAAAAAAAAAAGGTTAATTAGTGTTGTGGCTATGTTGTCAAACCTCTTATGTACGACGAACAGTATGATATTTTTCTGAAAATGGAGTTCATTTTAAAATATAGAATTTCCAAAGTTTATTGATAATTTTATCCATGACTCCATGCCTTAAAAACCAAGATTTTGGCTAACCGAAATAACAAGGAAACTCTCGCTAGAAACAATTCTCTTTACCAATTAGGTAAGCGAACCGTAAGGTGTCAATTTCCAGTTTCCATCTCCTCTCACTAAAGAGACTAGGAAATGCCTATCTCTGAATTATGGAATCCCATCAAATAGTAACCCAAAATAATGCCTCTCTGTTGACCTTTTCAATTCCACTCTACAGCGTGTGAATTGGTATTAGACTAGAACGTAAGAATTTAATGGAAATGTTAGTACAATGTATAAGCTTATTATTTTATTTTTTTTACAATGAAAGAGGCTATTGGCTAGAAAATGAAACTACCATTGAACAAGTGAACTAGAATAAAAAATAAAAAAACTATGAATAAGACCTTATTTGATAATTCTTTAATAGCTTTAAAACTTTCTTCATAAATGGCTGAGACTTATTCATGGTCTTGTGATATCCGTAATTCAAATAGTGTCACCTTCAGTAAATAATATGCATGCTTAATATATGTAAAGACTCGAAAGAAACTTATTGAACCAATCCTTAGAAAACGCCAAATGATACTATAAACAAGAAAAATCAGATGAAAAGAGAAGATAATATTCATCAGATGCTACGCTTATTAACAACTTGTATAGTCGTGAAAATGATCCTGACAAGGCAACACCAACAAGAAGTCTTTACTCAATTGTATGTGATTGAGGAGTCAGAGGGATCCAGTGAAATTTCTTCCTACCCATCCTCAATAGATATTGATCAATATCATCGGTAGAAATATAATAAAAATCTTGCATAGAAGTTACTAGTCCTCCAATCAGAAATTACCGATCATTGTAAAAATTCATCAAATCTCCTTGGAATTGAATGCCATTTTGGTCCTCTAATCTTCAATGAGAAAAAAAAAAAAAAAACAATACTATGCGTGAAACAGAGGCGCAGACGACTTTCCAGATTTTCAAAGTCTTCAAAACCTTCTTTTATGATCATTTTCCCTGACCCCAAGTGGCACGCGTCTTTCTTCAACTTCCACGTTGTTCAACGCTTTTGCAGTTTCCAGAGGGTAAACTCCCGCATAGAATTCAGCAGAAAAACTCATGAATTGGAAGGAAGCGTGCTTGTTATTGTGTTTGATTTGGCTGGCCATCTCAAAGAGAGGAGCTGCTGCAAATCGTATTCAACATAGACGGTACCTAGTCCAGGAAGCCCATAAATCCAACCCCAAACAAGTTAAAGAGGTACCCTTGTACATATTCTTGGTCTGAATTTTTCCATACGAAAGCGGTTGAATTTTTTTTTTATTTTTTTATTTTTTTGGTTGAGGAAGACGGATGGGTTTTTTGTGTAGAATACAAGCCCGTCACCGGGTCCTGAGAAGCCTGCTGCCAAAACCAAACCTGGGACTGGGAATGATAAAGTCGATGCCAGTCCACCAGAAGTTGATGATGTTCCCAAGGAGACATGTGACCCGAAGTTCAACAAATGTCAGAATGATGCTCAGAATATCACAGCCTGCCTGCTACAAACTCCTGGAGACGGTGGTTATTTCATTCCTTTTCCTTTCGAGTTAGTATGTTGCAGTCGAATAAGATAATTTTGCAGTTAAATTCTCTTAGATACAGAGGAAGTAGTTTGGAGATAAACATAGGATTGGATTTGGAGATGGAGTTAGGTACATGAAACACTCACATTCTAGACCAAAAATGAACAAAAATCAAAGCATCTGTATGTACTGGTTAATCAGTTTCTACCTGTTTCAGCATTTGATTAATTTGAATCTGATACCTTGGTTGTTTGGCTTGTGGTGGGTTCGCACTAAAAGAAACCCTTCTCCATGCAGTTTCCAGAGGACCATTTCTCCTTGTCCACAATGAGGGTCAGAGCTCTTTCACATTCAATGTAACAATACTTCCATCAAACTCAACAACCTTGGACATTGGAGTTACATTGGCACACCAAGTTAGTAAGGTATGGTATAATTCCTATTGAAACCAACATCTCAATCATTAAAAAACAGTTTGATGACTTGTATCGGCTTTGTTTCTCATCAGATTAACGTTTCATCAAATGCAACCATGACAACAGCAGTTGTACTAAACGCTCATGAATGGACATGCAGAATTGGAAGAAGAAATCGGCTTTCACTGAATTTTCCTTCTTACATTGCAAAAATAAAGCCCATAACCGGGGTATACTTGATTTCTGGGACAATTCTGATTATAGGAGTTTTGTGGGCGGGTTGCAAGCAGGGGAAAGACGTCAAGCATCTCAATGGAGTTCCCTACCAGGGACTCGAAATGGGGCGACAAGAAAGTGGCGCTTACATGAACGTGGAAACAGTAGACAGTTGGGACCAGAGTTGGGAGGACTGGGATGACGAAATGGCTGTTGAGTCACCTGGTGGCAGTCATGTGGACAATGGACAAGGCCAGGCAAATGGAAATGGTTCTAGTTCTAAGTCTGCTGATATTAGTGAATGGAGCAGTGATTGGAATGAATGATGATGATTGAATACATCCTCATCAGTCATCTCTATCCTGACAAGCTCAAAAAGGTACAGGGGCAGCCCAAAAAGATAGAGAACAGTAAAAGGATGAAGTATTACCTAAACAACCTCCAACATTATGGTACTTCTAGAAAAATTCTCCAACATTAAGGTTGGGTCTTAAGGAGACCATACATTTGTAGCAGTGGCAGTAGAAATAGATGTGGAAAAGACTACATACAAGATTTCCACAATTTTGGTACTTGCAGCAAAAACCTTTTACTTCTGTTTAGGTTCTAATTCAGCAACGGAATCTTCCCAGGAAAGATTAATAGACAATGTTAACATAGAACAATCACTTGGAAACTAAACAGCTTAATGGCATGATATTCTCCTCATAATACCACAGATCGATCATCTGTAAATCATGATCAACAATGCGTTGCTTTGCAATAGAGGATGAACCACAGTCTGCTATGTAACGCTTCTTTAGCTCCCCCTTGGCTTGATCATATACACAAAACGGGACTGGGAAGTCCCATTTACTAGCAGCAAAATCCATAAGAACCACATTTCCATTGAGTGCACCCAAAGGGCGGAAGTAATAAAGTTTTTCTGATTCAGATTGTTTCGGGAGATCAATCACATGCTCTGACCAGGTCAACGAGGAGGTCTGTCCACAGTCACCATTGGCAATATAATGGCCATCATCCTTGGAACTTATGATCTTAAACTGACTAGACCAACACGATTCGGATGATGAAAGAGCTAGGTTTGGTCCAAAAGGCAATAGATATGACCACTTCCCTGGAGGATGAGAAATGACTTGAAATTCTTCTCGAGTAAGATCAAAACAAAGAAGACTATAATTAATTTCGCTGTGACATACATTCGGAAGGGTCCAATATAGAACACCGGTTCTATATGACCCACACAAATTTATCTTGTCAAAGGTAAAAGGAATACTTCTCCATGATGAATCAACAGCTACAGTGAAAATGAACACCTCTCGGGAGGGGCATGTCTTTAGTACCTTGTAAACTTCGTTGGAGGGATCAAAACCAAAATGGCAGACACAGAATGCTGACTCCATGTCTGAATCAGGAAGAACCATACGTTCTCTGGTGGCAATGTTGTACAGACATGAAAAATACCCATCATAAAAGCATACCAGGCCATTCACGGGCGGTGTGGACGCCATTCTCAGGTGCTGATCCAATGTGTAGTGATGAGAGATGTGTGTTCGGGTGTCATCATCATCAACTTTCAAATAGAAGAAGTCACGAGGGTTGAATGGAGATAAGATGCTGAAACGTTGGATAAAAAGCAGACCTTTGAAACCGCCCTGATAAACCCTTGCGAAAGATGGATCAACAATAATTGAGAGCCAAAACTTGCATACACTCTTGAACCTCATCAAGGATTTCACAGGGACCCATATCAAGATATTCCAAATTACTGCTTCAGGAAGTACTGAAGAATCATCATAAGTGGATTTTGCCATTTGATATGCAAAATTGGCAAGTATAATTTGGGTGCTCTTATAACCAATGTTTCTAGTTCAGTGAATCGCGAGAATCCTGGAAATGAACCCCCAGAGAAAGATCCGAGAATCCACAGTCATGATCCCATCATTTCATTTTCCCATTCCTATCGACTCAATTTGAGACGCAGCATACAAATATATTCGCGTTCACCATAGCTAGTTCTTGTTTGATAGCCACAAAGCTTATATATCAAGCCAAATCTAACACAATCACAAAACGAATTTGAAGTCTCAACAATAATTTAAACACGGCAGCAACAAAGACTTTTCAATTGGAAGCTTGAAAGATGAACTTTTACCAGTAGAACGATGAACTTGGATCAACGACCGTAGGATCGGAGAATTGTGCTTGTGCAGACGGTGAGCGGTGGCTGAAAGAAATAAAAGCGCGCGGCAGCTAAGGTGACAGTGGGCTGGTGCCTTGGTGGTATAATCGAGGCGGAAAAGCGGTGGAGGAAAAGACAACTCCCGTGAGCAGGCGGTGGTTTGGCAACCGGCTGAAATTCAACAATGGGCTAATTAGTTAATGAGGACCATCGGATCAACTCCAAATGCACGGGCTACAAGTCAACCCAATAGCAAAGCTTCAGGCCCTTGGACTTGATTTCTCCGAATGATATTCAGTTTATTGCTTGTTTCTTAACCCAACAAAAATGTCATCTAAACCAAGAAACATGCTATAGTTTATCGGAAAAATTGGCCGATCTATCCAAAACTTTACATTCATAGTTAATTTTATTATATTTTTTTTTGGTTAACCAATATTATCTTAAACTATCAAACCGTTAACTAATTTTGTCCAATTTATCAATTTACGTTTAAATTAACGGAATTCTATTTAGTTTTAATTGCAAAAAATACCTCAATAGTTTTCAAAATTATGAAAATAACCTCAAAAATTTTAAAAAATAACAAAACAGTCTCTTCAGTTTTAATTTAATTTTTTCTGTTTTTTATTTCTTTTTACTATTTTTCATAACAATAAAAGTATACTATATGATCTTATAAAAACAATTTATTTTTAAATGGTACTGTACAAAGTTATAGATATACATATTTGTAACTCATGGTTGATTTACATAAACATATTAATTTTTTTAATAATATGACTAGACAAGACGATAATGATATTGTTTTTTTAATCTATTTTTTTTCAAAATAAAGAATAAGATTTTTTTGACTAAAACTAATTTTTTACAAAACATGAAAACATTTAGCATAGGTTAAAAAATAATATATTAGTATATTTTAATTTATCATAAATTAACTAAACAAACTATAGATTGTATTATCTAATTAATTAAATAATTAAACTAAAATATATGGTACAGTCTAGTGTTTAGGATGTTCAGTCTCATGAGAGTAGATATAAGTAGGGGTATTAATTTGGTTTGGGTCCAGGTCTACGGGTTGGGTTGGACCCAACCTGTTTATTTTTTACCTCAACCCGAACCCAACCCATATATTAAACAGGTCAGATTCCTAAATCCAGACCCAACCGTTTATTTTGCGGGTTACCCGGGTTGGACCCGTTTAACCCGAATAATTTTTTTTTTTTTTTGGCTGGTGCCTAAGTAATTTTTTTTTCTTGGTAAAAATTATGAATTTTTTAATAAAAATCTATTTTTTCTCCACATTTCAAAGTGCAAACCAAAGAAACACAACTAATTAGGTTTTTGGCCGGTTGGTATAATTAAGATAGGGTAAAATATTTATGAAATTACCAATATGTCTATAGAAATATATGAAAATTACTACATAACCTATTTAAATGGGTAACCCGGCAGGTCAACCCGAACACGGCCTAATTATAAACATGTTGGGTCAGATTCAACCAGTTTATTATCTGGGTCGAAAATTCTAACCCAAACTTGTTAACTTTGGGTTGGGTCACGGGTCCAAACCCAAATTGACACCCCTAGATATAAGATTAATTCTCACCAAAGGATTTCTAAGCGGGAGAGTGATTTTATCTACATTTAAGCGAGTTCTACTAAAGGTGAGAGGGTTGAGTTGGACGGTCAGGTGATTTAAGATTTGAGATGATTATTACTGTGTTTGAGGTCTCACTGGGGCAACTAATTTTGTTTTTCAAAAAAAGGCAGAATTCAGTATTTGAGAGACAATGACCATTTCTTACCATATTTTATTATTCTATCCGTCCCATAAAAAATTTATATTTTCATATTGAGTTTTTGAGATTTTTTCCATTTTGGTATAAAATTAAAGCCTCAATATAGACTTTTCTTGGGAGAGAGAAGTAACACTATGTATGTTTTTATGCATTTTTCCATTTTGCACCAAACCACCAGACATAATTGGATTTAACAAATTAGGTCTTTCGAAAATTGGTTCGAAACAATAGAACTCTATCATTAGCAATTCAGCAGGCCATAAGGTGAAGCAGCAAAGGTGGGTTCTTTTCTTCTTTCTTTTTTTTTTTCTTTTTTTTTTCTTTTGGACAATGGATGAAAATCATGAGCACATGCATTTTGGTGTGGGAGTGGTTTCTCTGTTCTCTCCATTGCTTCCCCACTGCAATGTGCTCAACAAAAGGTAAAAAGGAAGAAAAGCTGATCATCAAAGGGTATAATGTCTTCTTTCAATAAAGCAGAGGAAAATCTCTTTGGACAAAATAAAAAGGTGGGGGAGAGATGATGGTGGATGGTTGATAAAAATTAATGATGATAAATATAAGTTGATCCCATCTTCTTCTCCTTGCTTCCCATGCATATGACCATGGAGCCCCGGCCCCCTCATTTCTCACTTCATTTGAGATTTGCTTTATAATTTCTTTTTGGTTCATTTTCTTTCTTTTATCATTCCTAGGATCTAAAGTAACTCCAATTTGTTTTGGTCGTTGCTGTTCCCTGCCACTTTAAAGTTGAAGCATTAGCACAATGGCACTCACTAATACTAGGTAAAATATATCAAAAGTCTAAATATTAATCGAAACGGATAAAATTTTTGTATAAAAAAAAAAAAGATAAGAAACACATCGTGAGAATGCTCCTACAATGTCTTACTCGAACCACAACCTTAAATATATTTTCTACGCTCATTATAAGGTATTGAGTAAACCCTCATATTGGTTCCACACATTAGGTCCAATTAACATTTTCGTCTCATACATTAACATTTAAAAGGATTAGTCCCAAATATTTATATCCGTAACTTTTATTGTCCCATTTCACTATTTCGATACCTTTTCCGTTCAGCTGCCACCACAATTAGGGATATTTTTGTCTTTTTATTAAATCTTAATTTATATTAACTTAGGAAATTTTTAATTCTTAAAATATTCAGTTTAAATTATTAAAATATTATTAAAAATTTAAAATTAAAATTAAAAAATATTTTGAAAATTATTTGTCAATTTTTTTACCTTTTGAACAAAGTTAATCTCTTTTACTATTCACCTTTTATCATATGACCCACTGTACCTCTGACAATTGACCGCTGCAGTAAATAATTCAAAATTCAAAAATAAAAAATAAACAATATTTTTCACCTAAAATTTTAACGCGCCTAAAATTTTAACCCGCCCAAAAATATTTTACCCACCTAAAAATTTTAACCTGCCTAAAAATAATTTTAACCCACCTAAAAATTTTAACCAACTTAAAACTTTTAACCCGCCTAGAAATATTTTAACCCGCCTAAAAATTTTGTCCCGCCTAAAAATTTTAACACGCCTAAAAATATTTTTAATCCACCTAAAAATTTAACCTACCTAAAGATATTTTAACCCACCTCTAAAAGTAATTTAAGCCGCCTAGGCGGGTTAAAGTTTTAGGTGTAAAATATATTTTATTTATATTTAAATTTTTGAATTTTGATTATTTACTGTAATGGTCAATGGTCAGAGTTACAGTGGGTCATAGGAAAAAAGGTGAATAGTAAAAGAAATTAACTTTGTTCATAGGGTGAAAATAAATAACATAATTTTCAAAATATTTTTTAATTTTTAATAATATTTTAATAATTTAAACTGAATATTTTAATCATTCAAAAATTGAGATTTAACAACAAGACAAAAATACTCCAGATTGTAGTGGCAGCCGAACGGAAAAGGTACCGGAATAGTGAAATGGGACCAAAAAAGTTACGGACATAAATGTTTGGGACCAATCTCTTCAAATGTTATTGTACAGAACAAAAATTTTAATTGAGCCAAATATATGGGATCAATATGAGGGTTTACTCTAAAGTATTTTCATTTTTCTAAGGTTTCATATATCGTGTTCTTCCAATTAAAAATTAAATTTTTAAATATAATTTATGATATTTGATAGAACACAATAAATGTAAAGATGTAATTTTAAAATTTTATTCTCAATTGAAATAATATTATAAAATAAAATCTGTGAGAAATTAAAATACTTTATAATAAAAACCGCAAAAAGTATATATTAATATGTCAGTCAAGTAAATTGCTTCACTACTTTTGTTGAGCCCCTGGTCAAACGTAATATGCATGCATGGCATGGCCAAGATATGGAGGAATCGAGGCAGCCCGCCCCTCTATACTTTGGCCAATTTCGTTATGAACAAAATAATTCTCTTTCGAAATCCAATGTTTTTTATTTCGTAAGTCTTGGTCGTTTACCCCTCCTAGGAACATTTGATTCTCTTCCATTTTCTCGACTAGTTTCTGAAAAGTACACATTAACTAGTTTTCCTATTATCTTGAACTTAGAACATTAGAAAATAAGAATAGAATATACTGTAATATTTATGAAATTACTATTATCTTTTGTTCCATTATCTCGTAAGTAAAACTGTTTACATTTACAGAAATATATTTAGTCTTTCTTTTTTTTTTTAACCGAAGAAAGACATTTTTACGTGGAAAAAGAACATGATGGCGACCTGACCTAACTAACTAGTGAGCGTGATGAATCAAGCACCATGCAAAGGAGTTGTAGCTTAATTATGAATGATGATGAAAGGTCGACCAGGGAGTCACTCACTCACTCAACATAAATGTGGAACATAATTAATTTGGTTTGATTATGCCATGTGCTAGTACAAGTTTCCATAATTAGGGTTAATGGCCCCCCAATTCCATTAAACATCGGCTTTAATTACACTCATCTGGGACAACTCACATTACTTATCAATGCACATGGTTTCAACAAATTTCAATTACTCCTGCTACAATTTGAGTAAAAAGTACTACACACCACAATGAGGCATTTCTAGATAAATGTAATTACACTAAAATTTTATTGTATCAGTGGAAAACCATGTGAATTTTAGGCGTTTCATGCCCTTTGAAAGAAGTGAACGTGAGTCTAAAAGAAAAGAAAAAAATTATCCGACTTTGAATCTGAATTAGTTTCGAGCGCTAGGAATGTGTAAGAAGGGAAAGGATCTCAGAAAGTAAACAACATGAAATGAAATATAAAGAAGTTGATCAATAACTATACCTAAAGACATGGGCTGGCAAAATGGAGTCATGATATTAAGATATGCTTCTCCTGACAGTAGCCATTATTCTATTTCCATTCCCCCTAACCATTTCCCATGTCCCATTATTGCTTTTTAAGCTAACACTATTATTATAATCCTCACTCAGATTTCTTTGTCTTGATAATGATAAAAGAATCTTTAAGAAACCTCAAACTATCAACTCACTTTTGACTTAAATCTAAGAATTATTCTTCTTCTTCCAACCTGTCACTCACAGTCACACAGACACATCAAATTGTTTGTTTGGTGATTTAAACTTGAGCGAATCCAAGCTTGACTTTTTGCTAAATATAAGTACATACAGATACTACAGAGGTACAGATACATACAACTTGGATTACACTGTCTCTATTGTGCCCCTGAGATGTTGCAGTCATAAGAAAATATAAAGGCGCTGCTAAATACTGACTAAATCCAACACAGCCAACTACTATTGTGTCTATAGTGGTGTCATCATCTTGTTGGCATTTGAAGAGTATATATTCTATGCATTCCATATCTTACTTATCTGGTTTTTTGAACAAGAAAACAAAAGTAGATGGTGAATGCAGCATCCGCAGCTTGAAAAGTAGGGATTAAAACAAGAAGCTAACAAGAGAGATAATTAACATCTTTCTTTCTTACGCAGGGTACCAAATGGGAACCCGGCGAAAAGGAATCCGGTAATTGAATGTAACATGAAGAAGGTATCACAATAGGACCACGAGTTGAAGAGCAACCAAAAAAGAAAAGGCAGTAAGAATATCTAATAGAAGTTGTTTCCCTACAGTTAGATTACCAACCGGATTCCTTTTCCCCGATTGAACCATCTTCAAAATGCACGCTATGCCAATTCATCCTGGCTTTCGGAAGGACATCTAATCAGCTCCAAAATGTTAACCACTTCTGCCATGTCGGGTCTGTTTGAGGGTACTTGTGACGTGCATATTAAACCGAGTTTCATAACTGGAATTGCTTCCTCTGCTGGAAACTTCCCCTGCAGCCTACCGTCAACACACTCCTCCACCCTACCTTCTTCCAGTGCTCCTCTGACCATGTCACATAGCACAACCACGTCATCCTCCATGTACTCTACTGGTCTTTTCCCAGTAACTATCTCCAAAACAAGAACGCCAAACCCATAAACATCACACTTCTCAGTTATCTTAACAGTTTTGCAAGCGAATTCCGGTGCCATGTAGCCGAGTGCACTTTGAATTTTGCTACTCAAAACATATCGATCCAGCATTGGCAGCAGCCTGGCTAAGCCGTAATCAGCAACTTTAGCTTCACCTTCGCCGTCAATTAGGATATTGCTCGACTTTAAGTTATAGTGAATTATGTTCATCTGGTGCAGATAAGCCAAACTTTTGGCTGCTCCAAGAATTATATTAAACCTCTCATTCCATGAGATGCTTCCACCAGATCCTTCATGAAGGTGCTTGTATAAATTTCCACCAGAAACAAATTCATAGATAAGAAGCTGCAGTGATGAGGTCCAGTAATAACCTTCAAGAGTAACAAGATTACGATGGCGGGCTTTCCCCAATTTCTTAACTTCTCTTTCAAAATCATCTTGAGACTTCACAAGACTGGAGACAGTAAGCTTCTTAATGGCAACTGAACGCCCATCTTTAAGAACAGTCCGGTAGACAGCCCCAAATCCACCACGTCCAAGCTCACAGTCCTTGTTGAGGAGAGCATGAGTTCCTGTACTGAAGTCAGGATCACCAGAAAACATAACAAGTTTGCCTGAGTTGGCATCTGTACTGGGAGAATGGCTATAGTCGTCGCCACCAGAAAATGTGAGAGCAGCTGCAGATGGAGATGCAGAAGACCGTACACGAAGATTGAGCACAGTTATAGCAATCACACCAACAACAATGACAGCGGCAGCCCCAATGGCAATTAGGGCAGAAATGCTGAGGATTTTCTTTTCATGGCCAAAATTCTCAGGCATGGAACCCGGACTTGAATCAGTAGAGTTAGGATTGAGTACGATGGGTTTCGGGAGAACTGTTGGGCATGTCCTATTGACTGGAGCCCCACAAAGGGCTGGATTACCATATACTGAAGATGGAGATATAGTATTGAAAAATCCACCAGCAGGTAGGTCACCTTGCAGTTGATTATGTGAAATGTTGAAGGAAACGAGATGGCCAAGATTTGCCAGTTGCTTTGGTAGGAGTCCAGTGAGTCTGTTGAAAGACAGGTCTACATGCTGAAGATTGACAAGCTGTGCTATAGCGGCTGGTATAGGACCAGTTAGATCGTTCTGCGAGAGAGACCTGCCGAATGCAATGCAAACAAGAATTTAGAAAATAGAAGCAGTATCGACTATCACACAATTGGGATAAAGACTTGTTGGTGTATCCACTATCCACTATTATGCAAGCAGAGGCGGTAAAATGAATGACCACCGTACACATTAACAAACTAATGTGCCAGGATTCTTAGCTTTCATCTGATTTTAGAGGTAGAAATCTTCTAACTCAACAACTACAGTATTCGTCTTTCCTACAGTCATGCATACCAGCCTGAACCAAATTTCCTGAAATATATGACATCAATAAGCTGTCTGTTGACCATGGTTACCATCCTTTAACAGCTTCATTACGGTTCAACAATGTGCCATCAAATCCAGAAAAGTTAACTCTAAACTACAAACATCAAAACCATAATATTGTAGAAGTCTAATTTCAAGTTTCAACCCACAAGATAATACCAGTAAAAAAGGACATATCAGCAATATATAGATATAGCAACAGGGCAAAAGAGCTTACAGAAAAGTTAACTGCAAACAGTTGCCAATGGATGCTGGGATGTTCCCGTCCAGAAAGTTTTTATCCATCACCAGTTTCTTAAGGGAAGTAGCTCCTCCAATTGCAAAGGGGATGCCACCCTTCAACTGATTCTCGCTTACGTCCATTGTATCCAATGATTTCAACTGGTCGATACTGTTTGGAATTGACCCAACTATCAAATTTCTAGACAAATTCAGAACTTGCAAACTGCTTAGATCACCGAAAGCGGAAGGGATTCCACCAGATATAGCATTTTGGGAGATATCCAAATGAAGAAGCTTTTGCCGAGAATTTTCCATTGATGAAGCAAAAGCATCTTCCAAACTTCCATTTAATTTATTTTCTGAAACCACAAGTTGCTGTAGACCCAATCTAAAACCCCAAGAAGGAAACTTACCACTCAAAGAGTTTTGACTAACATCTAAAACAAGAAGGTCTGCGCAGCTGCTCAAGGATTCAGGGAAGCTTCCGCTGAAGGTGTTTCGGGATAAATTCAGGACCTTCAATGAGTGGAGTTCGCCTAACGAATTTGGAAGCTCCCCAGAGAAGTTATTTGCAGAGAGATCCAGAGCCTCGAGGCTTCTCATTTCCCCAACCCAATCTGGTATGTTGCCAGTAAATGCATTTCTCTGCAAACTAAGGTCATTGCACAAGCTAAGCTTCTGCATAGAGTTGGGAAGCCCTCCGGTCAAGAAATTTTCACTCAAATCTATTGACCTCAACAGCATGCAACCCCCAATCCCATCAGGAATTTCACCAACCAACTTATTCTTACTCAAGTTTATTACCCTCAGATTGTTCAATCCTTCAATGCCCTTGGGAATCTCACCCTCAAGCAAATTATCTGATAGGTCAAGCGACCTAAGCCCCAGCAAAGACCATATTCCAGCCGGTAACTGCCCTGAGAACTGGTTGGAAGAGAAGTTCAGGGAAGCAAGCATTGAGCAGGAGCTCAGGCTTTGAGGAATCTCACCTGAGAACTCGTTTTGAGCCAAGGATATTGACCGCAAAGACCCACATTGCTGGAAGAAATCACCAGCAATAGGTCCAGAAAAACTATTCCCACTCAAATCTACAGTCCTTAGGTTTGGGAGTTGGCCAAGCCTGAGGCTGAGAGTGCCAGTGAGGTTATTGTTAGCAAGGGAAAGCTTGTGAAGTGACTGTAATTGAAGAAGGCCTCTGCTTATTTTGCCGGAAAGAGAAAACCCATCAAGAACAAGCTCAGAGACCCTATTGGATCTGGGGTTGCAGAAAATCCCTTTCCAGTTGCAGGGACTATCATCATCTTCATTCCAAGAAGCTAATTTCCCGAGGGGGTCTTGAACATCCGCCTTGAAGACAATCAACCCCAGAACGTCATCATTGAGATTTGGGCTCAAACCATTCACAAGCAATGGAACAGCAAAAAGAACAAAGAGTAGCAGACCACCAAATAGCCTTCTCATTTCCTCCAATCCCCAGCTAAACCAGAATATAAAGGTTCCCCCTTTCAAATTTCCATCCAGGAACGAAGCGAGAATAGGAAGAATTTCAAAATTATTTTACCACACTTTCAAAGTATGGATGTTGGTCAAGACTTATTACTTCTCTCTGGACAAGTTTAATAAAACTTTCTCAAAGCTAGAATTCAGGAAATTTATTTATATGTTGCATTCACCAATATCAAAAAATTTTCGAAAACCGCATTTAACACGGAAAGCCCTGTTCTTCTGAAAGGCTCAAATAGAGGAACCAAAATAACCAGAGAAAATTGCAAAAACGACGCGGAATCAGACCCACATTATCAAATTAAAAACCCTAAAAGCTAAAGGAAGATGCTGCAACTAAGCACTAGTTTAAGAGCGAAAGATATATAGTCATTCAAAAGCCAATGTCCACAGAATACAGTAACGAAAAAAAATGAAATACTGCAGCAGGAAAAGGAATACACTTTCTGGAACTGCGGCTATAAAACTGAAGAAGGAGAAGAGGAGAAATGTACTGAAAAAGAGCTCAAAGTGTTCGATCTGTGAGTGAAGCAAGCAGTAGTCGGGAAATCTTGCTGCTTTACGCAACTCCGACGGAATGGGGGCTTCCTGCGGCGGAGGAGGGAGGAGAAATGGCTTAAAAGAACCAAGTGGCCAGAAAAGCCGCCGAGAAAGGTGGGGGGAAGGAATTGAAGTTTCCGGCAACGGTGAGTCAGTGAGGCATTTAAAGCACTCCCTCTCTTTCTCTCTCTACTCTCTCTCTTTTCTTTTTTTACTTTGTTTCTTTTTTTCTCTGTCTGAGACCGAACACAGACTTTTAATAACGGCCAAAAAGAAAGAAAGTGGGGCGACCGGGGGAGTAGAGTGGAGATGAGGGCCCGCTTTTATTGTTTGGACACGTGGCGGTATATAGTAGGTGGAACTTCTTCCTACATGGCATGGACGTGGCTTTCCCGGCATGAGTTGAAACACTTCTTTTTACCGCGGTGGCCTGTTTTAAGTTTTAACTGCGCATTGTAAACCATCTTTTTGTTTCACTTTCCCAATTTTTTTTAATTAATAGTAATATATATTTATCTTCGTATAACACGCATTTTACATTATCGACCTTCTTATATTCTCGATTAAAAACACACATAGAAAAATAAATAAATAAAATCCAAACATAGAGATTTCTCAGGTGAAAGCTTATTTATGCCGTTTGAGTTCATTAACGTGTTTATTGCAATCCAAACCAATGCATTTGTCATTTTTTCCTTTAATAGTGGAACTGAATTTTCCGTATTCTTGTTAAAAATGAGTGATGGAATAGTAAGACTTTTTTTTTTCTGGCTCATAACATGACCACCTTGAATTGCATTCCTGTCATCCAAAAAATAATACTCCCTCCGTCCCTTAATTATTGTCCAATTTTATTAAAATGAAAGATTTTATTTTTGGTCAAACTTTACTATATTTTACCTTAAACAACCGGATATACCCCTACATAAGTAATTGTTTAACCACTAAGATTTTATGAATAATGTTTTTTGCTAAGGACAAATACGTAACTTGATCCATAAAAAGTCAAATTGGACAATAATTTTGGGACAAAATTTTTTGGGCAAAATGGACAATAATTATGAGACGAAGAGAGTAATAATAATAATAATCGTATTAAATTTTAAAATTTGTATGAAAAATAATATAAATCTAAAAATTCAATGTGCAATGTTTCATTCAGACAGAGGTCGTAGTAATGCGTTTAGTAGTCAAAGTTTATTTCTACAATGACCAATTGACCATGTATACTTTTACATGGTCTGCCCTAGAAAAGTAGTAGCTTCACTACAAAATTATATACACTAGGAGTAGGAGGCAAGAAACGTTACTTTCAATGATCATTAATACTTTTTTTTAACCAACTTATATTGATGTTTTAGAGGTGTTTAATCTAATAGTAGAGAGTCAACTCGCTTGGTGTGCCTAGACATGATGTTTTGAAGTGTGCATTACATGTATGCTTAACCAAATTGTTGAGCATCAATTACTTATTTCATTATGCAATTACATGCTTTCCACGTTAATGGAACGAACTCTCAAATCCATAATTATGTTTGGATCGTTTTTTAGTGTAAGTATTTAAGTGTTTTTTTATTGAAAATGTGAAAAAAATATAATAGGATGGGAAAGTTATGAACATTTGATTTGAAAAAAAACAGTAAAAAACAAACCAAACAAGGAGGGTACATGGCGGGAATTCCTCGATGAACATATACATTTTGCAATTTATTGGGGGTATTCATCGGCACTTCAGCTTGGGATAGTTGGAGTTTTACGACATTTTTGTATAGGTGAATTCAATTAATGAACTGACGCAGAAGTAGTAGAATACAGCACGCCCAGGGACAGGCAGAGGGGGTGGGAAATAAATGAGAAGAGGGGGGTAATTTATAAATAAATTCCAGATTGCGTAGATAGCGGGAAATAATTAAAAAGGAACACCCATATTAAATGAAAAGTCGAAGAAGCAGCAGAAAAGGTAGGTGGGAGAATTCAGATATGGTTGGGTGGGGAGGTGTTTATTAAAGAAGGATGTCTTAAAAACCCTGCAGTGTAAGATAGTGACTCCAGCTTTTGCTTTTCTATATAGAGCTTTTCACTCTCACTCACTCATTCTACTGGACTACTTCTGTAAAATCTTCCATTAAAAAAAAAGTTTTGTAAAATCTACTACTAGTAGATCCTTAATTCCGATGGCCCCAAGCAGGACCCAATAATTCCACTCTCTCTTCGGACCATTTTTCCCTACGCTTTTTTTTTTTTTTTTTTGGGTTATAGTTTTTGGTTTTTCTCGACTGATTATCTATCTGCGCAGCCTTTGCCAATTTACAGTAAAAAATGGTTATTTACTTATTTAAGCCTTTAGTCCAAACGGATCAACCACAGGATTTTTTTAGGACCCTATCGTCGTAGCTAGCTGAATCATCTTGTGGTCATTTTTGTGAGCTCAAAAATTCACTTTTGTTTGTACTCTTTTGGATAGATCGAATTCAGGTTAATAGTCCGATAAATCAGTTGAACATGTACGTAAATGTAGTATAGCTAGTGATACCATGAATACCACCAACAAGTAAGGAATCACACTTAATTTGATTTTGGGTTAATTAATGATGTCCAGCAAGCTTTATAAGCAAGTAAAGTAGTCATGAGATCAATCCATCTGACTTTGTTTCCCACACTTTTTACAGGCAGCGGTGGTGAATGGTGGTGCTGTTGTGATGATTTTTCATGAGTTTTTTTTGGGCGAGAAAAAGTGTAATTTGTGATAAACAAAAAAAAAAAAAAAGTGTTAGTAGTTTGAGAATGAAGCTACCCAGCGTGAATTCATTCATTCTTTGTGCAAAACCATACCCACTTACCAACGTAACTAATATATTCTATTGCTAGCTAGCTTCTCGTGTGTCGCCCTTAAACAAAATGACTTGTGTCCGAAGATAATGACGAATTTGATAAGAAGGCCGAGTTTTTACTACTCCCTCCATTTCAATTTGATAAGGTTACTTCTCTTTTGAAATATTCCAAATTTTAGTCTCATTTTATACATTAACATTATTTTTATTTATGAATTTTATAATATATCCTCACTACTATATACGACTGATATTTAGAACATCTTATTGAATCTAATTCTGAATTTCACCATATTAATTAAAAATCACTAATCATTTATAGGGACATATTAGGTTAACTGTTCCTAAAAATAACCATTCAAACTATATTATCTATTTTTTTCTTAATCTCCGTATTTGCGTTAATGAGCCTATTAAATTAGAATTGATGCAGTACCTAATTTGATTCACATTTGTGACGCGCAGAGCCAAAGGGGTCTTTCAATTTTTCTAATTTGATAGAGATACGTTGGAAATTTTGTGAACTACATCATTGTACGATAATCTTGTTAGTATTTTTCAAAAATTATATATCCTTTTGTTAAATTCCTGATTGGATCCATCATCATCTATACTCCTGAATATTCCTTTCAGTAAGTAGATGGACTTTGAAGTGGTATTTGAATCTTGGTTAATCGGGGAACTGGGAAATTAGTGAACCGATCCGATCAAAGGAATGAATTAGTGAAATATAAATGGAAGTGTGGAGCATCAACTCCGCATTACAAAGACCGGGAGAACAATTCTTGCATCGAGGTGTTAGTTAAAGAGCTGTTCAATTTAGATAAGGGGTTATATTTTTTTTATGTCACGGTTAGTTTTATCTCACTATTGTTAGAGGATGATTATAGATGCTCAAAATGTACATACGTACTGGTCATGTTTATTTACCAAAAAAAAAAAGACCGGGAGCCAAGACAAAGTGACAAACACGCCCAGACAACTAACAAAAGGGCAAAAATCCTATCACCGTTAAGTCAATTCCTCCGTCAGTGGCCTCTCACTAAAAAAGCTTTTACTCGAATTTCAATGTTAGCTTATTCCCGCCATCAGCTTTCTACCCAGAAGACTATGATGGACCGGATCTTATTAATTCCTAGGCCCATTTCTTGCTGCTTCGAGTCCACACTGTCCTACCATTTGAGTATTGGACTGCTGCTTCCTCTGTCACATTTTGGATGGATATTAATCTTTTACCAACACCATCAAAAGATTTAGGAAAATTCTAAGACTCTGTCGCCTGTTTTGAGGGTTTGGTCCTGTTAAAATTTAACTAATAAGAAAGTGACAGATTAATATAATATTGAAGTTTTGTAATTTTTAAATTTTTTTGTGACCTGCTAAACAGCTAAACTTACCAAAATTTAAAAAATTGAATAATTTATGAAAGTTTCAATATTAAAATAAGAAATCATCATTAATTAATAATTAAGTTTCTTTTTTCATCATATTTGTTACACGAATATTTATATATGATTGCACAATAGTTCATAAAACAATACACGTATTTGTTAATAATTAATTGCACCGTAGATTGCACTGTAGTTTGCTTCCTTTTATTTTTATAGTAAGTTAATAATAGATATCCAAGCATTGCACTTTTGATGATGCAATTGCACATTCAAGTAAAATACATTGCACGTTCACTTTTAAACAATTGCATTATGCTAAAACTTTCAATAATTCTTAATTAAACTTTCTTATTTTGTTTTTACATTACCAACAAAAATTCTACGTGTAATTGTGCATTTGCTCATTAGAAATTGCACTTATATTTACACATAATTGCACATTGACTTAAAAAATATTGCACCATTTATTATATAAGTTTTATTTAGTAATTTAATTTTTTTATTTAGAATTTTCTTATAATCCTTATTGCGCGATTATTAACATATTATTTTGAATAATAGAATTTTATTTATAACTTTTTTGAAATTTTTAAGCATAATAAAATATTTTTAAACATGACTCATTTATGTGTACGTTATTTCAAATATAATAAAATAGTATAATAATACATGATTGCACACACCCTGAAAAGAATTGAACCACCTCTTATATAAGTTATTTTTTGGCTCTTATTTTAAATTGCACACACCCGTACGTTGTTGCCTCATTATTTACCTGTTGGATATATAGTTGTACTAGTTCATGTCCACGAGCTATATGTAAAATAGCACTAAGTGCTCGTTTTCAAAAAAAAAAAGTAATAATAATAAAAATTAATATTAATTGCCGGATCAATGTTTCCCTAAGTGCTTGGGATTCAGTTTTGGTCCATGAACTATATATAAAAATGTTGCCCTAGGTGAACACTTATCATTTTAATGTCTATGAGAATGTTGAATAACCTTTCTT